TAAAGTTATAGAGAACAGGGGAAAACTGTTACATCATCCCCCTCCTATGGAGAGGAAGGAGCTTATAACCCAAATGCTCAAGTGGAATAGAGTACAATAAGCGCAAACACGTGCGAGACGAAAAAAGGCTTCGCACTGAAGTAACACAATAAGACGACTGAAACTCCATGCAAATAAAGTGTAATAAGCTCAACAAATGTGTAAGGTGAAACTAGAAGTTCTGCAAAACTCAGCGGGCAGAAGCCAAGGTTTTGTACTTCTGAAGTGGAACAATGTCATTACCAGATTCATCCAACAAATAATGTTCAGGCTCCCAAGTGGCATCAGAGTAGCCTTGCCACTTGACTAGGTACTGAAGCTGATTCTGCCGGCGGCGGTGACTGAGAATGTTCTCCACCACATAGCGGGCATGACCATCAAGGTCCGTGATAGGCGGAGGCGTAGGCTGTCTCCTATTAGGAATAGCGTTCTTCTCGTAGGCACGGAGTGCCGACACATTAAATACCGGGTGACAGCGGCTGGTATGAGGCAACTTGAGCTTGTAGGCATTCGGGCCGACCACATGGGTTATAGGAAAGGGGCCAAACCACTTGGGGCGTAATTTATGGGATGGTCGGTCCCGAGCTTCAGGAGTCAGGAGGAAATCCCGGTAGACCATTACCAAATCTCCCACCTTCAGCTTTCCCTCGACCCTTGTCCGATCTGCATAGAAGGCCTGACGAGCTTGAGCTGCCACTAGCGCATCTTGTGAGATCTTGACCGCGTCTTGTCTTGCTTGCAACCAATCAGCTGAATCTCTGCCTCCCTGAATAGGGTTGAGGAAGTCGGGTGGCGCTCTGGGATTTAGACCGTAATTTAAGAAGAACGGTGTGTTTCCTGTAGATGATTGAGTAGCGCTGTTGATAGAAAACTCACAGAGAGGTAGGAGCATATCCCAGTTATCTTGTTTATGATTTACAAAAGCCCTCAGCACATCCTCTACTATTCTGTTTACTCGTTCAGTTAGGCCATCTGTCTGAGGGTGATTGGCAGTACTAAATGCTAGTTTCGTTCCTAAGCGATCAAACAATTCCTGAAAAAATGCTGCCGTAAATCTTGGATCACGATCACATACAATACTAGAACTCAAACCATGAAGTCGAAATACATGTTGAATATACAGATCAGCACTTCCTTTAGCGTCAATAGTAGAGGAAGTAGGTGCTAAATGTACACACTTTGTCAAGCGGTCTACAAATACATATATTGCATCATGACCTGTATCGGTCCTAGGCAAACCCATGATAAAATCCATCGAGATATCCGCCCACGGCTGACTGGGCACTGGTAAATTCTGCAAGAGACCAGTTTTTAGCTGGCCGCCTTTAACTCGTTGGCAGACGTCACATGACTTGACAAATGCCTTTACATCCAGTCCCATTCTGGGCCAATAGAAATATCGAGAGAGTCTGAAATAGGTGCGATCTCGACCGGGATGCCCCGCAGTCACACAGTCATGGTATTCTTGAAGCAGGGCGAGTCGGAGTTTGCTACTCTTTGGAATGCATAACCGGTTCTGTGGTGAAGATCTGAGATAAAGATAACCGGGTGTTTCATTTAGAAGGTAACGGTCGTGCAGATTGTCATGGCTTGAATTTTTCAGTCTCCTGATAATGGGAGCAAGATCCTTGTCGCACTTGTAACCGCTGACAATTAACTGCGCTAAGTCTGGATTAATCTCTAGGGTATGCTCTATGGCATTCAACTGAATGTTAGGAGGATAGGATGACCCGCCTATTTCAGAATCACTGAACAGATCTGGACGGCGTGAAAGCGGGTCGGCAATGTTTTTCTTTCCTGGTTTGTGAAAGACCGTAAAGTCATAGTCAGCTAAAAACTCTACCCATCTTGCCTCACGCTTGGTGAGAGTCGGTTTGGTTCGTAAATAGACAACACCCATATTATCAGTCATCAGGTCAAAGTGGCGGAATAGATAGATTCTCCAGCACTTTAATGCAAATACCACAGCCAACGTTTCCCTCTCGGCCGCAGTATAGTTGCGTTCTGCAGCTGACAGTTTCCGACTACAATAGGCTACGGGATGCAAATCCATATCTTCTCCCTGCTGCAGGAGCACACCCGCCACGGCAAAGTCACTTGCGTCAGTTTCTACCATGAAGCTTTTCTCAACATCGGCCAGTTGCAACACTGGCGCCTCGAGTAATGCTGATTTTAGAGACTCGAATGCCTTCTGTCTAGCAGCGCTCCATTCAAAGCGTGAATTTTTTCCGGTGATTTCTTCTAATGGACGAGAGATGGTCGAGTGTCGATCTATGAACCTTCGGAAATAGTTTGCAAAGCCAAGAAACTTCCTCACATCAGTTACTGACGACGGAGTTGGCCATGTTTCCACAGCACTTATCTTCTTGGGATCAGGGGAAATTGATGTGCCGTTGATTTTATGCCCCAAGAAGAGAACTTCTCTCACGCCGAATTCGCATTTAGACTGTTTGCAATACAGCTCACTATTTCTAAGTGTTTCTAGAACTGTTTGAAGATGATGCTGATGATCTTCCCAGGTCTTGCTGAAAACTAGAATGTCATCCAAGAATACTACAACGAATTTTCGGAGATGCGGTTGCAGAATAGAGTTCATGAGTGACTGAAAGGTGGCCGGGGCATTAGTCAGCCCGAATCCCATGACTCTAAATTGGAAGTGGCCGAACGGCGTATTAATGGCCGTCTTAGAAACATCCGAGTCTTGAATTCTGATTTGATTGTAGCCTGACCGCAAGTCCAACTTGGAGAAATATGCACTGCCCTGGATCGTGTCGAATAAGTCATCAATATTAGGAAGACAAGCTTTGTTTTTGATCGTAATTCTATTCAATTCTCGCCAATCGCACACCATTCTCAGAGTACCATCCGACTTTTTCACAAAAAACACAGGTGCACCGTATGGCGACTTACTTGGCTCAATGAATCCCTTCTCAAGTAATTCTGATAGCTGTGACTGGAGCTCGTCCATCTCTGGTTTCGGCAGGCGGTAGGCGGGTCGAGACGGTGGTCTGGCTCCATCTTCTATCTGGATTTCATGGTCGACTGGTCTCTTCGGTGGAAGCTCATTCGGCAGCTCGTCTGGAAATAAATCCTGGTACCTCTTGAGCAGGTTCTGGATGTCTTGTTGCTCTGATTCCTGGAGTTGTGGCCCGGAACGATTCTCCTCGTTTGCAGCAGTGACCCATGCAAGAAACCCCTCGGCTCCACTCCTCAGGGCATGACGAGCTTGTCGGCCACTGATAAACATGCTTTCCACAGATGGCCGGTCGGCTGTCGGCGGGTTAGCTGAAGGCAATTTGGCAACAAAGGGCTCACCGTCCAACTGAACTTCGTTCGTACGGAAGTTGATGCTGGGGTTGTTCCTTGTAAGCCACGGCTTGCCAAGAATAGCGTCGTAGCGAGTCAGGGGATACACAGTAAAGTGCTGTTCCTCACTGAAGCCCCCGACTGTCACCCTTAGCGTGCGTGTGGAAATCTGCGGGACCTCGCTGGTCGAGCCGTCCGCCAATGTTACGCTCAGCACTGCTGAGCTTGCATCCGTGTCAAGATGATGCTTTCGAACAAAACTGTCTGCAATGAAGTCATGCGTTGAACCGGAATCTATCAGCATCACTGCACGGCGACCGCCGATCTTTCCCTGTATGCGCAGTAGGTCGTGTTCAGGTTCATTGCCGACGCTGACGTTGCTGACATGACACCTTTCTGCAACGGGACAATTTCCTACAGCTATGGGTGTCTCCGGCTCCGTAGGTTCCTGGAGAGCAACGTCTTCAACCTCCAGAGCTCCGAACCGGTTAGCGACTGGTACCGGCGTGGGCGCTTGGGTCGTCGCCAGTAAGCGCACCCCCTTTCTTACTGGCGACCAGCGTTTGGGTAGCGCTGTCCACCCTCAGTACAGTCTTTAGCGAGGTGGCCTGGCTTCCTGCAAGCAAAGCAGTGTCCCATTGCTCGCAGTTGGACACGCTCTTGGTCCGTCAGCTTGCGGAGGCCCTGACCACGGAAGCTGGGCACGGAACGCGACTCTCTACTGGCTGGTGGCCCCGACGCCGGTGGCCCTGACGACTGCTCCACGGTGTTTGCTGCCATGACAGCTTGCTCTAGGGTACGTGGATGCTCACGCATGACCTGTCGCTGGATGTGCGGCACTAGACCCCTGACGAACAGCAGCGCTCTGGTGTGGTGGTCGATTTCCGGCACTTGCAGGCTGAGGCGAGTGAAAGCAGCAATGTATGCGTCCAGCGACCCGCGCTGTGCTGCGGAAATTAGTCCCATACGCGATGTTTCCTCGTTGTGCCGTGGTCCGTACACATCGCCAAGTGCCGCTTTCAGAGCAGGCCAGTCGGAAAACACTTGGTTAGCTTCCAATGCCGATATCAACCAAAGACGAGCGTTTCCAGTCAAAAATCCTGCCGCGTAGTCGACCCTCTGTGCCGCATTTGGGAGTGCCAACGACCGTAGGGCCATGTCCATTGCAAACGTCCATTCTTTGAATGTAGCGGAATCTCCTCCAAACACAGGCGGCTCTTTCGTAAGGCGGGGTGTTGGCTCCCACGGTTCTGAGTTCGGATGTATCGTTCGGTTTCCTTGGCTAACGCGCTGAGCGGTCTTGATATCGTTTATCAGCCGAACGACGAGTACGAGGAGCGTAAGCAGAGCGACCAGAACACCTGCCAAAAGCAGAGTAGGAACCATCCTCTGCTACCAGTGTAACAGGTTTAATCAAACTTGAAAAGTAAGAGGCCTGGTTGAGCGTGCCTCGACCAGTTATATGCAGAATGTGATAGTATACATGTGGCAATGGCGCCAATGAAGGTGCTAATAGACAGGCGTAAGACGCACGAGGTGCGAGGGAGTGTAAAGTTATAGAGAACAGGGGAAAACTGTTACAGTAAACCTACGGTAAAATTTATATAAACACTGCGTTTGCCTCTGGTTCTGTCGATTTCTGCCCCTGTTCTCAGGGGATGCGGTACAACCTCAGTCACCCACTCTGCTACACAGTCGCCGCGCAGACACTATCCTGGTGGCCCTGCCCCTGCCACGATCAGAAAATCCCCTGCACCAGACAGAGTCTTACCAGGTTAGTTATGCTCCTCTGAGCGCAGCAGGCGGCACACTGGTGGGCAAGTACGAAAGCCGCATGCCGACCGCACAGTCCGGGAAAATATGGCTGCCACTGGACGAGCTGAAGGTCGGCACGACCTACGGGGTTCGCTTGAGGTCTATCACACACCGCGGGCCGTCTGAGTGGAGTATGCCATCGACGATCACCACATTGCAGTCAGGTAACGGTATAGACATTAAACGTTCATGTCATAATCAGACTCAAGAGTACATAATTCCCACGAGTGTGAAACTCCACTGTGGGTACTGTCCCGACAGAATTTAGAGCTGATGTTATTTGTATGATGCAGTGTGCTCTGTTCATGTAATATCAACCGTAGACTTGTGGTGGACATATCCCCATTCGATCTTGTACTAACTAGTGCAAGGAAACACGTGTGGTGCTTTGACAGCCCGTACAAGCATCGCAAATCACTCATGTGAGGAACATTGCATCAAAAACATGACGTCAACTTGAAATTCTGTCAGGACAGCAGGGTATGTAGGAGTTGCACACTCTTGGGGGGTTATGTACTGTTGTCATACGACATTGTGCGAATTGTGTTCTATTCCATATTCGCATTACAGTGTAACCTGTGTAAGCGACCACAGCACTAAGTGACCACCTGTCTTTATGACCACTGTACTAAGTGACCACCTGTCCTTTATGACCACTACACAAAGTCACCACCTGTCTTTTGAGACCCGTCTTCACAGCATGCCCGGAGACTGTGCTTGCCTCAGCATACGTTAGACCTGGTGTTAAAGGCCATACTAGCCCTGCGTCCAAGGTGGGCGCCATACACCGGCTAACCTAGTGTGAGCTATTTGTTACTGCCTTGTACAGTGTAGTAGCAGCACATTGTCGCAGATTGTAGTCGGCTACAATAGAGAGGTTCCGCACAACATAATTACGTTAGTAAAAACGTAATCGATGTACTGAAAGTCTTACGTACACTGCATGCGGATCCGTGTTCCGCGATATGCAGTTTTCGAATCACACAGCTGTCCTTGGCAACTCTGAACACGACAGTGTACAACCCGAGGAGAGAGTCATAAATTCATACCCCAATCCACTAAAGCTGTGTTCACAATTGGCGCGTGTACGCGTGCAACCACACGTTTTTGCGTATTTTTGCTGGCTTTTGGGGCGCCATGCGTACGGAAACGCGCCGAAATGGAACTTCCAACATGTTGGAATTTTCAGCGCGTATCAGGCGCGTACTAGCGTACATGCCAGTCACTTTTACTGGCGGGGTCAAAAAATTAGTACTCGAAGGTGTCGCACGCGCTAAATACGACTCAGATTGCTTTTTTTGTGAAAGCTTGGGCGCGCGTTTGTGCACGCATGAACCGCAAGCGTACCGCGTCCAAACGCCAGTTGGGAACACAACTTTACCCTCACGGAGCAGCTCCCTACTCACGTACTCTATGTAGACAACTTTCCGTAAGTGGAGTGCAAATTCGCGAATTCACAGGGTTTCCCCGCCCACTTGCGTAAAGTTGCTCAACTTTTAAACCTCTCTAATAGCCCACCTACTAAACTTGGCCTGTGTCTTCACCCAGTTGCTTGTGGAAGCATTGGTGGTTCAGTGGTAGAATCCTCGCCTGCCACGCGGGGGGCCCGGGTTCGATTCCCGGCCAATGCATGTTTTTTCTTCTGGTCCGTTGAACAGTCGAATATCTTTCGAGTTACCTTTCAAACTCGAGTTATCTTTCAAACTGCAATAGGATGCTAGCAAGAGTACATAACCCCCCAGAGTGTGCAACTCCCACATACCCTGCTGTCCCGACAGAATTTCAAGTTGACGTCATTATTTATGACGCAATGCTCCTTGCACCAGTGATTTACAACATATGTACGGGTGTCAACGCATCACACGTTTTTCTTTGCAATAATTTGTACAGGATCGATCGGCTTCGGTCAACCACAGGTTCCGGATTCGTCTGGTAATCCGTGTACAGTGCGCATTGCATCATCAAAATGACGTCAACTTGAAATTCTGTCGGGACAGCACCCATAGTGGAGTTGCACACTCTGGGGGGTTATGTACTCTTGGATGCTAGAGATAGAGAAACATGTGAAAGGATGGCTATTTAATAGCCAATGTGGCACCACCATTGTTGTAACTTGAATGATTTTTCCTGCTTCCAACCCCGCGCCATCTCCACACTCAGACAATTGACGGCATTAATAATCGTACATGGGAAAGGACAATATTTTACGGGTAGACGAAGGAAACATAACTGGATATACCGAACTCGAGACGAAGACTCCTTTTCACCCAGCAGCAACACACACGCACGCAAACACACGCGCGCACACACACACACACACACACACACACACACACACACACACACACACATGCACTAACATCACATACACACGGCATACATAGAATAACGTACTACAGAACAAATAAGCTCGGGTGTTCTGCTTGGGGTTCGCCTGCCCGCATCAATAGGTGTAGTTTGCAATCTCATACCGCATTTCCCCAATTGTAAGTCACACTTGATTGAAAATCGCAACCCATTTTTCAGGTCCATGTCACACCGTTTCGATGTATTCACTTCAGTCATTACCAGCAATTACATGTATAAGACATCCCACAGATCCGAAATTCCGTGAAAAAATTGCGCGTTTACTGCGGAGATTGATCTAGGACGGAAGAAAATTGCTCTGAACTATGGCTATATTTGAAACGTAAGGCATCAAGCCAGTGAACCACGCCAACAAGACACACCGTTACACAACGGAAAAAACGAAAGTGAAAAAAAAACATTGAACAACCGACCCGATCTCAACTGCTAAGAATCATGATTTTCTTCTCAACTGAAAAGGATCTGTTACCTTGGTGATCTTGAGGAAATAGCAAGAATTGACCTTCTTCATGGGCATTTCTGAAGCTCCCTAGTATTGTTAGCCAACAAACCACAGCATTGTCACCTGGCTAGTCTGATCTCTGTCCTCATCAAGGACCGGTTCCGAAAGCTTGCTGGTCCATCCCGCTTTCTAGCTCCAAATATCTAGGAAATCGCCTCATTTTGCACATTTCAAGCAGTTTCTCCATTGTTTCTGGCTTGACATTGAAGAGCAAGATGAAGAAAAGCACTTCTCATGGCCATGTGCATGATGTAACATGACAGTAGATCTACAAGCACTGTCATGACATGTACAGTCTCCTTACAGGACACGAAACACCAGCAGCGGTAACAGCATGTGATGAACGGCAGCATTTGGTTTGCACGGCTAGCGGAGACGCCGTTGTGATTGATATACCCTACCACACACTGGAATCGTGGGGGCCCAAGTATGTCGAAGGCCTTGAGAAACATGTCAACATGTTGAAGGTAAGACCATTCAATGTACAAGTACTTGACTTCTTATAAATTAGGAGGTCAGGACAACATGCTGACCGATAGCTAAAACAACAGCAAGACACGCTGTTTTCATATAACCACTTAGGGCAGAACTGCGGGGACACATATCACGTCTCCATAAGGTCGGCTACGCGGCCACTCACTCCGCTGACATAGGACATTTGAAGCAGTTCATTATTTGAAGATTGAGCATGTCTCCATTTGTGTGTGTGTGTGTGTGTGCTTTAGGTGAAGAGAGATTCTTGCAAGAAGATCAATGCACGATCAATGCACGGTTCCGGGCAGTTGCACATGAGAATGGAAAGAAAAGAAAAGAAATGAAAATAAGAAGGGTGCGTCAGCTCTGTCGGTGCATTATCGATGGACGCTCGACCCCACGGACTATAACACCAATGAAGAGCAACTGGCCAGCATGCAACACAAGCTTGACGAGGTACGGCAAAAACTAGAAAATGAAAAAAGTCAGAATGGTGAGCTGGAGGTGAGTGTCGCTGACATAGCGGAGCAGTGCCAATGTTACCAGGCAGAAGAGAAAGATACGGGAAGGCTATATACGGAGCTGAAGACAATGTCAACAACAGATGAACCTGCAAGCGAAGCTGGAGGGGAGGAGAGAGTAGACGATGCCATCCTGAACGCCCTGGCACGGGATTTTGCGGAGCTGCGGCAGTGCATACCTGCAAGGCAGAAGCAGGAAGCACATACAGGAAAGGCACACAACATGGTCGGCCAACGACAACAGCAACGAAACATTAAAAAAATTAAAATCCAGTGCTGAAGCGGCACTGTGGTTCGCCAAGACGTTTGGGCTGAACCTGCAATGCTTCACGATGCACGACGGCGCATGAAACACACACAAAATCGACTTCACAGACAAACACGGATACACTTACGAAACAATGACAGAACAAGAACGCACATATGTAGAAAAAACGTTATTTATTCTAGACCGCTTTTGCAGCTCGGACGAGCTGTACAACGAGCTGGTCCAGGTCAACCCCGAAAGTGCCTGCTCGCAATCAAGCAATGCCGGGCGACAATTCGCAACGGCAATGGAACATGAGGTCGTAACACGCACAGGGGAGGAAGTGCTGCGGGTAAAAGTGAGCGTAGACGGAGCCAAAATGTCGAGAAGAGGCAACTTCGTAATCATGACTTACGGGGTGCTAAATGATGAGGAGACAATCATGAGGGTGCAGCAGGAAACCACGCCATTGCTGTCGTGAATGGTCCGGAGACGTATGACACATCGAAAACAGTGTTCACAAAAATGTTCGCGGAGATCAATAATGTCATTCAAAACGGCGGGGTCGAAGTCGACGGAAAGCACTACCCCATCCAAATCGTTATGGGAGGCGACATGAAATTCTTGAGCATGGCCATGGGACTAAGCAGCGCCACCGCTAACCATGCGTGCATCTGGTGCAAGGTGCACAAAGCGCAATGCCACGATACTACCGCAATCGCGGATCTATTCAACTCACCTCCGGTAGCACGAACGCTTGAAGAGCTGCAGACTGGGAAGCCAACACAGCCATATGTCAAGCAAGTGACCAACGGACAGCAGGCGCGGCGAGACAGAACAAATACGGGCAAAAAAACCACCGTTAGTGAATATGGAAATTGGAAACATTGTAATGATTGATGAACTGCATCTCCTTCTGCGTATAACAGACGTACTGACGAATGCACTAATGGAAGATTCTATTGAAACAGGCTGAGCAGAACAAAAAAAAGCCTCTGGAAGGCAAGAACCTTAATAAAGCCCTGATAGCGGCTTTTCGTGAATGTGGCGTGTCATTCGCAATTTGGGAGCGGACAAATGCCGACCACTCCGGATCAGGAAAATTTGAATGCACCGGCCTGATGGGCGCAGACAAAAAAGCTGATAAAATTTGCCGTCCAAATTTGTGAACTGCATTGGCAGCAGCATGCAACAAGATGTCCAAGAGCTGTGGGAAGGGTTTGCTCTGATTGACGATGGAATAAACAAAACCAATTCGACCTCAGCTGAAATTGACCAGCTGGAGCTGGAAATTCAACCGTGGATAGGAAGCTTTTGCAAACTTGGTGATGCAAAGCCAGGGTATGGGAAAGCGCGTGCGATTCCTTACATGCACTCCCTCATGTGCCATGTGCCATGGATGATGCGTAAATTCAACACAATCAAATACTTTACCGGCAACGGAGTCGAGAGTAAGTTGTGCTCGGGTGTAAGTCGCATCCCCTTTGTTGGGCATGATGTTTAATAAGTGTTAAAAAAATGGTGTGACTTATATTCCGGGAAATACGGTACTTCAGTACACACGGAAAGTTGGGTGTGGTCCTCGAAAGAGTGCTCAATGCACCGGGGTGCAGAGCTTCATACAAAAAAACAAAAAAAACACTATTTTTGTACTTCAGTACATGTGCTGGAACTTGAACTAAGGGGTTTTCCCCACTGATGTGTGGATTTCTGTTCTTTTATCTGCAGATGATCTACCGGCTGTCCGATTGCCACGTATTGTACAGGTCTCGTCCAGGAGTGCTGTCATTGACTCACAAGCACTGGTGGAACACAGCGAATTGTTCGGCAAGCCCATATCGGCCACTGTTGAAATCGTTTCGGCATCAGAGCTACACACTGGTGCTTGGCGTGCATACACTTTCTCCAGCGCTAGTTCACGATTTGTTCGACTTCCCAACCTCATTCCGAGCACACATTATCTGACGAGGTGGAGGCTTTCCAGTGGGAAACAAACGTCCCCCTGGAGGAGAGGCAAACCCTTTGTTACGCCACCGTTGGGTAAGTATTTCATGTGGGTAGGTGTGTGCGTGTGTGTGCGCGCGTGCGTGTGTGTGTGTGTGTGTGTGTGTGTGTGTGTGTGCATGCGTGTGTGAGTGTGTGCATGCATGCATGTGAGGTTACCTGGTACAATGCACTTCCTTTGAAGTACATGTGAATGATGTTCTGTTACCGTTTTGAAGCGACACACGCCTAGCACAATATCCTTGATACCGGTGGCAAGCGTTATTGAGTTGTTCCAAGATTGTGGTTGTTTCGAACTGATATGTTGCGACTTTTACTGTATTTGTAGAAGAAGGTGGCTGCTCGCAGTGCTGCACCTTGTGCTTCCTGCCTACTGATTGGCACGTGACTGACTCACGCCTGCCGTCTGGAGCACATGAGAAGAATGCTGGGCCATCCACTCGGCAAACCTGCGAGAAAGCACCACTCCCTGCTCAATACACAGTGTTTCGGGGAATTAACCTCTCATCAGCTGCGCCTGCGTACGCTCTAATGTAGTTTTGTGTTCCAAGAGCACTGCATTGTGTAGTGCTCTTTGAGCCAAAACATCACTAGGGATACTATAGTGATCTGTTTCCAGCGTGAATTGTGTGATTGTTTCATTTTGTCTTTGATTGCTAGCTCCAGGAACGCCGCAGCCTCCACGCATTCTGAGGGAGTCGTTATCGCCAACTACAGTCCAGGTAGTGCTGCCTGGCTCTGCTGCGCAAGCGGACACCAATTACACAATGGAAGTCTGTTTGTTGGAGACGTCCAGCAACCGGTGTGAAGTGTCCCCAGTGATAAAATCGGTACGGCTGCCATTATCATTGTGACGTATCCTATTTTGTTATCCCAAATAGTCTTTCAGTCTTTGGTTAAGAAAGGAACACGTCTACCCAAACAATTTGTTTGATAGTTTCTATTGAAACCTGTCAGTCAGAACGCGCGCCCCAATAGACTGGTATCGAAGTTTGACTCTAGCTCAGTTAACAAGAATGGTGAGACATTATTGGAAGAATTCATTTTCAGAGCAGGGAACAACGTGAACACCTTGGAGGAAAGGAACAACGAACATGTACAGCAAATGCCATGGAGGAGCAATTAATGGGTAGGCGAAGGACCACCCTTTCTCATGATCCCAGCGGCTTGGGTGAATCATGACAGCATGATGACAAATGGAAATCGGCCTATTGGCGCAGTGCAACCGCTCAAGGAACCTTAGACGTGCTCCCCGCGAAACAGGTGGTCTTCTGATCCAGGGTCATTGTACTGGGAATAACGCCTCTTGGTCCTGGTTGTAGCAGTCCTCTGGGACAGGTGGTCGCCTTGACAAATTTTACTGTAGCAGTAGTTCTTGCTTGCAGCTTGGTGTTGTTTGTGTGTGGCTGTAGGTTCAATACCCCAACCGCGGGGTAACGTGGACTGGACTTCTGCCAGGCACGCGATACTCTGTAGCACTTCAAGCTTCTAATATACACGGGAGCTCTTCTCCAAGCCGAACCACGTTTGAAACCTTGAGAGAAGGTACAATACTCCTGGATGAATCCAGAGACTGGGTCCCGTGTGTTTCACGTTTAAGGCCGATTTACTGGTCTTGGATGTAGGAATGTTGATCGTGGAAGTTAGTTGCTGTGCAGTTAGCTTTGTACCTCAGTGGACTATGTTTTCGGGAGCTCTTGTCATCTGTTCTAGCCACTTTAGTCTATACATTTATATGTATGTGTTCACTTCATGCTCCTCTCTTGTCCAATGTACCAGGTGAGCCTGCTATACCACTAGCTCCGAGCGTCGGCTTCAACGTCTCCAGCTATAGCATCCCGCTAGTCCTGCAAGCACGACACCCTCTGGCCGAACACAAGGACTTTGTATCGGTGTCCCACTATCGCGTGGCATGTCAACGTCCCGGCGAACAGCAATACTCCGTTGTGGATGGGGCGGTGGCGTCCTCGGATGGCTTGATCCTGGACGGAGCGTACACGTACGATGAAGACGGCAGCGTGCTCAGTGGCCAGTATCGCTTCAAGCTACAGTCAGTCAGCATTGACGGCAGAGTGTCCCGCTGGAGCGACGAATTATTGGCGGAACCTTTGCCCCAGGGTAAGTGTGCCTGGTGTCGACCTCTTTGTGGACTTTCCATTCATTTAGAGTTCAATTACATTGTTTCTCCCAGTACGGGCACAGGCGAAAGAGCGTCGTTTTCTATTGGCCTGTGAGAAGTGGAATAATATACTGACAGCGGAAGGAAAGGGAGAGATTTTATCACCATTTCTATGACCGATAACAGAATGTTTGTGATGGGGTCGTTTTGCTTCGATCTCCCTATCGCTTTAGCTGATCTCTATACTGCACTAGTAGGCGGTCATCAAAGATAAAGTGTGGACACTTCTTCAACTCTAAAATCACGCTGCTATTCTGGTGTTTGCCGCTACTACCATTGTACAAGGGTACTTGAAACTTTCAAAGTGAATTTGAACCTGATATCACTACAAGTGATATATTTGTCATGCCTTCCAACCCTATGTTTCTACCCAGGGGCTTCCCTAAGAGTCCTGAGGCACACATCATCCAAGCTTTTGTCTGTCACGTCCTCTCTCAGGTTTATACAACTCCCTGATTGGAATTTGGAATTTGGATGAGATTGGCACTTTTCCCACCGTGTCTCCCATATGGTCTAGTGGTTAGGATTCGGCGCTCTCACCGCCGCGGCCCGGGTTCGATTCCCGGTGTGGGAACATTTCTTTTTTTTTGACTTTCCAAGTACGAAATTTATGTTCGACCCGACACTCGGACGGAATTGTAATATCCGCCATTTTCAAACAACAGGAAAAGCGTAACTTCCAAGCGGCATTTTTGTCAATCTTCAGTTCTTGCTTCGTTGCCAACTTTGAGTTTCATTCTATTCTGATCATGTAAATAGAAAGGACATGTCACGCAGCCGTCAGCAAGATTTCCTCTAAGGGAGCATCTCACAAGTTCGCATTTTGTTTCTAAACGTAACGCATATCGAAACGGGGGTAGGGGGGTAGCGCCCTTTTCGAATAGAAAATAATGACAGTTCGCACATTTTCTCAAAGTCTACAATAGTATTGTGCTGTGCATGTGTTAGATCGCTTCAGATCACTGTGTTTTAATACATGGTTTTTAGGTGTGGATCTACCTGTGTAACTGTGTTTGCAGATCAGCTAACCCTGCACTGCAATCTGCATGCATGCAGGCTACTCAAAGGTGTCAAATGTCACACCAGCCTGATCAAACCGTGTACCTGGCCAGCTTTTACAGCAGTACATATTAAATACATAATTGTACAGCTGTTATGGAGGAACTATGTTTGTGTGTGTACATGTCACTGATTGATCTACTACACTAGCAAAACATTCATAATCCATGTACATATAAAGCATGCCATAGCATGAGGCATGGACATGTACCAAGATGTACAGTAGATCAACACAGAAAATGTGCGACAAAACTTTCGAAAAGAGGGGGGAGGTAGGGGGGTAAAGTCTATTCGAAATGCGTTACGTTTGCAAAATAAATGCTAACTTATGAGATGCTCCCTAACCCAAGTGCTTCATGAAGGTGTGTGTACTGTGATGTAAGGCAACATGCCGCACAGCTCTCCCATAGAAAGGCGATTTCAAATGGACGCGCTTGGGTTAGGGACTCTTGCCGACGGCTGTGTGATATGTCCTTCTTTATTTACAAGATCAGAATAGAACGAAACTCAAAGTTGACAACGAAGCAAGAACTGAAGATGGACAAGACGCCGCTGGCCAGAAATCAGTGCAGAGCAGCATACGTGGGCACTGTTCATCCGATTATGGTGTGAGAGCATACCGGCATAGCTGTTTTTCAAGACTGGACGGACCTTCTGTGATTGGGCATAGTGAATGCATGCACATCACAGCCTCCGCACAACCATCGGCGACGGTTGCACTTTTGTTCACTGGCCGGGCAAGGGAATAGGCGTGTGAGCTCCGACCGCAATCTGGACACGTCCTCAGTGGAGCAGATACAGACCCTGAAGCAGACACTGATGACGATGCAGAGCCCGATATCCCCCCGATGTCTTCTGCTGATGGGCCCCTTTGCCCTGCTGATAGGAAGATTTCCACATAGCGTCTCGTCTAGCTGGCTAGAGTATACTAAGTACAGGATACCAAGGCCGTCACAGCCGGGAGCGGCCGAAGCCGCCCGCCCCACTTTTGCGGCCGATTTTTTTCTTTTTTTGGTGGACACTGCAACAAAGCGTGATGATCGCATGCGCAAACATGGCGAATGATGAAGAGTCCTTGTCCCCGATCGTAGCGTCATCTTGGTTTGTGTCACAGAATCAAAACGTCTTTCCTGCATTGTAGTTACATAAAATGTACACTGAAATGGCACCAAATGCCCTGAAACGCTTGCAATTGGCTTCAATTTTTGAAATTTTCGTGGGCAATCCCCAGACCCCTCTTTCATGGCCACCTCACCTCCAAAGTCACTGCGACGGGCCTGGATACTGCTGTTTGTCGTGGCAGCGGCTCCCCCAGCCCGACGAACAGTCACAGCATCCGCAAATGTTAGGTCCCTAGTGGCTGCTAGCAATTTATGGCGGGCAGGCACCATCATCGCCAATACCAACAACAATCTGGTCGCGCATAGTGTCGACACACACACACGCACACACGCATGCAGGCACGCACACGCACACACACACACGCACGCGCGCGCACAGGTCAGGCTAGTGGATGTTGGTTCAGCGGCTATACCGAATATTCAAGTATTCGTTCGTTCGGCCACAGCGAACAACCATTAAAAGTTTGCGCGAACATTCGAACTTTGAGATTGTGCGTACGGTACGCCAAACCCGTAAAAGCATCGCGATCAGCCACGGTCATTTCGCATACCGCCTAAAATATGTGTAGTTGCATGCTTATGTATGATCAGCTGGTGTTGATCTCAAAGATGGTGTAGTGGTTGTGTTAGGTGTCTGCTGGATCAATATGTATACTAGGTGTCTGCTGGATCAATATGTATACTAGGTGTCTGCTGGATCAATATGTATACTACCTGCCCGGACATCACTGTATAGTGTACTAGCAACTTTCTGACGGGTGTAACCAAGAGTACATAACCCCCCCAGAGTGTGCAGCGCCTGATCCAGCTCTGCATAGGGTCTTGGTCGAACGTAATCGGATCTTTGCGTCATAATACCGTACACATCTGAGGGGAACCCGGGGAGTCGCGGGTACTCTCGGATCAAAAACAATGGTGCCCTGCCTCGAGACCGGCCTTGCGCTGGTGTGGAGTGTACGCATGACATCAGAATATCCGATTCCGCTCGACCAAGATCCTATGCAGAGCTGGATCGGCGTTGCACACTCTGGGGGTTTTTGTACTCTTGGTGTAACTTGTAACTTGCTCTTTTCGTGTTTTATTTTCGGCTTGATCTTTGTTCAAAGCGTAACCTGTTTTAGGTGGACTTTGGATGAGACTTTCACTTGTGTCAACGTGTCTCCCATATGGTCTAGTGGTTAGGATTCGGCGCTCTCACCGCCGCGGCCCGGGTTCGATTCCCGGTGTGGGAACATTCTTTTTTTTATGGGTATATGCTCTCGTTTTTTGCTCCCTGGGATTTGCGCGATTCTCTCGTGTCCCGTAATATTCTCGTGACCAAGTGAGCAAATTGAATTTTCTTGCTTTTCTTTGCAAGCATGGATTTGCTCGCTCTGGATGGGCTTTGAAGTTTGAACCGGGATCACTTTCTACGCAAATTGAGTCGCGTGGCAAAGACGTGAAACGGCTCTATTTCCGTTTGGTTGCATCCTGCCTGCAGGGGTTCCGGTGGTTCCGCGTCGGCCGACCGTGCTGAGAAGGAACAGCACGCGGGTGATGATCCGCAGTGACTCATTCTTTCATGCGCTGCCTCATCACGGGGTGAAATACTTTAACATCAGTGTGCAACACCTGGCCTCTGGTACCGCGGATATTCCTGCATCATCTACCCAGACTTCATACCTCCAGATTCCATTTGGCCGTGTGGATGTGCATGTGGATATTCCAAGAGGCATTGAGTATAGAGTCTGCGCCAGTGCTGTTAATCATCACGGCTCAGCCTCAGCATTTGGTCCCTGCTCTGGCCAAGGTGATGCTCGCCGGTGTGGCCTGTGTGTCTGTCTGGGTGCACGTATGGATGCTCGTCAGTGTGTGTGTGTGTGTGTGTGTGTGTGTGTGTGTGTGTGTGTGTGTGTGTGTGTGTGTGTGTGCGTGTGCGTACATGTGTGCGTGTGTGTGTGTGTGTGCATGGATACTTGTGCCTTGTGTACACTATGTTATTCAGTGCTTTTAACAGACACAACATATTTATAAATTGAAGTCCACCTACCTACTAGTTTGAATACTCGTCATGCAATAGCTCGCATAATTGCATTCTTAGAAGAGGAACTACATGTATTTAGCTGTTATTGACGTTCAGAAGTGTTGTGCTTCAATGGTTGGTAAGGGGTGTTCTACTGAAGACAGCGCACACTTCTTTGTGTTTCTGCAGGAACTGCTCCATACGTGGTAAACAAGCACCTGATCCAGCTTGTCCGCTACGCCACAGTGGATCAGCGCATTGCACTACCATGCCCCATGGATGGGCTTCCCGCAGCTGAGAAACTCTGGTACACGAACTCCTCAGTCGTTGGCGTGGTCACCACCAGCACCAGCAGTGCTGCTGGGCAGAATGGTGATGGGCAGCGTTACCTGGTGTCCGTCGATGCTGGGCAGAATGGTGATAGGCAGCGTTACCTGGTGTCCGTCGATGGCACTGGAAACAAGCACGTGGCGGCCAGCGGGGATTTGGTGATCAGAAACGCGCGTTCGACGGACAGTGGCACGTACGTGTGTGAAGGTTCCAACAGGCATGGTCGCGCTTCACTTTCTCTACAGCTGATTGTGTTAAGTAAGTCACACGCTCTTGGGTTTGTATTGGGATGGGGGAGGGGATGGGTCTCTCTCTTACCACCAGAGAGCAGCAGTAGGCCACTGGAGAGGTTGACTGGGCCAAATTTAGATAGATGTGCTCAAAGTTCTGTGTCCAGAATTAAGTGAGGTGTGGTATCTGTAGTGGTTCTACAAACGCACCAAAGACATCTTGTAACTAGCTTCGTTACTACAAATCACAAGTGTGTGGGAATACAGAGAACGACAGAGAGATCAAAGGAAAAGCCAGGCAGGCAGGTACAGCTGAAGTGCCTACGGTACAACTGGCATGTCGCACAGCGCGGCCGGATGAATGCATACATGTTACATAAAAGGATACAATGACAAACAGTGGGATGTGCATCCACTACATCTCCCTCTGAGATTAAACAGGCTATAATAGAGAAGATGAGGAGTCCAAAGACTATTCGATAATGTAGGTATTGTTTGTAGAGCAAGTTGCAGTGAAAGAGTGATGTGCAGAGACGACGGCAGATACGTCTCGGCACGTTGCTGAATTAGCATGATTCAATGAGGCGGTTGACAGGCTGAGGAGCTCTAGCAGAGCGACGGACTGGATCAGCTGCTGTGCCACCGTACTCAACCTCGACTGTCGGCTTCTCTGCTTCTGGTAGTGGCAGTCGGATCAAGTGACGACGATTGCGGCGAACAGTAGAGTGACCAGACTCAACGAGGTAAGAACGATTGGACACTTGCTCTACTATCTTGCCCTCCCGTTCGAGATCGGTGATGAATACACGGTCATGAAGCTGTAGAGTCGCGAGAGGCTTAGCTGCATGCCGTTGGTCGTAGTGCAACTTCTGCTGTTCCTGGGACTGAGTTTCCGATTCCAGAATACTAGGGAGATCTGGCCATTTCGGTTCCAGCTGCTCAGTCGTTGCAGGTAGACCGGTACGGAGCTGGCGGCCATACAATAGCTGACATGGGGCATAGCCGTTGCTCAGCGGTGTCGTGCGGTAAGCCAAGAGTGCATCTTGCAGGCTTTCGGCCTTCCGCAGGAGATTCTTGGCGGTGCGAACTGCACGTTCCGCTTCGCCATTCGACTGAGGATACCGTGGACTGGAAGTGCGATGGGTGATGTCGTTTTCTGTGCAGAACTCAGTAAACGCTTCGCTGGCAAACTGAGGACCGTTGTCTGTAACCATGGTGGACGGGAAACCATGCTCGGCACAGATGCGGTGCAGATGCTTGATGACAGCAATCGAGGTTGTGGCAGTCAGCGGTACGACATCGAGGTAACGCGAGAGATAGTCAACAATGACGAGGTAAGTTGTGCCGTTGAATTCCATCAGATCTGCACCAACCGTGTGCCACGGCAGTGTTGGACGTTGGACGGGTTGCAGTGGTTCGGTCGACTGGACGCGGTGTTTGGTGCACACTTCACACGTAGCAACCATCGTGTCGATTTGCCTTGACAAGCCTGGCCACCAAATGGAATGGCGGGCGCGAGACTTGCACTTCGTTGCACCTTGATGTCCCTCGTGGAGCTTCTCGAGCATCTCAGGCTGCAGAGAGGGTGGCATGACAATGCGGAAACCATGGTACAGCACACCTTGCTCACAGGACAGTAACTGGCGTTCATGGAAGTATGGGCGCACAGTGTCGTCGACATCACGTGGGTTGCACGGCCATCCGTGTTGGACAAAGTGGAGGACTTGCTTGAGCGTCTCATCTTGTGTGGTGGCGTCAGCAATGTCACGGGCTTTACCATCCGACACGATCTCAGCGATGTTAGATGTGAGGTTGATGCTGATCTCGTCTTGGAGACTAGGCGTGTCGTCACAGGCGAGCGGAGCGCGAGACAGAGCATCGGCAACAACTAGCTCTTTGCCAGGGACATACACGGCGGCTGGATTGTACGTGAGCAGGCGCATCAGGAGGCGTTGACATCGCATCGGGACACGGTTCAAATCACGCGTATTGATCAGCGGGATGAGTGGTTTGTGATCCGTTTGGACAGTGAGGGACGAATTGCCGTAAATGTAGCCGTGGAAGCGCTCACAAGCCCAGACAACAGCCAAGCACTCCTTCTCAATCTGCGCGTACTGTTGCTCAGTAGTGGTGAGGCTGCGTGAGGCAAATGCAATGGGGCGCATTCTGTCGTCATGCTCCTGCAATAGGACAGCTCCCAAGCCGTAACTACTGGCATCAGCGCTGATGACCGTGGGCTTGGTTGGGTCGAAGAACGTGAGGCAGGGCGCATTGGTGGCAAGCTGTTTGAGCTTGTCCAGGGCCTGTTGTTGTGTAGCAGACCACTCCCATGCGGTGTCATGCCCCAGTAGAAGACGCAGTGGAGCGCTGACTTCCGAGAGATTGGGAATGAAGCGTGACATGAACGCGAACATGCCGAGAATGCGCTTCAGTTCCGTGACGTTCTTGGGCGGCTTCAGATTAGCGACGCTGGACACTCTCGCTGGGTCAGGGTGGAGACCTTTGGCGGAGAAGATGTGACCAAGGAACTTCACTTCGGCCTGACGCTTGTGACATTTCGTCATGTTCAGCGTGACGTTGGCTTTCTGCAGGATGTCTAGTACGGCAGCTAGGTTACGGTCGTGTTCTTCTCGCGTACGGCCAGAGACAATGATATCGTCCATGTAGACGAACACGCCGGGGAGCTGGTCCAGAAGGTTGGTGAGACGCTTCTGGAAAATCTCAGGTGCTGATGTGATGCCGAATGGCAGTCGCTTGAAGCAGAACCTGCCGAACGGCGTGATGAAGGTGGTCAAACGGGCAGAGTCGGGACTGAGTGGGACTTGCCAGAATCCGTTAGCAGTGTCCAATGTCGTGAACACAGTCGCTCCGGCCAGTGAAGACAGGGCATCTTCTAACGTTGGCAACTGAAATGTCTCCCGCTTGACAGACGCATTAAGACGCTTCAGGTCGACACAGATGCGTACCTTGCCGTTAGGTTTGAGGACGGGCACCATAGGCGAACACCAGTCTGTGGGTTTGTCGACACGCGCAATGATGTCGCCATCTTCCATGCGGTGCAGTTCTTCACGTACTTTCGAATACAGGTGATGAGGAACTCTGCGAGCTGTGAGGCAGTGATACGGTGTGGCGTCGGAAGTTAAGTGAATCTGCGCAGCAGGACCAACCATACACTGTACGAGTGGGACTGGACCTTGCACTTCAGCCAGACGCTGGACTAGACCCAGTGCTGTGCACGCAGATCGGCTGAGCAGGCTAGTGCTGGCACCATCTAGAACAAAGATGGGTATGGTAGTGGACTGGGATTGAAAGGAGCAGTGAGCCTCAAATACACCCAGGACCTGCATAGTCTGGTCATTCGCTCCTCTCAGCTGGGCACTAGTAGCAGATAAGGACGGCTTGGGCTGCAGTGTATTGTATGATTGCACGGACATGGTAGAGACATCCGCTCCAGTATCTAGCTTGAACTGGACTACACTCTTTCCGATAGCTAGATCTGCCAACCAGGGTGAATCACTTACACTTTGTGCGCACGTCGTGTGGCCAACAAATAGAGAGTCCGGAGAGTCGTTCGTGACGGCAGAGGTGGACGGTTTCGATCGGCAAACTCGCGCGAAGTGGTTGCGCTTGCCACAGGCTTTGCAGCACTGGCCTCTGGCTGGGCACTGATCGCGTTGCGAGTGGTGGCTTCCACCACAGTTCGGGCACTTCGATTCAGTCGCAGGCGGTGTTGCTGCAGATTTGTAGCTACCATGCGGTCTGCTCTTCGGCATAGATCGACCACCACGGTGCGACTGGACAGCTGAGGCTGAGGCATCATCGTCTGAAATCGAGCTGGCGGCGGCCAAGCCACTGCGCGATTGGGCTGCAACCTGTTGCTGGACAGTTTCGGCGTGCCGTGCGAACGCAACAACTTTGGCGAGAGTTTGCTCGCTCTTGTCTTTCATCTGCAGCTCCCGACTCACCCGCTTGTCCAGCATGTGGGCGACGAAGCGGTCTCTGATACGCTCATCCTTCGTGCCAGCAAACTCACAATACTCTGCAGCTTTGTACAGAGCACGGACAAACTCCTCTACGGTCTGGCCGGGTTGTACAAGCTGTTCAAATTTAGCCCGTTCATGAACAACATTGGTAGAGGGGCGGAAGTACGTGTCGAAAGCACTGACGACCTCGTCATATTTCTTCTTGTCGTTCTCGGATAGTCCGAGTTGGTACTCGAACAAGGAGTCGGCGTTGGGTCCGAGAGCATACAACAAAGTGGCCACCTGAGTTTCTCCCGGGTCGGAACTCAGTTTGGTGGCGGCACGAAAACGGGTGAAACGGAGTTTCCACGCGGGCCACTGGTCCGGTGAGCTGAAGTCGAAAGGCGCTGGAGGGTTGAAACGAGCCATCACCGCTCACGAGGCCAAAGACTACAGAAAAACCAATTCTGACACCATGTAGTGGTTCTACAAACGCACCAAAGACATCTTGTAACTAGCTTCGTTACTACAAATCACAAGTGTGTGGGAATACAGAGAACGACAGAGAGATCAAAGGAAAAGCCAGGCAGGCAGGTACAGCTAAAGTGCGTACGGTACAACTGGCATGTCGCACAGCGTGGCCGGATGAATGCATACATGTTACATAAAAGGATACAATGACAAACAGTGGGATGTGCATCCACTACAGTATCTATCACGGTAAACTGGCCCAGGGAGGGAAATGAAAATGAAATGCCAGCTGAAATAGATGTCATTTTAGCCACTTTCTGCCAGATGTGTTCGTTTCTACATCAAAGTGACCACCAGATGTGGATCTCTATTGGCGATGGGCATGCCATAGTGGGCCACTTGGGATCAGTACAGAACATCATCTGCAGATGCTCTCCGACTGGTCTAGTTTGGAGAACATGAAGGTTGCATGTTTTACAAGTATCACAAACTCACCATACTTTGTCTTGGCACTCTAAGCCCAGGACGGTCACACCGAGCACCTCCAGCAGCTCCACAGATGTACCCTTGAGGATAGTCCATGGCCCAGCCACATGATCAGAGAAGGACTTGTGAATGACCGGGCAAAGGAGTTTGGATTGGACTTTGAAGAAGGTCTGTCGGCTTGGGAGACCAAGGTTCAGTAGGGACGGAAACAATGAGGAGGTAGAGAAGAGGCCTCCGCAGAGCAAAATTGCCGCTGACACCAGCCTATTGCCAAGGGCCACTCGTGCCCGCCCGTGGCCTGCCAATGGCTGAGAATGCCATTCTCGCAGGTGGCAGTAACTGTCAGAAGGGACCCTCGCTCTGTTTTCTTGGTGGTTGTTGGCATGTGGCAGATCTTGCAAGAGCATTGTGACGCCTCATCCAGCTAGCTGCTCCAAACAATATACTTTCGGTCGCCTAAAGAATCAGGCTATCGCTCATCGTCACTGATTTCATCATCATCACTGGAGTCTGACTTCGTCAAAAACACACCATCACCATCATCGGCAGCAGCACCTGCAACAAAGAATGGCTCATTCTCACTGCCATCACTGTCTTTATACTGTATGCAGCTGGCGCTTGTGACTGGGCCGCAAGTCTCAGCGGCAGCAGAAGGGCCACGCAGTCGAAAGTCAGGATCACCTAGCACCAACACATTTTTTGAACTGCGGAAACATCTACTCTCCTTCTCATTTCGATCCTTCAGCTGATTCTGGCTTCCCAGCAGGTTCTGGCTGGGAATAGACCAAGAAGACAGCTTTCTCTTTGACCGGTTCCTGCCCTTCGACATGTCTCCTGGGACGTGTTAACCAGAAATTCAAACATGGCATTATTGTGTTGGTTCGCTTGTTGTCCAACTTCGTCAAATTCCGTACTAGTACCTGACTCCGTAAATCTCCGCCTGAGGTCGCCACCAGGCTGAATATCTTCTTTTGTGAAATGAGCAGAGCACACGGTGTGACACTTGGTTGGAGTAAATTCTTGCCTGCGGATTCACGCCACGCAATATTTCAGCAAACTTGGCTCGTCGGGAATGTCTGCTTTAGCTCCCCGCATTCCGGCTTGCTCTTGTCGCCGTCGCATCCCGGGACTCAGCAACGAGGCACGGTAGAAATGGTATACATGTCGTAGCAACTCTTCTCATCTTCCGACTCGGCAAACTACATGTAACAAGTTGTTGTATCTGTACTTGCGACTGAATGATCGTTCCACCCTGTGTAGAGCACGCTCCTTTGTTGACAGTGCTAGCTGATGCGTTGCCAGTCATCACCGCCACAGACGACATCGTGGCTTCCACCGAACGGGCGTAAATCAGCAGGTCAGACAACGTTCTACTATTTTCCAGGACGGCTTACTCACGGACCTTGGTCAACGTACTATGCTGACCGACATCAGACTACAGCTCCGCGTCGAAGTCAGAGACCTCACAGCGTTTGGCCAGTCGCCAGAGACGAGTCATGTAACTGTCCAGAGTCTCCGACTGGGATTGCTTTTCTCTGCGAAAACAAATACATCGCGTACTCGATGTTTCGTGTTGGAAGAAAATACGCCGTCAGTGCGTCCTTCAACTCTTTGTAGCTGGTGATCTGACTGCTAGCAAACATGAGGTACAGAGGTAGACATCGAATACGTCCTCACCACCACAGTGCATAACCGGGCTCTCTGCCACTCATCCTCAGTGACTTGAGCTGCGATCGAATAATTGTCGATCGAGCGATCCATTCTTCCCAACACGGGCCAACAGACTCGGGCAATTCCAAACGAAATTGGTTCATAGATTTCACTGCATCCGCCCTAGCAGCGGAAATCAAGAAGCTTCGTCGCCTAAATATTGTAGTTTATACAATACTCAGTCAGAACACGGAACACGAAAGGTTGACGTGCTTTCAAAAGGATTGCAGAAGAGGAGCGAAGCAGTCAACAAAAGAACAACGATACATGAAAGTCACAGCAGGCATGCTCTGTGTGGCAAGTCAATAAATGATGACTCGCGAGTAAAGATGCCACACAAGTAATTCCGAATAAGATTTGCAAAAGAACCCAAGCAGCAGGCTTTTCTCTGACCAATTTTCTCGCTTCACCGAGCTAAGCAGAATATGTGTCATCACTTGTGGTCACCGTGGAAACGAAAATCAGAATATCTGCGATTTGGCAAGTTTAGCTTATCGTACGCAGACGTATAATCGGGAAATAACGATATTTTCGGCAATGTAGAAGCTGAATCCGAGTGGCGTATCGGTGCACACTGTATCTAGTGGCAGTGAGAGTACTGGAGATCGACAATTTTGGATGACCTGCAATTTATACGGTAAAACGAAATTTAGCAAAATGGAGGGCCAAACTAGCATTATGGATATAGGAATCCTGGTATGCCACCTGCATCCAACTTGACTTTCCTCTATCCGAATCAATGCTATCCGAATCAATGCTATCCCTTTAATAGTAAGGAAGAATTGCATTGAATGCTGTAAAACAGCTAAAAACTACTGTAGAACGGCGGATTTTATCAGGTAAAACTTTTAGCGTTCTCCGAATCTGGACCAATTTGCGATGAAATATTTTAGCGACCCGTGCTTCGGAGTTTAAAAAGAAGGATGATTTTAATAGTATTGTACCGTACAGGCAAAATTTCGATTGGCGTGGCACGATTATAGCGAAAACACTCCTTTCGCTAAAATCGCTAAAATATCACTGTCGCTTACTTGAAATAATTAATTAGCCGTTTTACAGTAGCTGTTCTAATGATATGAAATGAATGTCTCAGTAGCCCGTTATCGCACGTACTGACCGCTTATTATCTTGTTACATTCGTGGATAGTTGCTTCATAACTCGTTTCCATGTGTTTTCTTCTTCTATTTTAGAATAAAGATGTATGTGTCAATACCTTGACAACAATCCCGAGTGGTAATTCTCCACCTTTTTAGTACTGATGTTGACCAGTGGTGTACATGTCATTTCAACCCTAGATGCTACTGAATGTGTGAAGAATGGTCAGAATGTGTCGGTCGGTGAGACACGCCGCTTTTTATCCTCCTGGTCCAGCTGGCCAGCAATGGACGTCGTGTTTCTTGTTGGCCAGTCTCAATCACTATCCAATCACTACGAATGGCTTTCCCGTCTGCCAGCCACCATGAGTGAATGGCTTCGGAACACCACTGCCAATGAACTCTCCCTCGGCTTGCTTGAAACACTGGATCGCTTTTCCTTGTTTGCTTTTGGTGCGAGTAAACCGAACTTTCCTTTTGGTCAATGGGTACTAATGCCTTCAGCCAGAACGTGGGGCACAAACAGGGAATTTCGTTCTGCTGTTCGTTTGTTGAAAGGTGGACATTCGTATCAGGATGGCTTCCACGCACTGCGCATGGCACTACAGAGTGCGGAACTGCGCGGCGATGCAGTGTGTCATATTGTTTTTGTCGCTGATCAACCGCGCCAGCAACTCCAGCCTCCGGTGTCTGGACGGCAGCTTTCCGAGAGCGTGACGCGCTCTGGATGCTCGCTTCACGTCCTTGGAGACGGACTAGATGGAATGTTACCTGGAGAGCGTGACCCGGCGGCTGTGCTTGGCATCACGGCCGGTCAAGCGCTGTACCGACGTACCAGTAGTGGCAGGAACCACTTTGACATTGTGCAAAGCGATGCCAAGCCGCATCGGCCACCAGGCTATGCCAGCCTTGCGCTGGGCACGGCCAGTGGGTCCGTATGGAATCTAAACCATCCCGGCAATGCGGACCAGCTGGCAGCCGCACTGGCATCTCACCTCACTTCTGTGACCATAGCTCGGCTGTGTGAACGCTGTACGTGTCAGGTTTCGGGCAAGATGGCTTGCACGCCGTGCACTACTGGAAACTGATCAAGCTTGGCATATTATGCCAATGGAAACTGATCAAGCTTGGCTTATACCAATGGAAACTGATCAAGCTTGGCAAATATCAAAGGAAACTGATCAAGGTTGGCATATACCAATGGAAAGCTTGGCATGTACTGCCTGTAGTTGTAGTCTTTCTCGGAAACTTCAATATCCCACTTTGCAGGATTATTCGGTTGAAAGCTGATGACGTGCCAGTTGCCTTCACCGTATATAATGCCAGTAGTCCATTGCAGCTTGCTATTTCACTCTTTGCTATTTTTTGGTTACATAACAGTAGATATCTTATTGGACTCAACTGATTTCTATATGCTGTCTGCCTGCCTTTGTTGTATGAACTTTAGGAAAGCCTCTCCGGCATGTTTAATTAAGCTCGCATATTTTAAAGGCACAATTATAGATCTACAGTAGCCGCTTTGATTTTCTCATTGAAGTCAAGCAGCCAATGATTAACGCCGTATGCGAGAACACCTTGCTCTCCCACTAAAGTTGCTGCTGCTTTGCGCATGCATGCTGGCGATGAATTGGAGCAGTACTAACACAGTCCCCGTTACGAACTCCGGGGTAGCAGACACAGCGCTGATGTGCATATGCACAGCACTATGTAGCACAGATCATTCTGCCGGCCCAGACAATCGGAGCATCTTAAAACTGACTTGAGCAAATCATAGCCCCTCGCACAACTGCATGGTTCATGGTAATCTTATTGTAGCAATTACAGTAAAACCTGTAATGGCGACCACTCGGATACGGCAACCACTTGACCATGGCGACCACTTTTCCTTGTCACGGACGCATTCACATTCAAAACAGCTCGGATAAGGAACGCGACCGACGGCCACCCACCCGCGACCGCGTTGCGCAGTGCTAGTACGTACATGTAAATGTAGGCATTGCATGGTGCACCATGCATGGTAGATCTACACATCAGTGCAGGAAGTGTAGTAGACACTGTAGATATGCATGGTGCATAATTATGCACGACACTTGACAGGTCTGAGGGCCCCAGGCACAGGAGTCGTGCAAGAGTAGGATAGGCGTGTGCACAGTCTAGTCTGTGATACACTGATAGGTGTGTGCACAGTCTGTGATACACTGATCAAAATGATGTACTAGTACTGGTGGTATCACATTGGATATGGTCACGTGACCCACTGAACCTGGATAAGAAGACCACCTGGCCACGGCAACCACTTTTTCTCGTCCCTTGAGGGTTCGCCCTAGACAGGTTTCACTGCACTAGTACTTGCAGTCAAGTAATTGCTACATATTGCAGCATGCCGTGCATGGTCAATATGTAGCAATTGTTTATGGATGTCAATTTAATGTACAGTGAAACTTGTCGACATGTATGCATTCATGGCAGATTGGATTATGCATACATGTGCATGACTGTACTTGTTGTTGGCTTGACGACAGCATGAAACAAGGCGGAGAACACTGTGTTCGGAAACAGTGACCTTACTACAACCATCCACGGTTGGCAGAGCCCCGGTCCGTTGGACCGTGGATGGTTGTAGTAAGGTCACTGTTTCCGAACACGGTGTCCTCCACCTTGTTTCATGCTGTCAAACTAACAACATGTGTGAACTATCTCTTTGTCTGTCAAATCCTCTATATATAGGATTTTCCCAATTTTTGGGAAAGAGTGGATCATACCTTACAAAGTAAAGTTCTTTCTTCAAAACCTTGTTGGAGTCTGCATTCCGTGTTTATCAGAGATGATGCCTGCCAAGTTTCACCAGCACAAGGGCTTTACTTTTTTTGTAACAGGCCTTCCCGTGCAAGAGTGTCCAGAATTTTCAAAATCCTATGTATAGGATTTGGCCTCACAAATTGGTTTTGTTCAGGGAGTCGGTATTTTACGACTCCCTGGTTTTGTTCTTCCCAGTTTCCCCTGCCAATAAAAACCATAGTTGGCAATATCCAAGCCTAGATATAGCCCATATGGAGCTAATAAAAACATTCTATGCATCTATGGCTAAAGAAGAAGCACCTCCTGGGCTAGTACGATTAATATGTGTACATACTTGAACACAACTGATTTAGTAAATGCCCCAAACATGTAGTGTCTTTAGTTCATATTGATCTGCGAGCACTTTACAACACTACTTCAATGCTAGGATGGTGCTAATATTCATCTATTCCACTCCTTGTCTATTTCTACCACTTGTAATTGCAATTCATCAGCAATAATTGCACACAGATACCTTTCCTGGTGGTCTTAGCCAGTGAGTAACCTCTATTCATTCATCTTAAATAAGGAGAGGCATTGTGGGAAAGATCAAAATGCATCTTCAATAACATTGCTTCACACATCGACCATTTTCGAGGCGGCAAATGCGTCTTGAAGTCTAATCCTATATATGGGATTAACTGGTGACAGACAAAGAGATAACAAGGTTTATCTAATACTGTACTATAAACTAGTATTGGGTTATAATGATTGTACAGTACTTCCATCATGTACTCATATTGAACATATACTTATGTGTGCAGCATAGAATACTCTCGTGCAGGAAAAGCACACCTCACTAAAGTGCATTCTGCATGCACTGTCACTGCAGTTGGCTGCATGCACTTGCTTCAGAGTGCACTTCAACCGGGTTGAACCCTGTTGCAGTCAAGTGTAATAATACTGATAGTTTGGTTTTTTCATTTCTATTTATTTACTTGTACTATCAAGAGTATAGTAGCACATAAACCGCATTAGTAAATATTAGAAATCTGTTTCGACTTCCTGACGGAAAATCAGTTAACCTGGGACAAAGAGAAACAATGAAGCAATTGGAGACGGCTCATGTCAAGCCAGGTTCCGTGTGTGCCCCGTATACGCGTAATCATGCTGCATTTTCTTCTCTCTTTTTTCCTTCTCACAATACAATACATGCACTGGAGCTGAACGCACAGCGGCCAGATGTCCAGATCGAGTGGAGGTGAGGGGGCCGATACGCTCCAATAGTAAAATAGTAAGACAGAATATAATCTCTTTAAAAGCAAATCTACTAACCAACACCGCCGGAAATGGCACGAAAAATTAAATAAACTAAAGCCTCAATAATTGTCTGGTTGGGGGAAAGCAATTACTTTACTTCTGGTGTGCCTGCCAGTTCCATGTTAGCTTCCTTATATACTTTGTAGCATGCCCGGCAGCAGAAGATGTGATCGAGACGGGGAAGGAACGGCTTACCAACGAGCGACTTCTTACACGTGTGGCAAGTGAAGCATTCATCGTTTCCGTGCCACGTCATGTCCTTGTGCGTCAGGTGGGACTCGTCGGCGGCAATGGCCTTATTACACGTGTTGCACTTTTTGCCGAACTCCTTGTCGAAGCAGCCCAGGCAGAACGGATGGCCCTCCCGCGAGATGTAGCGCTTTCCGCCGAGCAGCTCGTCGCAGCGCCAGCAGCAGAAATGCACAATATGCCAGTCTGCGTCCTCGGCGTGTGTGTACTCGCCGGTGAAGATCAGCTCATCGCACGCCTTGCAGCGCGGCTTTACCAACTCGGCGTGGTGACGTCCACAGTACACGTGATCGTCTTTGTGGAAATAGATTAAATCCACGAGCAGCTCCTTGCACTTAAAGCAGACGAAGCACTTTGCGTGCCAGCATCGCTCGCCACCGGTCTTATCGGTGAATATGGCTGTTTCTCCCTTTTTCAGAGTATCTGTGCATTCCTGGCAGTCCCACACTTCCTCCACACTTTTGTGCTCATCAGTCATGTCACGCTTTTGGCCGATTGTGTACATAAGTCCCTGACCAAGGGCATGCTCTTGCCTGTGCTGTCTAAACTCCTCCATCTCCTGCTTCTCCTCAGTTGTCATGAGTGTCTTACATGCCTTGCCATCGATATCGTGAGCAGGCAGCTGCATCAGAAGCTGTTTCTGGCGGTATGTCGCTCCCTCCTCCTTCTCCTCTTCTGGAATGTTCTCCATGAATTTCGCGACCAAGTTTTTCGTTGTTCCAGTTTTGATCTTCTTCAGTTGTTCGCAGTTGCTGACCTGCGCTGAGGAGCCTTTTCGTGAGCCATCAAGGGTCGAAAGGACCTGTGTGCCGCTGGTTGACTTGGACACATTATCGACTTGAGTGCTTCCCGACATTTCATCGTAGTTATCCACCTTGAACAAGCCGTTGAGTGTGAGCCGCGTTGCCTCCTCCATGTTGTCCAGGGTTTTCGCACTCATGTGCTCACTCTCCGGGCAACGGCAGTACTGACATACTTTCCGCCAGAAATGCAACTGGAATCCGGGGCAAATGTGCGGCCCGCAGGTCTTGCATGGCTCTCCTTTCTCATCCGGATCCCGAGTCCGCCCTGTTCTGAATTCAGTTCCTTTCACAATCTCGTGGTTGGACGTTTTAGGGTTTGCGCGTGGCATGCCACGCCGGACCGACATTTTTGCTGTCACTCCCAGAGGAGGAAGCCACGAAAAGACAAGAGAAATGAACACAACCAACCATGTAGACTCTACACTACATTACATACAGCGACTCGGCTCGAGCTCCAAGTCACAAGTGCAAGAGCTCGGGTACCGGGTCAGGATCTCGATCTACCTTATCACGTCGTTGTACAACTACCGCGGTCTACGCAACGTCATCGTGGTCACTTCACGTCAATGCGCGGCCTGGTGGTAGATCTACCGCACAGATCATGCAGATTCTACCCGGTAGACCAGTACTGGCAGTAGACTCTACCCGCGCGTGCAGACTGCAGAACAACAGTACACATGGTAGATCTACACAAGTCATGTACACATTACATGGCACGTACATATGCAGCTACATAAAACATGACTTGTGAGTTGTGTAGATAGCTGTACATATATGGGGGTATCGTCCAAATATAGCAGGACTTGACCACAAAAACTGTCACTGTCAGTACGTCCGCCCCAATGACGTGTGAAGGGGAAGAGCTACCTGAATGTTCTTCCCATCCTCTTTTTCTTGTTGTTGCGAGCCAGAGTCAGGTGCCGGTATTTGTGCCAAACACATGTTGAATACGGTGTTGAACCGACGCATGCATGCGATATGCACGCACTTCTCTGTATTTTCATTTTCACATTTCACATTCGTTGAGGGTTTTTTTGCACTTGTTACTTCTGTTCGATCGAGTCCATGCGCATTATGCATCATGTGCCAGTTAAGTGGTTTTATCACGAAATTCACCTTGGACTGCACTGTTGGAGTGTTTTTAGTACATTGTACTCCCTGCCTGGCCTGAAGCAAACCCGAGCTACTGCATTTCGTAGTACAGTACTATACATGTACAGTGTACTACTACTACGAATTATTAGCGGGGTGTCGTGGGAAGCGACACAATCAGCGACACAATCATGTACCAATTAACACAGTGTGTATGCGTAGGTGGTGCATCATCAACGGTGTTTTACGGTATCAATATGATACGAGTACAAATTATGTTACCAAAGGCTTTGGAATCCTATCAAGCTGCAAGGGCTCTTTCCTGCCTACTGTATGTACCAAGAGTAGATAAACAGTTTATCTACTCTTGTATGTACTGAGTCTGAAGAACGAATGAAAAAGGAGACTGGATGAGGAAGAGAGGAAAGAAAAGGTGGAGGACACGCTTTAGCTGGCATGATAGTGTTGTTGAAAGCACGAGAAAGCCTCTCGAGTCTTGTGATGCTATCTATGGTTATGTTCCGTGTCGCCATGCATGCGACGTGATTGATCACGATCGGATCCATCGGCCGGATCGGGTCCTTGACCTGCTGACCCCAAATGCGGCCCATATATGTATTACCTGCGTGCACACGTACGTGCGTGTTTATTTGGCATTTCAGGATGTCCATGCTCCAGGAAATAATTACACGGGTGCAACAAATTTCGCGATTTCCTGCGTTTTTTGTTTTCTGCACTAATATTTCACACTTTATGCACTTTTCACGCAGTGCTTTCCATAATCCTGCAGGTTATTTGCATGGTGCAGTACGTCTCGCACTACTCCCAAGCTAGCGAGTAGATACTGCGCAAATAACGATTCTAGCGATGCAGCAAATTTCGTAATTTGGCCGAAATCCGCAATTTTCTGCAAACAATTCCGCGAATTCCTGGCAAGTTCCGTATCTTTCCGCACTTTTCGCTGTTTTTTGCCGCAATTTCTCACGCAAGTTTTCGAGAACTTTTCCGCAAATTCCCGCAGGGACAGGAAAGAGACCATTGGCGCACTGCATTGATGAAATAGTGTAGACTGCACAGGTTGGCGGGGAAACTTGCACACGCGAAAAAAAGTCCAAAATCGAAGCATTCTTGCAGTACTCAAGCTGAAGCTGCCCGGTTGAAAGACGTGGCCATATGAGGCGACCGGAAAAGACTCTCGTGGCCAGTCTCAAAACTCGCCACCTTGCTTCCCATCGAAAACACAGCGAGAAGACAGCAAATCTCTCTAAACACCACTGTAGCAACAAGTTAGTTCTGAAAAGAGACGTTTGTAACAATGAGTTCCACAACATAATCGGCAACTAGTGTTATCAATAATTATTTCTTTTTTTAATCTTTTTCTTAAATCAGCCCTATACACATGTCATGTGTTTGTAAAATATAAAATCAGTAGAAATATGGTGTATACAGCAGCAGATGTGGAGAATAAATTAAAATATTTCTTTGAATGGGAGCAGAGTGAGCCGGGTGAAAATTGAAAACTAAAAGAACAGAATTCCGAAGACTAGGCAGGGGAAGCAGGGGAGCTGGTCAACATCTTGCTAATAGTAAAGCTATTCCTCCTGTACGTACTTGAGGTCCAGAGCAATGCTTGGTTCTAGACATACCTTGGCTCGCCGTGAGCACCAGTAACCCTCTCCATAGACTAATAGCATCGCCGAAGTCGCATTAACCTCTTCTTCATAGACTAGTAGGTCTAAAAACAATCACTAGGGAGCAGTGCAGGAAGCCTACCTACAAACAAGACAGAGTTCCGTATACCGAGAGATGTCTAAAACCAGCAACATCTGAATAGATTACCAAAAAATATTACAAGCAGAAGCTGCAGCATGAAAAAGCAACATGGGAGGAGAGCTTTGCTTCGAGAGGCACACACACACACACACACACACACACATACAGTTCCAGGCCCGTTGCTCAGTCACCAGCCAACGAATGCACGCTAACTGAGTAAGCATGACGATTGTTCCTGCAACGTAAACACAACAACAAACACAACGAAAGGTTTTGACCATGCGTAGGGGTGAAACGAGTATCTATTTTGACCAACCGATCACTCGTTCATAATATTCGATCGAGTATCCGATTATTTCGAGTATTTTATCAAAATTCAAAAGCGCTAGATTTGCAAGTTCTCGACCAATTCGGAAGAAATTATCTGTGAACATAGAACAAAAGTCGCCAACGTCTTGTGGAGAGTGTGAAGTAACGATTTTCATCAGTACTTTCATATCTCAGAACGTTACTTGCCGTGGTGATCGCATCGTCCAAGTCTTAAAATACTGATTCAAAACCATGCATAACGCATCATGCATACCAGTGGACCAGCGGTACAACAAGTTTTAAAAAAATACAATGCCAATCCTAAAAAAAAAAAAAAAAACCGATCGAGTGCAAAATTTCGAGTACTCGCTCGTTTGAAATTTTCGAACGAATACTCGAATATTCGAACTAATCATTTCACCCCTAACCATGAGCTCACATGTTAGCTTCAAGTAGAGCCTCAGCCTTGACAATGCCTTCTTGTCAAGTTCTTGACCATAAGTTATCCTGCCTCATTGCATCCAACCGGGGTGAACCAGTTGCCTTGGTTAATGCCAATAATGGTCGATAAATAACCCCAAAAAAGTTTAAATAAAAACTACCCACACATGTAATTCCAGCGGTGAAAGCAATTGAACAAATATTACCTTGGCATGCCAATCATGCCCGTGCCTTCACCAATGCTTGTTCTACTGTAAAACATGTAATTTTAGGTGCATTACAATTTCGGTGCCAGAGACCTGCCAGGTTTCAAGTGTAATTTAGAATTAGGTGACCAGCATTCCCTTCACATACAGTGCATACTCTTAGTGCCTTTTAGGTGTAATTTAAATTTAGGTGCCTGGTTTCTCTACCGAAATCGCCGAAATTAAAGTTACACCGAAAATTACGTGTTTTACAGTATTTCTACTAGTAGGACTCAGTTAGGCCCCGGTGTAATATGCCCGAAACTTTGCCGAAAATGCTTTTGGGAAATTCTCGTAAACCTTGCCGAAAATGCTCCCAAACCGTGCCGAAAATGCTCACTTTTTTGTCATCCTCAGCACATGCCGTCAAAACCAGGGAGTCAGAAAATACTCAGAGACTTGCTCGACTCTGCCATGGTAAACAATTCATAAACTACTCAACAAGAAGCTAACCCACGGAATGCGGAAGTGACGTTCTTGTTTGGGAAGTTTTTCTTCTCTCAATTTTGATACACACACAACGGCCAAGTGCTCCGTTTCGCCCAAAATGCTGCATCACGAGCCCAAAGTGCTGGGTTCGCGGATTGTACCGAAAATGCTCAAAAAATGCCGGCATATTACACGGGGGCCTAGACTCAGTAGCCCAGCAATCCTCTATATGTGGTCAGGTGCAATGCGTCTTCTCTATATATGGTCATAATAATATTATGGCGGCGCAGTTCACACCACCAAATATTCTCGCAAATCGAACAGTTCACACCAACACTGTGATGCAACATGATCTATGAGATCCTTTGTTTGACACTTTCCAACTCTAATACCCTGCACTTCTTCTTCCATCTTCAAACCACATTCTACGAACAGATCAAACTAAAATATAGCAGGGAATAATAGAAAAAAAATGTTGCTTCATTTTCACAAACTGCAAGTACAAGCTCAGACAACAAGAAAGAAAATCAGTCAAACTGAAAACAACAAGTGAAAAGGCCGCGCAGTTCATGGTGACCGGGTTAATACAAGGGAACCCTACGTAGCAGGGAGTAGTAAAATACCTATTTTACCTGGTATTTACGACTCCCTGCTACGTACGGATCCCTGGCTCTTAAGGTGGCTGGGGCGGTACAACTTTTTAGGGGTCATTTTGATAACATTTTGACTGCATTTTTGAGTTTATCGGCAAGGTGGAGATGAAATTTGAAAATGTTTTCTGGTGAATCTCTGGAGAAGAGCCTTCTCTAGCTTCCTATAGTTTTATTTTTACTTTTGGACAAAATTTGAAAAAGTTTTATGAAAGGTCCGTGAAAAAATAACACGAACCTTTCATAAAACTTTTTCAAATTTTGTCCAAAAGTAAAAATAAAACTATAGGAAGCTAGAGAAGGCTCTTCTCCAGAGATTCACCAGAAAACATTTTCAAATTTCATCTCTGCCTTGCCGATAAACTCAAAAATGCAGTCAAAAATTTCCCAAAAAAGTTGTACCGCCCCAGCCACCTCAGGGCCTGGTCAGACTGCGGCAAAATCGAAATAATCCTGGGATTATAATCCGAATCTCCAGTAACTTGCCGCCAGAGCGGCAAAAGCGAGAGTTGACGCTTCAAAAAAAAAAGCAAGAACGGACCACGCTTTTCCGCTCCAAACAGGATTTGACGCTGATACGCCATTGACGCTGATAATCACTGATTTTTTCATCTTGATATCGAGGAGCTAATTGGCCACGGACAACAACAAAACTCATAAGGATGGTTGCAAGGATTGCACTGAAGGTGTTGGCGATCCTCAAGGTGAAGGAATTTGACGTCGTTCGTGGAGATTACCACTTGACGCTCGAAATGAAGTTTGAATTTTCACTCTCCCCACATGTGTAGTGTGATCGCGATTCAAATTCTGGACGCTGTTCTTTTTTCGTCAGGCAACCAAAATTTGCCGCAGTCTGACCAGGCCCTTAAGCGGGATTCACAGAAGCTTTTTTGCGATGCGACACGCGATGCGACAGGCGTGAAACCGGGAAAACCCCAAATCGCAGCCATGTGGCACCCCACGCAACTGCCGCAACTGGGCCATCGCAGAAGTTGAGCTTGGCTCAACTTTTGCGATGCGATGCGACAAGCGATTTGGCGTACGATTTTGACTTTTTCTACAGCAAAGTTGTACAAAGGTTCAAGAGTTGTCTATAAATTTGTACAGGTTGTACCAAACCGCGCGAATATCATGGCGACGTACCCAAATCAGCAAGACTTTGTCGCATCGCTGACTTCTTCTGTGAATGGTATTTCGCGAGTTCGCATCGCATGCATCCATCGCAGATCGCGTCACATCGCGTGTCGGATCTCCCGCTTTACTGCAGCACCATTTGTGACCACCAGGGAGTAGTAATAATACTACTCCCTGGTGACCATGTACAGCAGTGCACCATGTCAGGTGTACACTGTGCAGAAATGTAGTGACCATATATAGGGCTGAAGTTGGTTGCTGTTAACGAGGAGCACACGCTTCTTGCCGAACTTGACGCTTGACTTCATGACTAAGTTATTACCGCCGAAGTCGCAACTTCTAAGTTCATATATAGGGCTGTGACCATATATAGAGCAGTGACCAGCATTTCGCTCCTGCAGCAGTTGAGCACTCTCATGTGGGGTAGCGCCTTTGCTGTAGAGATGCAGAGCTCATTGACTTGTCAGTTTGAGCACTCTGACAAGGTACGTTCGGGCCTGGTCTAAATCTGGCTTTGGAGATTTCATTTTTCATTGCTACAGTCAGACCTCGCTTATCCGGTCCTCGTTTATCCGGATCCCTCACCATCCGGAAGAAAATCGTTGGTTACCGATTTACAGCATATGCCATTCGCTTATCCGGATTTTTTCTGGAAAACGTTTTGTTTCGTAGTTTTACCATCCCCTGTTCCAACAGGGGATGGTAAAACTACGAAACAGAGACCCCGCTAGAAGGTGAACCCACCGCTCAGGGGGTCGGATTTCAGTTGCCAGCACTGTACATGTACTTCGAAGTACTACAGTAGTATCATTTCTCTGCTAACCGTTGAATGCCTTCAAAGTATCCAACTATGCACGTGTACTCCTATAATACTAGTAGTAGTAGGACACATTGGTTGTTCTCATGTTGGGATGCTCCTGGGTTTGACAAGAAAGGTAATATGGGTGACTTTTTGGGAAAGGATGTATTTCGGGCCTTAGCCACCTTGCAGCGGGATTCACAGAAGGATGTAGCGATGCAGCACACAGTGCAAACTCATGAAATAACATTCACAGAATAAGCCGGTGACATCATTTTTGAAGATCTTTTTTTCAAAAGTGCAACGCAGAGCTGTGCGAATCCTCGACATTCATGTGGCTTTATAGTAGGACTTTTACAAACCCACTAGCAACTCTTGAAGCAACGCGAAACTTTGGTTGCAAACAAGATCCGCATCACACTGCAAAGGTTGAGCCAAGCCCAACGTCTACAGTCAGCCAGTTGCGGTGGCTGAGTGAGCAGCGCAGAGGCGTGATTACAAACATTGTAGGTGTTCTTGGTTCTCCCCACAGCATACACATCGCGGAAATGCGTCTGTCAATCCCGCTTGGGAAATCAAAATGACTGCACACATCTGAAAACATCTTACATCGAACTGTAACTAAAATTAGGCAAGAACAAAAACGGAAGCAACCGCTTACCTTGGGCCGCTCCTGCTCCTCCAACGACGCGGCGATCGCACGGGCAAGTGCGGCATCCTCTTCACTGCAAGCATGCAAACAACACGAGTACGCAGGAGCACACAGTTAGAGCGGCATCGCAATATAGCACGTACTCACAGAGAAAACACAACTACAAGTCTCAGAGGCAAAGTCACAGAGGCATATGCCTAGAGAACCGTGATGCCTAGAGACATGCCCCCCCCCCCCCCCCCCTACCCCTAAATCACACCAAAGCCCAATGTACACTATTACTGTGGACAAGTGACGGAAGGCTATTAGCTGATTTTTTTACTTGTATTTTATTTTTTTATTTATGGATTCCCCAAAGGCCGAGGCCTAAGTTGAGGGGGTCTCCGTTCATGGCTTACTGGGAATATATCTGCAAAATGATAAGCACATGCTCAACAGTACACATAGGTTGCGGAACACAGGTAAACTCACCTCTGCACTGCTGGTGTCCCTGTACTGGCAGCCGCCGCAGCAGTCACTGGTGGGTCTGTCTGCCGCACTGACGGCTGTATCGATTCTTGTAGCGCACGGGCCAATGCCTCATCTTCACTCTACAAGCACAGAACAACGGAGAAAAAGAAATACGTGTACACCTAAAACACCACCGGTACTTACTGCAACAGAAGAAAGATGGCCACCGACGAGCACCCACCCATACTAACGATGAACTACATGCACTTCAACACGCAAAGCTACCTTAGTCTAGCACAGTTGCTTTGAAGACTGGCATCAGCAGCAGTAAGAGCAGTTTACACCACCGCTACAGTACAGCTACACCATACCAGCCATCACAGAAAAAAACATGGCACCGCGCAGCAGTTTGAAGAACTCCAATTATCAAAGCAACCTCCATCAGACACAGGTACGGAATGAAGTGCAGGAGCCAGATACCAGCAAATGCAGTCACTACAGTCAGGCAAACACGCACAGCGATAGGATGCACAAGCGCGCTAGTATAGCACATTGGATAGCAATACACATGCTAACACCAGTGAAACACTGTCACATTTGTCAATTTGGCAGCACGGGGTGAGAGAAATGTTACACACCTGCATGCAGACAAATGTCTGCAAGAAGCTGCCACAATGCTACCACACACTGACGCAGCACTAGTTCAGTCCAAGGTACGTGTACTACTGACTGGTTTGCTGGCACTCACACCGCAACCCCCGGCCAGCACTCACACCGCAACCCCCGGCCAGCACTCACACCGCAACCCCCGGCCAGCACTCACACCGCAACCCCCGGCCAGCACTCACACCGCAACCCCCGGCCAGCACTCACACCGCAACCCCCGGCCAGCACTCACACCGCAACCCCCGGCCAGCACTCACACCGAGACTGGCACTCACACCACAACCCCCGGCCAGCACTCACACCACAACCCCCGGCCAGCACTCACACTGCGACCATAGGCAGCACTCACACCGCGACCCGCGGCCAGCACTCACACCGCGACCATAGGCAGCACTCACACCGCGACCAGCACTCACACTGCGACCATAGGCAGCACTCACACCGCGACCAGCACTCACACCGCGACCAGCACTCACACCGCGACGAGCACTACTCTTACATTGCAGAGTTCAGCACGAACACTCTGAGCACATTATCTTACTACATGTGCTACTGGTTTGTGCCAGAGTTCACACCATGGCTGCCCCATCAGGTCTGTTTCTCTCACTGCAGCCATGTGCGACATACCACCAAGGCAAATCCACTTTCCTTCCGTCCAATCATTGGTAAAGAGAGTACTACAGTGGTCCCTCTATAATCCGGCACCATTTGTGCCACAGAAATTCTGCTGGATTAGGGAGGGTGCTGGAATAACAAATCGGATTTACTGCTGCAATATGCATGAAGAGGACATTTCGGCTAATGAAAATTGTGCTGGTTTATTGAGGGTGCTGGATTATAAAGTGCTGGATTATAAAGTGCTGGATTATAAAGTGCTGGATTAGAGAGGGACGACTGTAGTAGGCAAGCGCTAAAACATAACAAACGAGTTTCACGCACTGCAACTGACAATAGGTGGTGATGATGCACACAATCCCCCCCCCCCCCTCTCTCTCTCACTCACACACACACACACACACACACAAACGTGCACCCCCCCCCCCCCCCCAGCACTGGATGATAAGTTAGTTACCATTTGTAGAGCATTGGGTGCGCTGGCATACGACTGTGTGGCAGGAGCTTGAGCGCGCACGGTGGCCTGCGTCTGCCGCTCTCTTCTTGCCCTACGGTGCACAGAAAACGGAAAAATAACAGTGAGAAATGATGAGCTCCGTCACTTCCGTGGATTCTTTACTGCACCTACATATCTACGAGTACAAAGAAAAGGATAGACTCGGATGGAGAGGCAATGATTAATGCATAGAAAAGAAAAAGGACCAAGGAACTACAAGTACAGTCGTCCCTCTCTAATCCAGCACCCTCAATAAACCAGCACAATTTTCATTAGCCAAAATGTCCTCTTCATGCATATTGCAGCAGTAAATCCGATTTGTTATTCCAGCACCCTCCCTAATCCAGCAGAATTTCTGTGGCACAAATGGTGGCGGATTATAGAGGGACCACTGTAATTGGTAACTGGTGGTGTTAGTGGACAGTATAGCACAAATTGTAGTTCCTTGGTCCTTTTTCTTTACTACAAAGAAAATGTTTGACAAACTGCCTGAAGAGTGCTTGATGTGCAAGGCGCAGAGTTCTGTACATGTGAATGTCTCGGAGCAGGTAGCCTGATTGGGCTCGTCCCATCACTACTCACTACATCGCATGCTATTGCTCGACTTACGCCTCCAGCTGGCGCCCGGTCTCGTTCAGGTAGCTTTGCTGCGGCGCGCGACTGTCCGCCGTCTTCTGCGAGAGCCTGGGCTGGGTGCTGCCCCGCGACGAACTGCCCGAGGTCTTCGACCCTGTGTTAGTTGCAGCTCGCCTGAACAGCAGGGCATCAACAGTGTACACCAAAAGCAAGGCAGGGTTGGCCAAAGACAAGAAGACAACACGCCTGCAGGAGGCTTGGGAGCAGAGCGAAAACAAACGGAGAGAGAGAGAGAGAGAGAGAGAGAGACTAGGAGGTACCTTATTCATACAGGGGAGTTGGTAAGTGAAACATACATGTAGGTGACTTGGGTACTGACCGAGAAGCGGCATTGGCCAGCGTGCTTTGCTTGCCTTCGCACTTGTGATCCGGCGGGCCACGGTGGCGTAAGCAAAACTGATGAGCGCACTGATCACAACGAACCTGCACCATCTACAGGGAGAGTAGTAATAGACGGGAAGTGCAGAGAATGAAACAACAGCAAGTCCGTTTAGACTTAGACACTAGAGTATGCTGCCGTCTCTCCCGACGGATTTTCAACGAGATTGAAGGCAGCAAAGTTGGGTGAGTCAGTTCCTACCCCCCACAGTTCAGCACTAGAAACCAGTTGCAAACACATAGCAGTACTCACATAATTACAGTGGAAAACACAAGAAAGAAAACTGCATAGTTAGCTGCATGACTTGCATCACTTTAATACAGCAAATCAAAAACAACAATAAAATCGAAGCCAGCGCAAGCAGTAAATAGGAAGGGTAGTTAGTACTTGTAATGTGCTTACATCTACTCGCTTGCAGCCTTTCATATGGCATCGTTTTGACGGGTCCTGTTTCTGTACATGCAACCAAAATACAGAGAGAGAGAGAGAGAGAGAGAGAGAGAGAGAGAGAGAGAGAGAGAGAGAGAGAGAGAGAGAGAGAGAGAGAGAGAGAGAGAGAGAGAGAGAGAGAGAGGAGGGAGAGAGAGAGAGAGAAAAGAGAGAGAGACACACACACACGCACGCACGCACGCACGCACTCACATGTACACACACGCACGCGCACACACACATATACACACACATAAATCTTCAAATACATGTAATAAAGGCTACATAGAATTCTAGATTCTCCAATTCCCACAAATAATAGAAGAGTGAACAAAACCTCCTGAAAAGCACTAACACCACTGTTGTGGATATTGAAATCCGGTGAAATGATCGCGGCCGGCACCCTTACAGCCCTAGCGCGTACACGCACTGCAGTCACGGACACACTGCTAAACAACGTTAGACCAGCCGTGCTCACGGCTGCAAAGCCAGTGCCCGTGGCCGCTTCACTTCTCAACGGTTTTCAATGTCCACAACAGTACATGGCTGCGTGTGTATCTGCAAGTGTACTATCTGCAAGTGCAACTGCAAGTGTATCTGCAATTGCATCTGCAAGTGAAATTTCCAAGGCCCTACGCCAGTGCGTACTGTACGTACCGCTGTCCCCGTGTTGCTTGTCCCTGTGTTGCTACCCTGGCACTGATTGGCAATGTGCTCATTCATCTGCACAGCAAATAAACAGAACAAGCATTAGCAAAGCAGTACACGCCACAGCCCAATTTCAACTCAAGCTGCACTGTGTACACCATTCATACGTCAGCCAAGAGCTCTATATACCGTGCAATGCAGAAGTCAACTCAGCACGATGAGACATGATGGCACACAGTACATCCACTCAACATGAGAGGACAATTACACACAGTACATCCACTCCACACAGTACATCCCCTCCACACAGCACATCCACTCCACACAGTACATCCACTCCACACAGTACATCCACTCCACACAGCACATCCACTCCACACAGCACATCCACTCCACACAGTACATCCCCTCCACACAGTACATCCACTCCACACAGCACATCCACTCCACACAGTACATCCACTCCACACAGCACATCCACTCCACACAGTACATCCACTCCACACAGTACATCCACTCCACACAGTACATCCACTCCACACAGTACATCCACTCCACACAGTACATCCACTCCACACAGTACATCCACTCCACACAGTACATCCACTCCACACAGTACATCCACTCCACACAGTACATCCACTCCACACAGTACATCCACTCCACACAGTACATCCACTCCACACAGCACATCCACTCCACACAGTACATCCACTCCACACAGTACATCCACTCCACACAGTACATCCACTCCACACAGCACATCCACTCCACATGATAATACACACAGTACACCAGTGACGGTAAGTCAATCTCTCTCTCTCTCTCTCTCTCTCCCTCTCTCCCTCTCTCCCTCTCTCCCTCTCTCTCTCTCTCTCTCTCTCTCTCTCTCTCTCTCTCTCTCTCTCTCTCTCTCTCTCTCTCTCTCTCTCTCTCTCTCTCTCTCTCTCTCTCTCTCTCTCTCTCTCTCTCTCTGTCTCTCTCTCTGTCTCTCTCTCTGTCTCTCTCTCTCTCTCTCTCTCTCTCTCTCTGTCTCTGTCTCTCTCTCTCTCTCTCTCTCTCTCTCTCTCTCTCTCTCTCTCAATTCTAGGACACTTCGTTTGACTTATTGAAAAGCATGGCTTCGAACCAAGGTGCACGCCCAGAACTAAGCACGCGCACCGGCAATCGACTTACCTTGATGTTGGGATCCTCTCCTCTGGCTACTGGCACGAGGGCATTGCAGAGTGGGCAGGTTGGCACTCGCACATCCTGCAGGGTACACAGAAAGTCGCAACTGCCGTGTTTAGCCCACTGGCACTATTATCCAAATATCTACAATAGTACAATGTCATTCACATGCACGGCAATGTGGGAAACATGCCGACTGCATTAAGTCATAACCGGTAATGCAATACAGTGCAGCTGGCCTTATCCGTGTGTGAATGCAAACCTGATTTTCAAGATGCACTGTACTGGCGGCACATACGCCTGGTCTTAGTGTTGACATACTCGTACATAGGAATACCTGGATCGAAAAGAAGCCCAGCAATTTGTTGGTGCCGTTTTTCTTTGAAAAGGATGTATGACTCTAGAGGGGTCAGAAAACGTGCCCGGTAGACAGGAGTACCCGGATCTGGGACGTCCAGGTTAGGGGAGTTTTACTGCATGGACTTGCCACTCGAAGTTTTGCAAGAATTTTAGCGTAGAAAGCAGGCACAGCGTGCACCGATGCCGACATTTCTAGCAGGTGGTGCCGCCAAGGGACAAACACCCACCGCCACCCACACACCTAACACTACACCAGCACTGCCACTGCCACCACCACACAACAATGACATGCATACTGTGACGTTACTATCCACAAACCTTTTGATACGCTGATGGGCATTGATGCTGGTCATACGACCGGTGATCAAGGCTGTGCAAGAAGCAAATACAGATACCAAGTCTCAAGACGATGCTTCAGTGGGCAGCAGTTCCCCAACCCGACACTTCTCCTCAGCCGACGTCAATCCACGCACAGGCGATTTTCAATGCAACATGTGGCGCCTCACAAAATTGCTCAATCAGACAAAATTACTCAATCAGCCAATAGCAGCCACAGATGTGCACAATCTGGGAGGAAGATCAGCTTTGGGCATTATAACATTCTCCCACATTGTTCACAAGAAAAGTACGGGTCTCAAGTGTAAATTTACGATGATCATAGAAAACAAACAAGCAAGATATCTCTGCTGTGCATCCATTCATTCATTCATACTTTATTTGAAGGATTCTCCAAAAGTAAATGTACAGTAGAAACAGTCACAGGGGCACAGCATGTTAGCAGTAGTTCCTCTGTGCACTCACCAGAATACTTTGTTGCACATGTCACACGTGAATGGGAGGAAATCTATGGACAGATAATTAAAAAAAGCAAATGTAGGGCAAGATGCAGATCAGCCGCAGTAAATTTATGTGTGTGTGCGTGTATGCGTGTGCACTCTTGTGTGTGTGTGTGTGTGTGTGTGTGTGTGTGTGTGTGCACGTGTGTGTGTGTGTATGTGTGGGCGCTCTTGTGCCGGCGTGTGTGTGTATGTGTGTGGTGTGTGTGTATGTGTGTGGTGTGTGTGTGTGTGTGTGTGTGTGTGTGTGTGTGTGTGTGTGTGTGTGTGTGTGTGTGTGTGTGTGTGTGTGTGTGTGTGTGTGTGTGTGTGTGTGTGTGTGTGTGTGCGGATACAAAAATTCGACAAACCCACACGTACTACTGAAACGTAGTGCACATCACTTTGTTGTTATATTTCTCCCAGTATGACTCTTCGTCCTCGTTATTCTTTTTACTTGCTTCGCTCTTGTTTTCAACCTAACAAACTACTGGCTTCGTGGCCATGATCCGAACCTACAACACGTTAGACATTGCAACAAGTCAGTATGCTGAAGAAGAGCAAAGACGGAGGCAGCAGGGATCTCTAGTATGAGCTTCAGCAGAAGACGATGTTCGATCTCTTTGAGTCTTGAGAATACTTCTCACTTCAATTGTGCATTCAAACACGGATGCTTGTTGGTGCTTATTGGTCGCCGATACGACCTACCACTACTGCGCCGAGAAGAACATTATTATAATCTGCTGTACACCCAGCTCCTTACCTAGTTGATTACATTCTTCCCATGCGCAATTAGTGCCAAGGGAAGGAAGCTCCATTGTGATCTCAGACGGAACAGAATCTCTTGTGCAGCAGTTGAGACTTCGAAGAAAAAATGTACGGAAGAAATTCTCTCAAACTATACCAATAGCGATGGAACAAGAACTGACACGGCGACTGCCTAGCCTAGCGCCTGACGGTAGTATATCAGGAGATGTGTGTATGGCGGAGAACAAATACGAACACAAAAGAAATTGCTAGACGTGACGGTGTTTGCAGCAAGAGACAGCTACATGTAGCTCCCTGGAACTCTTCTTGTTCGATGTTCTTGTCTGCAGTGATTTTGAAAATGAATCAGTCTTTTTGAATTTTCTGGAAGCTTGCGTATGCAGAATTTTGGTATGATGTAATCGACTGTCTTTATAGTTTGTACAGTACATGTAGTGCACGTGCAGGTGACGTGAACATTCCGCATTTTTCGAATGATTGTATGCATGCATGCACCGCGTACCGCGATACCGCGTACCGTCTTCTGACTCTTTCATATTTTTTGTGCAGTTCGTGTTCAATGTCAAAAATAGTTCAAATCCCTTTCTATCTGATCCTTATGATCGTTGTTATATCCCCTCCTGATATTAACTTACTCTCTGGGGCTCCCTGGTAAACCAGGGGGTCATGGCAGGAACACTATTCGAAGATATCTTCGATATCAAGGATATCAACCCGGAGGGAAAGAAATTCGAACGAGGTAAGAAAATATTCTGATGTAAATGTTGAAAATTTTGAAAGTATTAGATTTGATAGCATGACACTGCCCTGTCTACCACTTTCAAAGCCTGGTTCCAGTACGTACTGAAATCTAGTATCTCTTCATGAATGTATGTGAACAATACAAGCCACCCTGCTCTCTCCAATTTGTTCAGAATACTTGTGTGTATACATCCATCTCTTGACATAGGTGTCCTTGCCATTTGAGCTATCCAACATACATGCACATGTACCAGTTATGAATGAAGCAGCATATGCACATGTACATAATATGCCATGCTCGTCATTGTGTATTGTATTGAATTTTTGATCGTCTTTCAGTAGAGTGAAGAGTAATGTTGTTTTGTAGTAACATTTAATATAGTGTGCGTGTTCAAGAGTACATAAACCAGAGCATGTAATCTCTGGATTGACCACACGACGGCATTTTGTTGTGTAGTTCATAATGCTACGTTGTATGCAACCCCACACTATTTCACATGGCTATATTGCCGTATGGCCACTTTAATATCCTTTGCGCACTGCTGCTGCTAACCGTACAACACTTGTCGATAGGTGGAATAATGCAAACGCAATGCCTGTCATCACCTAACAAGTGATGTAGTGTTTTAGTGAATCCATGGTGTGACCAAATACCACGTGTGCTTCATGATGACCTGAACAACAGACTTAGCTGTTGTGTATGCAATGTATGTCTGGTTTTATGTGGCCTAGGAGGTGCACACTATGCACTCCTGCTATGCCAGTGCCTATGATGGTTCCTAAAACAAGTCTGACATACAACTGCCCAATAATCCCATGCGTACCTATGGTAGAGCTATAGGTACATATAGGTCATTGTGAAGGAGAGTCGGCATGATCAATTCAGTCCCTGATTGTCACATCTACAGTCCATGCAGATAGTATAGTGCTGCTGGCTTTTGACAGCCTGATTTTGGCCGAATTTAGGCTCAAAACCCCACTTGAATTAAAAAATCTGGGTTTGGGATATGCTTCTCCATACATTTGGCCATGGTAGACATGTTCTAATGTCATAAAACCTGGCCGAATTTCTATCTCCCTATCCTTTGTCTTTTCCGGCCGCAAATGTGGCAATGAAGAATTGCATGGGTTACACAATGCAGCAGGATGTACAGTAACTGTTGTTTTCACTGTCTGCCGCTGTACGTACGAGACATCGAAAAGTTAGGCTGCCAGTTTTTTTTGATGAATGTACTGCGGCCAAATAATAACAGCAATGCAAAATATCGCCTTACGATGTATACTGTGTTACCAGAAATTCACTTGATCATACGAGTATGGTGCTATCAGCCCAACAGCAAGCCAGGATGATGTGGGTAGAGAATCGTCCTTCTTGTTTGGAGTATATGAGTGTGGGTACTGAATACTGATAAAGCACGTTTTGGATATGCTTGTTTTCTTGTCTTTTGCGTTCAGTTGACCGAATTCATTGCGAGTCTGAGTCCTTCAAGATGTCCCTGATCCTGGATGTGAACACATGGGTGCACCCCATGGCACTGGGTGACAAATTCCGCCTCTTGCTGTGCACCACGCTGCGCGAGGACGGCGCGCCCGACGAGGGTAATTACACGCCGCTCGACTCTGCGCCGTCGCGAGCCGACACGTTTGAGTACGTGTGCTACGGCAAGGTGTACCGGATCGACGCCGAAGAAGGGCCTGGCGACACGCTGTAAGTAATTCAGTGTCGGACATTCTCCATGCCCGAGTGTGCTGCCTTGAGGCTACTTGGTTTGCGGCTTCTGACCTCTGTAGCTGTCTGACTGTTAATATTTGAATAGTCGCCGCGGAGACAACATCTTTATTATAACAATAATCAGAATTAGCGAGGCGGACATTGTACGTAGCAATAACAAAACTGTGTTTATGTTGAGAGTATTTGCGTACATGCTATATAGGCAAGGTCGTAGTGGCATCTCATTGATATCGTCTATGTGAACTGTAGTTACACGAGGGTTTTTTTTTACTGATATGTGTGCTGTGATGTTTAATTTACTGAGTGCTGTGTGTCTGTGATTTTCATTCGACTTCTCCAGCTCGGCCTATGTCAGTTACGGTGGTCTTCTGATGCAGCTTAGAGGAGACGCTAACAACTTGTCAGCCTTTGAGAAGGACATGAACGTCTACCTGCTCATGAAGAAGCTTGCTTTCTAAGCGCGCTCAGATGAACGTTGTACAGATTTCTCTCGCTCTCGCTCTCGCTCTCTCTCTCTCTCTCTCTCGCTCTCGCTCTCTCTGCTTGTACATAATACTTATTCTCATCTCCCCTCATCCTTGAACCCTGTTTTCTTGCGTACTGCTTTGCACATAATCCCCGTTTGTAAATTATAATAGAGTGATCTGTTCGATGTTTTTTTCTTTTGACCCACATGAAATCTGTCTCGTCGTGTAATCGTTCTTCCTGAGGCTCTGCAGGGGCTACATTAAAAATCTGAATTTGATCAGGCTTCACTGCAGCTGTACTTATGGTTGAATATGGTGGTAAAGACACACCTGGCAATATGGCAGTATATGCACGCCTGCCCACACGCGCTCTCTATAAGTAGGCTGCAAAGTTCTGGCACAGAGCCCTCCTCGCCACCACCACCATCAGTTCGCGCCTGGCGCCTAGTCGATGCATGGATGCCGGTATCCGACATAGCAGGCTTCATTCTCCCGAGTCAAGCTCCTCTCTCTCTCTCTCTACTTGCTCTCTGCCGGTTAGTATCCTTCTCCTCAACTAACTGGGTGCCTGTAAACACACAATGCTCCACAGTAGGTGGATTGCTACGGATGTGCATGCAGGGAGAATTACTCATGTACTAGTAAATTGGCAGAAATGTCAGAAGTAGTGAAATACGGTATTTTACTACTCCTTGCTCCGAAGTATACCCACCACCATCATACTGGTACTCGACACATTCAGGGAACTGCTGCACCTTTGCCGAGATACATAGCAGATGTTCATTATTATGATGAACCTACAATGATTGCACGGTTCGCACCAAGCTGGCATTGTGGTGTATGCTGTTAATGGCACCACTACAATTGTTGTAGTGCAGATCACTATTAAATACTACTGCACAGACCAAAAAAAGGTTGTCACCGATGCGGCGCAAACAAAGGCCAGCAATGTGCATGCATGGTCGAGCCGAAGCTGCAGCAGGGATCATGAAAGCTATCTGAATGGCTGTAATTCGCCAGCAGTTCGGGGTTCTAGTGCATTGGGTAAGCGGAGAATGGCATAGACACACGAGAGCTGGTAAACACCAGTATTGGCTACCAAGACAAGACGATGCTGTGGGTTCGCTAATAAAAATATAGGAGAAACAAGACACCGGGTAACTACAACGTACAAACTATAGAGAAAAGAAATAAAGAAAGCACCGTACGCTGTACCGGCACAACTAACTGCCAGCTTCATACAAACAGCATGTGTGATGAGTATGGTGAATCCACCAGACTAGAAGGCATAAAAAAAGGAGAATATGCATGACACAGGTAGTAGGCATACTAATGGCAAGTAGCCATGTGTTCTCCAGACTCAAGAAAAGAGCAACACACAAACCAGCAGGCTGCATAACATGAAGGCCCTCGGGCAGACAGAACTGTATCTATGTTTGACAGGCATTGGCGGGTCTGTCCAGGCCGCGGGTCTTAGAAAACAATGCATAGCCCAGGAAAGCCATCTCTGCGTGCTCGCCGGAGTAAACACAACACTATCTTTGGAGAAATGCATCGCGTGGCTGAGGTCACAGACGTCACAGCAGCTGCACATCGGTCTGTGAAACATGTCAGCAGCACGGTATGCACCTAAGCATGCCCGCCGGCGGGTCCACAAATGGGCGCGGGGAACGCTGTCAGGACTTCGAGTGTATTTCCTACTCACCACCACACGCCTGAGGACAGTACGGGTTGGTCGAGCTTCGGCCTCAAGTTCACCAAGTCTACAGAAGCTTTGAGCGCGCATGTGCAGAGACTAAGAACGCTGAACAGATCTTGTGATAAGTGAGAAACAATTTCCTTCGCTTGTTTGGCATACTGATTGCTGTGAAATCGCAGCCGTCTTCTTGCGGCGGGCGGTCATCCTCGCCATATGTGGAGCGAGCTTTCCACTCCACCGCTGAGAAGCTGGTGCTGCTTCGTCCATAGCTTTTTTTCTACCTTCGTCACAACAGCCCGGAGACTCACCAGTTTGCAGTGACAGAGACTTCATTAACGTTTCCTAAACAAGACGAAGACAAACCCAAGAAAAAGAGAGACAGCAATGAAGTAACTGCATGGAGGTGGTGGTGGCGTACGTCTGTACCAGGGAGTAGTAATATTATTATACCATGTATTTTCACTACTCCCTGGTCTGTACTGTGGTCAAAGAAATCATTTCGGATCGGCACAAGAGTAGGGTAGGTTCTCTAGAGTGGACACAGTCACATGCGAACGCCCTGGGGATCTGGGTCTGTTCTGCATAGGAATGTGTTCTCATTACAGAATGCAGCACCACTTGATTTGGAACAGTCACGACCGAACTGATAGTGTTCTGAATGTGGAGGTGCCCAACTCAGGGAGGTCCCCGCTAAGGGAGGTCCCCGCTAAGGGAGGTCCCCGCTAAGGGAGGTCCCCGCTAAAGGAGGTGTCACTGTACAGTGACCCGAGTTACTCTGCCAAAACTACATGTACTGTCGTGGACATGGAAATCCGGTCCCACGTCTAGCGGCCCCAGGCGTTGGCCATGCAGCCGTGAGTACTCGTACGCATACCGTACACACATTCATGTATGCGCTGCAGCGCGCTGGTTGCATCGGATCAACATGTGCACTGCACGCAACGTAAGGTACGCACTGAGGGCGCCGGTCAATCGACTGGATTTCCATGTCCACGACAGTAGTACAGCAGTGAAATGTAATACTACCGTAAAATCCCGCCAGAGCGCCCTGTCTCTACCATCCGCCCCTCCCTGACTTCTTGTCAGGGACGTGATTGATTGTATCCTCGTATGACTCTGTCACAGTCTGTGATGCCGTACTGTACTGCAGACGCGTGCTCAACCCCGTCGGAAATGTACGCAACAGTGCCCACCCTCTTGACCAGGGATTGCACAAACCCTGAGTTTTGATGGGTCTGTACGACTCCTGGCTCTTGACCTTTGGCCGGTGTACGAGATGCACGAACAGTTTTCGTAGGGTGAGTGCTTTTTCATGTAGTACTGAATGCGGCTAGGACTCGCCCATCCGCCCCTCCCCACCTGAAGCGTCGAGGAGGTAGGGGCGCTCTGGCGGGATTTTACGGTAGTAGCCAATTGGCATGGTACAATTTATACTGGTTCTTTTACTGGATTGGATTTTCGGTCTTTGACCACTTTGTGGTGGGTCTGATCTGCTCACCTCCCACCGCTTACGAGCTGCATCTGCGCCTTGATCCAAGAGGGTGGTGGCGTTCCTGCGGATGCGCAAAACTCGGCCAAATCTTTGGCCGAGTCTCACGCGAACCGTGAATTTTGTTACTGGATTTTGGTAATTATTTTATCCCGCTTGGTTTTGACCGAAAAAAGTACAGCAGTGAAGCAAGTCCCTACAGCTGCTCGTCGTCAAGACGACGTGCTATCTCTTGCACAGTGCAGCATACCTTGGTCCAGGTGCTGGGAATGGAGAGCTGCTGTGGATGCTGGCCGGCGCTTGTGGGCCGCGGTTTCCGTAGAGTGGACGCCTGTCCCGGTCATAGTAGCGTGGATTGCCGGCGTTTCCACCGCCGCCTTCGCCGCCGCCGCCACTACGCTGATGGTGCACACGAGGCTGGACAGGTTTCTGCAAGTCACCGAGCGATTCTGGAAAAGACACGGACACACACACGCACACACATGAACAGTATCAAACATGTTGGAATGCACTATATTGCAACACAAACAAAACACACGGTATAATGCAGATCTCCCACAAAACACATCATCACATTCACAATATCTTCACTACCATGTACTTGAATGTGGCAGATCACTTTCCCCTACCTGTATAAGCCTCCTCCTCTTGCCGCTGTTCATACTCGAGGACATACTGCTTGAGCTCTCGTCTCTCTTTGCGATCACGCTGCACCGGCAGAGAGGTATAAAAACAACAGCAGAATAAATATTAAGAAAGACACCGGAAAAGGATCAACAAAAAGGATGTGTCCTGCTACCCTCTCCACCTTTACATGCACCGGACAAAGAACTTGTACAAGACTTGAGCAAAAGAAACTAATTCAACCTCATATCACACTATGTGAAGAAGAGGTTGGTGCGACTTCGGCGATAGTAGGGGAAGAGTGTGTTGCTCCCTACATGGGAGCTCGCGGTTTTCCTGCCGACTTTGATTCTCACTTGGACTTCTCTTGTGCTCTGGATGGCAGTCGTGAGTCAGTCAAGTGAGAATTCAAGTCGGCAGGAAAACCGCGAGCTCCCATGTAGGGAGCAACGCGCTCTTCCCCATGTCAAGCTATGCAGCAGAAAAGAGAAATCTCCACAAAAACCCAATGATGATGTTGTCAGGATGAGAGAAAGCAAAGGCCAGCGCTCAATCAGAGTACTATTACCAACTGGTGCAGGAAGGCCAGTCACTTACACACACACACACACACACACACAGTGGCGGATCTAGGGGAGGGCGCAGTGGGCGCGCGCCCTCCCCTCAAACAGTTCGATTCTTTTTTAGTGCATGCACATGGGCAGTTGCGCAAGTGTTTGCACATGCTGTGACAAGTAGTAGTAGTTTCTAGTGTCAGATAAGAAAGTTCTTCGGAACACGGATAGTTGTTCTCTTAGACTTTGGTTGACTTTTAGTTTTGAATCTAGTGTTCAGTTGACGAACTTGTATAGCTAAGTTGGTGAAGGGGATGGCGCACCGCCCGCCCAAGCGGCTAGGGAGCCAACAAACTCTCCACGGATTTTTCGCGAAGCGAACTTGCGCTTCGTCAGCTGCTCAGTCGAGCGATCCGTCTTTGGACTTGGAGGAGAATTCGGACCACCGCGAAGATCCTGAGATTGAGGTCTGCTCAGACTCTGATCTTCCCCAAATGGAATCCGAAGTAGATTCTGACGACGATGGTGGGACTGTCAGTAGTAGTGATGCGAGTCAGGAGCGTGTACCTGTTGAAACTATCGCAGACGACGACGTTGTGACCAGGGAGTAGTACAATACCCTGGTTGTGACTGTCACGAATGTGGCTGGTAGCACTGCTACGCAGCGAAGTTACTTGGATGCTGTTGATGCAGCTATTGGCGGTGCCACTCACAGCGATGCAGAAAAGCACAACATACTTGGGAACCGGAAGCCTGATAAGCAGACGGTGTTGCCATCTAGGGATTATCCCGACAGCCGCCGAAAGACCGGTACTTCCACTCGCTCGCTGCTACTGAAGTGGTTTGAGTGGCTTGCCTATTCCGGAAAGGCTGGCGAGGAAGGCGTTTTTTGTGCGCCGTGCGTCCCGTTCCCTACATTGCATCAACAAGGATCAACCCAAGGTGAATATCTCATCATTCATTCTTACTGCTGGACATGGCCATCCAAGTAATCGTATATTTTATCATTTTGCCATTGTTCTCGATCTCAGCATGTCTTGAGCTTTGAAGCACTATCTTTACACAATTCTATGTAGTACGGCTACGTTCTACTACAGCCAGAGTCCTCAATGAAGTGGTTGAAAAAGTGGGAGTGAGTGCATGTCCTAAAATAGTAATTCTACATAACCGCTAAGCCTATGACGTAAAATAGCCGCTATGTCGTAATGTGTACAAAATACAGGTACGGCATAGGTTCCCTGTCATGAATATTACCTGCGCCCTCCCATAGGTTCCCTGTCATGAATACTACCCGCGCCCTCCCCTCAGCTGAAATCTGGATCCGCCGCTGCACACACACACACACATCAAGCAGAGTTATGTCGTACACGTACCTCAACATCGGCCTGCCTGTGTTCACGCCAAACCGTTGCTATTTCCGAATTCTCGGAGACGTCCAGACCTCGTCGCTATGCAGGTCACCACGCAAACACAGATGTGGAAAATGAACAACATCAAGCAGTTGTGAGCAGCGCCAAAAAACATGCAAAAAAAAGAGAGCACAAAAATACAAAAATATAACGCAAAAACATGTGCAACAAAGACGCAGCGGTCTACACAAATAACAGCGACAAACACACAAAGAATGGCTTCACAGGTCACAAGAGCACAGGTACCAATGTCGGCAGCAGAGCACGCAGACTGGTGCACTGTTGTACAGCGTTTATTCCTGAGGTGCTTAGCACATGGTACAATCTAAAAAATCTACAGTGCTGCTCAATGAAATCCAATCGCGTCACCCAAGTACGTGCCGGGCGTTGCAGAGCCCAAGATCTGCAAACACTGGGCTGCGAAATGATGCAAGGCGCAAACTTAAGTGACGCGACTGCATTTCATACAGCAACAGTGCAGGTATCAGTGCCTGCTCTAGAGCCAGGTCAGCAGGGTGAGTGACCCGGTTGAGAGGGTGTGTGCACCTGGTTTACGGAAATCAGCCAGGCACACACTGACCTGGTTGGTATCGGGTTCGGTCGGTATGAATAAGCTTTTGTTCACAGAAAATAATCTAAATGAGAGTGGATAGTCAGGCTCAGAAGGTGGTAGGTAGTGCCAGGTATAGTTGAACCCGGCCGACCCACAGACCCTGGAGGACACACTAGGTATCACACCCTAAACGGGCAACAGGAGCTCACAAGATTCTGTAAGGACTTACCACTTGCTTGTTACCTCGCTTGAGGATCAAAGAAAACTTGAGCTTTCCATCAGATGAAGGCTCCTCTGAAGCAGCAGCAAAAACCAAGGAAGCAAATACAGTCGAATCTATGCTAAGCAGCTGCCACGATATATGCTTATGTAACGTTATATTGAAAGTAGCAACCTCAGCCATCCAAACCTGCTTCATATGGCAATACTACACATTTAGAAGTCTGTAGCTGGAGGACCTATGGAGATTGGTAAGGATCGACGGGAAAGCGACGGCGGCGTCCAATGTGAACACCAGGGACAGGAACGCAAGCGTACTACCGTACAGATCGGAAAGCGACGTGAAGAGTTGAATCGATCCAACTTTTCATACCGCAGACGAGCGTAGACGGGGACGCAAGCGTACAAAACGGCTACAATTCGAGTGTGAACAGGAGACAGGACTACTCCCGATTCGTACTCGAAATTTTTTAGCATTTCGAACACTACGCTTCCCATGATAACTCACAGAATGGCTAGCATAACTTGAGTAGAATTTTAGCAAGATAAGATCTCATGTCACTTATTGTATTTAGGGATAGTTCAGGACCGTGACAGACAAACTGTTCTATCATTTCCTGGGGCTATTATTTGAATGCCGCAACTTTCAGGGCTATTTTTTGGTCTTCATGGTGAACTGGTATTGTGAACTTGATTCCGCTTCACTCAAGGAGAAATACTTGAAAAGAAGTGCCGAAAAACAAGAAATTAGGTCCAAAAGTCACCTCGTCACGGACCGTGCCTTAGGATTTGTGCCGTTCGAAGTAGAACATCGCCACGACTGCTGCATGTTGTGTCGTACGAATCGTACAGGATTTTACAGCTCACCCTATCCGTCCCGACAGGCCCTTACCGTCAGCGTTGCGTCGAATGTGAACTAGGCTATATACTCAGGAAAATACAGGTGGAATCCTGATAATTCGAATATGGTTTAATTCGAACATACCGCTTAATTAGAAGTTTTTCCAGGACCGATTTCTATCAATACGAGTCCCACATAAAAATTTCTGATAATTAGAACCTCGAACTGGATATGTCCGGTTAATTCGAAGTCCCACAGATTCCACTTACATAGAAAATGTGTGGGATTTGTGCAGACAATTCGAAGTTAGCAAAGTGTAATTCGAAGTCCACTGTACATTGTACTGGTCAGTTCAGTTTGCATGAGCAGGCTGTCCCGGTCAGTTCAGTATCCGCGAAATCTGTGTCCAAGGTCCATAGCGCGACTCTGCGTGACCATGAGAGCATTTTGACATACATATTGTGTTGTGGGTTCATGCTTGGATAATTAGAATGTCCGGATAATTAGAAGTTTTTTCCTGGCATTTTGAGGTTCGAATTATCAGGATTCCACCTGTAGTTCGAAAAACGGTACTACTACAGTCCGTATCGCCTATAAGGTTGGCGGCTATAGTAATATACCGGATATAGTGATCAATTTCTCAAATTCATTTTCATTTGCCATAACTAAGTATACACAGTTATCGCGTATAGTAATAATCGCCTATTGTGATCAAATTCTTATTTCAAAAGACCTTTATTACATTATTTTTGCATCGGTTATAGTGATTGATGTAAAATCAAGCGATGTTAGAGGAGAACAGGGTGTTACTTCTTCGTGAAGAACTTGTCCAGTGAGTGTTGTTTGGTGAGTTTTGCTCGTACAAGTTGCCAAAATATGCCTCTATCGTGAGGAAAAGCTGATTTTCTGTGTCAGGAGCTACAGCCAGCTACATGACATTGTACATGTATGTAGTGCGTATGTGCACGGCGCGCTGAGTCGTTTGACACCCCACTCGCATACATTGCATGCAGTATCGGTCATTATATCGCTTATAGTGATAAAATGCTCAAAATCAAACACCAACGCTATAGGCGATACTGACTGTATTCTAGTTAAAGCTTTTACAGCAAACGTGTGAAGGTCAGAAATTCACAATGCAAAACTCACCTATCCGTGAATTGGCCACAGGCATAGGTAGATCAAAGACCGGAACCACGGGGGCGTCAGTGCGCCGCGTCTGCAGGGCACAGTAGGCAATAATCGAACATTGACAATTTGACATACAGTCAAACCAGACGAACACCAAGGGACCCATGGTATTTGTTCGCAATAACGAGAGTTCTTCCTATCCACATGCTATACTCAGTGACTATACAGTAATTTATCCAATAGGGTTTAATGAATATTTGTCCTTCTAAAGCGAAAGTTTGTCTTATCTTAAAGAAAAGCGCCAAGGAACTACAAGTTACGCTATACTGTCCACTAACACCACCAGTTACTTGACAGTCAGCTCATGCGATAACATTGCACAAAACTGACCGACAGTACTGACGTTCTACAACAAACACATAATTATATGTACATGCAGGTCACCAAGTAATATCGGAGACAACGGCAACGGATACATTATACCTGAGGAAGCCGCTATTAAGATAATTATATTTTGAAAAAGCAAATGAAGCTAAAAGAGCTGCTACACCCATACACTGCTGCATCATGGCATGGAGACGAGTCTTGACTCGATGCTGAACATCTACATGTATCAACCAGGACACATATTCGCAAGCATACCGCGACATTGTCGTTCATTAGCTTGTCAAAGTCGGCCAGGAAGTCGTCATCCTCCGGACAGTCAATCCTCTTGGGCCCGTTACGGAGCACCACTTCTTGTTCATCATCCTGACTCAACATGCCTTCTTCTTCCGTGCTCTGCAGGAAAATAGGAAAACATGGACAAAACAAAAACATTTTTTTCTCTTTTCAGGCAGTTCACTTCCCCAGCTGATCCTTTGAGTTTGAAGTTCTCCCACTCCTTTCAAAACAAAACAAAAACAAATACAGTGAAACCTGTCAAAGGCGACCGCTAAAGGAACCTTCAAAGTGGGGTCTCTGTTACCAGGTGGTCCCCCTATCCAGGGTCATTCGACTGGAAATGGCATCCTTGGTCCTGGTTGCAGTGGTCTTCTTGGACAGGTGGTCGGTCGCCTAATCCAGGTGGTCGCCTTATCCAGGTGGTTGCCTTATTCAGGTGGTCCGCTTATCCAGGTGGCTGCCTCATCCAGGTGGTTGCCTTATCCAGGTGGTCCCCTTATTCAGGTGGTCCCCTTATCCAGGTGGCTGCCTTATCCAGGTGGCTGCCTTATCCAGGTGGTCCCCTTATCCAGGTGGTTGCCTTGACAGGTTTTACTGTACTGGAACACCGGCATCAGCATTATCACAGGCTACTATAGTGCTAGGCTCAACATGACCAGCGACCACCCGTCCGCCATCACATTGCACCGTGTCTGTACACACCAGACTGCAGGCAGGAAGGGCACCGCCGGTGTAGGTACTTAGTAGTAGCATCACCACAGCTTAAGTCAGCGGTAGTGCTTGGTCCATCACCAAAGATGATATGCCAAACAATGTACATGTACAACTAGACTTGGGAGCACATTGCACACCAGTTGTGTATACTACAATGTGTACGTGAAGTGGATGTGGTCACGGGGCATACTTTACCAGGATAAGAGGACCACCTGGCCAAGGTGACCACTTTTTACCGGTCAGTTGAGCGGTCGGTTTAGACAGGTTTTACCGTACTTCACGGCCCAACAACATCAGGGTTGGCGCAGCAGGCAAGGCGGTGGCACACTTTGCAACGCACGCACGCACGCACACACGCACACACACACACACACACACACACACACACACACACACACCAATCGGAGCACACTGCTGAAGGCGACTGACTCACCCCCATATCATCACCATACTCTATCGTGCCCCGACGTGGACCAGTGGCGTCCTCGTTGTCAGAGTCAGAATCATCCTCGTAGCCGTCTTCAGCATCCTGCTGCCGCGACAGCAGACCAAAGCCAGACATCTCAGAGCTGACCACATCGTTACCGGCTTGATTGCCAGCCGACTTGTCCTTCTGTAGCAGCTTCACTGTAAGCAGGAACACCACGCACACACACACAACAAACAACACAGAGAAGCAGGAGCCAATGTGCTGTATTGAAGAGCAAATCTAAAGCAGGCTCGAGTCCTGGTGGTGATGATCAATTTTTTCTTCTTCGCACTTTCCCGTTTTCAACTCCCTCGCACTCATCAAAAATGAAAAACTACACAGCAAACACAGTCACACTAACCATAATACAGGTGTGAGCGGGCTAGGTAGAAGTGGTGACTTACGTACACAGAGTACTTTCCAGGTACTAGTACAGCCTTTTGAAGTGCAGACTGGGTGCTGGAGGGGAATCCCCTAGCTGTGCTGGGGCATGAAAGCCGAAAGTTGCACTGAACCATATACTAGTACTTTGAGCTGAACGGCGGCCGTGATCCAACTGTACTGTCCTTACATGACAGGACTCCTCTGATCACAGGGAGAACGCTAACATTATCAGCTACAGATTCTACGCGCTTGACAACCATTCTGCTCAGTGTACTTTATTTACACCAGCGAGTAGTATAGACCCGGAAGAGGACACGGCGCACAAAAGCTCGGACGATGTCTGCCTCACGACCTACGGGAAAATCCCTTGCGGGCTGAGTCAAAATATCGCGGGAAATTCGGAAGAAAGGCGCGCAAAGGTCAAGCATGCAGCTGCGCAGCATGAGGTTATTTCTTTCAGTTTCACATGTGCTCTTGCTTTCACTTCATGACGGCATTATGCACTTCTATTTCTTCTGATTCGTAGTATTTTACGGAGAAGGGAGAAGGTGGAGAGCCCGAACGTGCCGGTAGTCTACTATTGTACAACATTCTAGTATTTCTTTCACCCATGGCCACCATGGCGTGTTCAGACCATGAGATCAATGTGCTATGCCCCGATTCTGACGACGACGGCAGTGATGATAGTGATCTGTCAGTATTCGAACAGGTCCAGGAGCTCTCTGGGAGTTGCCAAGACGTTCAGACGTGGGCGAAAGGTGTGTAGCGATACAAACGAAAGAAAGAGCCGTCCGAAAACGTGACCTCTAATTTTGTTGTTTCCTTCTTTTCTATTTTAGAGCATAGTCAACGTGAAAACATACAGGCATATCGGCCAGGAGAAGCGTCGCTTCCTGGTTTGCTTTCAAGAGTGTTATCCGATCCATCACAAATCGCATTGCAAGCCTCCACGAGAACGTTTGTATGCCAGCTTGTAAGTGAAATAAACTCACTTTCCAAAAACAAGAAGTCAGTAGTGGAGTGTAGACGAGCACTGCACCAGCTGAAGCTGGGCAAGGTCGAGGCTGTTGCAGCGGAATGGTCCGGTGTCCTTCAGAAGCTAATTTGAGTCGAGCAGAGTGTACGTAAAAATGGTGAATTTCTTCTTGGACAGATCGTCGTTGTCATTATCATCTAGCACCTCTCAGTCAGTAGACAGCACTGTTCACTCCTCGGCTTCAGCGAAGCCAAATGACCATAAATCCGCAGATGAGCTGGCACGAACTGTCATTAGGTACCATGCTGGCTGGTGTGTTGTGGCAACCAGGAGAGCGCTGTCTGCTAGTGACACTGAAGTGCTAGACAAGCTCTCGGTGTTTGGCTCAGACAAGGTCAGTCCCCACAAGCCAAGCCTGCAAGCATTCACTGGCATCATGAATTGGTCTGGTGAGCTGGGAGTGGGAGACGACGCCTGCCATACATTTATTTTACGGGAGGAATGCATGCCGCTGTTCACCCGCATGCACAATGTCGCAGAGGAACGCTTCCCTCGTTTATTGAAAGAAAACCGGGAGAATGCAGCTGTGAGGCTGAAGCAAGAGTTACTCTCTGATTCTGCCATCTCTACGCTATTCGGCAGCATCATCAAGACTGGTACAACAGCGTCCTCAATTAAAGACATATACGACACAATGGCGACGAAATTTCTGCAAAGCAAGCAGAGCCGGCTTCTATCCGAGTACAGCCTGACGCCGGAGGGAAAATCCCTCTCGCTAAGGTCGGAGTTAAGGCAAAAACACATCAGCGGTCAAGCAAAAGCGTACCCGACGAGACGACGGTGTTATTAAAGGAATATATGAAAGAGAAACGATACAGTTCAGTGGCGGAATACATCATCGGTGCATGCAACGACACGAGAGGAAGGGAGGTACTTGGTGGGTTTACTGCTAAGGAGCTGACAGCCTTGTCATGCCACCTGAAGGTGCCAGTCTCCCAGAATGCAAGTAAACTGGCCATTTCGACAAACATTGCCAAGGCACTCGCTGGTCAAAGATCACATCAGTCAATGCCTACCGTGGGTAAGTTTGAGGACATTGAAGACCTAATTGCACACGTAAACGGTGCACATGTACGTATTTCTGATGGCTCAACACAACTTCAACCACAGTATAAATGCAACTGGGACAGCTGTACCCAAAGCATTTTTAAGAACCGAACAGCATTCAAAACTCATCTTAAACGGTACACTGGAACAGCAGAGGAGGCAAATCTATCAGTGCTACTTCAAGATCAAGCCCGTGCACTGACAACCCCGCCGGAGCAGATAAGATGGCACCGGTCAGTGTTGCGGTGGTGCTTGCGCCAGCATTCTCATTCCAAACATGGATACGAGACAATGAGAAGTGCTGGCTTCCTTAAGCTTCCATCTGGTCGTACCCTCATGCGGTATCGGAACTTTCAACAGCCTAATGCTGGGTGGAATGCGTCCACGTTAAGTGCCATGAGACACGTGTTCAACCACTTCACCGATTCAAAGAAAGGCCCGAAAGACAGGAGTCACATTGGTGCCCTATTTTTTGATGAAGTGAAAGTAAAAGAGGGATTGGTTTGGGATTGTAAAACCAACGAAATAATTGGATTTGTGGAGCTAGATAAGAATGAGGAGAATGAGGAGCTACTAGACCAGTTGGCTACACACATCTTGCAGTTCAGCTTCAAGTCACTGTTTTCCAAATTTACCCATCCATGTGCATACTTTCTCACAAGGAATATCACTTAGCTACACTGAGCTGTCCGTGTGCTGCGGGTTGGGCGTTAATCGGAAAGGCAGCAAACATCCTGCTAGTTATCAGCATGAGCACTATCCTTTGTGCAGAAGAGCAGATGACAACCGACTATGGAACCAAACCCCTTCAGAATATGTGATCGCCACTCGTAAACTAACTTACCTCTGCGGGCTTTGAACTCAGTCTCCAGTTCATTAGCAGCAGCCATAGCGTCCTCTTTGTTTGCAAAGGCTTTCAACTTTGGACGCAGCTGCTCCAAGGTGTCTGAAAACAGGAACTCGATCTCCAAAGGCGGCGGACTCTCCTTGTAGAACATGTAGAGCTGTCAAGATATTAGGGGAAGGAGAAGATCATAATGATGCACTCTACTCGCAAAATGGTTACTAAATTGCCAGGCAAGCCATTGAGACAATGTCCACAGCTGTCACCGACCAGCAAACCCGATTCTTTACATACTTCAGTATTGTATCAGAAGCAGCAACAGTAGCAGCACCGAAAGCATCAGCAGCAGCAACACCAGCAGCAGCACCACCACCACCAGCATAACCAGAAGCAGCACCACTAGCAGCATCACCAGCAGCAGCACCACCACCACCACCAGCAGCACCAGCAGCAGTACCAGCAGCACCAGCAGCAGCACCAGCAGCAGCACCACCACCAGCACCACCACCACCACCACCACCACCACCGCCAGCAGCAGCACCACCACCAGCACCACCACCAGCACCAGCAGCAGCAGCAGCACCAGCAGCAGCACCACCACCAGCACCACGAGCAGTATCAGCATCAGCATCAGCAGCAGCAGCAGCAGCAGCAGCAGCAGCACCACCACCACCGCCAGCAGCAGCACCACCAGCACCACCACCAGCATCACCACCAGCACCACCAGCAACACCAGCAGAAAATACCGGCCACAGCCAGTGCTTACCTGAAAAAAGATGAGGAACGCATCGAGTTTCTTCTTTGCCGAGCCATGGTCAAAGTACATGCCGCATGTGTCCAGCAATGAGCATACAAGACGTATTCGGAAGTAATTGTCCGGTGGGTCAACCGGGCTAGGAGAACCTGTAACCAAGACGAGGCGCAGTTCCATGGAGCACATATGCACATGCACATACAAATGCACACATCATGCACATGCACACATGCACACGCGCACGCGCACACACACGCACGCACACGCACACACACACACACACACACACACACACACACACACACACACACACACACACACACACACACACTTGCTCACACACACACACACTTGCACACACACATGCACACTCGCGTGCACGCGCACACACACACACATACACACACATACACACGCACACACCACATACACACGCACACACACGCAAGCACACACACACACACACACCTGTCCTGTCCTGTACATCCTGTCCAGAGATCATTTAGCCATCACGTACAGTGGTGGTATTCAGGACTTGGAAAGCTTACTTTCTACACCCTACCTCGAGTGTCACCGGCCAGATTTCTAACACTGGCAGCAAACCTACTCCAGAATCAAACGAAAAGGTACAAATCCTGCAAGCGCTTAGTGTGTAGCCTCGCAACGGAGATCCTGTATATGGGGCCTCTAGGCCGAAGAAAACTTTGAGCAAACAAAACCTTCGGCCGTGGGTCAGGCCAGCAACAGAGTATCACATTCTTATTTATGCAATCTTGATCATGCACGCACACCACACATCAACATGTATAGCTGCATACACCAGAGACAGCATGCCAGTGACCAAGCCTTGATCACGCACACACCCACACACCATGCACTACCATGCACAGCTGTATACATCAGAGACAGCATGTCAGTGACCAAGCCTTGATCACGCACACACACGCACACACACACACACACACACACACACACACACACACACACACACCATGCACTACCATGCACAGCTAGCTGCATCAGAGACAGCATGTCAGTGACCAAGCCTTGATCACGCACGCACTCCATGCATAGCCATGCAGCTATGCATGGCTATGGTCACTGACATGTCATGTCAGTGACCAAGCCTTGATCACGCACACACACACCATGCATTGCCGTGCATAGCTGCATACATCACGGACAACATGTCAGTGACCCAGCCTTACCGTCGGGGGTATTGCCAAAGCCAAGAAACATGTACAGGGTGCGGAAAATCACAGCTGCTTCAACGAGCCGGTAATTGTACATCTCACCAAGGAAACGCACAACTGCCAGCCGACGCTGGTTGTGCTTCTCCGAATTCGTCTGAGCAAACAACAACAGCAATGGCAACCAAGAGCAATAGTTCACTGATTGAATTCAGTGAGCGATACTATGATACGCAAACAGCAAAACTGCTCCGGTCACCTCCTTCCTCCCTTATCCTTCCAATCCTAAGCTGAAAGACGTACCTCCATGCCAATGCGAATCTCTTCCAGGATGCCATCAATCACGCGAAGAGCAAATTCGTCCTGAGCGTACATGGACACGCACACGCATACACGTGCACACATGTACACACGGGGACACACACACACATGCACACACACACACACACACACACACACACACACATGCACACACATGCACACACGTGTACACACACACACACACACACACACACACACACACACACACACACACACACACATGCACACACGTGCACACACACACACACACACACACACACACACACACACACACACACACACACACACACACACACACACACACATGCACACACATGCACACACGTGCACACACACACACACACACACACACACACACACACACACACACACATGCACACACGTGCACACACACACACACACACACACACACACACACACACACACACACACACACACACACATGCACACACGTGCACACACACACACACACACACACACACACACACACACACATGCACACACGTGCACACACACACACACACACACACACACACACACACACACACACACACACACACACATGCACACACGTGCACACACACACACACACACACACACACACACACACACACACACACACACACACATGCACACACGTGTACACACACACACACACACACACACACACACACACACACACACATGCACACACGTGCACACACACACACACACACACACATGCACACACGTGCACACACACACACACACACACACATGCACACACGTGCACACACACACACACACACACACACACACACACACACACACACACACACACACACACACACACATGCACACACGTGCACACACACACACACACACACACACACACACACACACACACACACACACACACACACACATGCACACACGTGTACACACACACACACACACACACACACACACACACACACACACACACATGCACACACGTGCACACACACACACACACACACACATGCACACACGTGCACACACACACACACACACACACGTGCACACACACACTTCAAAACCTGTCCCGGCCAGTACAGTACTGTCGGGTGCCGAAGAACGGCCGGGCTGGAATTTCACCAAGCACAGCATATCATTGCATACAGCCGTATCTCAACTGTGCATGGACTATATCAGGGCGTCGCACACGGTATGGTCACTACGGTACTGACCGCACCACTATTCGACCCAAGTACCCCGTGAATCAATATAATGCACTGATTTGGGCTTTAATTTTCCAAATTTTCGGGTCAGCCACCCCTCCCCCACGAGTAAATTGTATTTCAGATGGCTGACCGTACCACACTAAATTACTTTCCGACGCCCCTGGTAGTACATGAAAATAAGAAGGGCCTACTACAATAGGCTACGAGGCTGACTGAGGTTTCATAGTAAAATAAACCAAGCCTATGAACATTAGACACACGTACCTGATACAACTCCAAGCCGGAAAGAACATTTGCCAAGCACTGGATATTGCTGTACTTTAAGCGCCATACACGAGTGAAGCACTTCACGCCATATTCCTTGACCTAACATGCAACGAGCACACATGCACATGTACACACACAGACATACACACATACAGACACACACAGACACACACGCACACACACGCGCGCACACACACACACACACACACACACACCGCATCCACCACCACCACCACTTACACACAACAACGCACACCGACACATGAACATGTGTACACAAGTACACATACACACACGGACACACACAGGAACGAGCCACATCACATTGAACAGAATCTCAGCAGACGTAGACAGGAAACGATACCAGAGAGAATGAACTGTGATGAAAAGGAGAGAAAAAAGCAGAAAAGGAGAGAAAAAAGCAGAAAAGGATAGAAATCACAAGACACTCTGCACACATACCTCTGGGTCTTTCCATGGAAATTTCCGCACTTGACGAAGCACCTACAGAAAGATGAGAGCGACAACAAGATTTTACCACAAATTTAGGCTCAACACCCACTTTTACGTACTGGATCAAAGACATGCTTCTCCATACCTTTTGCCATGGTATACCCGTCTTAATTAGTAAAATCTGGCCAAATTTCTAACTTTTGTTTGTAGAATAGTCTCATGGAGATGACTGCTTCCTAGGCGATACACAGTATCATAGGCAGTTCCTGTACAAATATTCAGATGGTGGACCGGTAGCAGTAATATCAAGAAGCACAGGCCATCACTAAAGATACCCTCAATACTCTGGTGTCTCGAAGGCTGTGTAGTAGTCGACCCTGGTCACAGCACAGTGAGCACACTGAGATAGAGAATACACGGTCCATGGCACGTTCTCACCTTCTCCACACATTGGCGGTTGAGGTCCTTCAGCAGAAGCTTGCGTATGTACTCGTGCATGGGTGGACGAACCTTGCGACTGGCCTGACCATGTGGAACACCGGCAGCAGCAACAGGACAGACACGGAAGGAAGACAGAGATAGCCTACTAGAACAGTGTATCACCAACGAATGGATCGTGTGGAGTGCCAGCCACAGAACAAGTTATAGCTGTCGCTACATGTACTGTCATGGACATGGAAATCCATATCAGAGTAATTGGGGGAAGGACTTGAGCAATATCCCGAAAAAATTCTGAAAAGCTCCAGCCAAATTGGAAATATTTCAAAATTACCAGGCGTCTATAAATTTTTGAAATGCACAGTAGAGGGTACTTGTGACTGGTTTTCTCAGGTGGGAGAAAGCACACTAAGGCATAGACACACACACACACACACACACACACACACACACACACACACACACACACACACACACAAACGCACGCACGCGCGCGAGGCATGGACTTCAATTTTCTATGGTTGGGACTATTACAAGAGAGGACTGCACCTACCTTAGGAACATCAGGAGGATTGCAGTAATGGAAAGCATTGTCGATCATGGTTATCTGCCGTCCGTCAAGATGCAGCGCGGCCTTCTTTCTCATCATTGTATCCTATTGGGCCACAACGCGTGCACGCGCACACACACACACACACACACACACACACGGACGACGACGACAACAAAGAACAACAAAAAAAGAAGAAGAAAGAGAACATGGCACTATGAGCTAATGTGCAGTCAAAGCACTGGAGAGGCAAAGGAAACACTACTGTTGTGGACATGGAAATCCGGTCGCATGTCTAGCGGCCCCAGGGTGCTGGCCATGCAGCAGTGGATCCCGGATAAGCGGTACACACATGAATTTATGCGCTGCAGCGCGCTGGTCGCATCGGATCAACACGTGCACTGCACGCAGCGTTCTGTGCGCGCTGAGGGCGCCGGCCCCGGTCAATCGACTGGATTTCCATGTCCACGACAGTAGAAAGGTTTCCATGGAGGGCAAGGTGACAAGGCCGGTCGCTGTACAACTGGCTGTGAAACGGAGAACAAACAAATCCGGGTACTTCTACAGCACCGCCATCATGAAACGCAGCCCGCGCACTCACCAGAAAGATCTTGGTACGCAGATGCGAGTCCGGAGAGCGGTAGAGAAAGCGTCCGCACGTTTCCAGCAACTGGCATGCCATCTCAATGTTGTGATGCGTGAAGTCATGAAGCAGAATCTACATACAAAGAGACATACACACACAGAAGCTGGGACCGTCAGTTGCAACTCAAGCGCTTAGCGCCGAGCCATCATCTGACAACATAATAACACAGAACGGGGAACAAGCCCTTATACGCGTTGTAAGGGCTCTGCATACAAAGAGATAGTCGAAGAAATTGTACACGAACACAGGCACGCTCACTGCATGTACGTCAGAAGTATCAAATACATGTTATCAAGAGTATATACTCTTGATGTTATCCCAACCGCAGATGCAGAGTGACATTACAATACGACAATGGGCGCAAAACACAACAAACATAGCAAGGGAAAAAATGTAAAAAAAATCCTTCGAGCCGGATTCGAACCAGCGACCTAAAGATGACTGCACAATCATGTGCACACTACAGTCTTCCGCTCTACCAACTGAGCTATCGAAGGTGACATGAGGAAGTGGCCGCATGATCTATGATATTGACGAAGGTCAGCAGTAACAGAAGGCCTGCTCAGGGCCAGGTTTCGTGACGGTCCCAAGTAATGGCAGCACACTGCGATGAAAATACAAAGTGAGTTTGTCATGCGAGACCATTCATTACAGGAAACAAGCTGTGGCTGGTGCTGGAGATATTCCGGTGGGGCGCACATTTGAGATAGAGAGAGAGAGAGAGAGAGGGGGGGGGGGGGGGAGGCATAGCATCTGAACATTCCACAAGGTTTTTAGAGTGAAATTAAGGTCCTACACGGGTACTTGATTTTCTCACTACTTTGTCTGCAGTGCAGTGCACCGCATCCACTATTTTCCCTTTTAGAGCTATTAAAGTATAAATAAGTCAATACCGTGGCTGAGCTATGGAAGAAATTACAAAAGGAGATGCCGAGGCATGACAAGAAGTATATTTCCCTTGCCTTGGCGACTTGATTAGCTTAGCACCTGCCCAGCATACGGCGTCTGCCATACTGCTACAGTGACAAAGTAGCAAGGAACGAATTCCGCTTTGAAAATGATTGCAAGCCACTCTAGTTGCACTCTGATTTATAGTTTACATTGTTACGGGAGGATGTACCCAGTGTGCTGACAGTGCTCAACACCGCGGCGGTAGAGCGTAATACAGAACAGAACAACAAGGACAATCAAGTTGTTGTTTGCTGCTACTTCAAGTTTCATGCCCTTGCAATCATCAGGCAACACGAGGACGGGGTGCCGGCCTAGTTTACACTGTTAAGTAATACTGATAGCATTGCACAACGCTGCAGACAATGCACTCGCCCTTTACCTTCAGGCTGTGCAGCGTGTCTGCCTTTGGCATCAGCTTGAACTTGGTGAGCTCACCTGGTACACACACATACACACAGCCAGAATAGCACACATATAATTATGTATATGCGGGGTATCACTGCAGTGTAGAAAAATCCAGCTTAGTCTGCATTAGGTGTATCCGGGTATAAGTAATTAGTTCAGCACAGCAGAACCTCCCCAGCACGTACACGTACACACCGGGATCAGACACATCTGTAATGGCTAGTGAGGTATGCACAGTATAGCACAGAACTAGGATAGAAGCATCACGGTTAAAATTGCACGTGCACTGAATGTGGTGTTATCCGCCCTTGACAGGTGCCCAACAGGCAATGTTCTGCTGCATAACATCCAGTAATACCTCAGTGGTTAAACAATCTGCACTCTATGGCCCAGGAACTCTACATGCTCTAGCAAACAACTGGTCAAGTATATGCATGGCCTGCGAGTAGTACGATATGCAGTCAACCTTGCGAATAACGACACTTGACCGTGCACGAGAAGAGTGTCGTTGTCCGTGGGTTGAACATATGTAGTCAAATGGTCAACAGATCTGAAGATTGTGTCGTCATTCGCGGGTTGTTGTCATACCCAAGTTCGTTATTCATGAGGTTGACTGTACCTGATACCAACAGGAAAGCATGTGCACTGCACAGCAATGGAAGTAAGTTAGTAGTTACATGGTACATGACTGTGCTACATGTATTGCTACAGTCCATTCATCGGAAACTGGCCCGCTGGCTTTTTAAAGTCGGATTTGGGCCGAATTGAGGATCAAAAACCCACTTTAAATCTCACAAATTTGGGTTTTGGATCTGCTTCTCCGTACATTTTGCCATGGCATACCTGTCCTAATTTGGTAAAACCTGGCTGAATTTCTATTTCCCTGTTCTTGGACTTTTCTGGCCTCAAATGTGGCAAGGAGTAATTGCACGGGTCACACAATGCAGGATGTACTGTTGTTTTCACGATATCTACAACTATGTGAGAGAGACACCAACAAGTTAGGGTGCCAGTTTCCAATGAATGGACTGTAGAGCCAGACAAAGTGTGATAACGTAGGTCGGAGGCAAACAGTGTAAATAACACCTCTCTGTATTGTTCATAGTTAGAGCACTCTGATTTTGAGCTGATCCACAACTGCTTTGGTATTCGTTAGACATCACTACGATCCAAGACTTCAATGCGATCGGTTCGGCCGGTCCGTATGAGCTCCGCTGAGAAGACCCAACAAGGTCAAAACAGCGAGGTGTCCGGAGTTCGAGTAGGCACGGTTGGAGACACGATCATTTAGAGTAGCTTGCTCAGCGAGCTGAACACAAGAAGCGGCTACCTAGCACCTACCCATATATCGTACACACTTGATCTTGGACTCAATGTTCGTCTGCCCCTTCTTGAATATCTGCAAACAACACCAAAACAACAGCAATGCAGCAGACAAGGTGATGTTTCACACACAAAACACACAGAGACGCAACAGTACTACACCTTCCATTCCAGCAAGAGATAAGGAAACTACATCGCTGAAGTAAGAAGGCTGGTTGGATGGATGGTTGGCTAACATTCGAAAACATCATGTAGTGGTCTACTCTAGAATCCTACCGCATTTTCCGGAGTATAAGCCGCACCCGTCCCCCCCCCCCCCTTTTGTCACGAAATACAGACATCTACCCTATTTATCACCGTTACTTTGATCATCAGAGTATAAGCAGCACCTCCTTTTTCAGGTGAATTTTGATTGTTCAAAGTGTGGCTTATACTCCTGAAAATACGGTACTGGGTAACTGAAAACAGGCAAAAGCTGATGCTGTGGTACACTACAGATAACAAGTGTGCTGCCACGCACCCAGAAGACACTTACCAGGAAGCGAAAGTCCTTCTTGATCCACTGGCACAGCTCTATCGCAATGTCCGGTAGGCAGGGGTCGAGCGTGGCTACAAAGCGGCCGCAAAACGGCAACATGTCCAACCTAGAGAACAAGGCGAAGCAGACAGAAAGACAGTGAGCTTCTAAAGATTTGCGATACTTTCAATTTAGAGCGGCGAAGAGGACAAACAAAGACAGCATGTGCTACGGAGGATTCGTATAAAAAACCTGTGACATCTTGTCACAAATGCAAACCTCTATGCGGTTGGCCATACGAGTACTCGCAATAAAGGTGGGTGCTTTTATACGAAGAAATCCGGGGTCAAGAAGGAAAGATACGCACCTGCTGCGCCTGACAGTGAAGAGCGCCTTGATTAGCCGGTTGCGGTTTGACTTCGTATTCATGTGAAGGCAAAAGTCAGTGGCAGCCTACAGAAGACAAAACACGCCGTCCAGCAAAAATAAGTTCAAATAACTCACAACAGTACTTATGTACAAAGAAAAGAACATTAGTGCGGAGGCACCAAGCATGTGGCGGACAGGGGTGCACTGCATATAGTTCGAGCAGCAGGATTAACCCCACAAACAGTTTTCTTTGACTTGTATGGTAATGTAACGCCAACCAGAGAGCTGAGGAATCATCCCACACATGTGACTATGATAAACTACAGTGCTGCTCAATGAAATCCGATCGCGTGAATCAAGTTTGCGTCATGCACCAGTTCACCATTCCGGTGTCCGCAGGTCTAGGGCTACGCAGTGCCTGGCGTGGCACACACTGAGTCACTCGCTTGATCGGATTTCATTGAGCAGCACTGCAGAAAGGGTTTCTGGAGAGATAGGTTGCATTAGGGCGTTCGATCATCAAAAATCATATAACTGACTAGCACCCGCACACCACAACGCCCTTATTACCGATCTATATGACCGGACTCTACCAGCACTGGCACCTGCACCAGCACCAGAACCAGCTGCACCTGCACTGGCACCAGCAGCACCTGCACTGGCACCAGCAGCACCTGCACTGGCACCAGCAGCACCCCAGTATGGTATTTGAGAAGTAACACCTAGTTTGCATTATGCACGCCATGTAGCTTCTTACATCATCAATCATGTCACGGTTGACACACTGGGGAAGGCGCGTTATTAGATCATCCAGCAGCTTGCCAGCAGACGACGCACCAGATGCCTGGTTGGACGCACTGTTCCCCTCTGGTTCTGAAAGCAGTCAAAACAGGACAACAAGACACAATGCTTTGAAGGGGTACATGAATGACAGAAACATTCCAAGCAACTTCAAATGCAGCAGGGAATACTGGTAAGATCAGCATGATGCTATCCAGCTATCACAACACAAACCAGTGCACATCACAGCTATCACAACACAAACCAGTGCACACCATCGATCAACATGAGCGTTGAACAGCATAAAGTACGACTGTCTGCAGTTTGCATGGCTGCAAGGCTGCGCAGCCCACCAAACCATCTGAAGCCAGTAAGTAGTAGGCTCAATCTGCTTGTGGCTACCCTACCGTTGAGTGAGCTATTGGGGCTGCGATACACCTACCAATGTCATCTTAGCATAGTTACGCAGCACTATTATAGTATACCTTATCAAAGTGATGCATCTCCAGGGCCAAGGCGCTATTTCAAAGTGAAGCGAATGCATTGCAACATTTCTTGAATCAACTCCCTCAACGCATGAATATTCCTTGAATCCAGGTAAATGGTAGTGGGAATGGTAGTGGGATAAACCCAAAGAGAACTAGCTGCCGATATCGGTTCTCACCTTCTATGACTACAGGTTCCTGCTCCTGAAGGCTGAGGTCCTCAATCATGGCTTCGATGGCTGCATCACTTTCAGCTTCTGTTCATGAAAGCACGGCACAGGAAACACAGGCAATGCAATTCAACATGACATCTGTCAGAACAACTCACAGAGTCCAGTGGCAGAATGCACACTACACAAGGACAACAACTGAACCATGCATGCATGGCGTCTCATCATAACCTCCCCTTCCAGAACTGGTCACTCTCCTACCTTCCAGCATCACATCATCTGCATCTCCTGAGCCAGTGCCTGTTGCTGCTGATGATAACTCACTGCCATCGCCGGCAGAAGACTTTGAACCTTCCTTTTCTTTCTCTTTCTCCTTGAAAAGAATCTGAGCACGCATACAGGAAATGACGACTTTAGTGGCAAGCGACTTTCAACAATCAGAAAAAAAGCTAAGGAAACAGTGTAACCACTCGACACTTCAGGAAACTCCCCCGGACAACTTCCTTTTTCTTTTGGAGAATCCTTCAAAAACAACAAAAACATGAATGAATGAATCAGGGCCAACATGGGGCAGCGTCACAGAACCTTGACAGATTCCACAGCAGGCAAATGAGAAACCTGATCGACATGAGAGACCTGAACACAACACCTTAATGAACAACTGTACAACTGGTGCAGCGAAGAGCATTCCACGGAAACTATAATCCATGATACTATGAAGAGTGCCCGAAAGCCTACACTCGGCCACACTCCCACTATCTCCTGGTGCGCCGTCGTCACAGTGGACTATGGCGGGCTACTACGACAATCACCAGCACAAGGCTGATCTGGTGGACTCCGAACCAGATTAGCAGGCGTGCTGAACACGGATGTACAGTACAGGGGCGCAGCCGGCCTCTGCACTCAACAAAAAACGTATGCAGCACAGGGTTAAGGTGCCCTGGAGGAACTTGTTATTCAACTGACATGGGCGAGGAACAGCAGTGGAATAATGTCCTTGGTAACACCAAGATAATGATCAGTTGATGCATGTTGTACGTGATCTGTACTTTGGAAAAATAATATATTCCAACCAGATACTCCTTTCACATGCAGAGGCAATACGGAAATGATCAGCAGTTTTCCCAGTCCAGCTCAGTCTCAGCAGACTCTGCTCAAAGGTGATACGGGTGCGAGGGACTTACCCCAGGAACAACTGACTTCAGATCAATGAGGCTCTCGTAGAATGTCCGCGCATCCTCGTCTTCCCACAGGGAGAGTGAACCCTCGCCACTGCCACCCTGCGAACAGTAACACGCCAGCACACCGCAATATGGCCATAGTGACACAAGTTACACACGGTTCCAACTGCAGCAAAAGGCTAACCGCAACAACTGACAACAAACAAGTGAAATACAGAACTGCTCGAACGTACAGTATCGCACATTTTCAGGCAACATGGCAAACGGAAATCTTCAGGATGACTGACACCTCTTTATTCGTGACTTTAGATTTCATCGGCCAGCCCTGTACTACACTGCAGCACACTCATATGACGAGAACTAACCTGCATAAAATAATACATGAGATCAACGTACCAAATAGACATTATAACGAAACTGCAATTGCTCTCTCTCTCTCTCTCTCTCTCTCTCTCTCTTCTCTCTCTCACACGCACACGCACCCACACACACACGCACACACACACACACACACACACACACACACACACACACCATGTACACACACACAAACATACCATGTACACACACACAAACATACACACACAAACATACACACACAAACATACACACACCAACATACACACACCAACATACACACACACACACAGTGCCGAGCATGAGAACGCCAACATATTTGTTAACAGGATAGAAACCTGACCTCGCCAGCTTTCACAAAGTCCACACCGCCCATTTCACTAGCTTCGGGCACATCTAAAGAGCACACAGATCAAATCCAGCCCACAACCGAGTCAAGCAGTGAAACACCAATGACTTATGTAGCATTCTGTATAAAGTAGAAGTGCGAAAGGTACCTGTCATGACAGGACGTCATGCTTGTCAGAGAAACCGTATTTTTCGGCAATGCTGGGCGAGGTGCTTAGTAGTTGGCCAGCCCTGGATTTTTTTACCCGATTTGGAAAAATCCACACAAAAGCCCTGAAATGATGTGGCGCTTATTTATGACAGGCAGAAATAAAAGACCAGCCGCAATTCCAGAAAATACGGCATGCCGGGAACGCAATGAAAAAAGCAAATCAAAAGAAAAAAAGTGTATGCGTCCCCGGGTGGGCTTGAACCACCAACCTTTCGGTTAACAGCCGAACGCGCTAACCGATTGCGCCACGGAGACACGACGATAGCTACCAACAGTTGTGGGCCTATAGCCTATGACTGCCTCAAGAATGCTGAAATAAACTGAGATCAAAAATGCTGCTCCCTATCCCCCCCCCCCCCCCGGGCCACACCAGCCTATTCCTGAAGACATACAGTGTGTATTGAGTCTACATTGCACCAGAAAACCAATTCACAAAGATTCGCCTGGCATGGGAGGCTCACCATCTTCAGGCAAGTCGGGAAGTTCCTTGTCCAACACGTCCTGTTCCGCAAAAAAACACGCACACACGCGCACGTACATACATGATGTAAGAACAAACAAGGTTAAGCACTGCCTACAGGCACTCACACTCTCACTCGGTCAGTCATGCTTATAGGCGCAACAGCACAGGCCACAGCACTTAGCTACCAGTACTTGCAGACTAAAAAGAAAAACTAACAACAACCCAGCAAAGCCCCGATCACAGGAAAACAAATCCATCACCTCGGACTGCTTTCAAATCTGACGTAACAACTGCACATAGAGTACTGTGAAGCCATTTTTAGCAGCAATTTACTTGCATGAATTCATCCAAAAACGTGTTTCATTGGTCCGCAAGAACAGGATCGTTCGAAGCAGGGTTGTTTGGTGTGTCTGCTTTGCTTCAGGAGTGCTCCAAACATGTGTTGACCCCCCCCCCCCCCCCCCAAACTGCAGCAGCCAGGAGCGAGTTGAAAACCCAATGAAAACTGCGGTGCGGTGATTTACTGCACTATTTCTGGGGAAAAACTATTCGATGTCCAGTTTCATTGGAAACTGGCTGTTCTGACTGCTTCAGTGACTTTGATTTGAATCCAGATTGACAAGTCAAAAGTGCTCTGAATTAATTATAGTGCACTGCATTACGGAATATATTTTCAGAAGCAAGCCGAAACCCGTAAATTAGCTCCAAAATGGTTATGATGAGCTGAAGCAATCAATGGAGATTGGGGGCACACTCACAGCCAGAGCAGTAGTGTTGGACAGCAGCTTTTCGTATGCCTTCCGAAGTGTTTCCGCCTCTTCTTGCCGCTCATTAGAAACTTCACCCTTAGTCTGCGGAACAACAAGCAAAAACGAAAACAAATTCCTCGCCATTGGCCTGCTTTACATCCAGCTACAGTTCTACACATCAACACAACCAGCATATCTTACTGAGTCACAAATACCTGCTACTGAGTCATACAAAAACAGACTCGGTGAACAACAAACAGGTAAGACTGAGCATTTGGTTGCAGGGAAAATCCGTCCGAGTACAAACACCACGCCGCTGACGTGTCTCCGTACCAGCATGATGTGGCGATTCCTGCGCTCCACCTTCTGTACAGCCTTGAGGTCAGCCATCACGTGATCGCATAGAGTTTGGTAGTAGTCAAACATCTGCTTCTTGAAGAGCATCTGCTTGTCAGCGGGCAGGAACGACTAAAACAACACAAACAAAAACAGCGAAATTCAGTATAAAGTACTTCAGTACAAGGTGCTATAGTATAGAGGTCATGTGAATGGTGCCATGGCGGTGAGTCAGAGGAACCGCTTATGGATGCTATGCATACACCGCTTATGGACGCTATGCATACACCGCTTACGGACGCTATGCATACAGAGTGTGTCGGCTAGTGCATCGCTGTGCCACGACTTTGCCAAAGCATCTTGACCGATGATGATGATGATGATGATGATGATGTACATGTACATGTACATGTACATGTAACGGCATAAACTCGGTTACCAACCTCTGTCTTCTCCTGCTCCAGATTGAACTTGGACAGCAGCGAGCGCTGCTTGCGCGAAACGAGACCAGCGAGATCTTCACCGCAGTGACGACAAAAGCTGAGAACAGCCAACAGGTATGCATGAGAGTCCTGAACACACAAAGCACACAAAGCAAAACCACAATGTTGGAACAGGCGACGCAGAGATAATAACCGTAAGATACTTAGATAGCTATAAGTATCGCCGAAGTCGCACTAACCTCTTCTTCACATTGTAAGATACCTATGAATAAAATGATACCCGTGCTCATGCCACAAACCAAAGTAGCAATAGTTTGGTTTCCAGAAAAAAAGCCCTGGAACCAAACTATTCCTACGCTGTTTTGTGACATGAGTGCGGGTATCATTTTTATTCTTAGCTATCAAACCAAGATATTCTCATTCTCTAAACACCAGCTTCCTGGCTCACAGCCTCCTTCGATTTCCACAATTCACCCTCGCTAGATCGAGTAGGTACGTAGAAAAGTCCCTGTTCGAGTGCATTTCTCCTCCATGACTACCGACATGTGGCACAGGGGATGCATCATCTCACAGAAACTCCACGCAGGCGCAGAAAGATCTATCGGCGAAAGTCAGAAAAGCACAACCTGGCAGCACTGCGCTATTCAGAAAAACAACTACAGTTGCGCACGGTGAAATCCGACCCAAAGTGCATATCTGGTGCCCTCGACTTACACGGCCCTTGACGCCCTGGAAGTGGTACGAAGGCAGCTAGACGCACACAAGTCATGTACAAGAACAATGATGATTGTACTGTAGAGGCAGAAAATTTCGTCGGTCAATAATTTCGTCCACAACTCCAAAGAAAAGGAGTTCGTCCGGTTGAAAATTTCGTCCATGGATCATAAGAGTGTGTAGAAAAGCTGGGCAAATCGACATAAGTCCTACATTAAATTTAGTCCAAAAGCTCCTTGGACGAAAAAGACGAAATTAAATTCCAGACGAATTTTTCTGCTTATACAGTAATCGAAACTGGGCCAGGGTGCCAGTTTGCACTTTGAGTCGGATGTCAGTGAGCGCAACTGTACTTTACTTTTGAAGTACATAAGCTACCAGCATAGTGATCACATACCTTGTCGGCATGTACAACGATGGTGAAGACGTGTAGGAGGTTGCTTATGCCACCGTTCTCAAACACACCGGACACGACAAGCTGAGAACGCACATGTACACGCACGCACGTGTGCACACACACACACACACACACACACACACACACACACACACAAACACGCACACACATGCACACACGCGTACACACACACACGCACACACACACACATACACACATGCGCACATGCGCACATGCAACACAACAAGACATGCATGAGATGAGAATATCGAGGCCTGAACCAACACAAAATAGGGAAAGAAACGGAATAGTACTTCAAAGACAAACAACAGAGTAATCTGCATACAGAACAATGATAAGTTGATAACAGAGTACAAGTGCATATATTTTAAACACATGATCGTCACATCGCCTACCTCTCCAAAAAAACGCAGCGTCACTCGAAACAGGGAAACGTTAGGGGGCTGAATGGATGGAACCAAATTCAAACAAAAGCAGACACACATACAGACACGCACACACATACAGCCATACAGACACACACACACACAGCACACACAAACACACACACGTGCACATGCACACAAACGCACACACACACGGTGCAAGCAAAAGCTGTCGTTAAAGCCAAGTGGTCTCTAGAACAAGAGAATTTCTGATTTCTGCGTTACAACGAATAATGGATAAAGGAAAGTTTACCCCAAAGTAAAAGTAAAGAAAAAAATATCGTCTCTTTTCCCAATGGAACTTGCGACGACCGCAAACACCCGGAACAACCCCAGAATGTATACATGGAAAGCATGTGGGCTTGCAGCACTTTAATAACGTAACAAACTCATCAAAAGTAGACTACAAATATTCAGTGTAAACTATGAACTCAGATTATCCTGCCCTGGCTTGGCACATTCACGTCTATCGTACCTTATCCTTGGACATGCCGCCTGCAAAGATCTTCTCTACTGCGGGCAAAAGCAGCTTGGAGAAGTCTGCATAACGCTGATGAAAGAGACCGCACAGATGCACCGCTGCACCCACATCAGCCATCTAGACGCACATACACATGCACGCAGAGAGACACACACACAAACACACATGGATACAAGTCAAAGTGAAACACACCAGCACATCCAGTCACACTAAGCTCTCTCTCTCTCTCTCTCTCTCTCTCTCTCTCTCTCTCTCTCTCTCTCTCTCTCTCTCTCTCTCTCTCTCTCTCTCTCTCTCTCTCTCTCTCTCTCTCTCTCTCTCTCTCTCTCTCTCTCTCTCTCTCTCTCTCTCTCTCTCTCTCTCGCTTTCTCCTGCATGCGCACACACGCACGCGCCCGCACACGCGCACACACACACACACACACACTCCACAAATGAGAAAGCCACCGATAACAAATCACCAAGCAGCCATGTAGGGCCATTACCAATATTTACCTTCAATTTGGCCTCCGCAAAAGACGTTACCTGGAGAACAAAAGAAAAGTGGGACAAAATTAAACGGACGGAGATCACGACGGGAAGGTGAATGCTAAACATCGCTCTCTTTAGTGCACTCTCTCAGCCATGGACACTCGTTAGCAACGTCTTCCTTTCATGCCCCCTCACATCAGGGCACACAGCAACAGTGCTGCTCACCTTGCCCTCACTGGTGTTTCTGGTCTCCATACAAGTGCACAAGAGCCGTACTTATTGCCCACCATTACTTTTTTCACGCAACAAACGCAGCACATTTCACCCAGAACAAAAAAGGCCAAGCTTGGCCGCACCAAACACCACATGTTACTTGAACAATACAAAAAAATGAAAAAACCAGTCTTACCGCTTCCTGGATGTACTTGCTGAGGTTGAGCTGGTTGAATTCGGCAGACAGTGCATCACGCTGCTGCTCCGTTACGGACCGCTGGACAGCACCAGAGGAAAGCAGGTGCAGAGCAATACATCTTTAGAACAGAAGCACGCACACCCGTGTTGAAGAAACACTCCGGCAGTGTACAATAAAACCTGCCGAGGAGACCACCTGTCCCGGACAGCCACTAAAACCAGGACCAAGGGTGTCACGTCCAGTCCAAACGACCCCGCATAAGGGGGTCGTATATTTCGGGGTGCTTTGAGCAGCCAGCCGGCGTTGACAGGCGTCACTGCAACAGCAGGAACAACTTTTAAAACACTATTAGGCGAAGGGGCAAGGTGACATGGGCACTGGACTGCACTGCAGACCTTACAGTATGTTGGCTGATAAGGCATGGTGACTGGGAAATTGGCTGCCGAACGGACTAATTCCCATAGTGCAAACTGTTCGGGACATTCCGTTATCGAGGCTTCGAGGCGAATCAGTCCGACTCAATGCACACATCGACCGAGGCTGGAAACACAAAAGTAGACTGTAGAGTTCTGTTTAGCTAGAGTTTCATTTCCCAACTCAATCAAACATACCAGCTTCTTCACAAACGTTGTGTTTTTCTTCACGGATGAGTCGAAGGTTCGCAGTGCCGTCTCGTCAGGCCGATGCTCTAGACCAGGAAAAAAAGACAAGGGAATTCAGCAAAGCAAAGAAACGCAGAATGATATTCATGATGCAAGGAGTGGCATAACTGGCACCATGTTATTTCGCTCTTCGCTCTAGGGTTTACCAGGAGTACGCTATGGAAACGAATTTCAGAGTCTGCTTACAACAAAACAAACTTTTAAATTTTCTACATGAGCGTTACCTTGGTGGACTGTTAGTCATAACTCGTAACGTGTTGGTCCTTCCCCTGCTACGAGAAAAAGAGCCCGAGCTTATTCGTCTTGGGCATATTTTTCAACCGTTTGCATGACAGAGGTGCGGGGCAGGCTTCAGGTGGGCGACTGCGCATTTTATTTTTCAATTCACACGTGAGCACAATGGTAAATATTCATGAATGATAATTTTTGGATCAAGAAGCGCCTGCTCACGTTACTTGAACTTTCTTCTGCCTTTCCGGTTGTCACTTAGTTTGCAAAAAGGCAAAACGAAAGTCAGAAGAAAATTACCAAAAACAGACACAAAAGAGGCACACTGTCTACGACGAAATCCGCTCAGGTTCAAGGGCCAAAATCGACAAAAAATATGGGCAACTCGCAGAGGGATGATTTTCTTGACCATTTACGTGAGAAAATAAGTCCTGGGGTACGATAAGCCCGGGAGTCTGGGGTAGGGTTAGTTCCGCCCGGGCGAGCTGAACAAGCCCGCCACATCATGTAAACACACGCTCTGAAATAACCGGATCACAGATCAAGGAGGGCTTACCGTAAGCCCAGGGTCAAATACCCCCGGGCTTATTTTTCCCGCGTAAATGGCCCCTCAGTGAGGGTACAACATATACGTAACTGAGAAGGTATAGAATCTCCACTGCATTACTATCGGATCATTATGAAGTAAAACAAGGTAAGAAAGCATATATTAGCATGCACCCAAAACGAGCCAGCCTTGCAGAAATGACCTTCACCTTTGGCTGCAAGGTTGGTCTGCCTGGTGGCCATCTTGTGCTTGTTGCGACTGACGATTTCCGCAAGCGTGTCGCGCGCATGTTGCTGAATTAGCAGCAGCACAAACAGACAGAAGCGGGAAAGACATACTAGTATACGGCATGCATTCGGATGATGGAAACTCATCGCTAACTGGCATGCTGACGCAGCTACAGTGGCTAAAGTAGCGCTGAGCCTTCTTGCAACTACATGGATACGGATATCAACAGAGTAATACTGGGGATTAGGTGGATGCATCTACTCGCACAGCATAGTGGCAAATATACAGTACAATATTCCAGCAGCTTGCCAGCACAGGTACAGTGATAAGGTGATGTCATATAAGCACATTCTACAGGGAAATGTTTCCAGTTGCAACTGTGTGAGAATGCATGCCTCCACACACATACAGATTTCATGTACAGCTATCACCGGACGTTTGATACTACGTCTGAACATGTACACAACAACAACGACAAAAACGGCAACAGCAGCAGCAGCAACAGCAACATCAGCAGCAGCAACAGCAACATCAGCAGCAGCAACAGCAGCAGCAACAGCAACATCAGCAGCAGCAGCAGCAGCAACAGGGAACAACTGACCTCTTCCTCTTCTTTCTGTCGACGCTCCTCCTCCTCTTTGCGTAGCTGCAGGAGGTAAAATAAACGTATCACACACTCATAGTCATACGGTTCGACGCTAACATCAACAAAGCAGAACATACATAACTGGTGCAGCACACGTGAAAAAGGTGCTTAGGGGCCGTCCGTATTTATCGAAAATTAAAAAATCCGTCCTCGTGCAAAATTGTCTCTGATCCACCCACCCCCATTTTTCCCCATTAATTTTTTGATTTTTACTGATGCACAGCTCGAAAATAAGAACTCCTGACCCCATGTTCACTGATTGCACCTGTGTCAAGTACTAGTAGCTAAGTACAGTGAGTAGTAGGTCTACCGACGGCCATGCACCGTCCTACAACTACATGAAGAGTCATGTATATCATACTGGTGTTTGCAACAATCGATCCTACACTACGTCTACAGTACACTACACAGTCAATGCAACAAGTGTATGAAAGTCACTGAAGTAAAAATCAAAAAATCAAAAAAAGTACGAAAAATCAACAAATTAAATTCCGCCAGCGCTCTTGACCACCCATGCCCCCACCCCCTTGTTGTCTGAGGACGGATTTTTTAATTTTTCGAAAACTACGGACGACCCCTTAGCTGCACTTGACTGAAACGGAGAAAAACGCATGTGAAGTTTGAACTTGCATACTACATGTGTGGCAGCTGGCTAAAGACTGCGCACAAAAACCACCGCCACAGCATCATTTGTTCACGGGTTTCCACCTGTGAGAATGAAGTTCCACCTGTGTTTTTTTTTAATATGAAAGCTGGAGGGACAAGCTAGCACAAGGGCATGATATCTTATGACTTCAATGTTTGACGCCAAGCAACCTTTTCACGTGCTCTGCACCAATTATGTTCTTCCATGTTCATCCATCCCTGGCTACTTATATCGCAGTAGAGGACAGTGGTGACGTGAACATTTAGCCACATTTATGTAAGTGCAAAACCTCGTCGCATGTCCACCACTATTTTCACATGACCTCACAGTACTAAGCGCTGGCCAGTACACCCACCTGTTCCTCATGCTGTCTCTTTTCCTCCTCTTCTTTCTTGCGCTGCTCCTCTAGACGCGCCTTCTCCTCCTCCTCTCTCTTCTTCTGCTCCTTTCGAGCAGCATCCTGTGCCTCACGCCGCTGCTTGTCTGCTTTTCTTCGCTCTGCATTACCAGAGGGTTGGTCTTCCCTGAACCGAGAGCACACAACAAACATTGCAGACAAACTCCATGAAAAAAGTACTCTTTTTTTACGAAGTAGACACAATAGGAGCTATTCGTAAAGAGAAAGGACCAATAAGTTATGAGTTAGGACTAACAGTCCACCAAGGCAACGAGATAATAACTTCATAACTCGTACCTCATTGGTCCTTTCTCTTTACATGAATATGTACTGGCTCAACATCCGAGTTTGAAAAGTGACCTTACAGTGCCGTGTAACCATGCTGGTGAAACCGCCAACCTGGGTTTCCTGTGACTGCTTCAGGTTCCCATTCGCCATCTTCCACATGGGGATTGAGGAGGGGCATACTGTGTATGCAAAGTATTATCTTCTGACAGCTAGCTGTTTCGACGTAATGTACATATACAGTCAGACCTCGCTTATCCGGTCCTCTTTTATCCGGATACCTCGCCATCCGGAAGAAAATCACTGGTTACGGATTTACAGCATATGCCATGCATACATACAGTGTGTGTGTTCGATTATCCGGTTCCCTCGCCTATCCGGATATTTTTGTGGAAAACGGATGTGTGCGGTTAAGCGAGGTCTGACTGTACTAGAACGTCAACCCGACAATCACCACAACTCACTTTGCTAAGCAGTCTCTTTACTGCACTTGAACAACAATGAAACAACCAATATTTCAGCCTGGGGCCATCATCAGGATTGATTGGTAAGAGACAGCAAGGTGGACCTGGTGTATACAGTACATGAAAATACTACCACAAACAAGGCCGGTCCAGGAAGCTTGAGGTAGAGTGCTCAATGTACGAATGTACAGAGCAGTATACACACTCAACAGAGGCGAAAGGCTGTCTGATGATCGCTCCGATGCGTGAAACTTTAAGTTACAGCTAACACAGCCTTTCGCCTCTGTTGTGTGTGAAAAGACTACCATGTACATCAAGTGACGACACTACACCTATGGTACGAACACGATGCACTTACAATGTTGCACTAAGATCATGAGTTCATCACTGTCACTGACAAGGTGAGACTGGTGTGTGTGTGATGAAGAGGTGATGCAAAACATGTCAGAAACTAGACCGAGAAGATTTCACAACAACGTCTCTACAATACGAACACTAATAACTAGCCAGTCAACTTTGCTACAGGTCAAAAGGCAGCAGTTATCACTACTTCACACAGTACATATAGTGCACTGTTGTAGTTTGTGACACGATCGGCATCACCTCTCCATCATACGCATTATCTTAGTGCAGCATTGCAAGTGCATCGTTTTCACGCCATAGGTGACCACCTGATGTGCATTGCAGTCTTTACATGATTGTACTGTATATGCTAGGTCCATCTGACTGTTTGTTTCTTAATTAACAATCTTGATGACGGCCCCAGGCTGAAATATTGGTTGGTTTTTCCTTCTTTTTTCCCTTCTTTTATTTTATTTTATTTTATTTTCTGGTATGCCTGAAAAGCATGTTGCAACAGCATCCACGTATAAAAAAAACCTTTGAACTTGTTTCCATCTTATAATATCTGTTTGTACCTGGGATGTTTTTGTTTCTGCTGCTTTGGCCTGCCAGTTTCCTCACGGCGTCCGCCATCTCGACCAGAGTCTGGGTCTTTCCTGCGCTCTACGCGCTGTTCCTCTGCTGCACCTCTATCCCCATCATGCGACCGAGATTTTCCAGGAGGGCCACGTCCTTGGGGCCTTGACTTTGAGCTCATTACATTGACAGCACAGGCATTGGCTGGAAATTCTACTACAAGGATAACTTACAATTCCTGTTTTATTGGCAAAACACACGAAAAAAAGCCAACCTACTACCAACACTGGACTACGTCATAGGCACATTGAAAGACACTTTAGTCCTGACTCTTAACTTCTTGGAGTGATATTTAGACCATAAAATACATTACATTGCAAGCAGCTGAACTCTCGTCTTGAATACTTCGTAAATACTGTATGCAAATGCCAGCATGAAAAATCGAACTGACAAACGAGATCGAGACGCGTCGACGTCGACGCCTGTGTTCAAGCACGTCATACCTCCGCTAAGATTACGTCACTACCATTATTATTAATAAAAAAATTGGCAGGGCCTAGGGAGTGTACTCGTAGACCCGGGTGCTCGAATCAGAAACGATTTGACAGGTGTGCAATTTCTCATCTGTAAATCTCAACAATGTCAGAATATACTTTTGGAGAGGCGATGGAACAGGGAAGAGAGTCTGTCTTGACCCACCTAGCAGGAATTCAGAACCTGGGTGCGCTACAACACAAGCTACAGCACGCAGTAAAATAGTCGTATTTCCTTCGGATTTTTTACTTGAAAATTGGGTGCTCGAATCAGAAACAGCAAACTCGTCAGATCGTCTCCGATTCAAGCACACGGGTCTACCATCGTCTACGCTTGGTATGGCAGTTGAGGGCAGGGAGTAGTAACTTACTACTTCGTTTTTGAGAGCAAGATGGTCAGTGGAGCCGCAGATTCAGCAGGTCTTTGGCAGCACCGTACCGTGGACCCACATCCTCGAATCAAGGACCCAACAAAAAGTGGGTCGCGAGTATTTCAAAAACCGTTTACCGGGCAGCGCTGAAATTAATATTTGGCATACCGTTAGCGGGCCGTATGTTGATGGTATTTGTGAAAACTAAACGAAATCGGAACAAGTTTAGGTTTAGGTACAATTTCAGGGTGTTTCTGTTTTGGTACCCTGTGTCTCATTCGAGCACCCGGGTCTACGCGTACTGCATGTACGCGTAGATCTACGAGTATTTTACGACTCCCTGATTTATACTGCATGCATGCAGATAGATGCAGCATGCATGGTACATGGTGAAGATTATGAGTACTCGAGCACATCTGGTATACAGTCCATTTTAAAAACGCATGATTTTTGAAATATTTCAAATTTGGCTGGAGCTTTTTGAGAATGTTTTTCGGAATCTTGCTCAACAGCAAGTCAATCCACAGATTTCATGCACGGTTTTTTTAAATCCGTCTATACATGTATTTTTTTTAACGCACTATAGTATGATGTATGGTCCCAGTCCGAGAATCAAGAGAAAGCATGCATACGCCTGACCAAGAGTATATAAATGATGATTGTACTCTTGGTCTGACCAAGACTTGATTTCATTGAGCAGCAGTGGACAAGTAAGTTCTCGTAGTTCTTATACAAGAACCCCGCATCCACGAATATGATGCATTCGTGGTAGCCTCCTCACCCACACCGCCATGCACACCGCCATGCACACCGCCATGCACAGCACAATCATACTGATACATGTGCACACGGTGTGCGGCCGAGGTTGAGCCGCACACGGACCAGGAGGTCCCATCAAACAAGAGAGAAAAGGGCTCGGACTCGGACTTGAAGTAGCAAAGCAAATCCATTTGAAGAGTAACACACTGACATACTAATGATGTAGATAAGTTCCAGTCATAATAGAGTAGACAAACACACAAGTGGTTATAATGATAATGGTTGGAGGGAGATAGAAAACAAGATCGATAACCGTCGACGCGAGAATAGAAGGCAAAAAAAGATAGCCTTGTGCTGGCACCCCACCGGCCGCCAGCCATGGTGAGAGGATGGACTTTGTACATTGTGAAGAGAACAAACAACCAGAACAGCAGCGGAAAAGAGATCCGCCGTGAAAGATAATGATGAGCCGCCACTCGTGAAGCAACATACGTGCGAGTGTGAATGGAGGGGAGCAAATGAGCGCATAAAAACGATAGTTTCTGTCAACGCGCTCTCAAAGGCACTGACAAAAATCTACTTCAACTGATGACAAACCTATATCAACATGGAGGAGAGATGACACTCCAACATACCCACTATAACACATAAACACACACCGACACCGACACACAGGCGGCCAGAACACACACACACACACACGCGCGCGCGCGCACACACACACACACAGAAAGCGCAACACTGCGTAGCCCCAACAATCAGAACATGCCGTGAAGATGCAGATTCCTGCCCAGAACTGACCGCACGTCTCTTGTGAAGCGGAGCGCGTCTAGAACCGGCAGGAGGCTTAACAAAGCAGTGTCGCGCGAGTCGTTCACCCAGGACGGAATGGGAATGGCATTGTCTGATGTGAAAGAAAAAAATACAGAGAAGCATGGAATGAATGTGTGAAGCCAGGAACACCTAGAAAAAAAGAAGAAATTCATCAAACTGAAAAAAGATGACTATTGTAGACAAAGGTATAAAGTGAGAAAACACTTTTAAAAACATTGCTACAGTTTAACAATCAGGTAAAATGGCATGCTACGCGTAAAGCTTGCACCATGCAGAACAGAAAACACAGTCTGTCCATTAGTGCAATGAAACTTCCTGAAGAAATTCATCACATACATTTACCTACACTTCACTGCACACAGAGACAATTAGCTTGAGCTGCCAGCCGAGATTGCTACCCCATGAGCATCTCTCATTTCACCGCAATGCATTATCTTGGGTCTGCTCTGATTAATTCAAACGGTGACAGCCTAGCCTAGCAGTGCTGGACATGGTACAACTATGAGGAGAACTGAAAAAGCAGACAGCTCATGGAGTATTCTTGCAAGGAAACTAGAGAGAGAGAGTGTGTGTGTGGGGGGGGGGGGGCAGGGGCGCGCGCGCGTGTGTGTGTGTGTGTCCATGAGGCAGAGAGACAGACAGCAAGGTAGCGAGATACAACAAACCACTCACCAGGATTTCCTTTATACACAGATGGCGAGTTGTCAATGATCATCACATTAGCCAGGTCGGAGCAGATGGTCTTCAAATCTTTCGTGTAGCTTGCCGTTTCAAAGACACAGTGCTAGTAACACAAGACCACAAGAGAAAAAAAAAAGGAAAGACAGAGCGAGAAAGAAAGAAAGAGAGAGAGAGAGTGGGAGAGAGAGAGAGAGAGAGAGAGAGAGAGAGAGAGAGAGAGAGTGGGAGAGAAAGAGAAATAGATAGATAGACAGACAGACAGATACAAAGGAGTAATTTTGGCAATTGCCGGCATTTCACACGAAAAAGAGAAATAGGTTCAGTTCTGGACCTATTTCTCTTTTTTTTTTCGTGTAGATAGATAGATAGATAGATAGATAGAGCACAATGCGACATGTCTAGACACTACAGGAGTTGTGCGATCTTTCATGTAACTATATGCCCATTCACAATACCACTTTATGCGACGTGACATGCCACTTGCGGCAAGCTGTGACCGCGACACACAATACACTATCTTTTGGGTTTTCGCGACATCCCAATGCAGTGCATGTACTATGCAGTATGCATGTGCACCCAGAGTAGAAACTGCATTCCATTTCGTACAGCGTGCATCGCACATCGATGATCAACTCAAATTGGTATTACCGTATGTCAGCGCCTTTAAAGCCATGGCCTTATATTCGAAACACTGCTGTTTTCCTAGCTAATTTAGATGTAAAATCACTCACCCACTACGCCATGCCATAAAAGTCAAAGTCCACACAGAAATTTCAATCTAAATCCACTTGTTCACCCTTCCGGCTGGGCTGTAAGTTTGTTAGTATACTGTAAACCGTGAAATTATTGCCATGGTCTAATTTCTGCGAAATTCGCGACCGCGTGGAAATCGCGAAATTGAGACAGCGCGAAAAGGAGATCCATGGAGGGTGTAGCATGAATGCCACAGTAGCAAATTCTGCAATCGCAAAATTAAAACCTCGCAAACCTGTCCGGATTCTGAAAACGCGAACTATAAACGCTGCGAAAATTTCACGCTTTACAGTAGTACTTATTCCTTCATTTTTACAAAACCTACTTCGAATGTCATTTTATTTTAATGTCATTTTATTCATGGCTTTATAACCAGAGACTGGCTTTATAATCGAATATACCTCCATGGCTTTAAAGGTGCAGACATACGGTATGAATGCGCCTTTAGACTCACGAACCTATAGTCACAGGGCACGCGGTTCTGCCATATTCACAAGTCAAGATTACGCATGTTATACTTGTGCCGTATCATCGGAGGCAGAGTGTATTACACGGAACAAGAAGGCACACGGCTACTTGGTTGGCGCTCTGAGTTTCTTACAGTAGGCTAGCATCAGGCAACATAGAGACGCTGCTGCAACCACCAAGCCTTGTACCTTGTTGTTCTGTTTGCACGTACGTGTGACATATCCATAACAATACCTTAGGTCGCCATGTGACCAAGAAAGCATGCATACGTACAAATGTGTGTACATGCACATGTACTTCGAAGTAAAAAAAAAGAAGATATCCTCAAATCCAGCAGTTTGATTGCTTGAGGGGAAAATACTTGACTTGCACTGTCATAGCTGCTAGCTTTGCAGTTGAAGCAAAGACTGGAAAAGAGGACACACCCGTAGGCAACAGGCGCACACCGCCAACGCCATAACCCATTCAGCATAGTGACGTAGCAGTGTTACTGTGTATGGTTGACATTTTTGGAGCTCCGATATCGCCGTCATAATCATGCCCTCAACAGCCCTGGGCGGCTTATCGCCCCAGGAAATACGGAAAAGGGAATGTCTTCCTGGACCTTCCCGAAAGCCTTTACGCCTTTTGGAGCGCGAAGCGGTGAGTTACTCACTGCGTTGGAAACAAGTAGAGGTTCAAAAGAACCTGGCATTGGTATCCAATATGAAGGTCGACTTTGTAGGCTGACTTTAGATTCTATATCAGCTCAAGAAACACTGAGCTCAAGTGGAATTGTTGGGGGTGGTGAATGTGCTTCCGCCACACCCGCGATCGACACTAGGAACGTAACTGTCCACGTTCAAGAGGTACCACTGTGGGTGGGATTTGAGTGTATTCAGAATGCTTTGGCTAACTATGGAGAGGTGCTTGGGATTACCTTTGCAAAGACCCGCCTTCCCAGTAGAGTGTTTATTTTGAATGAGATTCGATTCGTCACCATACGACGAAAAGCGGAGAAAACAACCATTCCCTCCTACATTTCTGTCTCGGGGCGAAGGGTTCGAGTTTGGCATCACGGGCAACAGCAAACGTGTCGAGTTTGTGATAGGGTTGGACATGTTGCCAAAAATTGCACATCTACCGCAACCACGAAGACTACGACATCCCCACCGAATACGGATACAACCAGCAGCGCAGAATGTGCGGTGGATACGGGAACGGACCCCCGCAATTACGAGAGATCACCTCCACCAGTGAGCAACAACGCAGAATGTGCGGCGGCTACGGGATCTGACCCCCGCGCTTGCGAGAATTCAAATGCAAGTGAGCCCGGCCGAAACTAGTCCTTCAAAAGCCAAGGAAGTCCCATCGGGGCTCCCCACTGGCGAAACTACGCAGGCGGCAAAGGATGCGTTTTCCGCTGCTCACCCATCCTCCGCCGCCGTGACAGCCGCCTCCTCTTCTTAGAAGTCAAGATCCAATCTTCCAGATAAAACAGACGGCGGCAAGCCAGAAAACTCAGAAAGCACAGCAGATTCTCATGCCGACACCAACAGCATAAACTTAACGCAGACTGATCAAACAAACAACGGCACTAATCCTCGCCACAGTGATGACCCAATACCAAATTCTGAAAACTCCGTCGATGCAGGTTCAACAGCTACAGCAACACGAACGCCAACTCTTCTGGCAGCATCTCCTCCAACGATCCGATCACCAGCCACTTCCATGCCCTGTTCGTCCGTTTTCCCCTCCAAGAAACGTCGTCTCACCGAGTAGGATACGTTACGATCAGACTTTGCTAAAAGCTATTTGAAAAAAAAGAAACAATAAAAAATGGTCCGTGTGTGTCTACTAAACTGTCAAAGTGCAGTAAAGAAGATCTCCGAACTGACATATCTATCAACCCTTATCCGACCGTCAAAGTGGACAAATTCTCAGTCCCAGCGAAACACCGCGACTCATCTTCTTGATAACTTTAGTTTCCCTTGGGTGATATTGGCAATCTTGGGCTTTTCGGAAAGCTTGAGCCACGAGGAGTTCTCTAGAAACAGTTTCTAGCCTTCATTTGTAAGAGGAACAAAAATCCATCTCCAATTCCATTTTTTGAAGAGAAGCACGGCTCATCGACATGTGGACTATTTGTAATCTTAAATTTGTACTTTCCTGCTACACCTTTTGAATACTTATACCATCAGGGAAGCCTCCTGGCAAAGTTTCAGGAGGGCAATATAATCATTGCCAAAGTTACATCATTTGCAAACTTCTTTCAAACTTCTCTTTGGAACATGCTAAGACGCTCCGGTTTTTTTGCAAACGAATGGTGGGTCTTTCTAGCTTCATTTGAGTCCAAAATGGTGCAGATTCGATCAAAAAAGGTGAGTTACAGCTTATTAAAGTCATCGACGGATAGTCGTCGATTTTTGACTGGACGGTCGGATAAGGGTTAATGGGGAAGTTAAGCCTAATCAGATTTTCACCAGTTGTAGTCTTCGGGGTGCCGAGTCGAATGGTCTAACCGTTTTGGTCCGTGGAAGCTGAGACGCTCCGTTTCTCCTTTATTCTCAATTGAACTCGCCACTTCCACCCAAACTGGGTGACTGCGCCCTACTAGATGGGGATTTGTGTGCAAAATGTCACTAAAAGTGCCATTTCGTTCTTATAAAAGCACGGATGAACGCGACTGGCCCATATGTTGTAGTCTTTTGGACGCTGAGTCGACTGGTTTTGGTCCGAGAATGCTGCGTTTGTCTTCGCTCACTGCTGAGCTCATTACATGCCTGGTGCTTGTTTGTCCGAAAACACCCCTTGACATAGGCACTCCAGCCTCTGGGTTATCCGTAATTATCAATAAATATATAAATAAAGAAGCCATAAAGAAGCAAGTAAATAAAGAAGCCATAAAGAAGCCGTAACTTGTAGACACAGCAATGGCCATACCTGCCGATAGTAGCGTCTTCCAAGGATATTCCTGCCTGCATCAAGTCGGTCAGCAACAGCCGTACCGTACACCTAACCGCACATAAAAAGCACATAGAAACAGCGGGGCAGATATCAAACAGTGTTGCATCGCCAACCTTGATTGGGTGTGGGTCGCTGCTGCTCTCACTGCCACGTAATGGCCATACTGGAAGGTGATGCTACTGTTGGAAACAACGCTTTTCATGTGTGTGTTTCTTTCACCGTGTACTGATGCACTATGCTACTTGGTGCTTGGTACTAACCTCAAGGCTGGCTGTGAACACAACCACATCATACCATTTGCTAACCTGCGGTGAGCAGAAGAACAGAAAACAAACGCATCGCACGTCAAAGCATAGCATAGCACTTAGCACAAGACGTGGACGTGAGTGCCGAGTCCTAAAGACAATATAATCCTACAGCAGTGGCTGAATCACAAAGCAGCATGCTACTACATATACTACAGACATATTATGAGACCTCTTTCTGACTTTTTGGCGAATAAGAGGATGAGCACGAGTCGAATGCTCCTCCGTTGTCTTGGTTCGAGGAGCCGTAGGAACTCTGTAGAAAGCCACATTCGTGGCAAACTGTGCTTGTTCATCCATAAGCTGCTCCGAGCGGGACTCGTCTTGTGTTCGTTTCGTTGAGGAATGCGAAAAGATTCGTTTTATGTTCGTTTCATTGCGTAATGCAAAACGTCTCTACTGTGCTGTTTCGATTACAATAATGGTCAGAAGGTGCATATAACACCAGGTAGGCCATTGCAATGTAGGATCTCGACATTCTGAATTCCCATCGCTGCCAGGAAAGAAGCCAGGAAAGAATAACTTACTTGCTCAAGGAAGTAGTCGACATGCGGACGTTTATGAACGAAGAATCTGACAGGGTGCCTATGGATCATAACCTGCCAAGAACAAGGAATAGTGGACAGAGAGACAGCCACACGAGGTCAAACAGACATACACATACACGGCTATACAGGTGCGCATGCAAGAGTGCACCAGCAAAACAATGCGTGCCCTAAAGAGACGCACTCTGCAAGCACAACAACGTAGTACACGGCATCACAGCAAGCACAGCGAGGTCGAAAGGAGTACCGTAGTGACGCGCATATAAGCACATGTGCCTATACCCGGGCATAAGCGCATCCTCACAAATAAGCGCATGGGCTCATAAGTGAACCTACAAGTAAATGCAGTCCATCCCGTGACACACAGACACCACAAAACACCATGTTCACATAGTTCAATGTGTATTGCGGTATTGCATTATGTGCATAATTATGCAAGGTACCAGTACACTAGCAACTCAAGCGCATGCGCCTATGTGTGAGACAAAACGACCCGCAAAAAATAGCAAATAACGCAAAAACTCACTCATAAGCGCGCGCATGGGCCTTTATGTGCGTCACTACGGTATACCTCTTCGAATTAGTGGAGAATTCAGAAATCCTTTGCAAGAATAGAGCGTGGGCTACCCACCCAATACTATAAGCACGAGCTGATTCTCTTTCTACACATACTTGACAGATGCTGACCTTCTTCAGCAGAACTAAATGCTCATGGCAATCAGCACTGGCCAATACTGCAATGACCAAACACAACATCCTTCAACTTACCCTGATGACGAAGTCTGGCTGCGAGTATTTCATGGGTTGCCTACAAGTGCAGCATTAGGACAGGACAAGGAATATGTTTAGATAATAACATAGCGTGCATCATGGTGCACACGTGATGGTGCTGTGCAGAACAGCACAATGCCATCACACATGCATGCCAATACTGGCCATCGTGATACACAGAACAGCACAATACCATCACGCATGCATGCCAATACTGGCCATCGTGCTGCACAGAGCAGCACAACACTATCACACATGCATGCCAATACGGCCATCGTGCTGCACAGAACAGAACAGCACCATCACACATGCATGCTAATACTGGCCATCGTGCTGCATAGAACAGCACAACACCATCACGCATGCATGCTAATACTGGCCATCGTGCTGCACGAAACAGCACAGCACCATCACGCATGCATGCTAATACTGGCCATTGTGCTGCACAATAACAATGACACAGCTGGCTTACAATGCTGCTGCGAGACATGGTTGACTGCACAGCCCAGTGCTCGGCGTGCACACATCCAGCAGTGTGCCCACAGGTAGATACCGTATTTTCTGAAATTGGGGCCGGTCTTTTATTACCGCCTGTCTAAAATAAGTGAAACATCATTTTTGGACCTTTCCGTGGATTTTCTTCAAATCAGGCGAAAATTTAGGGCTCGTACACTAGTAAGCGCCCCGGCCAGTATTGCCGGAAATACGGTGCATGGACCAGAGGTAGGATTTCACTCCAGTGCATCTTTCCTATGGGCAAAGAGCGCAACACATACTATTGGATAGCTCGGAACTAGAAGGAACGTCCGGTGCAATCCAAAAGAACATACTCAAAGATGACACAACTGCAATGTGCTGCCCGAACATATACTGGTACTTACCCATCCAAATGTGAGTGTATTAGCGTCTCGTCAAGATCCAAAACTAGTGTTTTACGAACCACCAGCTCTACAAACGCAAACATCACAGTAGCAATCACGAACGAGTCGAATAGAACGCATGAAACATGGGATATTGGACACACAGTTCATGACAAGTGCCCGGGCAAATGCGTATAGGCAATGGCCAGGAGAACAGGTTTCCTGAGTGGCAAGGCGAGCACAGTCTACTGAAACACAACCGGGCATGAACATGAGATGTGATTTCGCGAGTGGCAAGTGCATGATATGAGTATACAGTGAAACCTATCTAAGACGACCGACCTCTCAAGGCACCTTCAAAACGTGGTCTCTGTTACCAGGTGGTCTCCTTATCCAGGATCATTTGCCTGGAAACCTTATCCGAGTGACCGCTTTGACAGGTTTTACTGTGGGCTTGGATAGCACGGGACATACAATGTACGCAGTGCAGGACAAGGTAACGTGCATGCCATCACCTTGCACGGAAATGGGTCAACAGCCTACAACTGACCTAGTCGCGAGTGGAGTGCCGGAGTTAGCGGGAAATCATGGTAACGAATTGTTTGAAATTCCTGAACCTAGGGAAACACAAACAAAAAATTGCCCAACACAAGTACAAGCTTGAACACAATCATGCAATCTCAGAATTACACACAATGGACATACAAATGACATACAATTGACGCAAGTACACACTAAGACTTCCAAGAGTTATTTCACATCTAGGTACACTCGCAGATTGAGTACACTCAGCATATACATGGTTGTGTTGTGTGCGCATGATCCAAAAGCCCTTCTCTGGCACAAAGCCTGGACTTGAGTCGGAGATAGTACTGCATATACATGGTAATGTTGTGTGCGCATGATCCAAAAGCTCTTGCCTGGCACAACAACACATGGACTTGAGTCGGAGATAGTGCTACAGTACTATTAGGCGCCGAAGAACGGAGTGCCGCAGAATGAACAGGGTGGAATTTCACCAAGCACAGCACACTGATACATACATGGTGACTCCATGCGCATAGACTGGTGTACATGAAAAAATTAATAAGAATGGCCTAGCTACGACTGGTGTACATGAAAAAAATAATAAGAATGGCCTAGCTACGAGCCCCCCCCCCCCATTCTTTGGCACCCGACCATACTGTACTGGCTTTTCAAAGAGGGCATAGGGTGCATATATTATACTATCTGTAGACTGTGCTTCTATGGGAAAGCGTGTTATAAGAATGTGCTCACATTTTATTATCGCTACTGCCGGTCTTCCACGGCAATGCGAGGTAGTGTATGATTGTAGAAAGGTGTCAAGCCACTACATATCAGTCCCTGGTATCAGGGGTTTCATGTGCAGCAATACGCGACAGTGCTACAAAGCGCTACGAAGTGCTGATCGACTATGACCCCCTTCATTCGCAAGGTGAGCCTCTACCATTTCCAAGCGAAGAAAAAAAACGGCAATAGTCTTATCAAGTACATGTACTACAAAAAAAGTACACGAACATACTGTCGTGGACATGGAAATCCGGTCGGAGGCCAAGCGGACCCAGGGCGCTGGACATTCAGCCGTGAGTACACATACATGGGCGGCAGTAGCTGTGAACACATCACCTCACAGCATGCTAGCAACGAGTTACGTTCTGATTGCACTGAGGGCGCCGGCCCCGGTCATTCGACCGGATTTCCATGTCCATGACAGTACATGTATAGACGAGGCTATTAATTTTATGTGGAGACTACAGTAGTGAATGCAACTGCACTTGATCAAAGTGGATACATGTACATTCACTAGCTAACATGGTTAACATGTTATGCTTTTTCAAGATGAGTTTGGACGCTACGTGCAGCTTCATTATAACCAATTATGTTGTGGGCTAACAGCCACACCTCAAATTGCACTGCTTTCTACACTTTACTCAAAATTCAAACACTTTTTCATTCGTGTTATAATTTTTCATACGTGTTTTTTCTCAGTAAGAATGTAATCATCAGGACAGAAGATTAAGACAGCGCTAAATGAAAGAAATGGAATGTACAGATCTCCCACATCTTCGATGCAAGAGCACCATGTGCTCACCACGGAACTCACATTTTTGTAGTGCTTATTTATACAACTCCATAAGAAAGAGCACAGCTGTAGAATTGCTCGGACTATGCTCCACATCCTTAGTTAGGTCAGCTCATTTCCTTTGCTTGTCGCTGAGGCAGAGAAGCCGGGTGGCAGAAGTCCCGAGCGATTCAAATTATAGGAGCTGAAAGGTAATCATTTCCCAAAATAGTTCATCACATTTGCATTGACAAAATCCACATCACAAGTTTTGCTGTGGAGTGGAAGGCAAGCAAAACAAAACCTACTTGAAATCAAAAGAACGCAGCGTCGTACCGGTTACGTTCGTGATTTTCAAATTTTTCATTGACAAGTGCACGTGGACGTGGCTGCTACGTCATGTGTAGCATCTTTCAAAATTAATAGCTGGCTGCACTCGAAATCAGGTCCAGATTCCAGAAAATGAAAATAGTCGAAATACATCTTCTCCAAACCTCGAGTGTAGTGATCAGTGAATTCATGAAGCCAGAAACTAACTGTTACTTATCCGACGTGCTTGTTGTTGTACTCATCTTCAGTTCATTCTGTTAGCAGATCACCCTGTGCGCGAATACTCTCCATATCTGTGAGCAAATTCTGTTCTGAGGCTGACATTCAACATGCAGTATTTCAGTGGTTGGGCTGGAAAAGCTGATGAGCCAGACGCTGAAGAGGGAAAATCTGCTGAGGGAGCAGGGGAGGACAATTCCTGGATGCATGGCTCTTGGTTCGCGAAAGCTCAAGAAGATCCGTGGATGCCAGCCTTGGTACACTAATGCATGGTTCGTCATTTACTTTACCTCCATCGATTTAGAATCCCTCATACCATGTGTTTTTTTCTTTGTGTTCGATTGCTTTATGTTAGTCGCGCAAACAACGCTTGATGGGCTTCATACTTTGCCTGTTGGCTGGTGGATTCTGCTTCTTAGTAGTAAGCAATGCCTGTGCTAATGCACTGACACAACATTGAAGCATTGAAGCACCTATGCACCGAGGATGAAGGGGGAAATGTGGGAGACGTGCACTTCCCGACAAGCATTGAAGAAGAGATAGTGTTGCCGTGAGGTTCAACCATTGGCAATCATTCCTGTACAGTAAAACCTGCCCTAACCGGACGCCTTTGGTGCAGCGGAAATTGTCCTGATATGACAGGATTCCACTGGATCCAGAGATGCAGGTTCGATCTACAGCACTTTGGTGCATGAAATTTGTCCAGTCAATACAGGATTCCGCTTCGTGCAGGGTCCGGCAAACGCAGGTTTTACTGTGCACCCGTAGTACATTCCGGTTCTCCAGTTCGGTTCTGGATCGTGTATTCCTAAACCGCACCATATCCTGCATACCGGGGAGATGACACAAGACAGTATCCACATTGTCCGTGGCCTGTGCAATTCGCGATCTCGCAACCTTGACCTGCTGCCCCCCCCCCCCCCCCCTGAATTCTGCCCAGCTCAACAATACTATTATGTGAGCATGCATGAATGGGCCCTGCCCCAAGGGCGACAGGAACGGGCGGCCCATGAGCGAAGCCCACATCCTTCCACGTTCCAGTTGCATGTGTTGCCTCCCTAGATGCTACGACTCCCTGCTGTAACTATACTACTGGTAATTGTGCGCATGTGACACATGCATGCGCACACGCACACACACACACACACACACACTCGCGCACGCACACACATACTCACACACACACTCGCATGCACACACACACGCACGCGTGCACACACACAGACTAGTTAGTAATTACCTATGAAGAGACCTTGGTCCCCAAAGTACGGCGATAATGTGTAGAAGAGGAAGAACAGTTTCCTACTGTCAATGAGCCGCTGGACTTATTATTTTTATGATGTTGTTCTTCCTTGCGTAGGCATTCATGATACTGCCAGTTCTGATCCTGAAAGCGAGAAAGTTTGCTGTCCTTTATACGTTGGGGAGCTTGTTCAGTGTTGGAAGGTATGTATTTTAATAATTTTATAGTGACCTCATAGATCTTACGATGCAACAACAGTGTTTGCGGTTATCCTGGCAGGAGAGCAGCTGTCATGAAGTCACGTAGTTGCTTCGTTTCGATCAAGTATCCTTATGCCGTGTTGGGGACCGGCACAGATGAGCAGAAAACAATCACGTTAAATACGAAGTACAGTGAAGCCATTGTCATTGTTTGCCTGAATGTTTTCAAACTCCAGCTTTGCCTTCCTGTGGGGGCCGTACAGTTTGCTGAAGCACCTCCTGTCACCAGCTGTCTTGCCATACTCGGGTCTCTGCGCCGTCAACATGGCCGCCACTCTGTATTGTGGAATGTCGGTGAGAGCTCGCATGCGAATCTATGTGCTATGCTGAAACGGGACGGGTACAGGCTGGGTACAGTTTCTGTAGGGACATTTGAGGCTGTATGAAAAGGAGGGAATCGTCTGCTGACTTACCTAACATAGGGTCTTGTCTTGTGTGTTAAAAGCCTCATATAGACGCCTGTTTTGAATACAAGCCTGCTTTTCAAGATGAGCAGTTGGCACACGACTCTGGCTTTAGTCTTGACATACATAGTAACAAGAGTCCATAACCCCCAGAGTGTGCAACGCCACACAAATCTCTGTCACGACTCGTTTTCAACATTACGTCATTTTTCATGTAGCTGCGCGTGCAGGCCGCGGCATTCCCTACATGAAAATGACGTAATGTTGAAAACGAGTCGTGACAAGACCCTATCGCGCGTTACACACTCTGGGGGTTATGGACTTTTGATAGTAATACCTGGTTTGAATCGGAATCCTAGCACTGACATCAGCTTCGACAGTAATACGCTCGGCATTTATACGCGCCGAATACGGTATGTAGCAGACATGAGCACGTCTACCATGAGAGAACAGCACCATGTTTCGAACCATGAAAGCTCCGAACTCAATGTGGCAGGTGTCTGTACATATACCGTGCGCTAGTAGCAATACTGCAGTAGAGTGTTTTAGTGGTACACTGAAGCAAATTTAGTTTTTGTTTGTTCACCACTTTTATCGCTATCATCCTTTTTACACAGGCTCTTTTTTGTAGCTGTTTGCACCTGCAGTGCTGGAAGCAATGGTTTATTTAAAATTTACTTGTATTGCTGGCTCGCTTTTTGCATCCTCTGCAGCTCCACAGCACTATTCTGACGATAGTGTTCGCCGGCCTTCAGATCCTATCGCTTGCGTAGTAAGTATGTAGTGTGGAATTACGTCACTGTCATGCTTCGGCATTCTAAATGATGATAAACCAACCTGAATAACAGTCGACCCCATGCTACTGTACTGTTAAGTTGCATGAGGAGGATCCTGACCCTGTACTACTTCTGTGCGACTGCTGCTGTTCTAAGTATGCACCGCAATGCCAGTAGATATTATGGGCCCGTATGCCGCAGTACTAATACGTTAGGGGCCAGTCTAATGTCCCTCGCTGTGCTGCATTGGTGTATACTTGAGTTACAATGGAGTCCGCCACACCCTGTAAATTTGGAAAATTGGATCAGGTTGGGATTGATTTATGTTTTGTGTAATTCCGACCAACCGACTAATTTCTATACGATTTCTGAATTTCATGCCATTTGCCGCTGATAAGCCCATTGCGCATTGCCAAATATGGAGTGCATAAGTAATGCACGTGATCTCGTGAGTACACTGGGATCAGGAGTGCACTGTTCAACACCCCACACGATCATGCCCAGGTCACCGGCCAGGTGGCTGTGTGGGGTGTTTATGTCTTTATGATGCGAATAATTACGTCATTGCGCAATGGGCTTATACGCTGGTGCGCTTCTTTGCCACTCTACTGTGTGTTCCAGCTTTGTTCTCAGCTACATCCCAGGTGGAACTGCCGGCTTAATGTTCATGGGGAAGGTGGCGAGAAAGGCTGCAACGTCCACCATCGGGACGATCATGTGACTGTGAATAGCTGGCATCCGTGAAATACGTCTTGGAAGCAACAGGCAGCGCACGGGTGTTATTATCATCCCGGACATTGCCGCTCTCCCTTGCTGGATGTGGTTCATGCGTTGAACTTCCGCAGCAGTGAGATATCTCCAGTCAACCCGCCGCTGCGAAGCTCTTTGAACAAGAGCACCAGTGCCAGCAGGAGGAGTGCCAGGCCACAGTTGAGTGAAACATTTCGCGAGCAATTGGTCTATTCGCAGGAACCCATGCTCTCCCAGGAAATACCAGTTCACTGTTTCAAGGTCTGCAGAGCGTAATAATTTAATTGTATCTGTGACACCAACAAACAGGTGGACCTACATAAAAGGCGTTTTCACCCAGCAAGGCAAAGAACTGTTGCACTTTAATTTGTTTAAGACTCGGTCTTGCCCATTGGTGCCTTTAGTTACCATGCAGTTGGCCTCTTACAAAACGCTCGTTTTCCACAAATTGTCATCTTGCACAATGATACATGGCTACCAATTAGTGTTGGCCCTTTCTGTGTTCAATAATGATAAAACTCCGAGCTGAGCAGGCTCCAGGATCGACATTGATACGTTTTTTAAATATATGCCCTCTTGCTAGCTGGTTTAGCGAAGACTTTCCAACCCTCTGCTTATTAATTAATATACGGCCCACTAGTGTTCGCCTGTGTTTTTGTTTCCCGCGTCTATTTTTAAATTTGTGTAAAATAAACAGACGTGCAGTGTTTGTTATGTATGCACTGTATCCGAGATGGCGACTCCAAGGCGTACCGGTAGCTACTGTCAAGAGTCCATAATAATTATGGACTCTTGGACTCTTGCTACTGTTTATCTTGCTCATACTAGTCATGGTCATAGCTGCACAGTGGTGGCCTGGACTCCCTAGAGCCAGAGTGTGCAGCAGAAGTCGGCTCATCTGTGCACGATGTTGGACTCTCGTCCACAATCTCGTTTGTTTTTGCAAGACCATCGCACCAATCGACGCAGGCTGTCACCCATGCCTTTCGTGCTTGCTACGGGCACAAACACATCGCACTGGCGATCCGTAGTTTCCTAATCTCATTTCTATTAGTGAACCGTGAACGAACGATGCATAGTTATTTTACTCCAAGGCCGAAGAAGGGCTTGCCGCTTACTATAGAGTGTGACTTGCAATACTACTCTCAAGTGGATACAGACATGGGATCCTGATAATGTTGAAGCCCAAATTACCCTGGAAACAACTCGTAGTTGTATCAGGGAGTAGCAACTAATTACTTACTACTCCCTGGTTATATCCAAACATGAACCCAAACACAACATGACATCAGAATGGCAGAATACTCGCAATGCCACGCCGAGTTGCAGCATGCACTATCGACACGGATTTTGCGCACTCTACGCTATACATGGCTAGCAGGGTCTGTTCGCGCGTGCATTGCTGACAACGGATCATTGCTGACCAGTACAGTATACATGCATTAAACGTCAAATTACGCTTTGCTGACTTAGAATATTCAGCAGGAATCCACCCAATTTCCATCTACTACCAGGCTGTGCTTATAATGTTTCGAAATGTGGTCACGGTGTGCTAGTAATCATGGAGACCTGCGCTTATAATAGAGAATATTATGGTATGTTGTGGGACTTCTACCATGGCGAACTCGCTAGGAGAAAGATGTGAAGCTGGACTGAAAAAGGGGAAAGAAAAGTTAGACCACCCCAGAAATGTGTTGAAAATCGAAAGCACACCGCAATGTGTTTGAATTAATTATCGTGATTCCACCTGGATTAAACCGACGCGCACTCATTTCGACAAAACAAATCACGATCAAAGCACTTTGTTACATCAGTCGGAGTGTCTGGCTCTCCGTGTAGAACAGGAACAACTAGCAGTAAGCATGAGTGAGCACTGACAACTAGCCTCTAGTCGGAGTGCACACAGTGGATGGCCAACTGGACTTGTAATGAGTCGAGTGCCTTCAATCAGGTCTTGCTTGCACTGGTAGAAGCTGCTTTGATCATAGCATCCTTGCACGCCCTTGCGCACTCGCTAAGGCCGCCACTATACTGAATGCGCGCAACGGCCCAGCCACTTTTCTTCAGCAGGGAGACCTTGCGTTCTGAGACACCGTTGAGCTTCTGTGAATTCTTCAGTTGATCTACGTACATCGCGAATAGCACTGCGACAGGAATACCGGCCCGGTCGTAAGTAGCATCTCCGGAGACGTTGGAAACATCCAACGTATCGGGCCATTGGGCTAAGAAGCCGGTGTCCGGATCAATTATCCCGCATACCCACGCGTAACCTGCGCCTGGTACATGCACTGCTGTTCGAAGTCCTGGCGCCAGGGTTTGTATATCTTGCGCCACGGTTCCGAATCCTGTTAGCAGGTCAATGTTGGTGCCAACCGTGTGAAGCAGCCAGTCAAGGTGAGGTGGAGCGAGATGTACGAGCTGCTCTAACAGACTCAACCAAAAGTATGAATACAACGCAGGGTGCGTTCCCATGCCCGCTTGGTCGAGTAACTCCCACATTCTAGACATCGTTAGTGCAGGTGGTTCCAGGCCTTGGCCTACGTACGCCCAGTTGAAGACGATGTATTGGTGCACGTTGTCCGTGTGCTCAAAGCTGCTGTCTGGTCTCTGCACCTCCCGCTCCACCATGTCGAACAGCTCCGTAACTGGATATCGCATGTAGCTGAACAAATAGAGAAAGTACTGGGCGTCCACGACGCCTTGCACCTTACCTGAATGCACTAAGCAAAGGAGGTATTCCGCGAAACTGCTCAGAAACGCTCTGTGATAGATGTTCAGCTTAATGGTGGCGCGAGCAACCCTGGCAATGAGCTGTTGTTGCCGTTCGTTTTCTGGCACACCATAGGAGCCGAGGAGGATGGCAAGGTTATCATAGCATTTAATAACTAAAGCCATGCTTATGGCAGATTGTGGGGGTACTTTCAGTCCCAGCGCATGGATCAGCTCCAGTTGAGGCTTCGTCGCTACATCCACCGCCAGCCACTGTAGTTCTCGTACAAGCACTTCGCGGGCTCGGTACAAGCCGTTCACTGCGCACGCCGACAGCTGATGGATATAACGAACAAGCCGCAGGATGTTCAGTACGTCTTCAGAGCCAATGCCGCTCTGGTCGCTTTGATTAGCGAGGCCCTGCAGAACATGCTCCAGATATTTCAGTGGTGCTCGTGAATTCCTCTTAGATAGCAACTCAATGGATCCATTCTGCTTGACAACCGCTCCCAACACTTTCCAGTCAACTGGTGACTGTGCATCTTCACAAAGAGAATACAAAATCTTCTTGCAAATCGCTACTTTCATCCATTCTGCCAGTGGAAAGTTACAAACATCACGCAGCAGTTTAGCTCTCTCAAGCGGGCTGCGTGTAATGGCTGCTGCTAGGAACTCGTCACTGAGTTCTTTGCCATCGCCTGTCACCTGCAGGGGAGGTAGATTATGTTGCGCTTGCAGGCTCGGGTGTAGCGTCGCTCCGATCTTCCCTCCAGTGCCAAGATAGCTTTGGCAGTGCCGTGTGCCTGCGCAGGGTATTCTTGCCACTATTGGCAACGAGGCCCGTGTAAGCTTCCATAGCCATCTCATGGACAGCGGCGACTGAATAAGTCAGTTCACAAGCGCACAACGTGACGTACAAGCCAAGGCGTAGTGCAATCACTCACGATCACGGCAGGGGCTGCCGACTCTGAGACTCAAAGTGATGGTCTTCATAACAAGTAAACACGACAACAAGCAAATTCGACAGTCGGCCCCAGAGAAGGCAGACACCTTCACAAGGACTTAGGACCTAAGTCCTTGGCTTGCCAGTATAAATCATGGTAATTGTAAGGACATAGTAACTAAAAAAACCTTTCATAATAGTTGGCAAAATAAAAGCCATCATTTTTACCAGAGAGTCGTAAAAATTAATAATTATTTTACGACTCCCTGATTTTACTAAAAATTAAAAAAAATGCTGTTTGCACGCCAGAAGAGGGAAACTCCCTCGCTCAAGCCGAGGTCATGCATGTACTGTGCATGTGAACCAGGGAGTAGTACAATAATTTTTGTACTACTCCAGCTCCCTGCTGTGAACAGTGATCGCGTAATCTTTCTTTTTGCTTTCAAAATCATCCTCCTTGAGCATGTAGCTAGCCTTGCGCAGCTTGCAGCTTGGGGCACAACCTCCATTACAAGTAGTATAGACATCGTAGATTCTAGGACCAAGGCAAGAGAGAGAAACCGAGACAGACTTAGTGCATTTCAATTTCGTAGTCCCTCGTGTTGGAACTTCATATATTATTCGGAACCAAAATAATTATTATTTCCTTGTACACTCCCTATGATCTGCAGGCTGCGCAGCTTCCTGTGAAGTGGTGAGCCGTGTTGATGCAGGGACTTCTGTGGCTGGGTGAATAAATTCACTAGCTGTTCGCCTGGATTTGATAAGACCAGTGGCAGCCGACAAATCATGAGCCGGTGGCTGGTTGTCATTCCTGTTTTGCTGCCGCAGTCCGCGGCGGTCTGCTATTTTCTCTTTCCGAATGTTTCGCTTATCGGGCTTCTGACCGCGTCGGCTGCGTTTCCTTTACTAGTGGCTGCACTGGCGAGTAAGAACCCGGAGATCATCATGCTGGTGTTGCTACCATTCCTGGCAATTTATCAAGCTTTCAGCCTCCTGTCTGAACCGATTCGGAAGTTCTTCAGCCCGCCGGACATACGCTATGTAGCGAAGGGCAAGGTGAAACGAGTGGCTGTGATTGGCGCGGGCAGTGCAGGAATAACAGCTGCCAAGGAAGCGATGCAAGCAGGTAACGTATTTCGGTGCCTCAATGCAGCTTTTACTGTTTTAGAGTAGAATGGCCCTTTGCCAAGACTGCAAGACTGTACATAAACCGGAGGGTGCAACTCTGCAGCTGGTCTGGTCCATGGTGGAATACTTTGACATTTTGTAAAGTTGACGTCAGAATCTACTTTTCAGAACGCATGGCGCATGTCGTGCAATGCACACGCAAAGCAGTATGGCTAATGAATCGTAATGATGATCTCCAGAAAAGTTGAAGCCGACGAGAAAGTGCGCTCTGGGCCAAACCAAGCGGAGTTGCACAGTCTGGTTTATGTACAGTGCTGCTCCAGTCTCGTCACCCAAGTTTGCGCCTTGCGTCATTTCGCAGCCCAGGGTTCTAGGGCTGCGCAACGCCCCGTGCTATAAACTTGAGTGACGCGACTGGATTTCATTGAGCAGCACTGTACTCTTGTCTTTACTGATATCCATGGCTACCCCGGGCAGGCTATCGACAAGACAGCTTGTGCCCATTGGCCCTTGGCTTGTTGGCCGTCAGTCATGCACTGGAAAGCAGGACGTGGTGGCAAGGAGTATTTCTTGGACAACTGCTGGCGGAGTAAACTGCCTTTAGGTGCATTACCATAATATTATGATGTCTTCTTCAACTGGATGAAGCTGGAAGCTGACAGAAGTGGCTTCATAGGGCATCCAGGTGGTAATATGCTCCGGAAATCCGTCAAGGTCATCAGATTTCAAAGTGCGCACTGCTTGGTGAGTGCCTTGCATCTTGTCAGTTTGGACTTCCCCACCTCCATTGACATGATGCGTTGCGCCTCAGTGCTCCGCTGCCGTGATCCCGAGCTTTGGCGCTTGGAGATAACGCTTACATGGTCTCGACGCCAAGTCTCAGTCGTACATGCCTCCGGACCATTAGCAAAGCTAGAACATATGAGCAAAGCCCATTATCGCCACCAGCTGCACAGTGCACAGCCTTTACAAGCAGCAAACACGACAGAAGTACTCCGGTGTGCGTTGACCGTTGTGCCATGCACTGTGCTGTCCACTATGGCTGCTGTCATCAGTCCACTGCAACTGCTTGCCGTACACCACATTTTTGCGCTGAGACGCAAAGCACTTGGGCTTGACAACACACATCTGAATCTACGCGACAGACTGTCCCATCGTGCACACAGCCACCAAAAGTAAAACTCATGGGCACGATCCACGGGCTTTTTCACTAGCCCTACTCGTTCTCTTGCGGCTGCCCACGGATTTCCCAATGCATACGAGATGAACAAGCATGGTAGTGGCTGTCACTATGGGAATCAAGGATCCGTCACTCGTCCACCCGGACGCAGGAAATGTAGGGCCTGATGACAGTACACTCGAGGAAGTGATACCCTTCTTAGTTCTAGGAACATCAGGTTTATGCTTATAGAAAAACGCCCTGTTCATCGACAGAGGAGAGGTAGAGAGTCTACTAGAGCCATGAAAAAAATTCTAACTACAGTAGTCCGAAATATCGTATGGATGCGAAAAACCTACCGTTCCAACAACTCTTTTTTCCAGACAGATACACACCTTCCTTCCACAGAAAAATCTCAGGTCCTTCACAGATCTTTCCTCACTTGGCAGTTCGTTCACGGGCTCTGCAGCCACCGGTGGCAGACCACCGGAAACTGTCTGCTCCATCTCAGAATGCAAACCGACAGTGTTTCACCATGCGCAACAGCTGATACTAAAATAGTATAAATGGAAAGCAAAGAGGTTGCCCGCGTCTCAAGTCGCGTGACCGGTATTGTGCAAGGGGTCTATTGACCGGGTGGGAAACTGGAAACGCATTTCTAGCACATTCCTTGTAATTGTTCGCGATCTCTCGTGCTGATTGCTTTTGTTGATCGCAGGACTCGATGTGGTTATATTTGAGCAGACCGCAGCGATCGGCGGCAACTGGGTATTCCGCGAGGAGGAGGCACACTCGAGTGTCTATCGTTCTACGGTGATCAACACGACTAAACAGATGAATGCTTTCTCCGACTATCCGATGCCAGATGAAACAGCTACCTTTCCGCATCACTCAGAGCTTGTCAAGTAAGTATGGCGGATAATGATTTCAACGTTCCATTTCTTTTCTGGTACATGTAGAGTACATGAGTGTCAGGCTATCAACCAGACCGGGTATAAGCTGCAGATGTATTCTCCTGTGTATGACTGTGTGTGTGGTGGGGGGGGGTAGGTGGGTGTGCCAACATTGTTGCCCATTCCACTGCCCGTCATGTAACCGGTGCTTTCGATCTGCTGCATTTAAATGGCACAATTGCGAGCGTGGCAAGCGACCAACAGCGAGGGAGCGTCTTGAGTTCAAGTTCTGCTGTGCGTGCGGCGAGAGATGTCGCAGACAGCAGGATCTGCAGCGGCATGAGGCCGGATGTTCTGCCGCGACGCCGTGATGCTACCCCTTTGTTCCCCTCCTCATGAGGGCAGCTTAGCCGTTTAACGGTAGCTGTTTGTCAAGGTCAAGGTGTGCGTGTGTGTGTGTGTGCGCGCGCGCGCCTCCCGCACGTGCGTGTGTGTGTACGCGTGCGCGCCTACCGCACGTGCGTGTGTGCATGTGTGTGTATATGTGTGTGCGACTTGCAGGTACTTTAACAACTATGCGGAACACTTTGACGTGGTCAGTAAGGTCCGATTCCACACCAAGGTGGTGGATGTGCAGCTGATTAGCCAGGACCGCTGGAGGGTTGTGTCGCGCGAAACCGATCCCGATGAAGTGGGAAAGCCAGACGAGAAGAATGCTAAGGTAAGATGATGGTGCGTCGTTTATATACAGTGCCTAGTTTGCTTTCTGCAGCGTGGCGTGGTGACCTGATGAGCGCGTGTGTGAGAGCTGTGGGCTGTGGCAGTGGTGCAGTGCCATGTGATGTCCGTGAAGGTGTGTGTTTCTATTTGTGTGTGGATGTGCAGAGTAGAAGTGAGCTACGGGGATGACTCTTTGGTGCTTCTAGTGCTGTGGCTCTTTCCGTGATGTTTACCTTGTTGCAGCTTTGAGTCATTGTCACGAACATGAGTCTTAGAGTAGAGACCAGTTGTCCTGCTCTAATCAGTATCTCAGAGCTACATTAATAGCAATAATAAAAGACAAAAAACCTCTTGTCGATGCGATGACAACGACAACAGTCATCATCCTCTGTAATCGTGTTGCGATTTGTTGCAGGTTCGTTCAGACTGCGAGTCACCGGTCCCTGATCCCAGCCAGCACATCACTGAGGAGTATGATGCCGTGATGGTGTGTAATGGTCACCATCATCAGCCTCTCTGGCCCGATTTCCCTGGTCAGGAGAAGTTCAAGGGCCATGTCATCCACAGTCATTCCTACAAGGATCCGACGTCGTGCGGAAAAGGCTTCAACTATCACAACAAACGTGTCCTGGTTGTCGGTGTTGGGAACAGCGGTGCTGACATTGCTGTGGAGCTGTCTCGAGTTACGGAAAAGGTATGTTCTTTAGCTTGACATCCTGTGTCCTACTGTGGGACCGGCCTGTCTGTATTCTACTCTGTGACACCGTGCAGACACGCCATGTTATGTTTCTGAACTACAGTCGAACTCGGATACTGAGCCAACATTATATGTAAAGATAAGAAAGCCTTCAAAGGACACGTGGGTACGAGTTGTGGCTCAGTAGTCCGTCAGTTTTGTGCTTAGCTATCGCACTTGCTGACTGCTTATTAACTTGTTACAGTAGTGGACAGTTACTCATACCTCCTACCCATGTGTTCTTTCAGTCAACCTTGTGAATAACGACCTGGGGTGTACACTGTAACAGTGGACTCGGGTATACAGTGTAACTGGATGATTTTATCAACAGGAAAATCACTTCGAACTAGTTTTCGTACCACTCTCATCTCGTCTCTTTTAAGAGACGAGATGTATAATAAAATGCCATGCTTAATATTACCGGTAAAATATTATTTAAAGCATGGCATTTTATTATATTTTTTATGTTTCTATGTACTTGACAGTTGTATCTCTCAACGCGCACTGGGCTATGGGTGCTGCCGAAGTTTGTCGACGGCATGGCGTTGGACCACACGTGGACTCTTAACCGTCTGATCCAAATGTGCCTACCCGAGGCCTTCACCCACACTTCCTTTTTCACCTGGCTCTTCTCCGACGTCGTGGAGTACAAAATCACAAAGTCCCAGGTACGTGTTGCCGCAGTCGTGTCCTGGCTGTCTGAACTTGGTGGGGCAAGCTGTTTTTCACGGGAGCGTTCTCTAAAAAAATCTAAGTCCTGCAGATTTGAGCAATGTCTAAATCTCCAATGTTGTCTCTATGCAATGTGTAGTCACGTCGTAGTTAGCCTTTTTCCTCCCGTTGTTCGAGTTGAATGTCTAGTGGGGCACAAAGTTTAGCATTTTATATATATAATATATATATATATATTATATATACTCAATCTGCGGACAGCATGTATATATATATATATATACACTCAGACACAAAGGATCTCCAAGTTTCTCAGTGTTGCTACTCTGAGTTTCGTGCAAAAGCACTCTTCAGGCAACTTACTCTTCTCTCACATCAGTATCCCTTTACATACCAGAAAAGACGAAAAGAAGCACCCTAGGTGGGAATCACAGGTGGAGAAAAGAAGCACGCTAGCCAGTCTAGGTGGGAATCACAGGTGAAGATAAATGTGGCAAGTGTGGTAGTGTGAGCAATCGCGCAGGCCGGGTGGTGTGCATAAAGTGAAGTAGGATGCATGCACATTAGATAGCAGGAGTTCTGTATATGTGTAACAGATAGCAAGCGCAGTCTACAGTTCAGGTCACCTCCGATAGGAGGTACTTGGTGCTGTGGCGACATTTTGTGACCAGGCTGCATCTGGTGTTGAGGAGCGATGCCTTGTCACTCTTCATTATGGCGATCTTCTCCGATAGGCATAGGTTGCACCGCTTCGAGGTTCTTTTGTAGGCGCTGGATCTCTGCCTGATTCTCCACGAGATGTTGACGTCTTCACCTGCCTCCTTCAATGCCCATGCATGCTTTGACAATTCTGTGCTGTTTCTGTGTGGGGCATTCCGGAACGATGACGTGTGGTTGTTGAACCGGAGTTTGAACGGGGTTTCGGAGATGCCGATATACTTCTTCCGGCTGAGATTGGAGTCCACTGTAGCTTCGTACACTATCTCGCTGGCGTTGCAGTCCCCGTTGAGTGGGCAGTTTCCTTTGATACGGCAGTTACATCTCTTTTCTTCTGGCTGTCTGAGGACTTTCGCGTTGTGGCCCTTTATTATTGAGGCTAAGTTAGGCGAACAGCTGTAGCTGACTTTGAAAAAGTGGCTTCAACTACGCACTCGTCTATAACGAGGAACCGGCGAACACAGAAGGACAAGCCAGGAGGAAAAAGAATCGGAAGAGGACCATCATTTGGTTTAACCCACCGTACAGCCAATCCGTGAAGACTGATGTTGGCGCGACATTCCTGAGACTTGTCAAGCGCCATTTCCCAGAAGGATCTGCCCTCAGAAAAATATTTAACAAAAACACGATCAAAGTCAGCTACAGCTGTTCGCCTAACTTAGCCTCAATAATAAAGGGCCACAACGCGAAAGTCCTCAGACAGCCAGAAGAAAAGAGATGTAACTGCCGTATCAAAGGAAACTGCCCACTCAACGGGGACTGCAACGCCAGCGAGATAGTGTACGAAGCTACAGTGGACTCCAATCTCAGCCGGAAGAAGTATATCGGCATCTCCGAAACCCCGTTCAAACTCCGGTTCAACAACCACACGTCATCGTTCCGGAATGCCCCACACAGAAACAGCACAGAATTGTCAAAGCATGCATGGGCATTGAAGGAGGCAGGTGAAGACGTCAACATCTCGTGGAGAATCAGGCAGAGATCCAGCGCCTACAAAAGAACCTCGAAGCGGTGCAACCTATGCCTATCGGAGAAGATCGCCATAATGAAGAGTGACAAGGCATCGCTCCTCAACACCAGATGCAGCCTGGTCACAAAATGTCGCCACAGCACCAAGTACCTCCTATCGGAGGTGACCTGAACTGTAGACTGCGCTTGCTATCTGTTACACATATACAGAACTCCTGCTATCTAATGTGCATGCATCCTACTTCACTTTATGCACACCACCCGGCCTGCGCGATTGCTCACACTACCACACTTGCCACATTTATCTTCACCTGTGATTCCCACCTAGACTGGCTAGCGTGCTTCTTTTCTCCACCTGTGATTCCCACCTAGGGTGCTTCTTTTCGTCTTTTCTGGTATGTAAAGGGATACTGATGTGAGAGAAGAGTAAGTTGCCTGAAGAGTGCTTTTGCACGAAACTCAGAGTAGCAACACTGAGAAACTTGGAGATCCTTTGTGTCTGAGTGTATAACCCCGCTCTGTCTTAGGACATTGAGCACTTTTTGCCGACGCAAGAAATACTTCTATTGTTCTATATATATATATATATATATATACACACAACAACAAGGTTGTCAGTTTCATAATACCAAAAGCTTTTCACCCATTTTCATCAGTGGTTACATGGGAATGAGCAAGAACGAAAACGAAGCCAGAATTTATACTGGGGGTAGAGAATCAGCAAGAATATTCTTACGCGCCTCAAGTTCACACTACACTACCATAAGAATGTATGGAGCAGTGGAAAAATGCGGGAAACAACACATGAGGGGAATGCAGTACCAGAACAAACACGTGATAAAGTTGTCAGTCCGGTTGCAGCTTGAACAGCCGTAGCACCTTGATGTGCTTCTTTTGTCGACACAGTTCTGGCCTCAAACTGCGAATGTACAGCGCCTCCAGTGTGAATCGGTGCGCGCTGTTTCGGGCTGGTGTGATCACACTGAAGCTGCTGTTGCGTTCCTGTGGGATGCATTCAGGCTGCGCCTGCAAATGCTTTGTGATGGCGCTATCACTTGTTGCCACACAAGTGATTTTTTCATATCACGTGTTTTTTTTCTTTATCACGTGTTTGTTCTGGTACTGCATTCCCCTCATGTGTTGTTTCCCGCATTTTTCCACTGCTCCATACATTCTTATGGTAGTGTAGTGTGAACTTGAGGCGCGTAAGAATATTCTTGCTGATTCTCTACCCCCAGTATAAATTCTGGCTTCGTTTTCGTTCTTGCTCATTCCCATGTAACCACTGATGAAAATGGGTGAAAAGCTTTTGGTATTATGAAACTGACAACCTTGTTGTTGTGTGTATATAAATTTTGTTCGCCTACCTCTCTATTTATATATATATATATATATATATATATATATATATATAAATAGAGACGTAGGCGAACAAAATTTATATACACACAACAACAAGGTTGTCAATTTCATAATACTGAAAGCTTTTCACCCATTTTCATCAGTAGTTACATGGGAATGAGCAAGAACGAAAACGAAGCCAGAATTTATACTGGGGGTAGAGAATCAGCAAGAATATTCTTACGCGCCTCAAGTTCACACTACACTACCATAAGAATGTATGGAGCAGTGGAAAAATGCGGGAAACAGCACATGAGGTGAATGCAGTACCAGAACAAACACGTGATAAAGTTGTCAGTCCGGTTGCAGCTTGAACAGCCGTAGCACCTTGATGTGCTTCTTTTGTCGACACAGCTCTGGCCTCAAACTGCGAATGTACAGCGCCTCCAGTGTGAATCGATGCGCGCTGTTCCGGGCTGGTGTGATGACACTGAAGCTGCTGTTGCGTTCCTGCGGGATGCATTCAGGTTGCGCTTGCAAATGCTTTGTGATGGCGTTATCACTTGTTGCCACACGTTTGTCAGGCGGCTTCTTGTACAGCTTGTCTGGGATATGCTGCTTGATCCTTTCCGAGAATCGCTGACATGTCTCACCAACGTACGTCCGCTCACAGCGACACGCATACTTATAAATAAAATTACTATTTTCAAGAGTTGGTGAAACATCCTTCGCGATAGACCTGAATGCGGGTCTGGTTGTATAAATTACAATGGGGGATACTGTAGGATAGCAGTTCAAAATTGCAGCTTTAATCTTTTTGCGGAAGGCAATGCAACTTTGCCCTTTCCACGGCATCACTCACTGGTACGCAGCGCTCCAATTGATCATTTGTTAGTTCGAATTCTGCCTGCACAATCTCCTTGTCCATTCTGGAACTAGGGGGGACTCCAAACTTCAAGCCCCTGCACAGTACGTCTTTTTCAATATTAGTTAGCATAACTCCGGCCAAGTTGAGTAGGTGGGAGTGTTTCAATTCGCTTGAGCCCTTCTCATAGCGCACCTCCCTCCTGAGTGCATCTTCCAACTTACTTTTGATCCGGCATTGTAATCTTGAGGAGGTCTGGTTGATGAGCTTCGCGAACCTGAAGCGGTCCAGCACGCTGAGGCTCTGATTGACTTCGTGAAGAACACGACGGTACTCAAGGAGAAAATGTTCCAAGTCAGCGGTTGTCCTCTCCAGTTCGTCCTTGATAAAGGTGCGTTCGATTCTCCATGGCTTCTTGGCCTTGACTCTCTGCACCCGCTTCTTGATCGAGCGGGGCGCAACGCCGCACGTAAGGCAGTTCCGTAAAAAGTCTGCATTCTCACGACTACGGATGATCCGGCCTTTGCACTTTAAAACATAATTCAGGTCCTGAATTAGTCGGTGGTCCAGTCGCCGTTTTAAATATTTAAATTAGGCCTAATTTAAATAGAGACGTAGGCGAACAAAATTTATATACACACAACAACAAGGTTGTCAATTTCATAATACTAAAAGCTTTTCACCCATTTTCATCAGTAGTTACATGGGAATGAGCAAGAACGAAAACGAAGCCAGAATTTATACTGGGGGTAGAGAATCAGCAAGAATATTCTTACGCGCCTCAAGTTCACACTACACTACCATAAGAATGTATGGAGCAGTGGAAAAATGCGGGAAACAGCACATGCCGGACTGACAACTTTATCACGTGTTTGTTCTGGTACTGCATTCCCCTCATGTGCTGTTTCCCGCTCCATACATTTTTATGGTAGTGTAGTGTGAACTTGAGGCGCGTAAGAATATTCTTGCTGATTCTCTACCCCCAGTATAAATTCTGGCTTCGTTTTCGTTCTTGCTCATTCCCATGTAACTACTGATGAAAATGGGTGAAAAGCTTTTAGTATTATGAAATTGACAACAGCAACAGAAACAAGGGGTCACGTGCTCCTGCGTACACCAGTCACCTGGTCACCGTGCCTGCAGGGCCAGTGCAGGCTACAACTTACAGCATGTTTGGGCGAGTTTCTGTCACTCGAGTTGAACCTTTGAACCTTTGAGTTGAACCTTGGTGTGAAAGTTGAAGCCTGCTGGCGTGGTGACCAGGTGACTGGTGTACGCAGGAGTACGTGACCGCTTGTTCAACCATATTCGATTGGGAATAAGCCAATCAATAAGGGCTGAACGCTGCATTGCAGCCTTTTCGGACCAAAACCAGTCGACTCAGCGTCCAAAAGACTACAACATATGGGCCAATCGCGGTCATCCGTGCTTTTATAAGAACGAAACGGCGCTTTTAGTGACATTTTGCATACAAATCCCCATCTAGTAGGGCGCAGTCACCCAGTTTCGGTGGAAGTGCGCGAGTTCGATTGGGATTAAAGTAGGAAGGGAGCGCCTCAGCTTGATCGGACCAAGACCATTCGACTCAGCACCCCGAAGACTACAACTGGTGAAATTTTGATTTTAGGTTTAACTTCCCCTTTAAAATCTTTGTGCCTGCTATTAAGTGGGGAAAAATTGCAAATCGTTCGACTTTCAACTCGTCACACTTTCAACTTCTAGAGTATATGTATGATCACACACTTGTGCATGGCAATTGTACGAGTCGCGTACAGTGTGCCACACCCTCTATGGAGAAAAAACCATAATAATAGGAAGAGCGTGACTGTGTGATTTTACACTGATTTTCTTAGTACATGTAATCTCTCCTCGGCAATTTGGGGTTTGAATTATCAGGATTCCACCTGTACGAGTATATCGATAGTACAGTACGCTGTGACTTGAGTCCAGAACCCTCGTTTCTACCTGTTGTTGCTTTTTTTTCTCAGGGTGACATGAAGGCCTGGGGTATGCGGCCCAAGTATCGTGCAGTCCAGTCGCACACCACTGTCAACCAGGACCTGTTGCACCGCATCGGCGTCGGCTCCATCGCCATGCAGGACAATGTGCGCGAGGTCTTGGAAGATGGCGTCGTTTTCGAGGACGGCTCAGTGGTACAGCTGGACGCTATCATCTTCAGTACTGGCTACCTGATCAGATTCCCTTTCCTATCCAAAGCCATCTCGCCAGTGAATGATGAGAACCATATCAGACTGCACCATGTAAGTGCGATAAGTTGAGATCCTCAATTGCGCACACCCTCGTGGAAAGTCACTGGAAACCAGATACCATATTTTCCAGAGTATATGGCGCACTTTTAAAATCACCTGTAATTAACCCGAAAAAAGTCGGTACGGCTTATACTATGATGCTCAAATTAATGTAGATAAACAGGGTAGATGTCTGTATTCCGTGACAAACACTATGGGTGCGGCTTATACTCCGGAAAATACGGTATGCAGTTGACTCCTTTTGCAACGAACTCGTGTGTAGCGATTTTCGTGATGTACCAAACCATTGTCCATGTCCCTGTTTGAACCCATACAATAAATGACCCATTGTAGTAAACCCTTCCATTTATCAACAACTATTTACTGTGTTTTGTTGTAGAATCGTGTGCAATTCCATTTTCCGACCCTGATCATCATGGCATATTTTCCAACCTGTTTTAAACACACAGTTTATGATCAACCCGAAGCATTCGCCTACGATGGTCTTCATTGGATTTATCCAGCCTGTCGGTGCCCTCATGCCCATCAGTGAGCTGCAGGCACGTTGGGCGGTGCAGGTAGGAATCCGCTTGTCTTTTCTGCCTTGCCAACATTGACCGTATTACTCTGCACTGCTGCTTCCTGCTTGCTGTTCTGTATCCTTGTAGTTGTGTAACGTTAAACGCTGTGAATTGTACATGCCACTTGCATGTGAAGAGGTACTATTCACCCCAGTGTCTGAAGATATGTGGAGTTTGTAGAGAGAAAAAAACCATGTACTGACATAGGCTTACCATCTCTGGTGCCGAAGAGCCAGCTGTGTGAAGCTCTACAAGGTACAAACTATTCTATTGGATTCAGTGCATCTGTTCTCACTTCTATAGTCGTGCGCTCACGAGTTTGCGCGTGTTGTGTTGTGCTGAAATTCAGATCTTTACCGGCGAACGTGGTATACCCAAGCCTGAAGAGCTGGAGCGTCGCATTTCTTCAAGGCTCAATGAGTTGTGGAAGGTGTTTCTACGCAGACCGAGGCACACGACAGAGTCCCTGTACTCTCCCATCGTTGAAGCTCTCGCTGAGGAGATTGGTTGCGTCCCGCGGTTGTGGAATCCTCGAAACTGGAAGGTACATATCATAGTCACATTGCGATGCAAGTTTGCTAATGTTATGTTTCTACCCAAAGGCAAACACAAGCATGCGACAACACAACCGGACTTGTGTTTACTTGGTGTCGAACTGACTTGCAACAAAGACGTGAAATCGAAGAATACAGAAGATCATGAATAAAACAAACTGCAGAACATGAATGTACACAACGGTTGCACAGCCTGCCAGGCGCGACCTACGTGTATCCAATAATACTGGTCCTGTGGTGCGCATACATCACACGTAAAACCTGTCAAGGGGACCACTCTGGTAAGGCAACTATCTGTCCTGGAGGACCACGAGAGCCAGGACCAAAGCACATCATTTCTATTAGCTTCACTGTGGGTTGCAGTGATATACAGTACTCTTCCATGCGAGAATATTGCCTGCCATTATTCAGTGCTATTGGACGCGTGATTTTAGCCATCAACTAATTGTTGCGTTATAGATTCCTCTTTAGGGATTTTGAGTCCGAAAAGTACTGAAACTCCCCGTTTTTTTTGTGTGAAGTTTGAATCAGTTTCCGATGTGAGTATGCAGTTGCTAGGGGCATGGTCCATGTTGTGAGGTTCAATTGACTTCAAAACTGCCATGTTTCGGAGCTACCCGTTCACTAATACAGATTTTTTGGTATTATGAAGACATAGCTTGTAGAAACAGAGTAATTTTGCACAAAATTCTGGCACTATTTGCTAACAATTATAATCGATTAATCGATCGTTAACTTAAGGTGGCAGACTGGTTTCGCGACCTTTTTTCAGACTCAAACGAGCTTCATCGAGCATAACTTGGGTACAAATCAATGGATTCACTTCAAATTTTCAACACTGAATCCTTATACGAACAGATTTCAGATAGGACACTACCCAATGAGCTGTGTTTGTCGATCATCATTTCACCGTCAACCAAATTTCCCAGATGACGGGCAAAAAATAGCCGAACTTCGGGACAAAAATACAACAACGTAAATGACAACAACCTGTCAAAAAAAGATCCAAGAGTAACCTACTGGCTATTGAAAGTATCATGGACCAAAACAACTTGGTCCAAAAGCTAAAACAATCAGCCTAGCCACCGATCAAGTCACAAATGTCCGATCGCGCATAGATAAGGTACATTTCAATGGAACAAAAATCCATTGCAGTAGGAACTTTCGGCGTAAACTGTGGTCCATGATGACACAAATGCACCACAGTTTCCAAAAATGTATAGTTTTCTATACCTAAAACTGAGTCTCAACAGTCAAAGAGTGTCCCAAAGTGCCGGAATAGGGCAAAACACACTGGGAATAGTCTGCTATCTAAACTAAGTGTTCTCAACTACATTTTCCACTCGAAAACTGCTCAAAAGCCACCAGAAGCATAGGTGACTCCCTTTTCCTCTATTGTATCCTCCTCCAGACCCTTCCTGACTCTTCTTCTTCTTTTCCTAGCCTCTTTCTCTTCTGTGGAGTGCTTTCTCTTGGAGAAATACAGGCGATCAGCATCCATGCATGATAGCCTAGTCGAGGTGCTGCGGGACGTGGCGCAGCCCCTTTATTTATTTATTACAGCATCTCATAGCACAGTGAGAACACCGGCCAATACAAAGAGAGAGGGTGTTAGCCAACCACGGCAAGGAAGGGAGAAGGGGAGGAGAAGAAAAAGGAACCGGCATGGATAAGCAGTGATTGCAACAAAATGAGAAACAAAATCAAAGTCAAGGCGCGACAAGGCTCTTAAAAAGGCGGAGGGAAGAAAGGTCCTTAGCTTCTTGGGGAAGTGCCAGCCAAGCAGAGTACGCAGTGAAAAAGGGAGAGTGAAGTAGAAAGGAGGACTTAGGTTTCGGAAGGGAAAGGGAGTTTCTCGTGCTACGGGAAGAGAACCAGTTGAAACAGTGGAGGTGAGGTGGACACAGATTGAGAGAATGGATAAGGGTGACAAGATGTGAATTACGTCTCTTAGACAAAGGGGTAGTGTCAGCAAGGGCATAAAGGGTGGAAGATGGGAGCATGCGGGGTTTTCGGAGGAGGATTTTGAGAACTTTTTGTGGTGAATTTCGAGCTTGGCAGCACGGGTTGTGGAAATTCCAGCCCAAGCACTATCTGCATAATCAAAAATGGGGCGTAGGTAAGCTGAGTAAAAGAGGAGTTTACAAGAGATTGGGAGATGGTAACAGTGAGAAGAGAGGATTCCTAAAGATGAACTTGATCGTTTACATATGTAATCGATGTGGGGTTCCCATGAAAGATTAGAGTCAATGAAAATGCCAAGATGCTTATGGCTGGAGACTATGTCTATAGGCTGGGGGAAAGTGGGATGGAGGAGGGGCGGAACATCGGGCTGAGAAGGAAAGAGCTTTAGTTTTAGACAGATTGGGCGATAACCGCCAAGACGACATCCAGGAAATTACTCTTTGAATCCCGTTAGCTAGGTTACTCATCAGGCCAGTAATGTTAGGAGATGCCCGTAGGAGCGTTGTGTCGTCTGCGAACAGTGATGTGCCCGGGGCAGCTGCGGGCAGATCATTGACGTATAAGATAAAAAGAAGGGGGCCGAGGATGGAACCCTGGGGAACTCCGGATAGTACTGTTGTGTCGGCTGAGGACGTCCCATGTACCGTGACGTACTGCGTTCGCCCAGTTAGGTAAGATGTCAGCCATAGCAGGGGATTGCCGTCTACAGTAAATGATCCACGAAGCTTGGCCAAAAGCCCCCAGTGCCAGACGTTATCGAAGGCCTTGGCAAGATCGAAAAAACAGATCCCGACTAGATCTCCAGCATCCCGATGTCGACACACTAATTGCACCAGGCGCGTCAGCTGGAGGGTGGTAGAATCGCCTGTGCGAAATCCGGACTGAGCTGAACTCAAACGTGACGAGACATGACAGTACAATTGGTCGTAGAAGACACGCTCACAGAGTTTGGAAACACAGGACAGTAGAGATATCGGACGGTAGTTTGATGCTTCGTGGCGGGACCCTTCAAGAACACGCTCAAACATCTTGGAGCCATGGTTGAACTTGATGACAGCAAGTCCAGCAGATGCCTTGACAGTTTCAACACCACAGAAACTAGTCTTTGGGCAATACTGCCACACCAAACCATTCAGAGCTTCGTTTTTGGTTTTGGGTGGCTCCACGTCGGCAGCGCTCCAAGAGTGGCTTGTCCGCTAGCCGTTGAAATATCGGCTTGACGGCTTCAAACACTGCAGATGGTATGGGATTTCGATGAACATATGGTGGTGCTTTCCCAGCCTTCCACTGCTGCCACTTGCAAAAGCTATCGTCATCTGTTGGGCAGAACTGGTGAATTGGCTTTGCATCCGTAGAAGCCCGGTGGCAAATTGACGCCCAAACGAGTCGTGCCATGTTAGTGATTGGGTCGCCAGGTAGTTGAGCGCCATTCCTGATGGCTAAGTTGTAATATGTTTGCAGTGAGTCGCATAGATCATCTGTCAGGCGCCCTCGACCACTAAGCGGCTTTCCATCAATCAGCGGTGTTTTCTTCTTCTTGAGTTCACGCAATGCCTTGCCCAGGCGCTTCGACACATGCCCGACACACTCCTCCTTCGTGATCTCTACGTCTCCGTATGGCTTGGCATTGACAACTGCCTGGAAGCCTTTACTGTCACCATCACCAATGTATGTGGTGTACATCAGTTTCCTGGTAGCGACTGAGCGATTGAACAGTGTCACTACACCTTCAGTTTCCATTGCCGGAGATGAAGCAGCAGTATTGACATCGCACACATGATCCGCACTCCACGCTTCAAATTCCGCCTGGGAGACTTTGCCAGAACGCCTGTCGGACCTCCAACGCTGGCAGCTACTGCAATGTTTGCTCGGAACACAGAAATCCAGAACTTGGCCCGTCTCCCACGAAATAGCAAACACCATGCCGTACCGACTTGAAAACCCACGTTTCATCCAGGTGCCGTCAATCGTCACAGCAATTTGGTCTGGATGATCTGTATCTGGATTACTAAGAGTAGCCTGCTCAGCTGCCTTCAACATGCTTTGCTGAACCACTGCTTCAATACTGGAGCACATAACACTGCTGTGCTCATAGTATGTGCTCTTGGACATGGGACGCGGCAAGCCAAGAATGCCAAATAGCGTCGTCATTGCGGAGTACCCTTTTCCGATGCATCTCATAGCCAGTGCTGCGCAGCTCTCCTGTTAACGTCATAATGACGACCTTGTATTCCCTTTACACCCAGCGCCTGCGTTACGGTTTCACCACATGAGGCACACTGCAAACTGACATGCCGCGGAACAAAACCTTTCAACTGGTCTTCAACAACACTCAGCGTGGGCTGCTGACAAGAGCTGCACAAGGCCGACGAAAGCAAGGTGTTCCGGCAAGAGATGTCAACTAGCCGCCGCTGTCCAGCCTTTTCGCCATCCTCTTGATCACTCCCGGAACTGCTATAGTCAGACGCACTGCTGTCACTTTCAAAACAAAATTCTACGAGCTTTCTGTGCGATGCATCTGCATCTAATTCCTCAAACACGTCGTCAGCTTCAGGTGGCGCTGCTCTGGTCTCTGCCGCTTTCTTTGTCCACTGATTTCCTCTAAATTTAGATGATTCTTTCTTCCTTCCTTTACGATGCTTGCGTGAGATGCTGAGGGACATCCGGAAAACAGTCAGTGCGATCGTGACAATTTGGTCGCAACTGTTGAGTATTTTTGTAAGCACGCACGCCCACGCCTACGCCTGAGCCAGCTACATTGTGCAGCTGAACTGATGTGGATCAGTTCATGACGCTCATCCGCGCGAGGAATGACCAGCAGTACGTCAATATATCCATGAAGTGGAACCGCTTCACAGCAGCACGAAACTCCTTGCACCAGTCTTGCACCTCGTTGAAACGAGGCAACGAAGACAAAGTGCCCCGAACGTCTTGAGTTATATACTGCAGTCCAACGGAAGCACCAGAGGACGACGCATCAGCAGCACCAGCCAAACCAATCTTGGACATCGACACCAAGCGCTCCACGATGTCAGCCTTCTTTGTTGCTCCAGTCAACCGAACATCCAGAAATTTGGCAATTTCCTTCAGTTCGGCCACCTTCAGCGTCGCAAGAGAAGTCTGAACCCCAACAAAATCGGCATCGCTGGCTTCGGACCCTTTTGAAAGTTGTTCAGCAAGGACAGCCAGTGGCTGAGGCAAGGGTGGTGGCTGCTCAGCGGCAGCAGAGTCAGGGATGACAGCAGACATTGTTGCTTCCTGGTTGAAAAATTACTTTCACTGCAGTTTGGGCTGAACTTCTTGCCCACCAAACATTTTTGTGCGTCACCCGTTGCCATGCAACGCGCACTGTGTTCTATCCGGAAAGGGGTTCGGGAAGAGGAGAGACAGCTCACGGGACAGAAACAGAATCCACGTGGAGTACATCATGCTGAACGTGGAGTCAGGCATTTGCATCAGGGCTGCCACAAACCCGCCACACATACCATGGCGCAACCGGACAAGCGTCGCAAAGAACTGGTTGGCAATGGACAAGTCCTTGGTCATCCGAGGGCCAGGCTTGTTGTCCTTGGTGTCACTGGTGGAATCACCGCGCCAGGCAGTGAGCTTTGCGGCCTTCTCCTGCACATGACCTAAGACAGCATGGAACACGGAGCGGTTCGGCAGACCAGTGAGGAAGCGACACTTCTCGTCAGACTCGTCAATCCAGTGCACACCAAACTGTGCCTTCGAAAGCCCAGTCTCTAGTTCCCCGCAACGCCGCTTTAGCCGTTCAACTTCCGCCCTCAACTTCTTGCATTCCTCTTCCAAACGATCAGTGTCCGAGGTGTAGGGTTCATCAGGTCCACATGCTGTAGAACATGGAAGAGAAAGATAACACAAATCACGTCACAATTGACCAGGGACAAGTGAGATCACAGTACCGGCACATAACATCTAACCCTCCAAATGGGAGTGATGCAATGGAGAAGATTAGGTACGTTTCGTCCATGACGTCCAGGTGCAATTCAAAGAACAGGGATCAGAAACAACCCCTAAGCTAAAGAGTAATCGATAGGTGAAAATCCACGATCGTTTCAGCCCTAGACTGCATATGTATCATTCACACTGCCGCTATGCTCTGCTGTGCTGTGATGTTGTCCTTGCAGGTTCTGAAGGAGCTACTGCTCTCGCCGCACGGTTGGTCCGTCACGTATCGTCTCCAGGGACCGGGCAAGTGGACCGGTGCAGCCAGTGCGCTAAAGAAGGCCTACAATCAAATGGGACAATTCCCTTGAGCAACACCGGAGCAGCGTAGCAACAGCCATTGGCCACGGTCACCTGGTTCCTCCTTGCTTTCTTTCCGGCTCTCCAAAGGAGATGGATGCAGATCGTTTTATATCTTCATTTCATGCGGGTGCTCACCTCTTACTATGCAACAGTGCAGTCTGCGAAGTTGAACGCTCCGGGTCTGGTGAATACTAGCAGCGCGGCGGTACGCATGTGCCTCAACCGATGCTGTGTTTCAGCTCCACTGATTAGGCATTGTGATCAAGTACGAACGAATGACAAACTGTACGCCTGTGCCTCAACCGGTGCTGTGTTTCAGCTCCACTGATTAGGCATTGTGATCAAGTACGAACGAATGACAAACTTGCAGGCAGGTAATTTCAGTCTTCTACCATACTTTGGTTTGGGGCACGTGTTGCGCCAGAGTCTATACTATTCCCCGTGTTTCTCGGGGTATTTTATTTGTTTTTAAGATTGTAGATCTGATTAGTTCACGATTATAAAGAGTTTATAACTTTACGAATGAACAGATCTTTTTTGCGTGACAGCTTAGAGAAAGGCTGTCCGCCATGCAACTGTTTGCTCAGACACTGCTTGCAGCTTCAAAACAAAATTTATCATGTGTAGGAATTTGAGTCTCCTATTTTCACATAGTCCTGTGAGCGTTAATTTCCCCTGATTGGGCTGGATAGCACGTGTATTTTCAAGCAGGTAGTACAGTAGAAGCAAAACTGTTGAAGGCTGGTCGGTTTTACTACTCCTTGGTTGTGAACAACCCTTGTGGCTTGTTGGCTACTAGTATTTCCTATTCACTACCATGTGTATTTGCTCGAAGCCCATCTCGAACCTTGTTCACGAAATTGTAAGTTCTATTCGAAATTCTTCTAATTTTTACGGATCCTAATTTTTCTCCTTCTGCTTTTAGCAATTGTGAATTATGAGTGAAACTGAGTTATTCTGATAGGTATGTCGTTCGACAGCTGTCCTCCAAGGAAAATGACCGTCTTCAATGTTCAGTGTTGCAAGTCGTGCGTTGGCGTTGTTGGCGTGTTCAGGAGTTGAACTCCATCCCCATTGCACAGTGTACCGCAGCGTGGCCGGAATCAGTCGAATATAACCACGATCGAATGACTGATCCAGGTGCAGTAGTGTGCTTTTGTGCAACTACAGTCCATTCATAAAGATATGAGCCTCTTGCTTTTGGATTGGTCAAACTTGGAGTTTTTTTAGAATAGGATTTTGGCCAGGTTTTGTCCCAAAAGCACTGAATTGGGGAAAACCATGTAAATCCAGGCCGTTTGACTCCACTTGCAACAGTACGTCATTGTGCATTTTGGCCCAGCTGAGGTACCTTTTCGGACCCTTTTTCAAAGATTTCAATGAACTGTAGACTACACAACTACACTCGACTGCATGCAGTATACTGGTATTGTGTTCTTCAAGTCCACTCGACCTGGTTTCCATGAAACGAGGTCGCAGGGATCGCGAGTGTGATGGTTTGAGGAAAACCCGGGCATCAAGGTTTTGAACCTTTGCTGTCGGAAGAGCCATGTTAACGATGCCCATTTTGTCCCCTGTCACATCGCTTTTCCTTGGCCCAGCAGTGCCAAAATGAAATGCTCATCAAGGCTTGTGTATTACGGTTGTGAGTGGTCTGAGGAATACAGTCAGACGTCGCTTATCCCGTCCTCTTTTATCCGGATCCCTCGCCATCCGGAAGAAAATCATTGGTTACCGATTTACAGCATATGTCTTGCATACATAATTATAGTATGCGCGTTCGATTATCCGGTTCCCTCGTCTCCGGATGGCACCCGTCACCTGGTCACCATGGCCACCAGGGGTCATATCTACGCTTTTTTAGCAAACAAAACAGGATTGGCTAGGAGTAGGATCTAGGAGGCGCTCGATCGAGTACATCTTTTCAGTTTTGACAGGCAGGCACACGAGATTCGTTAGCTATTGTACCGAGCAACAATGAATTATTTTCGCGTTTCTCAGGCGCGTTTTGAAGTCGGTGGACATCAGCTTGAGCTAGAGTTGAATCCTGACTGCCATTGCAAAATACATGTATTGCACTTGTAAGTTGTAGCTAAACTAGTAATTACTTCTCAAGGTGACCTTGCGCTGGCTGGGTCGCGCATTACGCCACCCATGTACCCAGCGATATCAGGAGCTCCGGAAACACACGACGTATTTGCTCGTGGTCGGATTGAACTTTTTGAAGCCAAACAAGTCCCCGGCTAGCTATCACTACATTGTAGACCGGATCCGTGCAGGACAACGTTACCGCTACGTTTCCTGGCTAGCCGCCGCCGTAGAGTGTCGGAGTGCTCGTGGAGAACCGCTACATATTCTTGGCTTGCGTTGAGGATTTGGCTAGCTGGAAGTCGATAGCACAACGGGAACGGTAACTGCTGAACTAGACACGGCTAGTGGCGGAAGGGCACGCCATGTGGACCTATCTCTGGTGTCACATCGTCTATCACCTTACACGATGGTTTCCTAAACACAGCCGCCAGGGAATGTAAGCAATTGTGCGAGTATACTATAGCCGAGTATACTATAGCATGTACAGCAGCATCCAGCACTGTACATGATAATTGTACTGGTATTAGTGTGCGGGACAGTCAGTGCAATGTTGCATGGGTTGGCACTTGGCAGTGGATGTACTGTCGTGGACATGGAAATCCGGTCGCACGTCTAGCGGCCCCAGGGCGCTGGCCATGCAGCCGTGGATAAGCGGTACACACATATCCTGCATATGCGCTGCAGCGCGCTGGTCGCATGCGCATAGGATCAACGAGTGCACTAGACGCAGCGTTCTGTCTGCGCTGAGGGCACCCCGGTCAATCGACTGGATTTCCATGTCCGCTACAGTACATGCATTAGTGTTATAGGATGTCCGAATTTATTAGCACATCAGTTGAGGTGCTTTGGCAAAGTCGCGGCGCGTGCTAGCGATGCACTAGCCAGTAGCGACTCACTACAATCGCGCCCACGAGCGATTCCGCTATTTACTCACTACCGTAACTCGGCACCCATAACCGAATCCAGAAAAAGTGGGTTTAGGAAAGTGGCCGAAAACCCGCTTTTGAGGTTCAAAATTGGCGCTTTGAAGTTAGCACTATAATAGTCAATAGTCTACAGCACATACTACCACATTTTGGTCAAGATCTGACAAAAAGTGATTTTGGAGCAAAAGTGTCCCGAACTTGTCTGCTACGTTTAATAGTACTTTTTTTTCACACCAAGGTACCATTTGAGTGACAGGAATGCGCCCAAACAGGCTGTAAGTTGTACCCTGCAGGCACGGTGACCAGGTGACTGGTGTACACATGAGCACATGACCGCTTGTTCAACCATGTTCGATCGGGAATAAGGGCCGAACGCTGCATCGCAGCCTTCTCGGACCAAAACCAGTCGACTCAGCGTCCAAAAGACTACAAGTACAATATAATATTATGGACCAATCGCGGTCATCCCTGCGTTTATAAGAACGGTATGGCGCTTTTAGTGACATTTTGCATAGAAATCCCCATCTACTGTAGCGGACATGGAAATCCAGTCGATTGACCGGGGCCGGCGCCCTCAGCGCGTACAGAACGCTGCGTGCAGTGCACATTTTGATCCGATGCGACCAGCGCGCTGCAGCGCATAAATGCATGTGTGTACGGCTTATCCACGGCTGCATGGCCAGCACCCTGGGGCAGCTAGATGTGCGACCAGATTTCCATGTCTACAACAGTAAAAGGGCACAGTCATCCAGTTTCGGTGGAAGTGGCGAGTTCGATTGGGAATAAAGGAGGAAGGGACCAAGACCATTCGACTCAGCACCCCGAAGACTACAACTGGTGAAAAATTAATTTCAAGCTATACTTCCCCTAGTATAGCCTAGAATAGCCTGGGCATAGTTGGATGGTCTAAGACCATGATTGAGAAACAGAGGGTACCAGGTTCAAGTGCTGCTTGGAAGCGGAAGGATTTTTTCCAGCCGTGCTGCGACCCACAGTTATTTGGGAACTCGTGGCCTGGCACGAGGAGAACATGGATGCAGTGAATGGGATTTTCGGTCGTTGACCACTTGCTGGTGAGCTGATCTACTCACCTCCCACCGCTTCAGGAGCTGCATCTGCGCCTTGATCCTTGAAGGGTGGTGGCGTTCCTATGGATGCGGAAAACTCGGTTTCCAGCCGAGTCTGACGCGAACCGTGAATTTTTTTGCCATAATAATATTATACAAGAGGTTTACGCTTGTACATGTATACATGTATACTGTGTGATATGAGCTCTGTGCTGGAGATTAATATTTAGATGTAGTAATTCATGTCTGGGCTGTCCTGGCCTCTGTGACACTGACTGTGTGTGTGTGTGTGTGTGTGTGTGTGTGTGTGTGTGTGTGTGTGTGTGTGTGTGTGTGTGTGTGTGCGCGTGCGTGTGTGTGTGTGTGTGTGTGCGTGTGTGCCTATATCAACCTGGTGCTCACAGACAACTCACACTCATCCTCTTCTCATGCGCCTTGCTGGTACCACAAATCATCGTGATCCTCCGGTATGAGCAGCATTGGGTACTAGTAATGAACCATTGATGTTACAGTAAAACCTGGTTTAAGCGACCACCCCACGGTGCAAGCAAAAGCGGTCGTTAAAGCCAGGTGGTCTTTAGAACCAGGTCCCATACATTCGTGGTACATGTAGATCGGATTATGCATGCATGTGTATGATTGTACTTCCATGTACTCATATTGACAGGTGTGGAGCATAGAATACTCTCGTGCAGGCAAAGCACACCTCACTGGAGTGCATGCAGCGCATTCTGCAATGTCACTTGTCACTTCAGTTGACTGCATCCACTTGCTTCAGAGCGCACTTCAACCCTGTTACGAGTAAGTTACGATGTGCTGCATTGGGTCTCGCTGACGCGCATGTGTCCATGTCACTCTCCTCTGTGTGTGTGTGTGCGTGCGTGTGTACATGTGTGTATGCCCATTTTGTTATGCGTCTGTGTTCACTAATCTGATGATAGTGATGAATCTCAGCGCCACTGCGAGCGTGCCTTACTCTACTACAGTATAGCAGGTGCCTGCATCACCATGGTAATGATTGGTAAGTGCACATCACCATAGCAATGAGCGGTAGGTGCCCTAACATAGGGCAAATGTGTGGCTGAAAATGTTATACATGTATGTGGGAATGTAGCAGTGCAAACTTCATGCACTCCGCCAACTGACAAACACTTCCGACATTGATGTAACGCGGCTGCATGGCCTTGGAGCGCTCAGCTCTGCTCATCATCACCATGTGCCTGGTTCTAGTGTGCAGCATGTGAAGGAAAGAATGCATGCGCGCCGATTTGTGACCCGCAACACCACACTACACTACACACACACACACACGCACACACACACACACACACACACACACACACACGCACGCACACACACACACACACACACACACACACGCATGCACACTCACACATACACACATACCATTCTCCACAATTGCATGCACCGTGCACTTCAGGTGCATGGCTATCCAGACAACGAGTGCTGTCATCTAGGATTGTTTCGACTGCATTCGTCGGTTCTGCAGGGTTCACCTTGGTGCTGGCGGTCATGGAGCCACTTGCATGGCAAGTCAAGCTGGCATTCCATGTCTATGGTGGTGGCTGCTTCATCTTCGGTCTACTTCAGTTTGCCGAGGTCTTGCAGGCCTCTTCATGTGTAAGTACATTCGGAACATAAAGACTAAGTGATGTGACACCTATTCAGTCTAAACTCCCCGCCACATGCGCTCTCCGACCCTGAACCTGTTTGTTCATCATACCCCAACACTGAGCTCCAGATGGTAGTACACACTGGCGTCAATCTCCCAATACAGCTGCTTTCACTCTGACATTCACAGTCACTTATGGATCATCTCATCAGTGAAGGTTGTGAGAGTGCCGTTGCAGTGTTGCAGCTCAGCATATTATCGCGTCTGTAAATCTCATACCCTGCCCCCAACCTTGAAGACCAGGGCAACTTCCGAACCATCACTCATCTCGAGTTAATTAGGCGCGTTTGAGACCCAGGAAGCTTGGGGACCAGCAACATACCAAAGACAGAAGCACTTAATCTTAGTTCGAGGTGCTTTACATGTACAGTGGTGGCAACGGAAATCCCACCCCCAGGATCTAGGAGCGGTGCGCTCACACTGCACCAACACAGCATGCGGCCACACTAGCCTCAAAGCGCGGGCAGTCCATGCATGCGTACCGTAGTGTGTCTTGTATAGAAGCCTGTCTCATACAGAAGCCTGCAAATTTTCCCAAAAAAAGTTATAAGCCGCGGCTTTTATACACGACTTTACGGTATCTGAACTGCTGTACTAGACTGCACTCATGCCATTACTTGCATTTACACTAGAAACAATGGGTAAGTTCACGATACAACGGTACACCTGTAAGTAGCACGGCCATGCGCAGAACCAGAAATGAAAGCCAAAAAGTGATCTTCATCACGGCTTTGCTGGCATGCCAAGGGCATGTGTACGACTCGCTACGATTCATTCAGCTCCGCAGAACTCGTACGTAAAAAATAATCCGGAGGCCGCATGTCAGTTGCCACCACGTTAGGTCCCCCATATGCATGTAAGCAATGGAGTTTACTGTTTGGGGCAGGTTTTGCTTTTCTTTTCTTCTTGATGATGGAAAACCTGTGGAAAACCTGTGTGTTTTCTGTCTGCAGAAATCAACAATACCGGCTCTGTACTACCTGTCCATGGTGTTTGCCTCCTTTAGTGCATTTGCAGCAGGTGAGATTCTCGTTGGACCCGAATAATAATAATCCTACCTCGAAGCAGTATTATCATGTGATGCATGTCTGTGTGTGTGTGGGGGGGGGGGGGGGGGTTGCGTTGGTCAGGTACTGCAGTATGTCCACAGAAATGCAAACTGCTGGAAATCAAGGCTTGGACCTGCGGCTTGATTCATCACTGTTCACAACAGCAATGGAACTAAGAATTAAGATTAGGAAACTTGATCATCAAAATGTGTCACACTCTATAATGCACATGTACTCTGTGTAGAAGGGTGGGAGGAAGTGGGTCTCAAACATACCCTGTGGTGTTGGCTTTACACCCAGGTCCCACTCTTACACCTGTTGGCAAAGGAATTGCACACGCTTCTTTTTTTACTCTTGTGTCGTTCGCACAGTTATTTTCACCATCCTGGTGCCGTTCTGGGTGTTCAATCGCTTGTTCCGACACGCTGTCCTGGACAGGAAGGAGCGCAAGGGACTGTGCTATGAACCAGTGGCGTGCTGTTCCTGTGTCTGGCATGTATAGCAAGCACCACAGTCAAACACACACATCCCACCCCTGCTGAGGCATGCAGTCGGACGAACTGGGGCCGGGGACGGATTGAGATAGGCATCCACTGCCAAGTCTCATGTGATTTCGTGACGAATCAGTTCCTGTTCAAAGGCACGCTTTCTACTCTACTAAAGCACTTCTATAGCATGTCTGAACATGAATCAGGGCTATACAGATTCTCATTTAATGCCTATACATGTACATGAATTATGAGTCAGCCAGTAGGAAGCGTGAGTCCATCGTTCAGAGCAGTCACCTTCTTTGCAACTTACCGCCAACGTCGCATCTTAGTTTGCAATAAATTATTTATCATAAAACAATTTCATTTCCCTCAAACCAGTTAAAATTTCATTTCTGTTCTTATTCCATACTCCAGCATGTACATGTATACCGGCCACAAATATAAAAATTAATGCTAGTCATGCCACAGTACATCCATACATCTTCACTCTCCACTCTCCAAACGTTCTCTGCGCTACACCAATCACTAAAAGAAAGAGATATTAAATTAATCTCTTTTTCTTTTAGTGATTGGTGTAGCCCAGAGACCGTTTGGAGAGTGAAGATGTATGGACATAGTGGATGGCTACAGTGGAGTCTTCGCGTTTTGAGAAATATGCCACAGTACAACTAAGTATTGAAAGATGTCGACATTCCTGGTCATATACAGGGCTAGAATTCTGCTTCATTTTCAGTGTGTGTTTCACTCCTGGGGTGGATTGTGCCCAAACCTTCGATGAATATTTCAGACACTTACCACCACCGAGATCATGATTGACTACATGTACTTGTTGCAAGTTATGTTACATACGTGTACATTTAGAGAGAGAGAGAGAGAGAGAGAGAGAGAGAGAGAGAGAGAGAGAGAGAGAGAGAGAGAGAGAGAGAGAGAGAGAGAGAGAGAGAGAGAGAGAGAGAGAGAGAGAGAGAGAGAGAGAGAGGAAGCGCGCTGGAGACGTACTAGCTTGGGAAGTAAAGTAAAGTAAATTATCGTCTCTGTTTCCGAGGGAACTCACGACAGCGCTGCTAACACCCGGAAAGTCCAGATGCAGAAGCAGCACGTAACGGTGGGGTTGAGGGGATAAGTCTCACAACCACTGGCACAAGTGCCGGAAACCAGGGAAGGGGTAGTAAAATACCGGTACTTTACTACTCCCTGCTTATCACACAGACACAATCACATCAGTACATGTTCAGTTTAACTGTTGTATTTGTCAGTGGACTTCCGAATGCCAGCATTCAATAGCTCGAAGGTAATCTAAAAATTAAAATGTAAGCAGTTTGCAAAGCAACGCTATGAATTGAAAGGGTAGAGTTGTAAAATAGAACAAAAGCAAGCGTAGCACTAAGGTGGTAGCAAACTATCTTTTTCAAGAAGTAAGACATGGCAAAACAGCTACAAAGGGCAGGTGATGGCCAAAGGCAATTCAAACTCTCAACGGCACACCACTAACTTACAATGAGCATCATCCGGTAGCAGACGAGGGAAAAAAACTAGAGGTTATGCATGCGCTCACACAAGAGCGGTGCTTGGAGTGGACGGCAACGGCTCACCGGAAATAGATCTCACACTCTGGTGCGGTCATCTTCCATGCCTTCTCGAATGCCTCAACCACAGCTGCACAGTGGACACCGTCAACAGTCACAACAATGCAAAGCGAATGAAATTAGCCTGTCTTCCTCACCACCGAAAACCTGGACAGAAACTACACTCGGAAGAGAAAGCAGTGCAAAGCACTCGATTGGACTGTGTAGCAGCACGTACAGTTTTCAAGGCCGCACTCTCAAACACATATTCGATATTTCAAGAGGTGGATACTAGCAAGAAACTGGCTTACCTGGTTCAAGAGGTCCCTTCTCAGTGGCAGCCATATTTTGGGTCAAATGTCCCATGTTGGATGCACCGAGAATAACACCATCTGCAGGCAAAATGATAAGAAGAGAGACATCCAAATGATTGTACTCAGCCTTCGATCTAAACACTGTCTCTGACGAGTGCTGCAGCAGTGTTCATCACATAGAAGAAGGATACACGGGGAGGGGGTACTCCGGCTGCTAACTTCAGCATGCTCTAGCACTGACCCGGCTTGAGCCATGCTGAACAAAGTGGGTTTGGATTAAGTCCAATAAGGGAAATACAGCAGAGCAGAAGTGGACCGCACAGCAGAAGTGGTATGAACAAAGCAGGTCTGCGGCTGGGGTGCCGGGCTTACACAGTGCACGTGAACGAATGCATGGCCACAGCAGACAACATGCAGATCTGTAACCAGTTTCTGTCAACATTCTGATTCATTCATCAATCAGGTATGCCTCTGACCACTATTACTCTACTAGGAATACAGCAGCAATAAAATCTTCAAAATTATTCCAGTGTCTGTTTTAAAAATACCAACCATTGTTTGCAGCCGCTAACTGTGAGTGGTGGTACATCCATCGCAGGGAGACTTCGGTAAGGGACGCATCATTGCCGGCAGTCGCCATAGCATCTCGGATACAGTCCAGAGCGTCAAAGTAGACTTTCTTCCAGAAGCGATTGCGATACCTTTTGAAAGTATATGAGGAGGAGAAATTACACCATCATGATATTAACGTTATCATGACCCAGTCAGGTGTACCTAGAAGAAAAGGCTCATGCATAAGGGCGCGTTCAGACTACCGATAAAAAGTGACAGATTGGGAAAGTCGCCAAGGTGATTTGATCACGTGACGTTACTGGCACGTTACCGGTGGGAAAGTTTTACTGCCGCGGCTGCTGCGGCAGTAAACTTTTACCGGCAGTAAAAAAGTGCTCAGGCTGCATGCGCGCTGGGAAAAAAGGGAAAATCCCTTGTCAGTGCCGCGGTGAGAGCTGAAAACTTCACGGTAACGTTAGTTTGTCATCGGTAGTGTGAATGTCCTTCACGGTTTATCGGCATTCACGGTTTGACGGGGTTCACGGTAGTCTGAACACGCCCTAAAGACAGGTGGTTCCCAAGACAGATCAGAGTGTATGTGGATTGAATTGACGCATGAAAACGGCAACACTCATGTTGATAACCCTCGCACACAACAGCTGATCAGTGTCACTGGCATGCCTTCACGGCATGTCAGTGCTATACAAAAGCACATAGGATGCCTATATAAATGCCTACTGTGAAAGCCATTATTCTAACGGGGGCGCGTATGTGATATTTCCTAAAATTGACTTGTTTACGTGTACCAAAGGTAACGATTCTCACTCTTTTCTCAAGGCTCAACAGCAACAGTATTGTATCAATTTCTGCATAACGATTTATATTTTAATTTACAGTATAAATGAATAGGTTGCAGGCAATCTGCTGAGTTACAGAGTACATAAATGCCTATATAAATGCACATACACGTGAGCCAATGTGAGACACACAGTAGTTTAAAGTGAATAAGCAAGACACTGCACTTACGTCTGCGACCAAGAGTTGCCAAAGAAGCGGCTATTGGGAATGTCCTCGTCCTCGTACTTGTACTTCCCAGTCATCAGACCTCCGGCGAGCGGGTTGTAAGCGTAGAATCGAATTCCCAGGCGTCGCAGAGCAGGAAGCAGTTCCTTCTCAATGTCCCTAAGCAAGAGGTGACGACATTTCAGAAACATGCTCATGAGAACACGATGCCATGAAGCATGCGCTATGGGATCTTACCCATATTAGGTCATACAGTATAACGCTTTGATGACAGCTCTTTCTTTAAGGAACAACATTTTGACTCAATAGGCATTGGAGTTGATGGGAATACTTTACACCAGAACATATTGATACTGCACAACATACTGTAATTATTAGCGTGCTACCGGCACAACAAAATAGAGGACCCAATGCAGGCTACGAATCCCTACCGAGTGAAAGCGTTGTACATGCCCTGGTAGAGAGTTGGCAGTACATAGCCATTAGCTTTGCAGATGTAGTAGATCTCCACCTAATGACGGGGATCCACAACAGTGACAGGCAACAGCAATCAACAGGTGAAGCAATCAAGCAAACCAAAAGCCAATAAAATCCATCCAAAATGTCATAAACTGGGCTAAGTACTTCGTAGGACAGTACTAAATGTCTTGCAGTGCCTACTGCTTATACGTCGCAAGGCAACACATGAAAATTACCATAATTAATTATCAAGAAACCATCACAAACACCAAAAGCACATTCCATACGTCACAGCCAGAAGCAATATTTAAGACGGCGTTCAGTACATTCATGTTCCGTTAGCCTACCAGCCCATACTAACCACTTGCCAGGCAGCATAGTTTGACAGTGCTAGCTCCTTGAACTTTCCAGCTGCAGGCACATAGACATATGATCTTGTCTGCATGTGTTGAGTACAAACATCACATCTCCTCCCCTGAGTGTGTGTGGGCGTGAGCATGATGCCTCGCATGATAGAGAGAATTCGTGGACAATGCCAGAGCGCTGGTATGAAACTCTGCAGTGTGCTTGCAACTGCAGAGTTCCTACGGATGCGCACAACTCAGCCTTAAGTCCTACACGAGTTCCTATAATGCAATCATGCATGTCGACAAATAAACAATGCTTACAGCACAATTCGTCCTTGTTACTGTATGAAACTTGTGTTTCCAAAACGACTGTTCAAATAAACTATGGCACAGTAATGCGCGAAAGCTGCACACAAAGCAATTGATGTGATGCCTTCCTCGAACAAGAAAGCGACTAAAGAATGATGCTGGCAAAATCGTCACCTTTGTAGAATTCTTGTACGACTGCAAGTGTATCCTCGATGGGCGTCTTGTGGTCCGGAGCATGCAGATACAGGATATCCACAGAGTCAGAGCGCAGGCGCTCCAAGCAGGTAGTGAATTGCTTCTTGACTCCCTCCGCTGTAAGACCTATATATAGCACACAATGTAATGCCAAGCACTGTGTGAACATTAGAGTTACAAAAGGTATGAATGCCACAGACATCACCACGCAACATGTCGTTAACTCCACACCAACAGCTTGATTCACAGTACATGAGCCCGAGCGCGCTAAAACATGACCACGGCTTTTTTTGAAAAAGTCGAGATAATCGCGATTTGAATTCCGCGGTAAAAAATACGAAGTGCAGTGCAACGCGAGTCGCTGTTGTTGTTCTCCTCGGTCGACAGGACTGTTCCGGATGCAATTCTTTGTTGCAAGTAAGTTTATTTGTTAGAGTTTGTATTCCATGTTGCGCTGAGTCGCCTAAAACTGATCGTCATCGATGTATCGACAGAAGAGCCTAGTAGTAGTAATGTACTGCGGAGCGGAAGAAGACGACATCATCGCACTCCATGCGCAGGATAAAATATTTTGAGGATTCGAGTCGGAAACAGAAGGAAGACGATGATGGCTACAGCGACGAGTCATTTGAGGGCGACACTTTCATCGAGCGTAAAAAGAATTGATGCTGGTAGTCCCACGATCTGCAGTGACGAGGAATTCTACTCTGATGACAACCTGGCAAGCGATTGGCATCGACACTGACTTGGGAGGTGAGTCGGCCGATGATTTGGCCAGCATGGACATCGCTGCACATATCCGGGACAATGCCAGTCACGATTGGTTGCAAGTGCAAAAACAATCACTGGACTCTGCTGCTCCCTCAACTTGCTCAAGTCGATAATTTGAGTACCCTTATGCGGAACATCGCTAGCATGAGCAGTAGGCAGCGAAAGCAATACTCTCTGGCGAGCGGAGAAAACCATGTGCAGATGGGCTTTGGTGTGGGGAATATGAGTGCGACGTCTAGTATGTTGAGGAACACTATGTGCAGCAGTGCATACTGTATATCTGAAAGTACAGGTGGAGTGTGATGGAGAGGACATGGAGTGCCAACTTCTTCGGCCATCTACAGATGTTGACCGTGTTTTCGCTGGCGGTTCTCCAGTGGTGCTCCAAACAGGAGGTATTTCGGACACCCAGCTCAGCTGCCTATAGACAATTTGGATGTGGCTGAGTACCTGTCAGCTCATGCTATAAGACCCTGGACAGAAGAACTGACCCGGAAAGGATGAACCAAGGGGCATATCAATTGTGTGCAAAAATGACAATCCCATTGCTGTACATAGAATTTCACCATTTCAACAATGCTGCATATAATACCATTGTAGCAACACTTAGACATGTCGGATCAATCCAAAACTTTCAGACAGTGAACATTAGGTGTGTTAGATCATTTTTGAACAAAAACTGAAAATCGAATTTTTGGTCTGTGGGCATATTTTGGCGTGCTCTGGCTCATATCATGGATTTCCACACATGTGCTTGTAGTGTAATGCACTACTGATGGTTACTGCAGGATTCAGAGAGTTCTTTTTTCGCCATGCACTGCCAATTCGAAGCAGCGTGACGGGCTTGTAGACATAGGGATCATAACAGAAGAAGACTAAAAAAATGTCTTCTTAAAAGCATGCAGCACAAGAATGGCCTCACCTTCCGGTCCCCAGGGATTGACTTTGGTTGCCACAGAGACCTGGGATTTTTAAAATAACACAAGTCACAAGTCGAGCTCGGCTAGGCATCACAAACACCTATTCCACCAAGCAATACGGGTAGCTGCAAAAACAATGTACAACAGTGAACTTCACCACATTACAGGTCTGTGCGTGTATACATGGACAGGAAGCGATAAAAAAATGCATCCGCTTGCCGCTAAAGGCCTGTGTGCTGCTGTTGACACTCCATGCATGTGCAGCTGGCAGTGAAGGAGAGAGCAGTCTTCCACTCTGTTATCAAAACGTCACTCGAAGTACTGACCTTGTTCGGGTCATGTGAAATTGGCATGTCGCCGATGAATTCCTCCGACTTTCCACCGCTATACCTGCATGCAGTATTTACAAAACAAAACAAAAACGGGGCATTGCAAGGGTGTGGCAGCTGATCAGGTTAGGGCCAGAGGTATAAAAAGTTGGCCATATTAAATACAGGAGAGCATCGATTATCCGGACGATCGATTATCCGGACGATCGATTATCCGGACGATCGATTATCCTGAATGGCGTGGACGCTGCCTGCATGCCCGTCACTGCATGGGAGAACCACTAGAACATGATCCTGTATGCATTTTTCGATGATGCAACTGTATCACGTGCATGTAAGAGCCCAATACAGGCCATGTATCGTTGACTCTCTCACTACAGGAACATTTCCCTCATCCGAACCCCATCTGAATGGCGTCTGCCCTTGAAGGGTTTGGATAACCGGTGCTTTACTGTATGAAAAGTCCAAATTAGTAGATCACAGAGCTAACCAGTTGTTGGCAGCAGCGGCAGGATGGCATCTAAAATGCTAAGGCACTTCAAGGAACGATCGAAATTGCTCCTGCAGTGTATTCGGATTATAGGCTGAAAATACTTCCAGCATGTTGCAAGCAGAAAGCTACTACAGTCGACCTACCCTTATAACGATAACCTCTATAACGATATTACCCTTATAACGATATTTTTCTGCCAAACCAAATCACTCCATTGACTTGTGTATACAATGCCTTACCTCTATAACAATATTGCTATAACGATATTACCCCTATAACGATATAAAATGGGCTGACCAATCGACATTTTCCATTTGATAACAATATCTAGCAGGGAATATGTAGAGCCTACTATCCAGGTAGGGCAAGCTTCACTTGATAAGTCGTTGGGACATGACGAAATGCAATGGGACACCAGTGGGTACCTTGCTGTGCACATAATGTGCATGTATGTCAGTTTTTATGCTATGGAGAGTGTAAAAAATGAACAAAATCCATGCATTATGACGTATGTGTATGAAATGAACCAGTTACCCCTATAACAATATTACCCTTATAACAATATTTCTTGGTGTGGCGCAAATATCGTTATAAGGGTAGGTCGACTGTACGTGTATGTGTAATTGAATCCCAGTCATGAAATCTTGCCTTGCATGTCACAATAAATCCCCATTCTAGTACGATCAGGTGCTCAGTGTGCAGTGTTCAGGTACATGTACATGTACATGGGAACTACCACTACGGTTAGTACTAGTACAGTCATGTACACATGTGAGGCAACCAGACGTACATGTAAGCAGTGTCCAGCTCCTTATGACCAGCGTTGACGAAGAACTGGGTCATCTCCAAGCTCTGCAGAAAGATGTGAAAAAGCAATACCCCATCAGCACACGGCAAGTCCTATCTGCGTTGACATGACGTCTAAAGCCAAACAGGTACCTCCAGTATTGCTTACTGGTAGTCCATTCTCACACCAAGGTACAAGTACAGCTGTAAATCGGCTTTCCAAAACCCCATGCGACTAACCCATGCTCGGAAAAGCGAATACTAGTAGCTCAGAGGCGATATGCTTAGGTTCTGCGAACGTGCTCAATACCTGATCCAGGCAGAGCGGCGTACACAAAGGCACACAATGAAAACCTAGTAGTTCAGATTCTCTTTCGACTGGGTACTGCACAAGATCCAGTGAACCAAATTGCAAGCTGAGCTCACACGCTTGGATAGGTGAAGTTTGGAAAAATCAAGTTTAATAGAACACGTGATTGCATGTCATGTCGGCGAAAGACCTCGTCAACACCATAAACAGTACTGTACTGTTTGTGTGCGGGCGTGTGTGTAGGGGATCTGAGCCAATATCTGTGTGTGATTTGCCAGGAACTTGCGATTCCGTGGCCACGTGGTTTGCGCAACGCATAGGTACTTTGCCTCCACACTGAAACATCTCTTATTGGGCCGCTTTAGATACGGGCACATCTCTCTGCTGGGTATCTTTCACACTCTAAAAAACTACCAGCCTGTGAAATCCACCCATTTTCATGAATGTACATTGACACAAATGTACATCGAATTCTTTTTTCGTTTTTTCATTATGAATCTATGACGCACGGTAAATGAGCTCTCCCGAGTTACGGGTAAATCTGAGATACGGGCGGTGCCCAGTCCCACGGCGCCATAACAGACGTTTGAGCGGACAAAGTAGCAATTGCTACTTCAAAGTACCGTAAAGTCTTGTATTGAATAGAAGCCGCCCTCGAATAGAAGCCGCAATTTTGGGCGCATCAAATTACACATACCGTATTATCTCTAATATAAGCACGGTCCTTTATTTTTTTCAATGTACCTCCGCCCCGTGCTATTAATGGAGACGTTCCTTTATTGGAGACTGTTCCATTATTATTTCGACCTCATTTCAGAGGTTGGTGCACCGCGCGCGATCGCGCGACTGACCATGATAACATGTACATGTGTCATGCAATGTGCGTACATATACTACCGTACGGTGTCCTTTATTGGAGGCCCGGGTGGTTTTCAGAGCACTTCACAGTGTGCTTATAATGGAGACAGAGCACTTTATTTTTTGAATGCCGCCCCAAGGTGTTCTATTATTGGAGACGTGCTATTATTGGAGACTGTGCTTATATTAGAGATAATACGGTAAGCCTGGTTTTAGTGTTGACATACATAGAAATACCTATCTTGTATACAAGCCTGCAAAATTTCACCAAGAAAGTCATAGAAGCTGCGGCTTTTATACAAGACTTTACTTTGTAGTACTTTGTAATTGTTGCCCGCACATTCTTTTCTTTTGAGGTAACTGGGCGATCATTTGGAGAAGTAACTGAGGTTGTCTATCACTAGTTGCACTGTGCCTGTGTTCTGTCTTATGTGCACAGATATTGACTGATAATACATGTGCTGGATGCAATTCGTATCTACTACGTAGTACTATTTTCCTTTTTTTTCTATTATTATTAATTTTAAAGAAGGATGCAAAGTAGACATTTATTACTTGTAGGATTATGCACCAACCTCGGCCATTGTAGCCCTCCTCCCAAACTCCATTGTTCCAAGAATAGTACGAACAGCCATGGCTAAGGCTAATGCGTTGGGTGTGTACGTGTGGAGAACGGGTAGAAGACCAATCTGAGTAGAAGAGTAAACTAACTAAATACTTCACAATCACTTCAAAGTACTACAGCCGAGTCTGAAAATCCAAACTCTGGTTCAGTCCACTGTTTTGTGTTTATGTGGAGTGAAGTCTCTTTGGCCGCCAAACACTCGACGTCACCACGTGTCTAGCTCGGCCATGCAGTAGTACGAGAACTGCAGAAATCTATCCAAATAAAACAGCAATCCCTGATTCAAATCAACTCCGTCAAGTGCCTCCTCGACTCTCGAGCCTCGTCCTCGACGAGGAACGCATGCAGCCCAGACATCGATCGTCTCGACGATCGAGTGACCACTGGTGACCACAGCCAGCTGACTCACCAACGTCAGCTCCATTTTACCCAGGCCCAGGGTCAGGGAGTAGCATTATGTACGGTATCCCCGTAGATCATACGCGGTACGACGCACTACACCGAGATTTCACTTGTCCTCAGCTTGCTCCAACGACGTTACGTGCAACGACGTTACGTGCAACACTCAAGAAGGTTTTGGAGAAAACAGTGTTCGTTCCGGACAATCTGGTCGTCGATCTGATAAAGCTGTTCGTGGAGTGGGTGCGTTGGATTGGTCATCATGTCGTTTTGCTCTTTCTCCCAAGGGGAGAAATACCGTGATCACTTCAAAGCTGGTGAGTGATGATGTCGATAACTAAGTTACTCCAAACTTCAAAGCATACTAGAATCAGAGCTGCAAAATAGTCTCTACTTGCGGCTACCCACTTACTTCTGTCGTTGGGCAAGAGAGGATGAGGGAGTTTTTCTCGACAACTTTTGATACTTCATGATCACAGCAGCTATTTGTACTGTCTGTCACTCTGTGCATGCACGTACGTAGCTACAGTTTTCTCCCCAAAAATTATTTTCAGGTGATTCCTTCCGGGCACAGCACAGTCTTGTATTATACTGTACGTGTACTTCCATGGCGCACGGCCATCTTATTCCAGACAGGGGGCCTAAGCTAAGATTTAGAAGCGTTACACCAAGCTTTTCTTTCCCACGCACCTCAGGACGGTATAACAAAGTTGCACAAGGATGCTACATGTCATCTAGCTGCACTACACATTTTCGTTGTGCATGTGCACGAATCAAAATGAATGAAATACAGCTGTAGCTGCACAAGGCATAAAAATTAACGGTTGCCACTTGTTGCTTGGATGAGGTGTACTATAACATGTACCGTACTGGATTGCTATCTGTTTGTGTAATTTCGGCGTATGCTTGCAGTTTTGCGTTGTCCCCATGGCCCACAGAATAACGCGGACAAAATCCTAAAATTATGCGCATACTTTAATATGCGGGCGAAAACAGGCCATTAGGCGGCAAATATTTATTTTATTTATTTATTACAGCATCTCATAGCACAGTGAGAACACCGGCCAATACAAAGAGAGAGGGTGTTAGCCAACCACGGCAAGGAAGGGAGAAGGGGAAGAGAAGAAAAAAGGAACCGGCATGGATAAGTAGTGATTGCAACAAAATTAGAAACACAAAATCAAAGTCAAGGCGCGACAAGGCTCTTAAAAAGGCGGAGGGAAGAAAGGTCCTTAGCTTTTTGGGGAAGTGCCAGCCACGCAGAGTACGCAGTGAAAAAGGGAGAGTGAAGTAGAAAGGAGGACTTAGGTTTCGGAAGGGAAAGGGAGTTTCTCGTGCTACGGGAAGAAAACCAGTTGAAACAGTGGAGGTAAAGTGGACACAGATTGAGTTTGAGAGAATGGATAAGGGTGACAAGATGTGAATTACGTCTCTTAGACAAAGGGGTAGTGTCAGCAAGGGCATAAAGGGTGGAAGATGGGAGCATGCGGGGTTTTCGGAGGAGGATTTAGAGAAATTTTTGTGGTGAATTTCGAGCTTGGCAGCACAGGTTGTGGAAATTCCAGCCCAAGCAGTATCTGCATAATCAAAAATGGGGCGTAGGTAAGCTGAGTAAAAGAGGAGTTTACAAGAGATTGGGAGATGGTAACAGTGAGAAGAGAGGATTCCTAAAGATGAACTTGATCGTATACATATGTAATCGATGTGGGGTTCCCATGAAAGATTAGAGTCAATGAAAATGCCAAGATGCTTATGGCTGGAGACTACGTCTATAGGCCGGGGGAAAGTGGGATGGAGGAGGGGCGGAACATCGGGCTGAGAAGGAAAGAGCATGATTTTAGTTTTAGACAGATTTGGCGATAACCGCCAAGACGACATCCAGGAAATTACTCTTTGAATCCTGTTAGCTAGGTTACTCATCAGGCCAGTGATGTTAGGAGATGCCCGGAGGGGCGTTGTGTCGTCTGCGAACAGTGATGTGCCCGGGGCAGCTGCGGGCAGATCATTGACGTATAAGATAAAAAGAAGGGGGCCGAGGATGAAACCCTGGGGAACTCCGGATAGTACTGTTGTGTCGGCTGAGGACGTCCCATGTACCGTGACGTACTGCGTTCGCCCAGTTAGGTAAGATGTCAGCCATAGCAGGGGATTGCCGTCTACAGTAAATGATCCACGAAGCTTGGCCAAGAGCCCCCGGTGCCAGACGGTATCGAAGGCCTTGGCAAGATCGAAAAAACAGATCCCGACTAGATCTCCAGCATCCCGATGTTGACACACTAATTGCACCAGGCGCGTCAGCTGGAGGGTGGTAGAATCGCCTCTGTGAAATCCGGACTGAGCTGAACTCAAACGTGCCGAGACATGACAGTACAATTGGTCGTAGAAGACACGCTCACAGAGTTTGGAAACACAGGACAGTAGAGATATCGGACGGTAGTTTGATGCTTCGTGGCGGGACCCTTTCTTGTAGATCGGTATAACATTAGCTGTTTTCCATGCGGTACAATGCAGTCGTTATGCACGAGTTCTCTGTCATTTGTACAGCTTTAGCATTCAGTTTCATGCAAGTATACAACTTTGTCGTACAAACTCATGCGCCAGTACGCGGTACGACTTTGTAGTACATTTTCAACATCATGTACTATTTTCTTGTACATTTCCATGAATAACGCGGGTTTTATGCAAAATCTCTCGAAAACGCGGATGAAAGCCAATAACGCGGAAAATTGCGCGTCGCGGTATCCTGTGGGGACAGCTTATGTGTCGCTGGACAATGTAATATATTATATTGCCAGTATGGTATGCTGAGAAACAGAAGATAACAGAAGAGTCCTGGTGGTGGCAGTCAAATTTTTCTTCAGACTTTTCCCTTTTCCATTCCCTCAACTATTGAATAACAGAAGATATGGTTAGCTTTACGATGTTCTATTTCCATGGTACTCCTACCCAGTAAATAAAAAAAACAGCTCGTGGTATCGTTTGGACCTTATCTGGGTCAATACAATCATGTGGTTTGCACGTGGACGTCGCGGTGGCTGGGGCGGTACAGCTTTGTAGAGGCCGTTTTGACTCCATCACTGAAGCTCTTTTCAAAATAAGGATGAAATTTGAGATTGTTTCTTGGTGTTGTACGGTAAAAAATGAATGGAAAAATTCACACATAAACATGAATGAAGAATGGTATGCATTCCATGCTATCCAGGGTGATTTGCCCTGCCTTTGAGCTTCCCACACCCAGGGCATTATAGCCTCTGTCAGAGTTGTGTGCAGACAGCCCAGTTGTTGCTATTGTTGCTGGTGTGCTGATGTTGCTTTGGGGTAATATTAGTTGCCATGCCTGTCCCTTACTGAGTGCAACCCGACTAATTGTTTCTTTACTCACACACATACACACCAGTGTAGATGCTGGTCTCAATCTTTGCCGCTCTTGATCCGTCTGTGTTCATGTGCTCTGCCATGGTGTCTCACTGTCCTTGCTTGCTCAGGCGTTTACGTGTGCAGCAAGTGCTCCCATCCGCTCTTCTCCGGCGCGAAGAAGTTTGAGCACTCGTCACCATGGCCAGCATTCACAGAGACCGTGCAGAGTGACAGTGTAACAAAGACACCGGAGGGCAGTGCCTACAAGGTGCGCTGCGGCAAGTGCAACAACGGCCTGGGACACGAGTTTCTTCGCGACGGACCCAAGGGAGCGTCGCGCTTTTGAATATTCAGCGACTCCTTGAAATTTGTCGAGGATGCCTCCAGCGGCTCTGCAAAGAGCTAAGTGTATGTAACTACCTTTGAGCGCATGGCCTTAGAGTGCGGGCTTAGTGAGTGGTGGCGTTGTCGAATGACGATGCTTCACCCAACTCTTTTTCAAAGGAGAGTGAAGCGATCTGATAACTCTGCTGTCGCCCCTCATTCTGACTGGCTCTTCGTGGCGTGCGCTCCCTTTTCTGTATAGCTTCATGTGTTTAAACATACTCAAAACCTCTCTCGCTCGCTCCTCTCTCTCTCTCTCTCTCTCTCTCTCTCTCTCTCTCTCTCTCTCTCTCTCTCTCTCTCTCTCTCTCTCTCTCTCTCTCTCTCTCTCTCTCTCTTCCATTTTCTGTCTACATACTTGCTCTCGGTTGCCGTGCAAACTGCTTTGTTTGTGATTTGCTCTTATCCGGTGCTTGCATATGTGTAGTTGTTAGAAAGTTGTGATCCAGGCAGATCACAGGGAATTATCTATCTTAGTTTGTCTTCACCTGACTAGTTTGTTCATTCATTTTACTTTCAAACTACATTGATCAGTACTAATGTTATTCTCACATACATGTATGTTAGAATTTTGACGACTTTCCGCGACAATGATTTCTCAGCGCTGCAAAGCTCTTTTTATTTTCGTTGCTCTGTGCACAAACCCATTACATGTACTGTCGTAGCTATTTTTAAGCCATGCGCCTTTATCAATGTGTTGCGCTTTTAATCGACTCAATCTGTCATCTACAGAATCACCTGCAACCCAATAATGTTGCCCTTTCAAGGAGACTCGTATTTCGTTATTGATTTGGGCCCAAGACGTAAGGGATGAGTCAGTTTGAGCACTGTGGCAAGGTACGTTCGGGCCTGGTTTAAATTTGGCTTTGGAAAATTTAGTTTTCATTGGTGTGAGGTTTGGCCTCATTTCCTCTGTGCTGCGCTGATGAGTCCACAAAGGACGAAACAGTTCTGTCCGCAGATTGAGTAATAATGATTACACGTGTATGTTCAGCAGGGACTACTACACTGCTCCCTGCTGTACTGTAACACCAAGAGTACTGCTCCCTGATGTATGCGGCTGCTAGCTACTGTACTGCACAAGTCCACTGACCATCATTATGCAGATAGATGACCTGGGATCAGGGATTCGTATTTTTGGTTTATGACTCCCTGCCTGGAATCCTGTCTGGTCCTTGTCAAGTTGTGAAGAACATGTGATTGCATGTTGCGGCAATGGTTACGATCAAGCGTGTTTATAAACTCTCATCTTCTGGTTACCATCAGTAACAGACAGTAAATTAAAATAATTAAATAATAATATGGCCCAGTCTGTTGATGTATGATGATATGACCTGTTTTGCAATCAGTTATCTGTCCACATCATTCTGGCAGACGTTGTCATTTTATTTTGGGCTTGCTGTAGCAGTAACCAACTGCTAGAAATGAAAAACCAAGCTGGCCTGGTGCATCTCTACACCTGCATAACAAAATACTACTTCAGTAGCAATTACCAAGAGTAGATCTGTAGTAGTACATCTCAGCAGCTTGCAGTTTATGCTTGACCCAGGGAGCTAGTCGGTATGTGTAGGCCCTGGCTTGAACATGGAGACTCTGATGTCATGCATGACTGATGTGATTAATTTTAGAAACAGGAATGCATGAATGACGGTAGTTACAATGACTGTAGATCTACATGTCATGTGTACGGCTACGTGTAGATCTACACGGTAAGTACAGATTCTACTACATTTTTTCTCGAATGAAGTCCGCGATTTCTGAATGTAATGTTGAGGATGAAGCGTACGCGTAGTTGCATGCATATCATTCATAATCAATTATCATGCCTGTCGGGTTGCAGCAACTACCAGAATGAGCCAAACTCCGAGTGGAAGACGAAAGCCCATTTCTCCTGCTGTTGCGGAAGCGCGACGGGGTTTCTTCTCAACGTCCAACACAGGTACTGCCGGTGCTAACGACAACAGCAGCGTGAGCGGTGCAGCGATGAAAGCTGCCTCCTTGAATAGGGATGCCGGCGAGAATAGAATGGTTGCGCCGGTTAGAGCTTTGCCCCGACACATGGTGCTGCAGGCGGATACCAGCGGAATAGCTGGTAGTGATGGCGCAACAGCTGCTGATGAGCCCGGCATGGTACTGGAAGCTAGCACCGGTCTGTCCAAGTCCCTGAACGACCTGGACGCTATGAATGGCCGCCTAAAAGAGGACAACAGCGTACTGCACCTCAAGGACGAGCAGCGCCGTCTAAAGCAAGATGTTTCGGACAAGAAGCGGGGCATTGCCAGACTCCAAAAGGCGAGTTGCTCCTCTACGATACCTACCTCCTCAGTTTGAGTCTGCATTTTCACATGTTTGTGGCAGCTCTGACTCCGGAGAACGTGAGGGTTCCGCTAGCGCTAGCACTCGGACTGGTACTCGCGTCTTTGAAAGTTTTACCACAGACCAGTGTTGCGCTTGCAAACTGGCACAGCGTTGCTGCATCTGGGTTGCGTTCAAGTGCAAACCATGTTGGCAACACTGTGTGCTCTGTTTCTTTTAGGGATTTCAGAACACCAAAGGATGCGGTCATGGCGAAACAACAAACAGTGCACGGTTCTCACAGACACAGTTCATGACAGGAGTGGCACAGCTTGCACCACGCCTGAGTGTCATACAGTAATGCTGGTATGGGTGATGGGCTGATTATCAGTTCAGACCAGGGAGTAGTCCAATACTGTAGTACTGCTCCCCGGTTTATACGCAGGAAAACAGGAGCTGCCGTCCATTGCTGGCGTGGATACGTTGTTGCTGGGGAGGAACGACCAGCCGTTGGCCAACAGCGGAGCTGCTGTGTAGGATGCAGGAGAAAGTTTACTCCCTTTCTCCTTGCAAATGTAGTTCATCCCGGAGTCGTGAACTCAGCCATTATGGCCTTGCCGCCGTAATACTTGCTGGTACACGTACACCTGGACCAGTAGTCCGGTTTTATTATTTTAAAAGGTGAAATGACCCTTTTACCCGGTATACTGGGGAGATGTGCAGTAATGATGATAGCTTATGTGTGGCTGTTTCTTCAGATCAGCGATGAGTTGACCATGTTGCTACAGCAGCATCACTATCTACAGGAGGCTGCAAGCAAGCGGGAGCGCCTTGGGCACACCATGCGCCAACGTCTCGAGGAGCGATGCCAGAAGTTGGAAGCCACCAACCGGCAACTGACAAGTACGCACATTACAGGTGTCCATCTTTAATCCAGTACAGTTTACAAACCCGGCACCCTCTATAAACCAGCATAAGTTTCAGGAACCAAAATGTCCTTTCCACTTTGCAGCAGTAAACCAGATTTTCTAATCCATCACCCTTCCTAATCCAGCAGAACCCTTCTGTAGCACAAAATGGTGCCGGATTATAAAGGGACCAGTGTATGTGAGTAATATTCTACCAACCAGTACCAAAGTAGACCTACATGTACATGATTGCAACTGCTATTACAACTAGGAGCTTGGAGCATTGCGTGCCGACAGTGACAGCTCGGTAGTCATACGTGTAGAGCGATAGCAGTTCAGTATAGAGAGTCTTAGACTCGAGAGCAGAGCCGGGCAGCCCCACTCTTGCAGTGTGCATGGCAAATGCGGCATGACTGATGAGTTGATCAATGGCATGAATGCGGCATGAATGAAGAGTTGATCAATGGCAAATGCGGCATGAATGATGAGTTGATCAATGGCATGAATGCGGCATGAATGATGAGTTGATCAATGGCAAATGCGGCATGAATGATGAGTTGATCAATGGCGGATGGCCCTTATGCCGGGGTGTGTTACTTATGGTACTGGTGACTTGGCCCCTGCTTCTCGGCTAGGTCAACTGGAGCAAGAGCGCATCAGTCCTGGATCTACACATGTGCAGGTAAGGGTTTCCAGGCGCATGCTCCATATGGGTTCCTGGGTGCCCAGAACCCCCCCCCCCCTTTTTCGCTCAAAATGCAGGATTTTGCTTCATTTTTTTTTAATTTTCCCGGGGGAGGTCCCCGCAACCCCCCCCCCCCCTTGAAGGGCACCGGCTCACGCGCCTGGCTTCCCTATGCACATTGCCACTGTGGTTGGTATGGTACTATACTGTAGTCCACTCCAAGGTCTGTTACCGGCCTTGGCCTGGACACTAGTGACGGTGTTTAATGCATGGCCTTTAGTCTAATAGCCGGCCTAAGTTTGTTAGAGCATAGTCTCCCAATGAATGCAGATCGTTTCGGGCATGATGTAACTTTAGAGTAGAGATAGTTTTGGTCTTTTTAGTCAACCTACCCCATGAATGCATCTGACTTAGTGTGTATAGTAGAGATGCAGGTACTAAAACGTATACGTCTTGATGATCAAGCTCATCTACAGGCATACTAGTACTGCCTTGTGTGTTTGCAACTGCGGGAGATACACTAGCGCAGGTGTATATTCGTGACTTTCCAATGTTCTGGAGGAGCAGCGGCGGCGATGAGTGGTATGTTCGGCTGCTTTCTCTCTACCCCTCGGTTTGGTCCAGGCACAAGAAGACATGAGGGAAGCTCTTATCAAGCGAGATCAGATGATCAAATCGCTGCAATCTCAACGTACGTACGGTGTTCGGGGTATTGTCATGGTTGGTCCACTTCCGAGGATGCTGAGTCAAGGTGCTTTGGACTTGACTGTAATGGGGCAACATGATGCAGTGATCGATCTATCCCTGTAGTCATACTGTACTGGATGATGCATATGTGCGTGTGATGCACGTAATCTACAGTACCTGTATCCATGGGTCTAAACTCTTTAACACAATGCCCAGTCCTTACTAATGCAAGATACCTGTATCACAGTGTCCAGCACCTCTTGGTATCGTAGTCAGTCTTCATTGCTCACACACTGCTTGCCCAGTACTGATGATTAAACCCGATTGTTCATGTCACACGCCAGTGTAGTAATGTTGATGTGTCTACACAATGTCTGCCCTGCACTACACTGCCGCCCCGTGAACAGATGATACCTGCGCCGGCACGATTGGCAACCTGCAACAGCAGCACACTCGACTTCTGCAGGACATGGCGTGGCTGAAAGTCCTGCAGGACGCCGTTGTGGCGAGCGAGGTCAAACTGCAGTACGCAGAAGAAGAGGTATGCTTGGCATGTGGTGTGTTCAGTGTGTGCGACACAGTTCGACTCTACAACTGTACACGCGTTCTCCCTGCTGATCTATCAATGATAGTATGCAGTGTTCTCCCTTTTGATCCATCAGTTGTGTATCCAGTATTCTCCCTGCTGCTGGCTTATCGGAGTACTTTCTTATACACTGTATAGTGATCCGAGTGCATCGGTGGCATTTGAAATCCGACCCGTCACGCATCAAGCGGAGGCACGTTCAGTGTTTGGAGTGCCAATGTTGTAGTGCGGCACAGTCACAGCAACTGCTACATGTGCGAGGGGGATTTCACCGGACAGCATCAGTGTACTCGCGTGTTTGTGTGCGTCTGCGTCTGCGTCTGTGTGTGTGTGTGTGTGTGTGTGTGTGTGTGTGTGTGTGTGTGCGTGTGTGTGTGTGTATGATGTGTGTGTATATGATGTGTGTGTATGATGTGTGTGTGTATGATGTGCTTGGTCAATATGTGAGGAAGTGTATCAACTGGCTGCACGAGTGCACAGTCAGCCTACTAGACTAGACCTGCTGCCAGTGGCATGGCTGTGTGCCAGTGCCACTGTACTTGCTGCACTAGAGTAAATTTAGTCTTTCTCCCCTGGTTGCGGCAGCTTGCTAAGCAAGTCGAGTTCAACAGCCGACTCCCGCAGCTCGAGGAGGAGTTTCTCGGACTACAGGATGCGTCGCAGCAGCAGCGTGCACGACACGCCGAGCGCATCCGCCAACTTCAAAGGGAATCCAGTGAGCTGTCCAGCCAGCTTCAAGCTCGTGGCGATGAGTTGTTACCATTGAAGCTGTGTGTGCCGCCAACCATAGCCCGTGATCTGGAGCAGCTAGTTGTGCAGCGTGACCAGCATGTCAGCGTGCTGACCGATGAGGTGTTGCGGGTGAGTAGGCTGCACTGGTGGTGGTGGTGGTGGTGGTGGTGGTGGTGGTGGTGGTGGTGTGTGTGTGTGTGTGTGTGTGTGTGTGTGTGTGTGTGTGTGTGTGTGTGTGTGTGTGCGAGTGTGTGCGAGTGAGTGTGAGTGCGCGCACGCATACGAGTAATTGTGTATGTATGTGTGTGTTCACATGTGATTTGGCGGACGTACAGCAGCGTACGCTACTTGTGCAGTTTGGCTAGGTGAAATACGACCCAAAGTGGATATTTGGCGACACGGATGTAATCGGAACTTGCCGAAGGCACCAGCCATGTACTGGGTCAGATTTCACCTAGCGCAACTATAGTTTCACTTATTTATTTATTTATTTATCGTCTCCACTTCATGGCACATAATAATACATAGCCAATACAAGAAAGGGAGGGTGAATCCAACCATGGAAAATAGCATTAACAAAAGAAGAAAAGGAAGCGAGGTGACACCATGTGTCAACAGCAGGTAGCACAATACGGTATTATTTATCGTCACTTTCACACAGTAGTTGTTTTATGTATACTGCACATACTCCACGATTCATGCCTTCCTACCTGGCTAACAGGAGCACTTGAATGCATGTGCCCTGGATGCTCTAATGGTATTCTGCAAACCCATTGCTGTAGAGATGCTTTTCTCCATCCTATCGTACTGTCACTTTTTGATTCCGCAGTGGCAACAGCTTTACATGGATGAGCTACGCGAAGGCACCGCGGCCAGGCAAGCAGCATCTCCCAAGCTCATCACCAGAAGGTCAGTCCCATGATGCTGCTGGTCACAGATGAATCTCAGGCCCGGCGGAACCGGTCCGGTTGGTCAGGCCATGGCTGGACCAACGTTTTGGCCACCAACGTGTATTTACTGCTGAGGAGGTCATGTGTCTACCGTCCATGTCATACACAAAGTATGACAGGCTAGGGGATGGCCGGACCAATCAAAAACTGCTTCTACCGGTTCTGAAACTACACTGATCTGCATGCCTTGTCTGAGTGAGCGGACGAACAGCTCAACATGGTGCATATGAATACTTGCAACGTTATGTGCTAGCAGTGGGGGATGAATTAACATGTGTCTTGATAGGGATTCTTTTTTGAGTAGCTGCTGTGCTGAATCCCTCCTCGCTGCATTGTAGATTGGCAAGTGCTGAGAGCCCAGGTATTGCGCGGCGCTCTATCGGCGCACCGCAGTTCCTCAGCTCCAACCTGGTGCGCGGCTCAGCTGATGCCAGCCGTCGTTCCGGCCGTAAGAACACTGAGCAGCAGCTGGAGCGGCGCCGTCAGGACCTCAACATGGCCATGCAGCATCAGCTGGAGTTAGAAGCTGGGTAAGGAGCTGCAACTGCAGTCCATTGAAAGGAATAGTTATCTTGCCTTTGACCATATAGGGGCCAATGTTTGAACTTTTCAACTTTTTCAGAATTTTATTAGTTTTGCCATCCAGTGCTTAATAGTCTCCTTCCATTTTTCCCTTGATCCAGGATCAAGACTTTGGAGCATCTAGTGAACCATCAGGAGTTAGAGCTACTAGAGCTTCAACAGCAGCAACAAGGTGTGGAAGATGGCGCTGCTTTGGCCAGCACTCGGTATTCCGTAGCTCACAGCGCACGCAGTCGTGTGGTCAGCGGCAATGCCACGCCATCCAGTATCTTCTCCTACCCGCTGCCCGGCAGTCACGCTTTGAAACCAGGCCAGTGGGCAACGTCCAGCTTCCACTCGTACACGCCGCGTGCTTCGGCCGCGGAGCCGTCGAACGGTGGGAGCGTGACGGCAAGTCCCGTGCGGAAGCCGCCGCACTTTGGCAGCCAGCAGGCAGTCTCGAGCTTACCCACACAGACGCCTCCCAGAGGGAATGACGGACCATTGAGCAGTAAAGTGAGTGGGCATGATGCAGAGCTGTGCTGTGGTACATATACCCCACGTAGAGTGCAGAGCTGTGATGAGCTGTGCTGTGGTACACAAGCAATTGGTTTGATATCCATTGTCATGTGAGTGGATCACTGAAAATAGAGAAGTGGTGTCTGCTGGTCCTTTTGCTGATCTGCGAGATGTTGCTCTAAAGGTGAAACGCCTATGGCACTGTCAGAAGGCTCTGGCATGTGTCACACTGCCAACACACTCGATCGGTCGTCGCCGATATCTACAGCTCTCCATGCGTAGCAAAACCACATTGCAGGCGATACATGACATGATTGTACTCGCACTTCGAATGCCCCCTGCGGCGAGTGTGAAAGAAACAAGTATAGTCTTGCTTTGATTGCCTGGTATATAAATCAGCTAGCCTATGAATGTGTGTGTCGTGTGTGGTGGATCTGTGCCACTGCTGTGTGTGTGTGTGTGTGTGTGTGTGTGTGTGTGTGTGTGTGTGTATACGTGTGTGTGTGTGCGCGTGTGTGCGTGCATGAATGTGCATGCATGCAGGATGATGTGATTTTGCAGATCCAGGACGACTGCATGGTGTGAGTTGTTACCAACCCAGTGCCCAGCTCTGCCATGGGCGTGTGCGTGTGTGTGCACGCTCGCGCTGGGCCAAGAAGAGAACGGAATGATTTTGAGCTGGCCGGCTACAGCTCACTTGCCTCACTGGCAGCCATGTGCTGTTATGCAAGGTAGAATGCAGCCCATCTAGCCATCAAGCTGGCAGCAACCTTCAGTATGAACAGCAAGTATGAGTTGTGTGGTCGGCTGACCCTACTCGACCTATGACAAAGAAGTTTTCCCAGCTCTTTGCGGGTGGATGGCACTGGTATGTCTTGGTGGACAGTACAGTCGTATACCTGTGCTACATAATCTTGAGAAACTAGGCCTTGAGACAGAGAAGCTAGCTCACTTTGAAGCAGACAATGCTACTGCCTACAGAAACTAGAGGCGGCAACTGCACAACAATGTAGTTGTTTATCACAATTATTCAGATATCATAATAATATTATTATGACATTAGTGAATCCGTACCGAAGGTTTTATCATGACAGTACTGTATTACTTGAGATGTTGAGCAATATCTATTAGCAACACATGTACGGTAAGCGAGACCATGTACGGATATGTATTATGTTTTTGTTATTATTTTGATGCTTTTTCCCGATCCTCAATGTCACCCGCATGCACCAAGAGCAGTTCAGGCAAATGTGCTCCGTCACGCACGCAGCTGTTGACACTGGTTTGGCTCATCACAGCTTACCAGGGTGAAGCCAGTGCAAGACAATCATCCTGGTGGTAACAGGATGTAGCGACAGGACAAGAGCGATGGTAATGTGTTATGAACGTTTTATTATCATTGTATGAAGTCCAAGAGACTTATGGCCGATGCACTCTCAAGTAAAGAGGCAATCATACGGAGTGAGCGCGAAGCTGAACAAGACAAGAGACGAGGACGACAGCTTCTGAGTGAGAACTATGTTTTCATGGTACATGGAGGGTTGGAAAACAAAAATATGCGAAAAGGAATCCGGAGGTTGCTTGTTATCGCATCAGCATTCACAAACACATACAAACAGCAAGCAGGCAAGAGTAACGGAAGCGAGACAAACCGAAGGCAGGACACGGCAGAGAATTTATTCGCTACAGCAATAACAACAGCATTTACAAGCTCGAGCACAGGCACATACACACATGCACCGACACACACAAATAGCTGTCTGCCCGAGTCTGGACGAGACAGGACAAACCTCTGGGCACATGAGACTAGATGAATCAAGGCAATGGGAAATAAAATCAAAATTGAAACCAAACCAGCAGAGGAAACACACACTGCTCATGCAAAGTGGTCTTCTCGGTCATATGTCATAACCTCTCCTTCCTCCAGACCACTGAAGTTGAGGAAGTGAGCTGGGCGGTGAGACTCGTGATAAAACTCCTTCGGGTTGGACAACTGCAGTTCGTAGCGCATAGTAGCCGAATGACGGACACCTGTTTGCGAGAATCAGTGAAGAAAACACCAAGCACACGTTTCGAGAGAGAAGCTGGGCTATGGCATACCGGAAACAGCTGGGTACTACACGGAGAAATCTAGAAACTGGAAAAGACACTGCTCTGACACGGGATCTATTGGTTCTGTCAAGTATGGCTTCCAGGATAGTTCAAAATCCCCCGTCGTCAGTAGGAGATATAGCGTTGAAAAGAACACAGGCAAATGTTACCAATCCTCCTATTGACACACACTGCTAGCTTTAAAAAAAAGGTAAAAATCAGTTGGCAGAGGTTGCAGAAACCCATTGAATTGAATACAACACACATCCTGTAGTGTATAAAACGCCCCAGAGCATGCGGCTGCTGCTTGGTACTGGCTACAACTGGTTTGCAGAATTAACACCTGCACATCATTTCTCAGGATGTAACCAGGTACATGTACGTCAAAGTACAGTGCTGCTCAATGAAATCCAGGCGTGGCACTCAAGTTTGCGCCTTGCACCATTTCGTAGCCCAGTGTTCGCAGGTCTAGGGCTGCGCAACGCCCGGCGTGTACAAGAGTGACGCGACTGGATTTCATTGAGCACTGCACTGTACATGCATGTATTCATTCAAGATGCAAGGTTGACCGGGCGCAACCGCAGTTTTCCGCACAGTCAGGTGCATTATTACATCACGAAAAAAATAGTAAAATCCTGAAAACGAGTCGCGACGGAGGTTGCCATGGAGGAAAAGCTATATTCTCATGCTACAACAACACGACAGCATTTCAAAAAGGGCACATTTCATTTGCATTTCAAAGTTTCCAGAAGTAATTTCCAGAAGGAGAAGTAAACTGCAGTGCACTTACCCATGAAATTGAAATTCCACGGTCCACCGGATGGCGTCATGAAGAAGCCGAGGAAGCGGTCAGACAGCAGCATCTGTACACGCTCATAATGCGACGGCATGTAGCCGTGTGGATTGCTGCTCGTGTCCTTGTTGGCTCGGCCCCACTCAAAGCCGGACGGTGTCAGCTTATACGCGGCCAGGGAGCAGGAGCCGGGCGTGAAGCTGCAAGTCATCATGATCGTCTTCTCGCCGTCCCAGGTCGGGTTGTCGGACATGACACGCGCATGCAGAGTGACGTCCTGCGGCGACAGCTGTGGCAGCTCGTTGGGCTGAGTGTGCACCCAGCCGAGTGGCTCAAGCTCCTACAAATGTCAAGTGCACACACACACACACGTTAGCAACAGCAAACCCACACTTCTTAGGTCAGTTTGGTGACAAAGAGTCTGAAGCAAGGGCATCTTGCTATACAAGTAGCAACACCATAGAGCATGGAAACCGCTCCACTGGCCTCACAAATTTGTCTCGAATTATCCTCACCCTGACACAGGTGTGAGACCAGCCTACGATTGCAGCAAGGCTACAGGCCCTCGTCTGCCCCCGCACACACGAAAGTGCACGCACATGTACACAATCATATGCTTGATGTACTCTCGGTAATGTTATACTATATATGTACATGTAGATGTGTGCACAGTGGACATACCTTGAGGTATTCGTGCTGCGGCAGCTGATTTGGCAAGTGGACCGTCTGCAAAACGATAAAGAGAAGAAGGAAAAAAGGAAGTGAGTTCTGACTTCCAAGAGTCCCAAAACACCAGTGATCAGTACATGATGGCAGACTAATACAGCAATAAAAAGTAACACTTTCTGAACGAATACAAAGTAAACCAGATTTAATCTTTAGAAACTGGGACAACTACACTTCCCAATAGGAATACAGGAGCTGGCATTGTACAAAGGACAAACCACTGGCATGCTCAACACCAGATTCCGCTCTATCGATGCTATACAGCCACGTAACCTATCAAACAACACCTAGACATTGATAATTTGATACAATACAAGTACAGGACACATTCGCTTATCCGCACACCCGTCATCCGAGTACAGTACACATTTGCTTATCCGTACACCCGTCATCCGAGGCTTCACTTATCCACAAGCTGCTCATGAACACACGGTCTATTGAAACGAATGCAGCAAAGGGCAGCCCTTGTTGTACTGCAAGTCTGTAGAACAATAATATGTTGATGTGTGCACATTGCGAAGTACGGATTTGACTTATCCACCTGCTTCACATGTCCGCACATCTTTTCGTGGACCCCGTGCCCTGAAGCGGGCAGATCAGCGAGGTGCTACAGTAGAAGGAAAGCAGCAAGCGTCGTCACTGACCTGGTGGGTTCCCCACTGCGGCACCATCACGATACAGCGCACCTCCTTCACCTGGGGATTGTCTGGTGGACTGATACCATACAGATAACCAGCGATCTACAACGAGACAGACACACAGGCCAACGGCAGAGCAACATAGCATTTCATTTCCGTGAGTAAATTCAAATTCGAATATCCTCCACATATTACGTAAGCAGGGGATGCTTTTACACGCACTACTCTCCAGTCTGCACACAGTCAGCAAGAGCCAATCCACTTTGTTCTCCAATGACTGTACAGGTTGCAGTTGAACTTGATAACCATATGCAAGCGCTGGACACATACCTGTGTTCGCAGATCTGAGATTGTGATGAACTTCTTGAGAATGTTCTTCGGCAGGACGTAGGTGAAGCCGGTCTCCTTGATGTCATCAGACGACACATAGATATGACCGGTTCGCAGATGAAGATTGGTGGCGGAGATGGCACGCACACGCCAGTCCGTCTTCGAGGCAAATGTGGCCGTCTCGTAGTTGGACGTGGTGGTCGAGATGATCTCGTCACCGTGTACGTTGACCGTACGCGTTGTCGTCGCCGTCAGCTGAGACTGCTCCTTGGTCTGCTTCTCAATTTCGGCGATCTGCTGTCGCTGCTGTGACGGCGCGGAGATCTCCATACCCAGGATGATGTCACGGATTTCAGACTGGGTCAGCGAGGCAACGTTGACACTGTGTGAAGATGAGCGACACAAGCGGACACATTAGATCTAGCAACATTCAGCACGTCATGCATTCAAACATTCAACAAGTAATACATCCAAGCATTCAACAGGTAATATATTCACACACCAGGGGGCATTCAGGTAATGCATTCAGCAGGCAATGCCTAGAGTCCTCACACGCTTGAGTGGTCCACTGGAACCAGTGCAATGCACAATGGGAACATGAACAAGACCCACATCATCGTCATCAATACTCACTTGTTCTTCTTGCCATAATCAGCCAAGATCAAGTCCTTCAGTGCCAACTGCAGAGCACATACAAATCAACAAAAAGACGGACACGGTTGCGGGCACTTGCGATAGCAATCATAACCGCACCATACGCACACAACAATCTGACACGGACGCATCCTAATGTATGATAGGTATGCTGCATACAGAACATTGGACAGGGAACATGGTGGACGTACCTCAACACGCATCCACTCCTCATCATTGAGTGTGGGCCAGATGTGATGGGACTCGGTAACTGTGGTCTTGTCCGGCTTCAGAATGACCTGTACAAACATGGCAGGAGCGTGTAGATACACATGACACAATGTGAACGACTGGAAATTGTTTACTGGCAAGAGAGAAATACACTGAATAGCACTCAAAAGCACATGCATTGGCACTTGATGTGCTGCATATACACATCTGACAGATTCATTCAAAGAAGATATAGACTGCCCTGTTAGAACAGAAAAATATGCTAGACCTAAAAGCATACATGCACACACAATCACATGCACATGCATACACGTACACACACACACACACACACACACAGAGGCAAGACTGACCTTGGTGCGCTCGTTATTGACATGAAGAGCACGCAGAATCAGGATCAAACGAGAGAAGGCCTACACACGAGAGAGAAAACAAGAGAATGGAGCGAACAAAAGATTGATGAATACGTATGGCTGGCACAATTCGAATGATGAACCTTGCGCCGAAGATCAAAGAAATCCAATTCAAATAGAACAAAAAGGGCACCAACACAGAGCACTAGCCAACTAGCCACATAAACATAACCGCTACTCCATACTTGAACAAGCATAAACATACACAGTGAATGTACGGGAAAGAGTCAGACAAGGCAGAACAAGGCAGAACAATGCATACCGTGTACGATGAGACGCTCTTCAGCCAGTCGTCGTAAAGATTGAACAGCACCATCTGCGGCTCAGTGGCCTTCAAAATCAAGTCACCGAGCTTCTCAACCTGGTTTGGTCAAAGACAACAGAGAGTGAACAGCAATACATGCAGCGTCACACCAAAAAATCACCACAGATAGAGGTGTTGTAAGGTTAGACATCCCCGTATCCGACTACACACACATTCCCGTAGTCAGGTAGCCCGACCTCGGCAAGATTCGATTTGACATGGTAGGCTCTATCAGGCTTGCCTTCCTCTCTAATCCCTGGATATTGTTCTTGTGTGTGTATGTGTGCGTGTGCATGTGTGTGTGTGTGCCTGTGTGAGAGGCTGAGACAATATTTACTGTAACGAACACAAGTCCATGCAGGGTACGAGCTAGCAAGGGTACACATTGAAGAACACGGCTGCTACTACACGACTTACCTTCAGACAGGCTTGGAAAGGAAGCTGCAGCTCGCTACCCTTGATGACAATGTTCGGGAAGTCCAGCAAGTGAACCTGTACATGTCACAGGAGCAGGAGGAACATAACGGCCATTGCAGAAAGGACTTTTGACAAGATGACATGAGCAAATCCACTGCTCTACACAACCTCGACTGATCACACTGTGCGTGTACGCCTTCCTGACGGACCTTTACAAGAAGATAGATCGCCATTTCGTCCTTTTTTATCGAAAAAATCAGCTGTGGAATGTTAAGGCCATAATAATATCTCCTGTTACTACAGGTGATCATAGCACGTGATGTACTAGCAGCAGAGTAGGGAATGGTACCACAGTACCCACACCAGCTCTGATCTAGACTATCATAACCTAAACCTCATCACTCACCTCAAGTGGATCCAACATAGCCTTTCTTGTCACGATGATCTGTTTAGGCTGCTCCTCTACTGGTAGAGATCGAATCAAGGCAGCGACTTCTTCAGCTGTCTTCCACTTTGCCAACTGTTGTTATCAGAATGTAGGCAAGAGTAGCACATGACACAGGATACTGGTTAGATATACTAGACACTATACAACCAGAGCATTTCGATGGTCAAAACGTTCGTCAATACGCCATAACATGAACAGAGATGGACAAAATCAAGGATAGTCCGGCATAACATTTAGTCTGAAAACTCCTGGGACGAAAAGACAAAATTAAAATCCCGATGAGTTTTTTCCGCTTACACAATAGGTCAGACAGGTCAAGAGAGAAACACAGGGGATTTCCCAACAAGCAAATGGACCGCAATAGGTGCTTCAGCTAAAACCGTGCTGACAGAGTTGTGCGTTGCAGATCTAGGAAGACTACTGGAAAGGGTAAAAGATTGAGTACTCCGCTCCTGCTCTTGTAGTAGATGAGCACTCTCGTGTGGGGTAGTGCCTTTGCTGTTTGCATTATGGAGAGCTCACTGGCTTGTCAGTGTGAGCACTCTGGCAAGGTTGAACGTCATTTTCTCTGTGCTACACTGATGAGTTCTGTCCGCAGATTGAGAAAAGGGTTAAAAAGAAGAAGAAGAAGAAGGTGTCTTACCTGACTGAGACGCTTCTGTCCCGCCCAGACCTTGGTGTGAATGATCTTCAGGAAGAGCTGTCCAGTGCGAGGGTTGAAGATGAAGATGGCGCCGTTGATCGGCTTAGTCGTCAAGTTACCTTCAAATGTCTACACGTGCGCAAGCAAGCAAGAATCAGCAGAAAGAGGACGCAGTGCATGAGATCATAGCTATGGTATCATGTCAAGTTCTTCCTTGAAGAAACAACCCAGGGGAACACACTAAGATATCATCAATGCCCTTCTGGCCAAGGGAATTGCACAGCAATTCGTTATGCACAATGCAGGTATAACAGTCGCACACTTATCAACAACATGACCGCCTGTGGATATAGGAGTCATTTTTACCCCACACGCTGAGTGGAGGCAACACAGAGACACATGTGAGCAAGACAGCACCCAGTGCCGTACCTTGTGAATGGTTACACGGTACACGTTCGTGTCGTCGACAAACCAGATGATCTGGTTGGAGAAGAGCTCGCCGTAGTTCTGCGACGACAGGTACGGCTCAGTGGGCTCGGAGCTGTAGAGCTGCAGGGCCTTGCGGATGCGCTCACGCAGCACGTACAGCGCAGGGTTGGCCTTCATGATCTTGGCCAGCGCCTGCTGGATGAGCACCTTCATACCCGGGAACCAGTGGCCAAACGCGCTGTACAGGTTGTAGGCCAGGTCAAACGCAATCAGCACACCAGTCGGGCTCGGGTAGATACTCATGTTGTCGGTGGTATAGTCCAGGAACTTGGCCCTGGCGTAGCGCTCAATGTCGTGCGAGTCGTAGTCGCCCCATCGCAGCTGAACGTCCACCCAGTACTTCTGAGTTGATGTGCTGTCCATCGTGTCCCTATTCAAACACACACACACACACACACATATTACAGTGCCAGCTGTTATACACCCCCCGGCCTCGCTTCCTTCAGACTACGGGCCATGATCACGACATTGCTCTGCCTCACACTCCCCTTGTAAAAACATCTCCAAGTCAAGCCCATTGTTATTCCAGTTCAGGTAAGAAAACTAGAGCAGTATTACGCAACCCGGTAGAACAACTGGTTCTGAACTATCAGAAATGTATTACCGTACGAATCTACAGCATCTTTTGTTCGGCCACACAGATGTATTACCAAACACATGGAATAACACAAACAGTATGTGGCGGTTAAGAGCTAGCTGCAAGTGTGTTGCTAAGGGTGTCACTTCACTACTTGGATGCCCTATGAATTAGCCTGGTCCATGCCAATCCCATGTACAAGTCCAAGCTTACTTGGTGTCGGCGATGAGCGATGGCTTAGAGACATTCCAACGGTACGAAGCAAAGAGCAGAATGTCTGCACAGGAGCTGTTCATCTTGTAGGACTTTCTCGGATGGATTGTCTCCTTTTGGACTGTGTTGATCTCTAAGGCGTCCAGTTCATTGTCAAATACCTGCAAATGATAACATGGATACAGAGAGAACATGAAATATACACAGTGCAGATGGTGACATCCAATTTATCTCTGTCTCCTGTATCCACCCCCCCCCCCCCACACACACACACATGTGCACCAAACAAGAAAAAAAGGAATAATACCAGTGCACACACAGACACAGACAGACAAACAGACACACAGATGGAATCATACCTGACACAAGTCCATCACGATGCTCTCGTGAACCTTCTGCCACAAATGAGCACGGAAGATCTGAATGAGGGAAATCTTCAGCGTTGGAATCTTGCCGTGCATGAAGATACCAGTCAAGTCGAGCTGTACTTGGAAACCAACGTACACCTGGATAAAGACGCACAAGCACACATTTCAGAAGTACCATTACATACCATTCTAAAGGGCTTGACAAGGATCACACGATGGTATGCAGATTTCAATGTTAAGTAGAGGAAGTAGGTGTGGCAGAAAGAGATGAAAGGGTTACAGCTGACTTCACACGTAAAAGCTCTACAAACCTCATAAATACAGCCCAATAATCTCATGAACAACAGTACAGTCAGGATTAAGCAACAGATCGAGCCAAGACAATACACATACGTTGGCTCTGTTGATAGTGGGTGACCACCAGAGTGTGAAGCGGCGGTTCGGGATCTGATTCAGACCAGACCTCTGGGCATTGGTCAGCTTCTTGTACTTCATGGACTCCTCAAATGTGCTGGACTTCTCCCAGAAGAGACCCTCCCAGGTTGGGAAGTAGGTGCCCTTGAAGAGCGTGTGCTCAAGGATACCTTCCACGCCACCCAGGGCTTGGATCATGTCCGAGCGGTAGTTGTTCAAGTTCCATAGCTTGCCGTCGTGACGCTGGTGAGTCCACCAGAACGAGATGTGCTTGCATTGCTGTACTCACCATGGACACAGACACACGCACAGACACGCAATTCAAGGCAGTGACAACGAGTAATGTCAGAGGGGGGGCACAACATCACATTAATATGGTTGCGGAGCTGAAACTATGTACGAGGAGAAAAAGATTTGCCATTGCCGCACATCAAAGTAGGGAGGGAGAAAGAATACATGCATGCCATGGGTGTGTGATGGAGCCTAAGCGAATGAGACTCACATTGAACTGCTTGAATTCACAGCGCACACGCCATCCCTTGTCATACGCCAGGGTGTGCCGGTCCTTCTGGAACAGAGTGTTGATACGTGGAATACCACGGTCCCAGGAGTCTTCCAGATCCTCAAGAGTAAGACGTCTACACAAGGCAAAACAAGAGAAGAACATAGGCATCAGCCAGTAGAACACATAGTATAATGACGATGTGGATACTAGGAAACCGATCATTGTAGGAACAACCCCAGCATTCCGATCACAAGTACATAAGGCATGTGCTGCAAATAGCACCAAACGTCTGAACCTCACAACATTGGCAAGCATGACGGAAATCCAATGACATTGTTGTGTCCTGTTGAAACCCATAGTAACTATGCGATGTACAGAGGACACTATACCTAGGGTACGGATATGACACCACCACTTCTCTCTTCCTCACCTGTTCTGTGCATTGGCATCTTTCCTCTTGAGAGCGTACTCGGCCCAGACACGCTGCGAGTCGATGAACTCGGCCTCCCAAGCCTGAATGTAGCGGTACAGATTGGGAATCAGCTGGTCCTGCTCGTGGCTGAGACCAGAGCGGAAGTGAGTGATGCCTGTGTCCGTCTGTTTGCACCATCTACACACAAACATAAAGCAGAATGGGTGCAAATCAATACACTGGACACTGTGCCGGGAAACAAAGCACCGGACTGTCTGCATGTAGCACAAACAGAGAACAACCTGCAGAACACATAGAACACACACCCTCCAATATATTCACAACGAGGCAAACACACTGGAGTACATAATACGCAAACATACCTAAGATCAGACTGAGGAATGAGCACATGTCCCATGGACAACATGCCAAGACCACCGAGTTCCTTGGGTGTGTAGAAGACCACTGGCGGGAAACGACTGGGCATCTTACTGTTCAAACCAATCTTCACACGCGTTTGGATCTAAGCACAAAAAGGAGGGAGAAACAAAGGGTAACGTTAATCATAATACAATGGTAAAGAATCTCTTGACCAGAGCAGTATGGATTTCGAGAACTTCCCGAACTGAGCAAAGGGACCCTAAGTGTGGATTTCGAGAACTTCCCGAACTGAGCAAAGGGACCCTAGGTGTGCAACCATTGTGCACAGTAAATGTGTGCTTCAAGTATATCTGATCATCAACCACCAATCCATTCTTCCAGCACGCATGGAAGACGCAGGAACACAGAGAAAGCCAACCAGAATCAAAACAATGGGTGTTGAAATTTTGCGCTTGGCAGTTGATTCTGACCTTGTTCTCACACTTGACCAGCAAGTCGAGAAGTTCCTGAGTGTTGACAACGGCCTCACGGAAGTATGTCATCAAGCCAATGAGAGCCGTGTTCCACTTGTTGATGATCTACAAGCAAAACACCAAAAGCACAGCAGAGAATGCCATATAGATGAAGTTCTACTCAACCGAGGTCGACATCACGGAGAAGTTGGGAGAACACGTCGATGCAGAAAGTGGTAACTGTTGCACTTGAGCAAGGATAACAATGCATACATTGCTATCTGATTCACTGGTTGTGGACAACACAGCACTGTGAGATTCTAATAAGAAAAAGAGGATACTCGCAATTGCTCGCAGCCGGAACTGACCTTAGTGAACGTCGTTGATCCGGATGCCATCAGAATCTGACGGATACGGTTGTGGAAGCTACCAATGTGCTCCTCTTCCACACGCAGGTAGCACGTCGCCGTACGTTCTTTGGTGACCTCGTTCTGCAAATGCCAGACGCCGTCACGTGTGGCCACCTCCTCAAACGGTGCGCGCATCTTCGGCAAAATGCGGCACTCAAAGCCCGACATGTTGAAAAGCAAGTTGGGGTTGTCCTTGCTGTAGACACTGACAAAGCTGTTATCCCACAGCAGTGTGGTGATGGAGCGGGGCAAGCGGTTCTTCATGTCCCAGAAGACAGCACGGCCACTGCAAACACCCACACGGAAGCAGAATGAAAGCCATCAAAAAAAACTCCGGCAGTAAAACGATGGCATGTCGCAACACAGACCTTGCCAAAACACTATAGTGCAAGCTAGAGTACACAGGAATCAATGTGTAAAAGTGTATGAAAAGAACACTACACATAAACAACACTGCAACATATAAACACAAGTGGCATCCACGGCAAAATCTTACAGGTTGACGTCGTGCTTCATCAGGCGCATGCGTGCATCTCGGGGCCAGCACTTCTTGTTGTTGTAGCCGACGATGTTCTCATTGTTTGGATCGGGATGCTCGGTCAGGAAACGCTGGATCAGGTCACGGGACTCATCGGCAGAGAACCTACACAATAACACAGATGACAAAGTGTACATCCATTCACGACAACAATCACATGATGACACTATAATATTGCGACACAACGCAGGTCATGACATGTAGTATGAAACACCCACCCACACACGCCCACACGTACAGTTATGGTCTGCGACCATCGTTGACATGCTCACCTGAAGTACATGTAGATCTTGTCAACATATCGGCAGTACAGACGAATAGGATGGCTGGTTTCAGTTGGTACATCCTGAACAAAATCGTAGAGACATGAAGACAGAGTTTAACTCGAGGAACAGATAGGATCAGCGGAGGAGCTTAGCAACACGAATACGAGATAAAGAGCCAGTGTCAACATGTTCCATATCCATCATGACACGCTGACACTAGACTTGTCTATCATACACGAGCTCATATCCCCACTGAGTTTCTGATAGAAACATGTACAAACAAGCACATACGGTGCACCTACCTGGAACGTCAAGAAGTCGTTGGGCAGCTGCGGAGGGCCGGCCATTTCGCTGGCACGCTGCAGACCCAGCAGCAGCAGGTCCAGCACCAAGCCGTAGTACTGCGTGATGAAAGTGGCAAACTGCAGACCACGCAGGATACCGTAAGAGTTGGTGTGGTTCATGTCCTTGTAGGTGATGACCACGTTGTTCTTGGCCGTCATGTAGTCAGCAATGTTGTGATCCACGATCAGACGCAGCAGTCGGTTCATCAGCGTCAAGTCGATCTTCTCGTACATCTTGTCAAACTTGCTCTGCAGCAGAACGTTGCATTCGCCCTCATTGTATTCCCACACCTCCTGCAAGTTGTTGATGCCTGTAGTAAAGCAATGGTTGGACAGCACACGTAGTAGTCACTGTGAGCAATATATCAAAATAGGAAGAACAGACCACCGCACCACAAAGCACACAAACATGCAACGGAGAAGTCTAGAAACAAAAACGGTCAGGCTTCTGGAACGTTCAAACATAACACACTCACCCACCACACACACCGAAAAGACAAGGTGCTACACCATAACTGCTAGTATCCTGTCTCGAAGTCAATCCTTACCATTGCACCACTTGTAGACTAGCAGTGGAGGAGGCTCGGAATCGCCCGGCTTGATCCACGGTGGGAACAAACGCCGCTTGTCTGCTTCGTACCAGAGATACTGGTCCAGGTAGGCATCGGTGATCTTCTCCAGTGGCTCCACATCATACGCAGGAACAATGTGGCTGTACAGATCCATGAACTCTATGCCAACCTGAGGCACAAACACGCACGAACACCAGGAACACATATCAGTTTGTATTGTCATCGTTGTGTGTACCAATTATCAGTACACAAAACAATGCATGTGCGTGCACATTGTCAAGCCTGATGTATACATGTCATCAATTACGAAACCTAGTAAGATTTCAAAATAGGTTGATGCAATCGAGGTTGATTAGTCTGGAAATCCAGGATATTTCATGAAGCAGACGACATGTTTTGCTTTGACAAGAGCGGCAGTAAATAGCCAACAACGCTGCAGAACAGAGTCTCAGACAAAGCCCACTTGGACTTCAACCTTACCTCCTTGAAAGCACGCTGTGTGAGGAGGTGACGCTTGATACGGGACAACGCCTCGTGAGGGTTGTCGTACGCCTGCTCAATAAGTGCCAGCTCTTCACGCTGCGACTGATTAAGACGACTCTGGACACTGTACAGGAACAACGCAAGGCAACACAGCATGTGACAATGACAAAAACAAACAAGGACAACATGTACTGCACAACATCATACACGATCCTTGAAAGCGGACACATGAGACTTTAGAAATCAGGGGCATCAGGTACAAGTGTAAGGCAATATGGATTGATTTTAGCTGACGGAGATGTCCATTAGCATGACGAAGAAAGACTCACGCACAAAATACCATGCACATGAGAGAGGAGCTGAGGGAGAGACAAAAAGCTCACTTGAGTCACTTCATGGCTAGAGTGGTGTCCTACAATGGAGACATCAACAGGAGCAGGCCAAAGCAGCTTGGAAGCAACTACTTACTGGTATGCCTCTTTGAGACGTTCCAAGCAGAGAATGAGCAGCTTGGTGTCATGCTTGTAGGAGAGCGGCGGGAAAGGGATTGGCGAGAAGCGCCGGCTTTCCAGCCAGTGGACCATGGTGGTGAAGATGGCGACGGCTTCCTCGGCGGACACATACGGACCGTCCTTCAAGTAGTTGTGCTGTCGCTCCTGCTCGGCCTTCAGGTAGAGACGGGTCAGACGTCCCAGGTTCTTCTTGCACACCGTCTTGTCAACCTGCATGCCAATGCATTAACACCGCCAAGAGGATATAGGAATTAAGAGGCACATAGCACAACCCCGTGCGAATAAGAACATATTTTTCTACTCTAAAATTCTCTACCCGTGCATATAAGAACATATTTTTCTATTCTAAAATTCTCTAAAATTCTTTGTTTTGCTAAACTACTAAAAGGCTGTTTCGGTGATTTCAGTCCTGCACAGTGAAAAAGACTACTCAAAAAGAGATTTCAAATAGAATGCAGAAAACCAGCTGCACAGTGGGCACTTGTACCTAACTCGTAGCTGTTTTCTCAAAAGCAATACGGTCATGACAGGGAAAAACACAACACTTCATCACACATCGCCGAACAGCCACCACAACGAAGAATGCAGACGCATATTGGTAACACCATGAACAACTACTGCCCGTCACTACCACTTACAGTTGCACCACGGCGGATACGCTCACGGTTGTAGTGAGATGTGTTTGTCCACCAGTCTGCTTTCGACTTGACGTACCGCAGGATCATGTTCTCGATAGGTGTCGGCAGACCGGGTACCTTGGCAATGCGAACAAAAACGAAAAGGACATAAAATCACAGTTCGATAACAGTGTATGTAACAATCCAGCGGGGATACACCAGAGGTAGAGAAGAGTACTCACAGTGACAAAATCACACGAAAATGTGGAGCCCAATATGCGTTTCTCTTCTATTTTCGACACACTAATGCTTCAGAATAAACACCAAGCAATTCATTAGCTGCAACTGCACATCCCCACCTCTGGGGCAAAAAGCAACGACAGATCTGTGCAAAGGCGAGGAGGGGTACAAGTCCATGATAGGCGGGCCCATGGAACATGACATGAAAAACCCAGACGGTCATCACCAAAGAAATCTGATCTAGTGCTCTACTGAACGTACAGGTTGGTTAGATTTCTTTGGCGACAAGTGTACTGGACGAATAGTCTCGGCCACTCAAACCTGGCAATAGATAGGTACTAGTAAGCGAAAACAGCAACCGAGTCTCACCTTCCACGGAATATTCGCCTTCCAGCAACGCCACGCCTCGCTCAAGTGCTGCAAGATTGTCTTGGCCTTGTTCTGCTTGATTCCTTCTGGCATCATGTCCAAGATGTCATGCATAACCTAGACATGGCAGACAAGGGAAACACTTGACCAAGTCAACAACAGTCATACCGGCAGGTTGTTCAGAGCTAACCGTACATTGGGGAGATGAAATGAATGTACAAAGCACTTCTCTCCTGTGCAGAGTACAAGAGTCACTAAGCAAGCATTCAATGCAATACAATGCAAACCGTCAACCTCTTTACTATCACTCACTGGAAGTTGAAACATGATTGCAGCCGAGTGTCAGTGAAGTTCGGATTGCGCTACAACTGCAAGTTCACCACACAACATGTCAGGGCAAGGACTTACAGCTGCGCGAAGTTCCAGGTCAAAGTGACTCTCCACACGCTGCTTGGTGACGGTCTTGGCAACACCCTTGCTGTGACGACCCTCGAACTGACGCGAAAGCAGGTTGCCCAGCCAACGCTCCAGCAACGGTACAATACCGCGGGTGAAGAAGACCCAGACACGCCAGCCAGGCGCCCACACTCCACAGCCGGGACCCTTTCCCACAGGACCCTGAGTGCACAGACAGCACAAGAGGTGAAAGCAGTACGGTCCAACTTCAACAAAAGAAAACCATATACATACACACAGAGGAGATCGCCCATTCCTACTATTACGCTAACCTGACACCTAAGCTTCCCTTCAGTACTCATATTATGAATGCAAGTTCACAATGGCCAAACAAACTCAGAGATGTGTACGAAACAGGGTATATTTCCATGCTGAGCTTCACTAATCTTCACACTGCACCCTGGTCATAGAACTGATAGAAGTGGCCACATGCAGTTCAGGCATCTTACCGTGTTGAATCGGTAGTAGATGAGATGCTTCAGATCCTTGCACATGCGGATCTGTCTCATGAGCTTGTACTTGTAACGATACATACCAGTCAGCTGGCCGACGTGAGCGAAGATATACTGAAGACCATCTGACAACTGCACACATACACACACACACACACACACACACACACACACACACACACGCACGCACACACGTACACATGCATGCGTAGAACATGCACGCGTACACATGCACACCACACACACACACACAAACACAAAGAAAGAAAGAATGAGGCAAAGCAGAGTACAACAGCAGTGAACTGGTAGCCACCACGAAAAGGCACACATCCAAAGCCATACAACACCAATGCCACACTTGTCTTTCCATAGCTACAATTCAAGAAAGCCTTCACTATTACACTAAGCTCAGACTAGAGTTGCACCCACCTGAAAAGCATCCAAGTTGCCAAGGCGATACTGGACATGCGAGTCAACAACGAGCTTGGTCAGACGCAAGATCTCACGACACAAATGGAAGGCGTTTCCGAAACGCGACTTCTTTCTTTCTTTGGTGGTGAGCGTCTTGGTTGGCTTCAGGTTGAAATTGTAGTCCAGATGCAAGTAGTTGAGACTCTTTCGGTGAATGAGCAAGTTGAGCATGTTGTAGCCCTGTCGGCACACCTGCAGACCAGCCTCGACCCAGTCAAGCTTAGTCGACTGGAAGAACTTTGTCGACAAGAACGAACGGAATAAATACCTGCAAGATGCGGACACACAGGCACAGCAAGTACTTAAAAGAAAGCCAGAATACAAGCAACTTTCCAACGGACACACCTACCCCACCACCAATTACATACGAAATGAGAGAAAGTCAAGGATCAAGAAATGAACAAGCTACCATGCAACCAGCGGCACATTAATTAACAGCACATTAACAACACGATAAAAATCAAAAAGACCGTGAGCCTGCGTGGCCAACAGGACACAACTCTCTCATCAACTTACCGCTTCTTGAGGCCCTTTGGCTTTCTGCGCTTCAATGCATTGAGAACGTAGCACTTCAACAGTTTCTGATAGGAGACGCGCACTTTTACTGGCTGTCCCGGGGGACAATGTTCACGATACCTAAGGAAGAGCACAACACAGAGTGCAAGACGATGAACGCTGACTAATCCAAGAAGTAGCCGCACATCACTAAGTTTTAGGGCAGTATCCATCAGGCACTACAAGCAAGATGCTCCCCATAGGCTGGTGAATAGCAAGCCTCAAGGCAGGATTAACAACCCAGATGCCTACTTGTACAAGCACAGAAAACACTCTCTAGCTTACCAGTCATTCACCAGGGGAATGTCAATGGCACGACGTGTGCGACCGCAGCGCAGGTTGAATGGGCGAGGAGCCCACAGCAAAGCAATGCCTGCAAACACAACATAGCAACAATAATAATGTGTGCCTTGTGAACAATATATTATAATTATATTATAATAGCAATACTGCAACCGTATGGTGATAATGTTATTTCGAGCTGTAAAGCAGTTATAAAAAGCAGGTTAAATTGCAAAGAGAACGAGCACCGCAGCCATATCCTTACCGTTGGCTGTGTTATCCGTGTAGAGTGGGTAGTCACCAAGGAATGGCTCGACGAAATCGGGCAGGACAAACTCCTCGTTCTCATCGGGTTGTGGCTCCACAAACTGCAACAAGCACACAGTTGTCAATGCCGGTGCTATGTTACTGCAACAGGACTGCTCAACAACTAATGGGCAATCACTATAGTGCGTTTCAAAAGTCCAGACCTCTGGTTTCAAAAAACCGTTAGGACAGCATCTATACCACACAAAATCTGTGATCACTTTGTGCATACAATTTTCGAAATTGGGCGTCTGTTATCCGATCGCTTAGAAATTTGTATGAGAAAAATTGCGTGAGCTGCCTGAGTAATATTCTGAAGAAATTTCTCAAAAAGCTCAAACCAAATTTGAATTACTCAAAAAAGTCTAGAGGTCTATACCTTTGAAACGCACTGCATGTATAAAGTTTGCTTGGACACGAAAAAGCAATCATACTCAAGAAAAAAATTAGCTTCAGGCTTCTCACAAGCAACATTTTTGAAGTTTCCATAGAAAACAGCAACAGCAACAACGACAGGAGCAGCAGCAGCAGGCATGCATGCATGCATGCATAATGCTGAGCCCGAGCCACAACGCTCACCTTCAGATCACCACGCTGCGCTATCGGATTGATCAGCGGATCAAAGTAAAATGCGGGCAAGTCGGGATCCTCAGTCTTGATGAAGACCACATTTGGCTCGTGGTACCAGGACAGGTGCACCTTGTGTGGCAAGCTGTTGTACAGGTACGGGAAAGCAATCCTGTACTCCGTCCGGATGGGCTGGCGAATGATAATCTTGTTGATGTCGTTGAACTCGTTCCAGTCCTCATCCCTGCATCACCAAGCAAGCACAAAAGTTGACAAATATACAGAAAATCAGACACACACACACAAACATGTTTGCAGCGCTACAGAAATAAATAACCTAAAACTAAGTACAAGATCTCAGTCAGCATAGATCAACTTCACCAGACCATGACATAATAATAATATTAGAGTGGTGCGTTGATTTCAATCCAAGAATGGAAACAACGAACAATAACCTTTGACTTACAGAAGGTTTTCGCGCACCAGTGGCTCGAACTTGGGCCCACCGGGAACGGCTTGGTTCAGTGCCTTTGACGTGAAGAACGACTTCATGTCAAACAAGTAGAAGTAGTTGCTGTCCACCAGATCTGTCAGCAACTGGCCGGCAAGACGGTAGAGATTGGACATCACTGGCAGTGTTATGTTCCACCTCCTGTATGTTGATCCGTTCACCATCCTGTGACAGGGCAACAAGCAACACCAAGAACCTGAGTTGAGCAATGCCTTTCAAGTCAAGTCAGATAGGTTAGTGAAGACCATAGGGATATGAGAATACTAAATTTGGCTCACATAACGAACTTGCCCGCCACAATCACACAGTGAAGAACACACACACACACACACACACACACACACCTTTGACCTTTGACGCCCATCGCCGGAGGCGATGATAGCAATGCTACGGCAGATGCCATGGCAACTTGTGCTGGGATTGCACCATTCAACAGCTTGCAAGGCTGAAGAATTGACCGTCACTATTCAGCCTGGTCTACTCCATACAGCTATTTGAAGTGACTTTTTCTGGCCAGTGAATCCCTATCACACACACGCACGCACGCACGCACGCACACACACACACACATGCGCAAACACGCACACACACACACACACACACACACACACACACACACACACATCTATAATTTCATGAAGGCCGGCAGGGTCTTACGACCACCATTGCACAACCACAGTTCCACTTACTTCGTGTCCACCAGAGGTTTGTGGTCATAGAACCACTCACACACGGCAGCATCCTCATCCTCGTCGAGCTCAATCTGAATGGGCTCTAGTGGCTCCACATCCAGAATGTTGTCAGCATAATCAAGCGCCATTTCCTCGTCGTCAAACGGCGGGAAGCGCATCCTCTTAAAGTGGCGACGGTCGCGCTTCTCACGCCTCATCATCACCCACATGGTTCTACGGAGGAGCGGCAAAGAAAACGAAAAAGCAATGAAACGATGGACCAAAGAACATTATGGCTGCAGATAATATCACGTGAATGCACAGAGACAACAGACAGCTGCACATGTAGCGAGATAATAAAACGTGAATGCATTGCACAGACTCACAAATGCACACAGTACACAGTACACTACTTACCCCCACTGGGCAATGTAAATTGGCTCGACAACGAACGGGATCTCGTTGACAAACGTGATGGCGCCGGTGATGTGGTAGATGACCTTGACATCGCGGATCTGCTCCCATGGCATGGGCATGTTCTCAAGCAGCTTGAGAATGGCGTGAGGCATGTACTTCAAGGCACTGCAATCAAGACACGAGAACACCAGCAACACTTATACATCAGCAACACGGCGTTACACAAGCTATGGCATCGAGTCAAACTACAAACTACAGTAAGTGGCCGCCTTAGATAGTACTTGACATCACACAAGCGCAAACCTCAACACCACACCGCACATACAGGCTGCTCAGTATGCTTACCCGAGATAGACACGCTTGTCGTGGCGAAACTTGCGGTTGGTCATATCGCCGTGGTCGCGCACAATCTTTCGAATGTGCTCTGGCGGCATGTCCTCCTTCTGAGCTTCGACAAAGCCAAACTTTCTCTTCTCGGCATAGCGCTTTCCTTGCAACTGCTGCCATTTCTTGGCTGCAAATCGCCAAGAGCACAAGTAGAGATTGTACAGAGTTAAAGGGATATCAATAGGCAATGATCGTGTATGACCGTTTTTAGTGAGCAGAGTAGAAAAATAGCACTCCTTTACAGAACACCACTCAGGTTACGCGAGTGGTCAGCATGGCCAAGGCAGATATTCGGACTGTGCCCACGCTGGCCTCCGTTGTACTTGTACTTAGTACGAAACGTACTACACGTGATGTGGGTTTTGGCCATCGGAGACCCCATATGCAGAGTTGCACACTCTTGGGAGCTTATTTACTCTTGTTATTAACAGCAATTTGACAATGGACCATTTGAATTTGGGGGAGAATCGGTCTTCTCCACTCACAAATCCAAACTCTTTTGCACAATCTGCTTCGAGTCGGCTTTGGATTCGAGTTGGACAATTATTTGTATTACAGTGTATTATGATCATGTGTGTGTGTGTGTGTGTGTGTGTGTGTGTGTGTGTGTAAATGTCCATTATTCGCCCCTGTTTTAGCATAGATGTGATAGATACACACAGAAAAGTGATACTGTAGAATTGCAGCGCTAGCACTTCGTGAAGTACCGTTTCAAACGGCAGAAAACTGCAACAATTAACTGTCCCAATCTGGTCTCAGATAGTGGCACAATTTATTGTTATGCTGTAACCCGAAGTTTGAAATAGGACCATGCGGCAGCTGGTGACAAGTGGTCAACGCGCTAACAAGTCGCATCAGCATTCAAATCAGAGCCATGCGGCAGCGGGTGAAGACGCACCAGTATTTGAATCACGGTAACCTTTGAATCATACAATAAACTGTATCTCACCCCTTTGTTGTTGTATACTTGGCGCCTCACGTATAGCTTTGCGTACACATCATTAACGAACGTGGTTATATACAATAACTGGTGTTGTACCTTGTAACTGGCACTAACGACTAGCTACCGCTGGTGCCTTCTAGATACTTGCCGTTGACACACTAGCTGCTCACTTTCCTATATTCTACCTCTTTATCCCGCCTTCTGTACTCCCTTTATCCCGTGATGACTAGGGAGTACGAGTACGTAATGTATTTTCCTCACGGTATAAATCCCTGGGTTTGACTAGCATTCGTCCTTGCTCCTGCACTGGCTTCCCTACCTCTTCCATCTTTCTCTATTCCTCCTCTTAACTTTAAAAGGTATGTCCTTCGCCATGGAACTCGTGGTGGATTGGTGAGGGAGGGTGTACGTATCTTGTGCACTGGGGATTCTGGGCCTCGTTCACACTTTGTGGCGGTCCTATTAGTGTTGCTTGCAACACAGGCTTTTGACTGCCCCTCGAGGTCGGGTCATATTTACGATACAAATTTAGGCTTTCGGAGGGGTGGAATGACTTACAATCTCCTACGAGACATACAGGTAATGAAGTATAGCACTCTGATACATGAATGTAATCTTGTCAGGATTGCAGTGAATTCTTTCTCTCGCCTTACTGTGTGGATAAGCTCTGCCTTGAAGGATAGAGTGCTCTTCATACAGTGGAGAACTCTGCCACTTTCATGAGTGGAATCATGAATATTCATATGTTTGAGGGGGTTAAAAACGGGAAATCTCTGAAGGAAATTTGACTGTCACCGTCAGGACTCGAACCAGAGACCCTCGCTTACGGCCAGCGATGCGATGTTCTGGAATGTTCATATTTTCATCTGGAGAATGTGCAATCGTCATGAACATGATTGCATTCTCGCCAATTTGTTCAAGAGTATATTCAATAATTAAATTCTACGAACAATATTGACGAATACACCACAAATCATGTAACGGATAAACTCTACACTGTCTTCTTCTCCTCGCTAAAATTCTTATGAACTTGACAGATCATGAAAAGAGAAAAGATATAGTAGAATTTTACCTTTCTCTTCGAGTTGAGCTTCACTGAGGGGCCTAGGCGGCGGTGGCACACCTTGAGCGGGTCCATATGGTGAAGCCATCTCCCTCGTTTGCCCTTCGGGGCAAAGTCTGATAAGAAAAATTCAGCACTGGAGCAGTAGGTCAAGGACACCTAATGATGAAAAATCTCAGGTCATCCGCCATGCACATGCATCCACAGCTACATTCTCTTCACAAAGTCAAAGATTTTTTTCGGATCGAACTTCCCGTGAAGAAATCGCAACATCGCAACTACGCAAGCTCTCTTTTCTGACGAACGCCATTTTCCCGGGATCTCTAACTATGCCGTCATGGCAACGAGGAAAACTGACGTAATGACCACTTTTAAAAAGTCTTTCCGCAAAAAAGACGAGGGAAGAGAAAGATAACGACGCCAACGAAACTGCAGACAAGAACTGCGAGTTCGTATTTTTGCCTTTCCAGGCACAATCTACAAGCACTTTGCCCTGACTTGTCACAGGAGGGCAGCCAGCTGTCTACCTGTTGATCTAACGAGAGAATAAGTTTTTTCAGCTTTCCTAGCTTTGTGAGTTTGTTCTGTGTTGTTGGAGCTATCGTGGTATCGAGATTCAAAACTATTTTTTATCATGACCAGGGCGTGGGTGGATCCTCTGTGGAATCATGGAAAAGCTGAGTGGTGCTAGCACAGTTAGTGGTATTCTGGAATTTGTATTGGCGTTACGGTCCTGCCCCGTGAGTGCGAGTGTGCAGTCCCAGTCTCTAATTCATATTCGGAGCTTATGGTAAACTCTCCGCTCGTTGACGGATTCGATCGATTCTCAGGTCGTGGAAAGAATATAGTTTTCCAAGATGATGCGAGAAGAGGAAGAAACGTCTCCATTGCTCGCTGGAGGTGAGTTGCAGAGCACTAGACTCCCAAATATTTGGAAGACTGGACAAAAGTCGCTTGTGGACAACGCTATGTTGAATTCTTCTGGTGCCTTTCATCGAAACTTCTCCAGTGTATCCGTAAATTCCATTCCAACCTTTCAGATAAAACCGAACTGGAGAAATAGGATTCTTATTCCTCAAAATACGATTCACAACTGCTATGATAGACTTCAACACATGTGATTTATTAGTGACAGGAGTAATGTTGATCCTGTACTGTGGAAAATATTAGGGAATTCAATATTAATTTTTAAAATGTAAAAAAGAGAAAAGGGACACATTCAGCATGCAGGGAGTCGTCAAATATTTGACGACTCCCTGGACACATGGACACGAGTTTAATAGTGTACTTGAACAAAAAACATGCCTGTTTCCGAGCCACCCAAGTAAGTAGTTGGGTGGTGTGCTGCTTTGAGTTGTGGTTGGACCACATTGTCAAATATCTTTTTGGTCTCCCCGTCATCCAGTAACAGCCGACATTCCTTGTTGCCGTGGGACTTAGCTTGTACTCATTTTTGTTGCGCTCACCTTCCCCTCATTGATCTTTCCTTTTGTAACCATGAACCTTCCAAGTTGGAATGCTGTTGGTTTGCGCATCAGAGATGTGTTGGAGCTAGGTGTTCGGCTCTTGAATGTCTTAGTACTCACTACTCTGTCAGTTTGGTGCCCATTTGTCGCCCTTTCTGAACCTAGTCTAGTTACAGTGGTGGACAGCTGCTCATAACTCGTGTGCATGTGTCCCTTCTCTTCTTTTACATTAAATAATGGCGCTGGACCTTATTTAAATTTCAATACATATTTACTATTTAATATCTACACCGGTATTTGCTTACATGATCCTAAAGCCACAGTGCAACGAACGTGGAACGGGTTTATTACACAATCCAATGCAGTAAATCCCAACAGACATTTTAAAAGATTCTGAACTCGCATGTCGAATACCCAATCTCCTTGTGTATGTACACTGCTCGGGAACGTATCACTGATATTCAAGGAGGACCCAATTATATGTACATACGGTATACCATAAATCACCGTAAGGCACACTACCGCCAGAACCCATTGATGGTCGTGTTTTGGAACGGGGCAGGTGAGCGAGTCCTGACTGTAGGTCATATGACATGTGCAGTACTGCTCAGTGAAATCCAGTTGTGTCACTCAAGCTTGCGCCTACAAAGCACTATTTCGCAGCCCGGTGTTCGCAGGTCCAGGGCTGCGCAAGCCCCGGCGCGTACCTGGGTAACCCGGCTGGATTTCATTGAGCAGTTCTGTACATAGTACACCTGATTGCACATTGTGCAGTCATTTCGTACTCGTACGGCCTTCGAGCGGCAATGAGCTTCACACACACACACACACACACACACACACACACACACACACACACACACACACACACACAATGATACTGGGCTGGTGCGGGGTCATGTGTGACCCTAGTACACTCAGGTTCTTACACCGTATGAAGTTAGTTGCACGAAGCCCTGCCACTTTCCTTTCCCTGACTCTCAACCAAGGTGGGTGTCTGTCTCTGTCTCTCACGGCAGAGACACAGAGAGAGACAGACGGAGAGGCAGAGAGAGAGAGAGAGAGAGAGAGAGAGAGAGAGAGATGAGACACTGAGCAGTACTTTGCGGTAAATATGCATGACGTGTAGAGCTATGTAAAGCTATAAATAATCAAAAAATGGTAGTCGTGCATCGAAGATGGGCACAATCCCTTTTGCAGGGCAACTTGTCCCATATTTCGCAGGTACAATCAGATCTAATACTTTTGTGAGAATCACCTTACAGTCTTACACAGTTCATAGCCTTTTTTTTTGTTGGTTGGTGTTATATTCATTACATGGCCTTCTCTTTCCCTCTATAATGACTGGTCTAGGTCGCGCAACGCCACGCACTCGCAGCCGGAACAGCAGCTTTTCTGGCAGCTTGGGCAGCAGTTATGGCGGATCGAATCGATTTGAGTGCAAAGTCTGCGGGCAGTGGGGCATGATTCCGGACGACCATGGCGGACGGGTAGCGAAATGCGAGAGTTGTGGAGAAGGAACGGTATGTTTGCCCAGCTCTGTTCTAGCAGCTTCTACACAATCCGAGCCATTCGCTTTATAGTGTAGTTTAATATGACACTGTGTCCACAATGCAGTAAACCTGTTTAGCCCCCCGCGAGCCTCGTCGTTAAAGATGGGCCATCTCAGTCATCTGATCCTGTGTTGACATCCTCTTTGACCTGTTTACTAGTAGATGGACCAACTATGTGTAAACTCTGATTTTCTGTGTACCCTGGGTTGGCTGTGAGACACAGGCTTGACTCTATGCGTATTGCTTCTGCGTGCTGCTATTTTCCTATGCCGCTTGTGGATAAGACTCATACGAGTATGTCTTTATTGATGGCTAACGGAAGGTGTTTTCAACTTTTGTTGCTGTTTCTTTGCCGTATAGCCTATTCGAAATCCTGCACCTGGCAAGCAGTATGTACGCTGCGTTTGCCACTGTCTTCTGGTGTGCCCGATTGGTGTGAGCTATTTGCGATGTCCTCGGAAAACTTGGTGAGTTGCTTGCATTGGAGGGCCGTGCATGCTTGTGCGTTTTGTTATGTATGATTGTGATGATATGACTCCAGTAGACTTTACATTCGTCATTTTCAAGCACTAGTATCAGTGCGTTTGTTGCGTCCCATATCATGTTTAGAGCCAAGCTGTGTGAGTATGTATGTAGTTGTGATCTTAGTTTCTTTAACACGTTAAAGCTTGAGGCTCATGATGTGTGATCGTACAGAGAAAGGTGGCATTTTTTTGTTTTACGGAGGATGTGGTTTTGCTTATCGAATGGGCGTATTTGTGCTATGATAGAAGCTGCAGTGTGGCACTAATTTCTTCTTCAAAGTCAGTTTTGGTATTGCATTGGTTGTTTTTGTTGTTGTTGTTGTTACTGAAGTACACTGTTATCTTGTCGTCTCTTTGCGTGCTCAGCCGGCGAGTTGTTGAGGTGAGGCTAGATACACCAGCACAGATAGAGGTCAACGAAAGGTTTGCTGTCACGAGTACTGAGCGGCAGAGGGAGGAGATATTGCGATGCTCGGATTGTGGCAAATTCTATGATGTGAGTACATGTACCAGTCTGACTCCACAAACATTTCTAGCACATGTCCTACAGCCTAATGGCATTTGCCACAGAGGACACCTTGTCGTAATGTCCTCTGTGGTGCTCGAAGTATTCGAACTGACTGTGATGTTGCAGGCTTCCTGGTTTTAATGGTATTCTACTATTACAGTACTAAGTATACTAGTACTTCGACTACTGTAAAGTGAGAAACTTTCGCTAGAGATTAAATTTCGGTATTTTTCACGACCATCCCATATTCGCGAATATAAATCGTCGCAAACTGCTCTGTACATTGATTGTAGACAGGATAAGGTCCAACTGAAGAGATACAATCGCAAAAGTTTCTCATCGTGAACCAGCCCAATCCATGAAAACTAGTGGTGAAACGAATATTCGAACATTCGTTTGGTTTGTCACATTCGAATATTCGTTAAGTCACATTCGAGTATTCGTTACGTCACTTCGAATGCAGTGCCTGCACATACATGCACGCCGAACACGGTACACTGCAGTGCGTACAGCCTGCCTGTGACTTTGTACTGTATGCATGCACATGTATGTCCATACTGGACTGCCAATGGTGCACGTAACATGTATGAACTTCGAAGTAGCCTTATGTGGCAGTACATTTTATGTGGCACGACCGTTTGTCGTACCTAATAATAATGACAGAATCCATCAAATGACTGGGAGGAGGGCATGTGATGTCATCTCTGTTACCAAAGGAATATTCGTTCATTCATTCGTTAAACCAAAGAATATTCGGCTAGTAGGTTTTGACATTCGTTTCACCACTAATGAAAACGCAAAATTTGCACGCCACAAAAGTTTATCGCTTTACAGTACATTTGTGTGTAGCTGTTTGTTCCCTAGCTGTATTTTATGTTCCTAATTCTTATTCTTCTGGCGGTCTTTGTTAGCACTTTAGTTTGTACGTTACTCGTTAGATAATAAATACTTGTGTCTCCGTATATTGTGTTGCCGACGAAGAGGGCATCTAACCATCTCGATATCATGGCATGTTATAATGTTTATCATTTGCGCGTGTGTGTTGTATGTATTCATGTTCTGTTTCTGCGTGTCTTTTTTCTTCTTCTCATGCAGAGAGCTTATCATGAAATACAGAGCTTGTGCCCTCACTGCTTCAAAGTGTGAGTGCGATGCCCCTGTCCTTTTTTATGGGAAATTCTCTAGTGTGCGATTGAATGATGCAGTTCTCTGTATGGCCTTTTTAGTTTATGTGATTGGTGAGACATCTCCTCCTCCCCTGATCTTAGTGATGCCCGCTGCATGTTTCTGGTAGCCTCTGTTTTTTGACGTCGTGCTTATGTGCTCAAATTGTTGAATTGCCCGATCTGAGCTGCCACCACGTGTGCCTGCTGTCAGCGACAATTCTTTTCCTTTGGCCTTCTCTGTATGATTCTCAGCCATAGGAATGAGGAGAGATCAGCCAGGCGTGGATGCTGCTGCTTTCTCATCCTGGCTGTACTTTGCTGCATTGGCATTGCGGTTGTCTTGGTAAGCTCCGGTCCAGCAATGAGCATACCACATGCTGCACTCTCTTGAAGCCTATCTCAGATGATAAATTGAGAAGGCCGTTATGAATACATGACTGATCTAGAAGATGGATAACTGGCACAGAAGCCCAGCTGTTGTGTTGACATGCATACAAATACCTGATTTCAACAGGACCTTCCTTGATGGATACATGCTCTCTATTGGGGGGGGGGGGGGGGGGGGGTAGGATGCTAAAAACTTAAAAAGATAAAGGCATCTCTCGAACAATACCCCAGACTAGTATGCAAGCGCATATACATGCACGAGTTTTCATTGCTGTGTGTAGTAATGTGGTACGATAGTGGCAAGTCGCGATGGCAGGTCAGTGTGAAGTACGACACAAGTTTATTGCCAAGAATAAGCCCTAGGAGCACTGCCTTTGCGAAGAGAATGAAATGAACGACTGCTCAACTGGTACTATCGTATGTTCTGCTTGTTCGGTGCTCTTGGCTCTCACTGGTTCCTGTAGTACAATTGAATACCTAACCCTTGCTAGTGGTGTGCGTGTTCGATGCGCAACTCGCTTTTTTATTTCATTAATACAGTTTGCTTTTGAATGGTATTGCAGTCAGACCTCGCTTATCCGGTCCTCTTTTATCCGGATCCCTCGCCATCCGGAAGAAAATCGTTGGTTACCGGTTTACACCATATGTCATGCATACATACAATATGTGTGTTCGATTATTGGTTCCCTCGCCTATCCGGATATTTTTGTGGAAAACGAATGTGTGCTGTCTGACTGTATAATCGCTGGCTTTCCATTATGATCTGAATGAAATTACAGCTACAGTGTTTTGCGGAAAATGTGGGTGCAGTGGAGTATTGAAATTTGTTGTTTGTGTTGTGCAAGGACACCTACATAGATTGAGAAGGAGGCAATGATGTATCTGTGCTTTTTTTCCTGCTTTTGTTATTGTGCTGACTTGTTCCTACTAATGATGCATGCTTGTGGGTGTTTCTGTGTGTGCTGTAGGTATTTACAAGAAGTTATGAATCCACACATCATCGTAAGTAGGACCTACTGTATCTTCCACTCTCCTTGCTTGCATCCATCTCGTGTGTGGTAAACCCGGACACCTTTGCGGTGGGAATGATCCATCGTTCGTGGTTTTAATGGGTGTGAAATCGCACAAGTAAGCCGGCGCGAAGCGTAGAAGTGTAGTAAAGAAACTGAGGAAATTGACTCCAATCGCAATCATCTCCGGGTGCAAATTTGTCTGTGCTCGCAAATACCGAACTACGGGCGCAATGGTTTCCGGGTTTACAGTAACTTATGAGCTCACATGTGCATTCCATCATCTGCTGTTGGGGCTTTAGTAGACTTACAATAAGGAACTTGATGTTTGGACGTATCAGAAATTACCGAAGCTGGATTCTTTAAAAATACAAGTGCATATAACTCCTGCAACTGAGCCGGCTATTTATTGACTTTCTAGTACTCTAAACGGCATACGTGTATGTTCTGCTGTCTTATCTGCTTCATTTCTGCAGTGATGCTCGTAGCCTGGATAGGTGAGGCTTATCGTTTTGCTGCTTGGAGATCTCTACTGTCTGGAGTGTGTGTTGGACTTACGGTTTCGTTAGCGGAATTTCTGCCCGTTTCAGGCTGGAAATTTCTTCGCCTGATTTTGCAATACTCTTTCCACTCTTGAGCAAAGAAATGAAATGTTGTACCTGACACCGTTCTCAGCAGTTTGACCGTCAACAGACAAACTCTTCCTGAAAATTTCCCGGGTTACTATGACGTGCAGTGTCGGGTAGCCAAGGAAGATAATACGACCAGAAGGGTTTGTTTCTCAAACTAAAAGAAACAAGAAAGTAAGCAGCAGCAGCACTCGACCCTTGAAACTTCTGCGTCCACTTCACCACTATCACCGTTGCGTTCTGCGGCCGACCACATTCATTCCCCACAACAGCAACAAGAGGCTCCTTCGGTACTGAAGATATTTTTTTTAATTCCTTCTGACAGCTGTTGCGGTCAAATAGACCTCATCAGAGAAGGTTACTGTAGTTGTTGAATGACTTGAAAAGAAACAACCACTTATACTGATTCTTGAAACAAGATATGGCGCGTCAATAAGCGAGCGCTTGATACTCAAAATGTGACTCCAATTACACCATATTTGAACCGATGCTTGTGTATTATTCACGCAATGTAAAACGTTGGAGACAATGTGCAATAAAATGATGAAAGTAGGAAGAAATAGTACCGTAATGCCGTGTATAAAAGCATGACTCGAATAGAAGCCGATTTTTGAAGCACGCCATGACACAGAAGCGCGATTTGAATAGAAGCTGCACTTCCGTTCAAGCCATGTGCAAAATAATACTCTCACAGTACAGTACATGCGTGACAGTAAGCAGTAAGCACTGAGCAGTGTACAATCGGTCATGTAGACTGATGATGTTGACGTAGAAGCATGTTTTGAATACTGTATAAGTACAAATTTTGGTTTAAAATTCACTTTCGCTATATTAGTTAGGGGGGGGGGGGGGGAGCACGAAATAATTAACGTTTGTACCAAACTAAAATGACCCCTTCTGAACGTTCGGGGTGACAGACCTCGACCAAAAACGAAATTTAGTACGTAATGAACCTGCTGGTGGAGTGATCTGACGAAAGATTTCGTGAACGAAATTTGTACTTATACAGTAGAAGCATACCTTGAATGGAAGCATGGTTTGATGTTTGAACCCCGGCTTATACGGCCGTAAGCACCTGCTTTTACTCGCGACATTACGGTAATCTCACCCGCTCTTTCCGACATAGTAGTTAGTTATTCAGCTGTGCTCTATTCACGGAGCACCTCACATGCATTGACTTAGTCCATACTTATCGATCTTTTACACGAAGAGAAAAAGTTTCATTTGTAGGTGAGTGGGTCAAGGGAAGTTTCGTTTTGAAAAATATTGATATGTAAGACATCAAGGCATTCTTGCTGTCAAGTCAATCTATTTTTCGTTCAGGTGAGTGGGTGGCGGAGGGTTCTACCTAAACTTTTTCGTTCCGTGAAAATTATCCATAATGTCGGATAGCCCCTTAGAATAATAATATCATGCTGTGCTTGTTTTCTTTGTTTGTGCGGGTGTTCCTCCGGTTTGTGTTGTCCAGGTGCGGGCGTCTTGGCCGTGTTGTTCCTGGTCATCGGTCTGAGGTATGCACATAAGCTCCACAGTGTGGCATGGCCACGCCCGGTGGAGAGGTAGCATCCCCGCATCCACAAAGTTAGGGTGTTTTTGTGTCTTAGGATTGTCTTGCGTTGCGTTGCAAGTGTTTTGTTCTTTGCAGACTGTTATTCCGTATCTTCTGTTATCCTATTATCCTTATTTTTTATTATATCCGGCAAGCGCTACATTCTCTTTCTAAAAACACATCTTGCTCCATGGTATTACCATGCCATGTACTTAGAAGTAAGTTGAGTACTCTGATAATGGTCCCATATTTGTATATTCTCTGTATCTGTCGTGTTCACCTTGTGCTGTCAAGGCATCATGCAAATGCAGTCCTTGAAGTAGAAAATTAATATGACGACAGACTGATACTAGTCTGCGCTTTATCACCTTGTCCTCCTTGCATCTCCCGTCATGTACGCATGAAGGCTTTGTGTCGGATCTGGCACGGTCACGCCACCGTCCAGTTTATGACGATGCATCTATTGATCTGCCGGTCAGAGCGTGTGTGTTTTCGTTGTCTTGAAGCCGTTTTTGTGCCCTCTACCGCCGTCACTGCAGGTCGCAGCGGGCTGCACTTTGACTTTTCTCCCTGGCATACCTGCTGCTGCACTTTTTATCTGGAAAATTCATTTGATTTTATGTTTATGTTTATGTCTGATTCCGAGTCTTGGATATTAATATAATAATATTACTTGAAGTATACGTAACGTAGAAGCTGTGACGAACTCGGCCATTTGAAATTTAAACACTCCACCACTCCACATTGCGCTCTTGGCCCACATTCGTTATCTACCTCCACTAAGGAGCTCTCAATGAGTGAAACAGCTGTCTGGAGGATATGGAACGTCTACCCAAGAACGAATTTCCTCGTTATGGAGTACGGTGTTGTGAATGTGGGCGAAGAGCGCAATGCGGAGTGGTGGAGTGTTTCAAAATATTATGCCTTTGTGGAATATTGTTGTGTAGAACTGCTATAGCCTGCTATGCTTCCGTGTGCGATGCCAACCGCCCCACTGAGTCAAGCCCCCGCCTTGTGTTTACTTGGCCACCAGCACCCACCAGTACAACAGGGTGGTGCCTACTAGCAAGAGTACACAACCTATGTACTCTTGCTAGTACTAGCAGTGGTGAGTAGGGATAGCAAGACTGTGACTCCAAGAGCACAATCATAAATGCCGCGTACCGGTAATACCAAGAGTATGTAGAGTACGTAGAACCCGGGTTAAGCCTAACTTAAGGGTCCACCTAACTCTGCGTGGACATAGCTGGACTCAGTTGTACAGGGATGGGCAAAAAGGTGTGCAAAACGACTTTTTGTGAGTAGAGATGGACCCCGGAAAAATAGTTTGGAGCGAAAAAAGTTACGGCTTCCTCGGAAACCGACGGGGACCCCCTCCCCCCTTGGGCCGGAAACTAAATCCCGGTACAGTATAAGGATCACCCGCACAATGTACATGGCACCTCACTAGGGTTGGCCTGATTCTGGGCGTTTTTTTTGTGGAAAAATTGAAATGAAAAATGCGGCCAAATCTTATCAAAATGCGTATCGTCTTTTTTATGCTTTTCTAAAATTGTCTAAAAAATTCAAGCCAAACCGCGGAAAAAAATGCGTTCGTTACCATGACAACAAAATGGCGACGAATTTTTTTGAAGAGTCAACGTTTTATAAGTCTTTTTTTAAGAGTGTAACGTTGTAAGTCTTCTTTCATTTGCTCTCCTGTACTAGCTGCTGTTGTTGTCTGATGATGTACCGCTATGGCTTCCAATCTTGCCACCGTAGTTGAAACAGCCGATTCTGATGGTGAGGACTCTGAGGAGGAGGGAGGCGGGAACCGGCCACAACCAGCAGTTCAAGCAACATCCTTGCTCAGCCGTCTGCGTCCACCCTTGTCCTCGGATTTGAGCCGCAGACGTGCCATTGTAGTACACTTTGTAGTCTTACGTTATGTGGAATTCTGTTTGGCGCTTGGCGTGCGCTGAACCGCCCCTTTCTGGGTCGAAACCGTGCAGAAACAGGCAAAATTCGAAAATGCAAAAGTGGGTTAGATTTACCCCAAAATGCCAAAAAAATGAAAACAGAATCTGGACATCCCTGGCCGGCCCTACACTTCCCTCACATGTCGTTACAAACACCGGTGACGCGACGCGGTGTCGACTCCCTGGGCCGAGGGTTATGAACTCTTGATACAAGCCGGGAGTCGTGGTTTGCTCAGGGACCCCCTGCCAAGGGCCATGCCCCATGGCCCACTGCACAGGCCACACGTAGATTCTACGTACACGTCACACGCGGCTCCCCGGCCCGGTGCACAGCCATGCCATGCAGGGAGATCATGACTTCACGTCTTCAGTAATCGTTTTTTTTATACTTTTTATCTTGAATAGAAGCTCAAACTACTTGAACTCTCACTATCTGCTGCTGTTTTTATTTTAGCATTCAGATGGTTCTTGTTTCTGGTGGACTTTGTTTGCCTCTGATAGTTTTCGATCACACTTCAGTACTGGACATAGTGACATATTTTACCTAAAGCTTGGCTGCCTTGAGCAGATGGCGTCCAGCTCCGGAGGTCCTGCGAATGTGGGCACTGTAAACTCCAGGAGTTTCGCTTTCTCGAAAATTGCCTTCTACGTTACCAATTTGGGAAAGAAACCCTATGACAATGAGCTTAACCTTCAGGAATTACAGAAGGTACGTTGACAAGATTATATACGCGCGAATGTTGTTGAGCATTCAGTTGGCTGTGTCTGCTACATGTCGAGCTGCCCGTCGTGCCGATTTTTACTGTTGACTTTCTCATGTATTTATCTTTTTTTTCTCTTCAGATCATCGATTCGTATGGTGTTCATGCTGAAACTCATTTGTTGAGGTGTCTCTTCCTTGCTATTGACTTCAGCGGAGACCCTAAAGTGCAGCAGAAGGAGAATTCTCAGGTATGGGTCTTATCCTTCCGTTTGTGCTGAGTCGTCTTTACTTAATTGTTCTTTTGTCTTGATGCTCTCTACACTGTGTTCTGTTTGCTTGTCAGTTTCAACTGAAGTACCTGCAGAGAGAATGCAACGAGCTCACGAAAAAGCCCCATTTTGCAACATTGATATCGACAGCATTGCACAGTTTGGACCATAAGGTACATGACTATGTCATCCTAGTATTGTTTCAAATCTTTATTCTCATGATGGCCAGTGGCCAATAATAGGGAGTTCACTCGAAAAATCAAATTCGCGAGTTTTGCATAAAACCATACTTTTTTAAACCGGGAAAGTGTCAGAAACAACCTGTGAAAGTTTGAAACAGACATTCCAAGGCAATCCAGAGTTATGGACGATTGAAAATGATCGTTTGAGCAGTCACAGAAAGCAATGCAAGTATGTACTAAGGGGACGGCGTGGTTTCCGTCCAGCGCTGCACTATCTGGTGCGTACATGCAGGTGCGAACTGAAGTGCATGGCGATATAGGATGTGTGCATGCATGCTGTGTGCGCCTACCTGCACAACTCACACGTTTTCACCGTCACCGCTTCTACAGTGTGCACGGAGTTCACTCGATTTTTTTCCGTCCACCGCCGGGAAATCGTCGTGGGCTGATTTCTGCGATCATTTTCCTTCTACCGCGATAAAGCGCAAGCCTAAATGTTCTAGAATCCTCTTGTTTTAGACTAATTTGAGGCCGGTGAACACGAATATAGGGTGTTCCTCCTGGGGCCGAGTACAGTATCCAATCTGGTCGAGATCAGTACTTCGCTATGCCTCTGCGCAAAGCGCGGCTCCACTTTTTTTGTTCAAGCAAGGCATGTGTGGCATCAATGGAAAGGTAATGACCTCAGCTACCTAAAAATAGCATCAACAAGGGAGTACTGGCCACGGGATCAGAATTCAGATAGAAGCGGGCTCGAAGTAAGGCCAAAGAGCTGTCATGCGGGCCCCATTGCAAATGTACACGGGAGTTGTGACTGCAGTTTCCGCCAGATCCGGAACTGAACTCCCTACCAATAAGAGAGAAGCGTGTGAGAGGAGAAATAGCAAGGCAAGGTTGAGTGGACAGTGGTTAACGTCTAATAACCCTTATCCGTCCGACAAAATCCCAGCACAGTCCAAAAATTGCAATTTCACGACATATTTTACCTATTTTTGACTGGTCGGACGGATAAGGGTTAAGTATACTGGGGGGGGGGGGGGGGGGGGGAGGGGGGCTGAGGCGTGTTTCTTTCCCAGTCATTCAGCATCTCACCTTCTCTGATGAGGTGTCAATGACCCGAACAGATATGAGAAGGAATTGTTTCAGTACGCAGAAGGAACCTCTTGGCGAATGCTGCTACTTGCCTTCTTCTATAACGAGTGGTGTCCTGTTGTTTTGTGCCCTGTAGACATTGAAGGCTCCAGTCTTGTTTCAGCAGCTGCTGCAAATTCTTCAGCTATCCCTGGTACAACTGGTAAGTGCTTGTGACAGGTAGTTGACAAAATTAATGCTTTATCACAGGAACCACCGTTGTACTGAAGAACAAATTGGAAAGAACGAACAGGTGTAGAAGCCAAAGTTGGAGAAGCAGCACATATACGTAGCTACAGCGCTAACTTATCAGAGCTATAAACAGCATGAGTACAGCAGACATTACCACGTGCAACATGGCCACCTGTTAGAGGTTAATGTGTACTCATTTCCAGAATTGATTTTCTAGTTCCAATCGTCAGTGGAAAATGGCATCTCTTTTGTATCACCTTTCCTGTCATTCCTATTGCCCGTTATCACCTAGGAATAATGTGGCCCTTTCAACGAAACACACTGTGCTGAGTTTGTATCTACTTTCTATGCCCCCCCCCCCCCCCCTCCACACCCACCCACACACACACCCTTCTCTTGTGTATCACCTTTCCTGTCTTTCCTATCACCAGTTATCACCTAGGAGTAATGTAGCCCTTTCACCATGCACTGCTCTGAGTTTGCAGCTACTTTTTCTGCAAGTCTCTGCACACCACCCCATTTTAATCCAATGCATCATCCTCACTTGTAAGCTCTACTTTGTAGTCATAAGCATTGTCATAAGGCGAGGACAACTTCTTAGCATAGTTTGTGTGTACTTTTGATCCCGTCTGCAGACCCTATTTGCGTTCGCGTTGCTTCAGGACCAAGCGTACGAGGCAGCAGGTACGTCTTTTGAATTCTGTTTGCTGTTGGCAGTGTTAGCGTGTCTCAGTAGAATGATGTATTAGTGCTCTTTGATAGTTCTTGGACGTTCATGCCAACATTGTATCACTTCCACGACTCTGGTATATTTCTGCCCCTTTCTCGCTGCTGCAGCTGCCTATTTCCTCAAGTGCAACTTGCAGGACGTCCTTGATATCTACTGCAGGCAAGGTATGGAGTAGTCATGCACACGGTATTACTACTACATTGTACTAGAGGCACTGTAGAAGTAAGAATTTCTGGAAGGCTTTTGTTTCCGTAGGTTTTGTTTGTGTCCTGAAACTATGAAAGGGAACTCCTGCGAAGGAGATCCTGATGCTGGAAACCTTTGCAGGAGCTTCGTGATTTGCAAAATTCTGATACCCACAGAATGGGTTTTTTTCATGGAAGTACGAGATTAGAATGCTCTTGGAAGTGTTCTGGTTTTACAGTGTCACACATACCGTGCTGACCACCAGTGAGATGCTGAGTCGGCCTCAGTTACTTGTACAGCGCCGTGCTTTAACTACAGTGAAGCTTCAGTGTAACGTACTCTGATTAGAACTAGGCACCGGCGGATAATGCCGGCAGAAAAATTGGCAGAATTCGGTACTTTTTCTGGTAAGTTTCATGCATGTTTGGTATGTGGATAAAGAAATGGAGCAGAATTTGAGGAATTGCCCACCATAAGGTGTGTATGGTTCTGCCAATTTCACTGCTTTTCGAGCAGAATCTGCCACCTTTTCGAGCAGAATCCGCCGGTGCCTAGTTAGAACATACTTTTTTTTCTTTTCGAGGACCCTGCATTATACTAGTATCCGTCATCGGATGTACGGTAGGTCAGGGCATCGTTTGGTATTCAACATGACAGAATCTTTGATGGCACGTGGTCTCTTACGGCCGGGGTCGATGAACATGGGCTTTACGAGATCATTGTGCACGTGCATATGTATGCAAGGCTGCATGGCAGCTATTGGTGGCCGCTGCTGCTTGTCTACTCATGTGTCTGTTTCTCATTGCCGTTACTGGGTTTGGTTGGTCGGAAATGCATTTGATCTGTGTGCAATACCAACGATCAAGTGTTGTGTTGTGCTGCCAGTATGGTTTACAGGTTGGATCGGAATTGCAGTCAGTATTTTAAAATTCATGGCCAGTGCTTCATGCTCTGTGTGTGCTTGTGTGTGTGGTACATGGTGTGCATGTGCGTGTGTGTATATATGTGTGTGTATGTATGCGTGCGTATGCATGTGTATGTGTGTGTATGTATACATGTGCATCCACGGGCGTGCACCTATCCGTGTCTTGTTCGTGCCTACGTACTTATATTGGCCAGCACGTGATGAGGTTAGCGCCCAGGTCCCTGGACTACGTGATCTGGCTGTGGAGGTGAAATTGGAGATAGTTCACTTCATCCTAGCCAGTGGTGATGACCTGACTGGTCTTTCACCCAGTCAGGTGTCTACGTTTCTGAATGCCTTGAGACAAGGTTAGTGGATACTATCGTACTAGTCTAGTGTAGCTTATCCAAACACCGTGGGACCATTGGCATTGTTTTCCCCTCTCACTCTTGATTGGTTCTTATCCGGATGACCATGATTTGTTTTGGCTGTTTCTGCTGTTACTGCTATGTTTGATCTTACTAGACTATCCAAGAGATCGTGTGCCAGCTATTCTTGCACCTTGGTTATACCATGACATTGAACACCAGACGTAAGTTGCGCGCAGCGCAAAAGTTAACGCTTGTGTGCCCATGTGCGCGCACTCATACATATATCACACACACACACACACACGCATACGCACACGTGTGCGTGCATGCACACACGCACACACACACACACACACACACACACACACTTGTACTTGCTCACTGCCTTAAACTTGTTAGGAGGGTCTCACTGGGAGAGGGGAGGGAGATTGACTTGGAATCATGGAAAGATGACTCCATTGGCTATTGAACAGCCTATTGGTTGACTTGGAATCATGGAAAGATGACTCCATTGGCTATTGAACAGCCTATTGGCTGGCACCCTGAAATCCCCAGATTCTAGGTAGACATGGAAATAATCCATGTCATCAGGGTATCCGCCCCGGGATGCAACTGCATTTACTCCTGTCCCCAGTGAAGGTAATAATTACTTGATACTAGTGTGGATTGATAAATCGTTCGAATGTAGCCCAAATAAAACATAATTTATGTGGGTTAACGCATCTGTCTGCAGGAATACAATAATCATGTCTGAGGACCGTGGACATCTGTCTGTCTGCAGGAATAAGTTGCTAGTATGTAGCTTGCCTTCAAATTGACAACAGTTTTTTTGTGCCATGCTGAATATGATGTAGCTCTGCTTCATTGATGCTATTCTCTGCTCTATGCTTTTTCGTTTTTGTTTTTTTTGCAGGAGAAGCGAACCAGTTCCGTTTACACATCCTCCACCAGTTCCTGTGGTATGTCTTGTGTGTGTTTAGAGAGGGGGGGGGGGGATGTGTGTGTGTGTGTGTGTGTGTGTGTGTGTGTGTGTGTGTGTGTGTGTGTGTGTGTGTGTGTGTGTGTGTGTGTGTGTGTGTGTTGTGCGTGCGTGCATGTGTGTGTTGTGCGTGTGTGCACTCGCCATGTTGTGTATTGTGTGGCTACATTACCGGATACATGTATCTGTGTTTTCCAATTTATGATTTTAATTTTTTTATGTTGTCCGGTTTCAGAAGTTTGTAACTAAGTAAATGTAAAATTAGAACCGAACCTTGGCCATGAGTCACAGTGCAACAATTGACTTACAACTTCGTTTGTTGCAGAGCTCGATCAAGAAGACGTCGTGGAGCAAGCCTGATTCTGTCGTTTTGTACTCTATATTCTCGTGGATTTAGTAATCAGCAGGAGGCCTGATGCTATGTACTCATGCTCAGGTGCATTAGATGTGTGCCTGTTTGTGCGTGTATGCACTGTAATAGTGTGATGCTTCGGCTTGTTTCCGGTATAATCATCGCTCGGAATTTGCTACGGCTTAGTAGACGGACGTAGTACTGGCAGGTATGAGTGTGCCTTTGATATGCGTTCTGTTGAAAGATGCACAGCCGCTCATGCTCTCTTCTGTCCTTTTGATCTCGTTCCCCTTCAGGAGTCGCCCGAGTTGATCTTACGGGAGTTGGGATATGGCACGATGGCAACGTAAGTTGTTCTTTTCTAGTGTGTGCGTTCGATTATACCCGCGAATCGATTCGCGCTATTCATCACCCGATGTGAATAGGGTGAATGGATTCCGAATCGATTCCAGGGCTCATGACGTGAAAATCGACCTACTTGAATGCATGCAAATTGATTCATGAATCGATTCAAGTGCATACTAGTAATGGAACGCAGCCAGTGTGTGTGCCTGCGTTGCATCACACCTTTACTCACTGTAGAGCCTGGTAGTCAGCATGTACTAGCCGACGTTGAAGCCATTCTTTTGTCATTGTTCTTCTTTTGTCCCTGGTGTTTCCAGGCTTGCTGATGCCGAGGCGTTCTTTCGCCGTGTATCGGGTGGAGACTTGAAGCCGAGCGTGGTAGCGAGATGTTTAGGTGAGTATCCGCCTCCTGGATGTTCTATATGGGGACTGAGAACTTTTTGCCGTGTTGAGTACAGTACTCATTGGCATTGTCTCTCCTGTCTTATGGGGTCCACCGCATGCTGGTTCATTTTCCTGTTACACAGAGTTCTTTGGGGGGGGGGGGGGGTAATTCATAGTGCGTAGCTGTGCCGAAGATTTATGTTGTGCTCGTGTTGTTTCAGGTATGATGGCAAGCTCTCACACGGGTCTTCCCGAAAGCGTTGCCTTCCCTGTAAGTACTCATGCAGTGGTACACGTATCTTTCTGTCAGTCTTGCACATACACACATGATGTATTCAGTGGCTGGATAATATAATAATGATGCCTTCCGGTCACTATATGTGCGTAACGAGAGAGCTTGGAAGCTCAGGGCCCTACGCTATGCTTTTTTTGCCTTGATGACCTAGACAAAAAAAAGCATAGGGATGTTATAAATTCTTTAAAAATTCCTTTTTTTACAGACATAACCTGGAATTCAAACCCGCACTATCGCGCCCTGCATGCATCCCCCCGTCTTTAAAAAATTCCTTTTTTTAAGACATAACCTGGGATTCGAACCCGCACTATCGCGCCCTGCATGCATCCCCCGATACACTTCGCATACATACTAATTCTTCCAAGTTGCTTCATATTATGATCTTGCATTTGAAAGCCCTATTTGAATATGCATTGTGGCCAGCCGTCTTTGATGGTACGGTACGGAAGGGATAGGTACGGGAGAGGTACGATCGAGGGTAATACGACACCGTCTCCCGTACCGTACCATCAAACACAGCTGGCCACATGCAGCTGCCCACAATATTCAAATAGGGCTTTCAAACGCAAGATCATAACGTGAAGCAACTTGGAAGAATGAGTATGAATGCGAAGTGTATGGGGGAATGCATGTAGGGCGATAGTGTGGGTTCGAATCCCAGGATATGCCTGAAAAAATAGGAGAATTGAAAATTTTATAACATCCCTATGATTTTTGCCGTCAGCTCATCAGATACGGGATAGCGCCAGGCGTGACACAAACAAACAAACAAATACCAAACGAGAGAGCTTGGAAGCTCAGGGCCCTACGCTATGCTTTTTTGCTTGCTCATCATGCATGTAACGTGTCAAAGCTGTGATGGCCCTGGCTAGCGTTCTGGAGTCGAAGGGATGTCTGTCCTGACGTTTCCTGTGACCGGTAGGCATATGCGGATAATTCCGGCAGAAAAATTGGCAGAATTCGGTACTTTTTCTGGTAAGTTTCATGCATGTTTGGTATGTGGATAAAGAAATGGAGCAGAATTCGAGGAATTGCCCGCCATAAGGTTTGTATGGTTCTGCCAATTTCACTGCTTTTCGAGCAGAATCTGCCACCTTTTCGCGCATTATCCGCACACCCCTATGTGACCGGCGCTGACTCTGCCGATCACGGACGTTCTGGAGTCGACGGGATCTCTCTTCCGACGTTTCCTGTGACCGGCGCTGACTCGCCCGTTCAGGATTATTTTGGAGATGACGGGATCTCTCTTCGAAAGTTTGTTTTTGCCGACGCATCCTGTCTTTTATTCGGCAACTAACGTCCATTCTAATAGCATTTCCTCGTCTCCCTACTTCGTATTTCTTTCCAGAAAATCTCTCTGTACAGCAGGGAGTCGTTTACATAATACGAATCCCTGCTATACAATCTATATACGTTATAATTATTATGCTATCGGCCTACATGCGATTCCCGGGCTGGTCGACAGGCGGCCCAGCCAGCCTGCCAGTGTGATCTCGGCCTCGCACACAAATCCACACAAAGTGCTACTGCACTATCGGCCTGAACAGTGAATGCATTCCCCCATACACTTCGCATATATACTCATTCTCTTGATGGTACGGGACAGGTATGGGATAGCGCCGGGCATGCTGATGGCACAAACAAACAACTAATAATTATTGTGGCCAGCTGTCTGTGCTGGTACGGTACGGTACGGGACAGATACGGGACAGCGCCAAGCGTGACACAAACAAACAAACAAACAAACAAACACCAAATTAAAGCTGTGTGGACCCTGGCTAGCGCCAGACGTTACTGAAGTAACGTCTTCTGCATAGCTACGGGAATAAAACTCACTCTAGTAGACAAACGGATGCACACGTACTGCAAATGGCGTACAGTTCGTATCGGTTATAGCATGGGTGTTCGAAAAACTCACTCTAGTAGACAAACGGATGCACACGTACTGCAAATGGCGTACAGTTCGTATCGGTTATAGCATGGGTGTTTGAAAAACGTCTTTTGATTCTTATTTCCGATATTTCTTACCCACGATAAATCAAGCATGCACGCGTGCAGAGGCAGGAGGATCATCATACATGCAACGTAGTAGTACTACGGTACCATAGCCTTAGGGTTGGTTCACATATCGCCGGTACGCGCCGGGAGTCACCGGCGGTGGGCTTCTTGCAACCTCTCCCGGCGTTTTGCGATTGTGTGAACCAGTGCAGTCGTAACAAAATCATACGGTAAAATATCGCAAGGGACCGCCGGCAAAGTTGGACAGTGCCCAACTCTTGCGATCTGCCCCGGCGCCGATCCCGTACGATTTTGACCAAAAGTGGTTTGTGAACCGTTCGCGCCGGTGATCGCCGGTTGCCGGGAGCCAGACTTTGTCAAAATATCAAACCAATACTTGTCCTAAATTTTCCTAATTTGAAGCTAGAGAGGAGATCCGTTCGCCATTCTTGTAGTCGCTTCAAGGCGGCAAATATGTCAGGATACCAGCCCGTCCTTCTCGGATGATCTGCTTGACCATTGTGCAACTTATGAGACAAATACAATTGAAACAAATATAAAATTATAATGGATACATTGGCAAGTTCTTGTGCCTTCATCAACGTTTGCAAGCATAATTTCGCCACAATCACTTACTAGACTGCAATAAAATGTGTAGAAGTAGTTTCATGATCTCCAGTAAAAGGTAGCACCGAGTGGCCATCACCGAAAGACCTTGAACTACTGAAGAAACAAAGAATTCAAGCTTCAATTGGCAAACCTGTCGTAGCATTTTGGCACATTCTGTACTACTTTGTAGTAGATTTGGTACTCGAACCGTAGGCGCAACGGATCGGGAGCTGGCTCACCGCCGATGTCTTGCGGCGCCGATTTTGCTTATGTGAACCAACCCTTACCATGTGGGTGTGCAACACGAGTTATATGGCCACAACAGATGTACTTGCAGCATTATGATGCAATGCGAGTCGGTTCAGAACTGCATCGGACAGGTTGTATTACTACTGACGATACACTTTGTACTAATCCGGTGTGTTTTGCTAGCCAAAGTCCATCCTTATGACCGATATATTCTATTATGCGATCACATTGCTTGTAAGACTAAATATACACTTGAAACCCATGTTATGATTTTGAGACTATGAGAGTTCATTCTTGTAGGCAGTATATTTTTTTACACGACCCCACTATAACCGATGTGCACTTCCTGGTAACCATGGCCTTTTCTGCATGAAGGTTTTCGTCAGCTGTCGTGCATCAGGCGTTTGCACTTATGTCCTTTTTTTTATCCTCTTTCATCTATGCAGCGTTCATCTGATGGGTCGTCTGGCTGGGACAAGACCGACACGGTGTCAACCTGGAGTGTGGACAAGTTCGTTGACGCTGTGATGTTGGTTAATGGTGAGATGGACTGGACGGCTGTGATGACCCTGCTGGATCAGCCAGGCTTCCGTCTGTGCGATGTGCGTGGCTTCCACATGATTCTGCAGGCGTTTGAGCGCGGCTCGCAAGGCGCCATTTTCCCAGTGGCCGTCTTGATGCGCGAGTGGAAGAACACGCAGGGCCAAGTACGTTCTTCGCTGCCATGCATGCATGTGTACTGCATTTTGTCGTGCCAGCTGTTTTCTTTCTTTGGACCTCACCAGCTTGTTCTCCTCCCCACTACCTGTATTACGGGCGTCTTGATACCTACATGTACATGTACTTGGCAGCCATGTGAATTTAGTTCTTTGCACGTTATTCAATGCATGCATATGTGGCCGCCCTGATGTTGAGTTGTGCTTTGGCATTGCTCTCTCTCTCTCTCTCTCTCTCTCTCTCTCTCTCTCTCTCTCTCTCTCTCTCTCTCTCTCTCTCTCTCTCTCTCTCTCTCTCTCTCTCTCTCTCTCTCTCTCTCTCTCTCTCTTTCTTTCTTTCTTTCTTTCTAATAGCTGTCGGTCATCGCGCAAGCACTGTCACCCAACTCCGAATTCAACTTTGCGGACTTCCCTCTTATGAAGGCTGCCTACGAGCACCTCAAAGTGCAGCCCAATGAGAAGGAGCCATCAGTCATGTGCTGGTGAGTGTATTGCTGTTGTGTGGACAGGCACACTAGAATAGATGCTGCATGTCAGGATAAATGATAGGCGTATCCAGGAGTACCCTAACCGCTGAGGGTTCAACCGGAGTGTGAGTGAGTGAGTGTGTGTGTGTGTGTGTGTGTGTGTGTGTGTGTGTGTGTTTGTGTGTGTAAGTCAACACCGTCTAACTCATTGTTTGTGTCATGCTGATATCAACGTGCAATCGGACATATACTTCACAGGTCTCCTGAGTGCAGTGTCATGCTGCCAGTTGCAGGGTCCATGCCTTCCACTGCTTATCAGAAACCACCCGCCGCATGTTTCCAGATATATGTTGACCTTTACGCACCAAAATCCAGGAGAGTGGCCTTTTCTGAAATAAAATCACGAATTTGTGCGTGCAAGTAATACGTATAGAATCAGACATGGATGTCAGGGCAGTATCGTTGATTCAGGCCCGAGAGCGGCCCAAGGCCGAAGGCCGCGGGCCGCTTGAGGGCCGGAATCAACGATACCTGCCCTGACATCCATGTCTGATTGTGTTTCACACTGCCACCCACGCACGACAGCACAAGTGAAAGCCAGAACGCTCTCCTCAGCAGAACGTGCACGTGCAAGTTCACCTACAACGCACCCGCAGCATGCTAGCAGCGCAAACAAAGCCACTGTACTGCACTAATCTGCATAAATCGAACTTGAAATACATCAACTAGAAACACCGAGTGCCTGCCTGCCCAAGTTCTCAAGTCCTTTATCATGTTTATGGCACTCGTTGCACAACAATGGCAGAAACTCACAAGCTGAAGTTCCACCTCCGTGCGCTCCGGCTGAAGTTTCGTTCTGAAGTCTCATGTCAAGCAAGGTGAAGTTTCAACTCAAGCAAGGTGAAGTTTCAACTCAAGCAAGGTGAAGTTTCATCTCAAGCAAGGTAAAGTTTCATCTCAAGCAAGGTGAAGTTTCAGGTTGGTACGCTCTCGGGCTTTGTTGATTCAGGCCCTCGAGCGGCCCGCGGCCTTCGGCCTTGGGCCGCTCTCGGGCCTGAATCAACAAAGCCCTCGAGCGTACCAACCTGAAACTCAGAAGCTGAATCCTCCACGTCCCCGACCACCACCCCTAGAGGTTTCTTCCTTTTATACCTTCATGCCGGCGTGTTCAGTTTCACCTCCACAAGCTCTCGGGACGTGCTGATTGGTCAAGGGCCTGAATGCCACCGCATGTATCAGACATGGACCGGATATCAGGCTTTTTCTTTCTCTCTTGTTCCACCTCGATCAGGTAAGTCTCTCCACGTGCGAGTATACCCATCACGTGATCATTCATGTTCTCCTACGGTGCCATTCAAGCCCAAGGGCCTGAATGGCAGGGCATGATCAGAGGTTCATGCCCTGCCTGTGAGCGCTCTGATTGGCTCAAACCGTGGCAACGATCACGTGGCAAGTGTGAAACTGTATTCACTGTATTCACTGTATTCACTGTGTGTGTGTGTGTGTGTGTGTGTGTGTGTGTGTGTGTGTGTGCGTGTGTGTGTGCGTGCGCGCGCGCATGTGTGTGTGTGTGTGTGCGCGCATGTGTGTGCGTGTGTGTGTGGTGTGTGTGTGGTGTGTGTGTGGTGTGTGTGTGTGTGTTTGTGTGGTGTATGTGCGTGTGTGTGTGTGTGTTTGCGCGTCCGCGCATGCATGTGTGCTTTGTTCTCGTGGCATTTCCAGGACTGTCTTGGAGTTGCTAAGTGCCCTTTTCCGCTTGTCCGAAGTGGGTCATTTTGAAGCAGTGGCAGCGCTGTTTGTAGCACCTTCGAATCAATGTCCCGATGTATTGCTCCTCAGCATATTGCAAGCCAGGGTACGCCGTTTCAACTGAAAAAGCCTGTATTGTAGTGCGCACGTGTACATTCGTTCAACCCTGCACACCTTGTCCACTGTCTTTGTTCTGCAGCCAGCATGGTCCCTTTTCGCATTAGGAGGGCTCTCTATCTCTCTCTCTCTCTCTCTCTCTCTCTCTCTCTCTCTCTCTCTCTCTCTCTCTCTCTCTCTCTCTCTCTCTCTCTTTCTCTCTCTCTCTCTCTCTCTCTCTCTCTCTCTCTCTCTCTCTCTCTCTCTCTTTCTCTCTCTCTCTCGTTCAGCTTTTGTGTGTGTTTTATGACTCACTTTTTCTCTCTTGTCTGTTCTTCCCTGCAGCCCATGCATTGGTGTACTATGCAGCAGAAGCTGTGCACCCGACTTGTTCCTCTGTTTTTCAACAAGCATGACAACTCAACTGTTGTTCTCAACTACACTTGGAATGCCCAGGTACTGATGAATGATAGCACTTTTCAGCAGGTCACTTTGCTTGAATGTACCTCGCCGATCATAATGTTCCGGTGTAGAACCTACTTGGACATTATCAATATGCTGTCTAGGGAGTGGCAAAATCGTGCTCGCAATCTCTGTATGTATGTGTGTGTGTGTGTGTGTGTCCGTGTTTATGTGTGTGTGTGTGTGTGTGTGTGTGTGTGTGTGTGTGTGTGCGCGCGTGCGTGTGTATGTGCGCGTGTTTGTGCATGCGTGTGTGTGTGTGTGTGTGTGTGTGTGTGTGTGTGTGTGTGTGTGTGTGTGTGTGTGTTTGTGCGTGTGTGTGTGTGTCCCACATGGTGCAGTGGTATGTACAGCGATTTCCAATCGAGAGGTTGCGGGTTCGATTCTCGACGATTATGGTCACACACGTCTTTCTTCTCTTTCTCAGACTTCTCCTGACTTTTCTAGTTTTCTTTCATTCTCCTGGGTGGTTACCAACAGCCAATGCATGCCGGAGTGTGTGGTGTGATGTGTGTGCGGGGAAAAAAAAGAAAAATAGACCAAAAAGTAGGGATTCACTGGCCAGAAAAAGTCACTTCATAGCTGTGTGGTGTAGACCAGGCTGAACAGTGGCAGTCAATTCTTCAGCCTTGCAAGTTGTTGAATGGTGCAATCCCAGCACAAGCTGCTATGGCTTCTGCTGTAGCATCGCTATCATCGCCTTCGGCGATGGGCGTCCAATGGTCCAATGGTGTGTGTGTGTGTGTGCGCGCGTGCGTGCGTGTGCATGCTTGTGTGTGTTCAGGCACCTGGTAATAGTGTGCACACCTTGATGATGCAATCAATGGCGGAGTGGTACCAGGGCGGTGATAAATTTGATCAGATGCGCCTCTCTCGAATATTGGATGTGGCGCAAGAGCTAAAGGTAAGCACTCACATCCATTCCCTTTGGCAGGTCTAGAAGAAAAGGATTGGCTTCATTGAAATCTTGTATTGGGCCTTCCCTTCGATTCCTCACTCCAGCTATTGAAACGTGCTTTATTTTTTTTTAGTTCATTTTACGCTATTTTACGCTTGGCTCTCTCTCTCTCTCTCACTCTCTCTATCTCTCTCTCTCTCTCTCTCTCTCTCCCTCCCTCTCGCTCCCTCTCTCTCTCTCTCTCTCTCTCTCTCTCTCTCTCTCTCTCTCTCTCTCTCTCTCTCTCTCTCTCTCTCTCTCTCTCTCTCTCTCTCTCTCCTGTCTAACGTCCTTTGCTCTTTTTTGTTCCATGTATCCAGGGTCTCCTGATGTTGGTAAATAGTAATGACATGCCAATGCCGTTTGTAGTTGATCTAGCTGCTCTAGCCTCTCGCAGAGGATACTTGAAGCTGGACAAATGGCTCCATGACAGGATGCGAGACCAACAGGTATGTGCCAAGTGCTGCTTACCCTGTCCTTTCCTTTCTACTTATGTATTGTCTGCTCCAGGGCCGGGTCACCCGGGTCAGTGACCCGGCCGGGGGTACTTCTGCTTCGTGCATTGGTTCGGCCAAGAGCGCATGGTGGTGGCGGGTTGAGGATGCAGTAAAGTGGAGTATGGCCATGGTGGTGGCGGGTTGAGGATGCAGTAAAGTGGAGTATGGCCATGGTGGTGGCGGGTTGAGGATGCAGTAAAGTGGAGTATGGCCATGGTGGTGATGGGTTGAGGGTGCAGTAAAGTGGAGTATGGCCGAAAGCTCTGTCGCAATATTTTATGGTGTACTTAGACCCCTTTGAAAAGAAGAATGCCAGGTTACTTGTGGCCCGGTTAGGAGTATATATGTCGAGTACTTTTTTTATACTTCAAGGGAGTACATTCTGACAGGCTGCCGGCAAGTGCAGATGGGCGAGTGTGGTCAGACTGCCCAGTACACATTGTTCATACATGTACATGCTGTAGCCGCACTAGAACGCTCCGCTCGCGACTTCCATTTTCTTTACTTGGTGGCGGCCCTTTTGACTTAGTACATCGTCGAGTTTTGGTACACACGTACCTGGCTCTGACCCAATTGAAAGGGCTGCGTCAGGTACACGTGTACCCGGTGGGTTGAAATTCTAGAGCAGACACTGTTATGGCCATGTAGACTGCTGAGCATTAGTATGCATCTGGTATTGTCACTATTTAGTATGTACTGTGCTTTAACCGTTGCACAATCATCACTGGCAGGTTTGTGTGTGGTGGTCTCTCCCTCTCTTCTCCCCCCCCCCCCCCCCCCCCCGAGGGTGCCTGTCCAGTTTGTAGTCTGAGCAGTTTGTTGTGTACTGCTGCTCTCCAGTGATCGCCAGACGCCTTCATGCTTCCCTTTCAGTCTGAGTGAGTCTCACTAGCGCCGAAAAGAATAGTATTGCTTCCCTTGCTCAGACTTGTCACCGGATGGTGTCTTGAGCCCCGCACTGCTGCTTTAGCTGGTAGCGTGTCCGGGGAGTTACCTGTGTGATGTGCTGGCTACCACCGTGCGCGTATGTCTGCTTGGTTCGTCTTTCCTCTACAGGAGATGTTTGTGCAGGGTTGTCTGTCGTACATTCGCCATCGGACGTCCTTGCATGGACCCATCAACGCCTCGGCAATTGTGGATCGACCCGGCGCTCTCCCCCTGGAGACTATCACCACTATGCTGGCTTGCATACAGTCCTACTCGTAAGCACATGTGTAACAGAGCCACCGGTCTGCATGCTTGTTTGTGTGTGTGTTTGGTGTGTGTGTGTGTGTGTTTGGTGTGTTTGGTGTGTGTGTGTGTGTGTTTGGTGTGTTTGGTGTGTGTGTGTTTGGTGTGTTTGGTGTGTGTGTGTGTGTGTGCCGTGTGTTTGCGAGTCTTCTTGACTGTGTTTGCTTGATCCGCCAGGGATTTTGGCCACATTACATCTTGGGGTGCTGTCTTTATTACTCTTGCTCACGAGAACAACCTGGATATGTGCAAGGAGAGCCCTGCACCGCGTGGCGCGAGTGTCTGTTGCCAGCGCACACCATTGAATTGCACGCTCTGGGAGGGGGTTATGTTCTGCTGGTACCAGGTTTAGTGCCGGGACTTGTGTATGCGGGCGCCGGGCGTGCCTTGGTCATGTTTATCTTCTTCAATCCGTGAAAATCATCGATAATGCCGGTTGGCCCCTTAGAGAGTGTGAGCCCGAATGTCCAATTACCTGGTGTTTGTGCGCCTCCTTTCCTTTTGTTGCGCAGGCCAATGGCACCAGAAACTCACGACCAACTGCAAATGCTGCTGAAGCTTTTCGGACCTATACCGCCCAAGCCGCGCTCTGTGGCCACTGCTCCTGGTCCTGGCGGAGTGCCTCGGCCCGTCATGCCAAACGTTAACCAGCCCAAGACACCGTACGACCCGATGCAGTCCTCGATGGGCATCCCGCCGCAAGTTCCGCTACAGCAACCGCCCGTTCAGCTTCCAGCACAGGTTGCACTGTCCGCTCAGCAGATCGGCCATCACCAGGGTGCCGTTGGCGGTGGTGCCGTTGGCGGTGGTGCCGTTGGCGGTGGTGCCGTTGGCGGTGGTGGTGCCATTGGCGGCGGTGAGATTGGCAGTGAGAAGTCCATGGGCAATCTGCCTCAGCCTCAGTACACCGGCGCCTCTCAGCCAGGCGCTGGATCTACGTCTTCGTTTGGCAACGCCGGGATGAACCCGCTCGTAGCTCAGGGCGCTGCGCCAGCCCCCAGGCCAGCACCAGCACCGCCGGTGGTGTCCAGCTCCTCGGCAGGCAATGTTTCACAAGCTACTGGCGACCTTGCTCGCAAGCAGAACTCCGTTCCGAACATGGATACAACCTTTAGTCTGGAGGTGGAGGAGGAAGCAAACAACAATTTCAAGGGTCTCTACAATCGTGCTATTACCATTGACACTGTCCTGGAGATGCTACGCACGTACAAAGAGAGCTCTGACCCAAAGCAGAAGGACGTTTTCCAGTGTATGCTTCGGAATCTATTTGAGGAGTACAAGTTCTTCAGTAGCTATCCTGACAAGGAGCTGCAGATCACAGGACTGCTGTTCGGCGGCTTGATTGAACACAACCTTGTAACGTACATGTACCTGGGTCTGGCTCTTCGGTACGTACTGGAGTCATTGCGCAAGCCCGTCACACACAAACTGTTCTCGTTTGGCGTGTCCTGCTTGGATCGTTTTAAGCACCGGCTAAAAGAGTATCCACAGTACTGTGGCCATGTAGCTACTATCGGCCACTTCAAAGAATTCCCAACGTCGCTAGCTGAGTATGTGACGTGCGGCAGGGAAGGCAAGGAGCCACCGACTCCTGAGAGTGCGTTCCGTGGAATGTCTCACCCTGCCGCCGCTCACCCGGGCCACCCTGGTGGTGCGGTGGCGTCGGCAGCGGTGACGCCAGCTGCTGGTCCTGCTCAACAGTCCCATGGCCATGCCGCCAGTGCTACCGCTGCTTCTGCTGTCGGGCGTCCTACTGCTGCTGCTGCTGCTGGTGGCGGTGGTGGTGGTGGAGCGACTGCTGCAGGTAGTAGCAGTGTTGGCGGTGGCGGTAGTGCTGCTAGCACAGATCCCCTGACACACCATCCATCAACCGCTTCTGAAGGTAGGTTCCTGCTTTGCTACAACTTTGTCCTTACTTAGTGCAAACACAAACAAGTGCTGTAACGCATTGTGTTATACTGTTAATGTGCTGTGTTGTTTCCTAGATTCGCTGTATGGCAGTGCATAGTCAAGTTTTGTCATTCCTATGGTTGGTCGCAGAAACCAGATTTCACCTGTTTGGTTTGGCCCCTATGCACTCGTCTAAGGAACGTTCTATGCCATTACTGAAATACACACACGCACGCACATCTCGGCATCCACTGAACTTCGGCTATACGTGCATATTCAGGGCTTTGAAATTTTATCTTACTACACAGCCATGTACCTGGAGATTGTATTCGACTATAGTCATATTGTTGGCGGAAGAAGTCAATTCTCCTGAACGGTTTAGAATTGGTCCAGGTACTAGCAACGCCCTACCCATTTTTGGAGGATGGTTATACTCTATCTGCGGACAGAACTGTTTCGTCCTTTGTGAATTCATCAGCGCAGCACAGAGAAAATGAGGCCGAACCTGATAGCAATGAAAAATACATTTTCCAAAGCCAGATTTAAACCAGGCCCGAACGTACCTTGCCAGAGTGCTCAAACTGACAAGTCAGTGAGCTCTGCATAGCGCAGATGGAGGATGGTTATAAAACGCGTCAATGACTAAACTGTTGCAGAACTTCCCTGAAATGACCTCTTGACGTGACATGCAGTAGTTGACTGTGAGTCAGTGTTTCTTAGTCGTGTGTGTGTTGTCTTGCTACTGGTTCCATTATTGTGTTGTGCAGCAGTTACCAGTGTCGCGCTGCCCGGATCGCAGGGTCCTCCGCCGCCCACTTCGTCCAGCGGGGCAACGACTGCTTCAACTGCAGTTGCGTCGGTCTTGAGAGAAACGCGTGATGGCCATGGTCCCTCAATTGCCAATGCTGCTAGTATTGATACGTTAGTGACAGGCATGGAAGGTTCAAGCTCGGAGCACGTGGAGTTACCGCCCGAGGCCGTTCAAGATCGCATATTGTTCATGTTCAACAACCTTTCGCCGAAGACCTTGGACGAGAAAGTACGTTACCGGCATTGTTGTGGGCTTGTGGCGTGCTGTTTTCTGCGAGTTCTTTCTGCATGTTGGTGCGTTTGTCCATTCTTTGCAAAGTAGTGGAAACCTGAATGTTTTGCTGTTGAGTCCTTGTTTCCTCAGCCCATACGTTAAATTTCATGTGCCTTCTGTAGTCGAGGGGAGAGGGGTGTTGTATGAAAATATCGAGTTCTTCGGTGACATGTTTTTGTCCATTGATGTCCTGTTTTGATCTCAGGTGGAGGAATTCAAGACACACATTTCCAGCGACCACCTACCGTGGATATCGCAGCATCTTGTGATGAAGCGTGTTACCATGGAGCAGAATCTCCATGAGCTGTACGTTTCCTTTCTGAAGGATATCGGCAATCCCGGGCTCGTGGAGCTGGTGTTGTCCGAGACGTACCGCAATATCAAGGTACCGAGCTGCTTTGCACAGCGTGTGCGTGCATGCGTGTGTGTGCGTGTGTGTGTGTGTGTGTGCGCGCACACTCGCACGCGTGCATGAATGTGTGCATGCGTGCATGTCAGTTTTTTGGTGATGTGCCGATGAAGTATCAAGTAATACTGTTGCTGCTGCGTTCTTGAGTGCATTTCGTTTTATTAGTACACACGTTTTTATGGCAGTAGTCTAGCACACATGCAGTCCACACAACGAAGCGAGAAGATGAAACTTCTTTTAATTAATAGTCTGGCAAACGTTTTCTTTTCCTTCTCATCAGGCTAGTACGGGTAATGATGGAAAATTCGATGGAACATTACTATTACGTGTTTGAAATGAAACGGGGAAAATCCCTACACACTCTATAGCAAGTGGTGTCTTTGCTGTGCAGATTTCTATTACCTATATCATGCAACACAAGGTGGAATGAAGCTACACCATACGTAATAAAAGTGATAAAAGTACACCATCCTTGAGGCCCACGCACAAACACATGCACACACACACACACACGAATGCATGCACACACCATGTACCATGTATACGCCCGTCGCAAGAGAAGCACGCAAATCTGCAAATGCACTGGATGTGCACCCACAGATTTTCTCTTATAGCAACGATAGCGAACAAGATCTGAATGAGACAGATCAAGACTTGCGCCAGATAACTGTCTTATCCACACAACTGGCGAAGCCATGTGAATCGACCACCAACACACACACACACCATTGGACCATTGGACGCCCATCGCCGGAGGCGATGATAGCGATGCTACAGCAGAAGCCATAGCAACTTGTGCTGGGATTGCACCATTCAACAGCTTGCAAGGCTGAAGAATTGACCGCCACTATTCAGCCTGGTCTACACCACACAGCTATGAAGTAGCTTTTTTCTGGCCAGTGAATCCCTACTTTTTGGTCTTTTTTATTATTTTTTCCCGCACACACATCACACCACATACTCCGGCATGCACTGGATGTTGGTAACCACCCAGGAGAATGAAAGAAAAGTCAGGAAGAGTCTGAGAGAGTCTGAGAAAGAGAAGAAAGACGCGTGTGACCATAATCGTCGGCACACACACACACACACACACACCATTGGACCATTGGACGCCCATCGCCGGAGGCGATGATAGCGATGCTACAGCAGAAGCCATAGCAACTTGTGCTGGGATTACCCACACACACACGCACACACACACATACACACACGTACACACACACACACACACACACACACACACGTACACACACACACACACACACACACACACACACACACATCCTAACACTCATAATCACACATGTGCAATGCAAACAAAAACAAAACACAACATGCCTTGAATCGGGGTGTGAGGAGTGGTGGGATTGTGACAAAAGATGAGATTTTGTCACCAAACTACAACTTGGTGCTGAGCTGTATAACAATGGCGTGAACGAGCACTTCATGACAACAGGATAGGACAGTGACAGCAGTAACAGTGATCATCATCCAAGTTTGACATTGTCAATTGTCAAGTAGCCTCCAACCACAATCGTTGCTCGCCTTCGCATAGCGTCTGGATATTTGGATGGCACCCTTGTCCAGTGTGTGTGTGTGTGTGTGTGTGTGTGTGTGTGTTACGTGTGTGTGTGTGTGTGTTACGTGTGTGTGTGTGTGTTACGTGTGTGTGTGTGTGTGTTACGTGTGTGTGTGTGTGTGTGTGTGTGTGTGTGTGTGTGTGTGTGTGTGTGTTACGTGCCTGTGCCTCAATGGCGGTGTACCTTTATCACTTTTATCGCGTATGGTGTAGTTTCATTCCACCGTGTGTTGCATGATATAGGTCCACCTCACTTGTTGTTCTCCTCAATCCTGATGATGGCTCCTGGCCGAAAATTTGATTGAGAAAATAGTTTGCAGCGAAGAGACCACTTGCTTTTAGGATGGTGGGTACTGTAAAAGCCATATATATCTTTACTTATAAAGAAGAGGCACCTGTGACGTGTGTCTGTGTGTTACGCTCAGGCCATCCTGCGGAGCAGCGCTGCCCTGAGCACGCGAAGCGTGCGAACAGTGTAGCTAGCGGCCGCAGAAGCACTGAGCACGCTTCGCGAATCGTGTAGCCACCACCACGTGCTGAGCACGTGTGCTGTTCATGACACGTTCTAGCCACCTGTGACGTGTGGTATCGATGATTACCGAAGATTAATCTTTACTTATAAAGAAGAGGCACCTGTGACGTGTGTCTGTGTGTTACGCTCAGGCCATCCTGCGGAGCAGCGCTGCCCTGAGCACGCGAAGCGTGCGAACAGTGTAGCTAGCGGCCGCAGAAGCACTGAGCACGCGAAGCGTGCGAATCGTGTAGCTAGCGGAAGCAGCCACAGAAGCACTGAGCTGAGCACGCGAAGCGCGCGAATCGTGTCCATTGACTTTCGCCAAACGTTGCCTATTGTTCCTAGAGGCACTTCTGCTGATGACATCAATGCCTGCATCAAGTCTTCGGCGCTCTGGCGTTCCGTGGTGAAGTACACACTTACCACAAATATGCGAGTTCTGCGTAGCAGTGATACCAATGCTGGTCAATTCTCTGCGCAGCTCCTTAAAGTCGGCAACGGTGCAATACCAGTTCTGCCTTCAGGCGAAATTGCGGTTCCTGGTGATCTCGCACAGATTGCTGCTTCCCAAGAAGACATTGTACGAATTATCTACCCTGATGTCGCGGACAATTTTGTAGATCCCACTTGGTTGAAAGAAAGAGCTATCCTTGCACCTTTGAATGACACTGTCACTGACATGAATGGGATACTCATGCACAAACTGCCAGGTGACTTGGTCCAGTACGAGTCTGTTGACACTGTCGAAGATGACGACTCTGGTGATTACCCTGTTGAATTCCTGAACTCCTGTAACCCCTCAGGCTTACCAAGTCACCTGCTTCAGCTCAAAGTGGGTGTGCCCGTCATTCTTCTCAGGAACCTGGATGCGCCGAAGTTGTGCAATGGCACCAGATTAATTGTGAAGCGCATCCAGCGACATGTAATTGAAGCTGAGATTTTGACTGGGTCGGGTGCAGGAGAACAGGTGTACATACCGAAAATACCCACGACATCCACAAATCTGCCATTCCAACTTCGACGTGTCCAGTTCCCACTCCGTGTCTGCTTTTGCATGACCATAAACAAGTCCCAAGGGCAGTCCCTGAAGGTTGTTGGTTTGGACCTAACAACACCATGCTTTGCTCATGGACAGTTTTATGTGGGTTGCTCACGGGTAGGTAATCCAGACAACCTTCACATTTTGTGCAATGACGGCAAAACGAGAAATGTAGTTTACCCGGCTGCACTACAGTGACTGCACGTCTGCGGGTGTGCCGCAGTACTTTGCCGACGATTTGTTGTCATGGCTGACTAATCCCAATAACTGAGAACTCTATACCTCATTCCATTCACTCACCATGCTGCGCATTACTGTTCGCATTATTGAAGCATCCCATCATCCCATATGCTGAACACAAGTACACTCTCTAATAACTGAGAACTCTATACGTGATTCCATTCACTCACCATGCTGCGCATTACTGTTCGCATTATTGTTCGAGGATGAAGCATCCCATCATCCCATATGCTGAACAAAAGTACACTCTCTATGTCCAAGCTGCCACATGTACATGTACGTACATGTCTCAACATGCATAAGGCACAATTTCCCAATAATTGGATGAGCCTTCACTATTGTAAATCTCAGTTCTATATTAAACTGCTGATAAACAACTACCCGGTCATGCGAATCGTGAAGCCACCACCACGTGCTGAGCACGTGTGCTGTTCATGTACTTGCTTCACCCGCATGCCACGTTCGGCCAGGCAACGCTGGCCGTGTGCTGCTAGTATATATATAACGAAGTGCTAACTCTAACGAGTCAACGAGGAGAACTCTGTCAGAAATCGTTATACAGAAATCGATACATATACTGTCCTATTGAGCGTTGAGAATGAGTGAGAGTCATTACCTTTGGTACACGTAAACTAGTCAATTTTGGGAAATCGTTATATATGCGCCTCGTTAGAATAATTGCTTTTACAGTATAGGGTTTTCCATGTAGTGAAGTAGCTGCAGTGGAGCTTGCACACGTTTTAAAAGAAAGGGTTTGAAATGAGCCGAAGGAAACACTACGTGTATTTTTATTTGTGTGATTCTGCCAGGTTCTTCTTTCGGCAGAAAAGGACAGCACTGGCTTTTCGGATCGGCTGCTATTGAGGAACCTTGGCCATTGGCTTGGTTTGATGACCTTGGCCCGGAATCGGCCAATTCTCTACAAGGACTTGGCATTGAAGGATCTTCTTCTTGAAGCACACAGGAGAGGCCAACAGGTAGGAGTTTTTGGCCGCGTGTATCTTTCCTGGCTTGTTGCTATGCTGCTTGTAGTCTTTGTCCTTGTCTTCCGAAACTCGGGAAAGGTAAGGATGTGATTGGTAGCCACCCTTTAGGGCTCCTAGTGTGTGTGTGTGTGTGTGTGTGTGTGTGTGTGTGTGTGTGTGCGCGCGCGCGCGTGTGTGTGTGTGTGTATTTGTGTGGCTACTGTGGACTGCTGCCATTGATCCGCGCCGTTCTGCTTCCTCTCTTTGAACAGGATTTGCTTTTTGTCGTGCCGTTTGTGGGGAAGATACTGGAGGCTTGCAAGGAAACGAAGGTGTTCAAACCACCCAGTCCGTGGCTAATGGCCATCATCGGTGTGCTGGTTGAGCTCCACTCGATTCCGGATTTGAAATTGAACTTGAAATTTGCTGTCGAAGTACTCTGCAAGGACCTGGGAATTACTATGAAAGATGTCAAGATGTACGCTTTGCTGAAGGATCTAGATCGCCCGATCAAGGAGCAGTTAGCTACTGCCAAGGAGCGTGCAGCTGCCAGTGGGGGTAAGTACATGTAGATATGTTTCCTGCTGGCCCACATAGACAGGTTTAGCAAACTGCCTTCCTGACCACACTTTCTGGCCTATATAGTTCTTGTTCAGCTGATGAATACCGTGCGTACCGCTTGCTGTTACTGAAGAGTGTGCATGCGGCGTGCGTGTATGTGTGGTGTGTGTGCGTGTGTGGAGCTTGTGCTGATACATGTAGTAAAACAATGATTGTGCATGGCTATGAGTTGCACTGTATCTCTGACTCTGATGCTCCTTCAACTCTCTTATTTTCCAATGCACAGAAACATCGGCGGTGCCTCCGAGTGCACGCTTTGCCTACTCCGACGTCAACTCCACAACCTTCCAGAACATGGCTCAGTACCTCACTATCAGTGATGATGTATGTGATGTCCTGTACACGCCTACACGCATGTCCACACTGCAGATGCATTTGCTTGGCCTTGTCTCTCTTGCCTAGCTTTCTTCGTAGTCATCATCATAACGCCACTATTTCCATGCATGTGTGTTTGTGTGCGTGTGCGTGTGTGTGTTTGTGTGTGGGTAGGTGGGTTCGTGCGTGCGTGTGTGGGTGCGCGTGTGTATGCGTGTGTTTGTCCGTATCTGGGCTTTGTGGTTTTCTTTGGGGGGGGGGGGGGGGATAAACCCAGGTGGGTGTTCACGCAATCTCATGGTCCTCGTGTACACGCATTCACTCCCATTGTACCGAGTGTGAGCGTGCAATACTGTGTGCTCTGAGCCATGTACAGCTGTTCAGCTTTCCTGTGAGAATACATGTCTCTTCGGTGCTCCTGACACTCTTGTTTTGCACATTTCTCGTTCTGTTGCAGACACCGTTGTTCTCCTCGCACGCCACTTTCAAGGGTTTTGTCAGACCAGCAGTTACTCAAGCCGTGAATGAGCTCATGACCCCGGTTGTCGAGCGCTCAATCAAGATTGCCATTGCGACCACGGAACAGATTGTGCGAAAGGTAGGGCTTGTTTCTCACGGCCGACCGGCCCACTTGCTGGCAACTGGCTCGTGGTCTGGCGAGACTAACGAGACGTTATGCTCTGCAGAAGACGTACACGAACAGTAGCGTCCGGCACAAGCCACGGTCCTGCACACTTTATTTTGTGTGCGTGGTGCGCCCGCCTTGACGTGGCAGGGTGCCAAGGGCCGCCGGGGCGCGTGCGTACGGGCGTTCACGAACTTCTCATCCGCTTGGCTGAGCACCAGCTCAGTCAGCTCAGCAAAAAAAAAGATTCATGATGATAAGCATGGCGAAGGGTGCTGAACTAGCTGTCTTGTACCTTGGGTACCTTGCACGGTACACCTAGATCTTGCTGGGTGTGTCACGTGACATGCTGCGTGGTCATGTGACTTGCCACTCCGTAGATGTGATTAGACAGGTGTGGCAGGGGCGACCTCTGTGGGCTCGGTGTGCGTTTAGCTCTTATGCACTGCTCCTTTGTGCTGTGTCGCTCCTCATGTTTTGTTTGTTTCTGCACATGCGCGTTTGTGTTCGTGTGTATGGGTGTGGGTGCATGTGTGTGTGTGTGTGTGTGTGTGTGTGTGTGTGTGTGTGTGTGTGTGTGCGTGCGTGCGTGTGTGTGTGTGTGTGTATGTGTGCCGTAGGATTTTGCCCTGGACGGTGACGAGCAGCAACTGCGCCGCTCTGCTCATCACATGGTGCGCAACCTTACAGCAGGCATGGTTATGATCACATGTCGCGAGCCTCTGCTTGTCAGCATCACCAACCAACTCAAGGCTGCGATCAACCAGGATGCTAGCATGAGAGGGGTATGTACTATGTAACTAGACTGTAACGCATTCTGGAATCTCGCTGTGTACGGTATTCATGGTACCTTATCTCTACTGGCCAGTTGTGTCTAATTTAGCCTGACCTTGCTTGTCTTCGCCTCAGCTATCTTCTTGCTCAGCTACCTAGCGCCGGTGGGTCGGTAGATACTACAGGTGGAATCCTGATAATTCGGATATGGCTTAATTAATTCGAACATACTGCTTAATTAGAAGTTTTTCCAGGACCGATTTCTATCAATACGATTCCCACATAAGAATTTCTGATAATTCGAACCTCGAACTGGACATGGCCGGTTAATTAGAAGTCCCACAGATTCCACTTACATAGAAAATGTGTTTGATTTGTGCTGATAATTCGAAGTTAGCAAAGTGTAATTCGAAGTTAACTGCACACTGTACTGGTCAGTTCAGTTTGCATGAGCAGGCTGTGCCGTTCAGTTCAGTATCCGTGAAATCTGTGTCTAAGGTCCATAGCGCAACTCTGCGTGACCATGAGAGCATTTTGACATACATGTTGTGTTGTGGGTTCATGTTTGGATAATTAGAATGTCCGGATAATTAGAAGTTTTATCCTGGCATTTTGAGGTTCGAATTATCAGGATTCCACCTGTATTCGCAAGACTCTGAGAGGCACTGTCCAATAGCGCCTTGATCCAGCGATCTTGGCCTGTAGATCACAATACTGCACTAGAACATGACAGACATAATACTGTAGGAGTACTTTGGTATGGCACCACATGTTCACGAGGTCAAGCTTCGAGGGTGTAATGGTAGGGCTCAAACGGTTAGTCCGATTAACCGGTTGCAGACCGGTTACGAAGAATTAACGGTTAACCGATAAAGATAACGGTTACGCAGTAACTTTTCAGTCAATTTTCAAGTATCAGGTTGTTGCAAAGTATGCAATTTCGCAGGCTGTCGCACGCGTACGCAATTTCGCAGGCTGTTAACTCGGTCATATCTGGTCTCTTGGTGTGAGAGTATTGTGTGAATGAGCATGCAAGAGAATGTACATGTGTGCGTTGTACTGAATAGGGTACATTTTTTGAATGAGTATAGTCAAATATACGGTTAAAAAAGAGTTCGCAGGATTGCCGTGGCTTACAGGTTATAACCGTTAAACCGACCGTTAGCTTAGCAGTTAACCGTTAGAGGTAAAACCGTGACCGTTTGAGCCCTAGGTAATGGCCAGTCTTTCGCTTGCAATTTTGGATTTCTTCAAAGTGTTTGTGGGTAATGTTTAGTTATGTGTTTGAGTGATTTATGTTTCTTCTTGCTCTTTGCCTCGAGTTGCTGGCTACAACGAAATGTTATTTATGCACTTATGCATACGGCATTGGCCAGCTTGGTATGCCACAGTACGTGGTTCCTATCCAGAGTCCACGGTTCTCCTTAGCCTCTGCTGACATGCCTCTTTTTCATGCCTTGTTTTTGCTAATAACGTTTGTGCATATGTGTGTCTGTCTGTGGGTGTGTTTGTGGGTGTGTGTGTGTGGGTGGGTGGGTGTGTGCACGCACGCACTTATATATGTGTGTGTATGTGTGCGTTCTTTTCATGTACAGGTACACTCTGGTATAGACAAAAACCTCGTTGAAGCAGCGTGTAATCAGGTGGCCACGGACAATGTTGAGGTTGCATGTGCGTTCATACAGAAGTCGGCTGTGGAGAAGGTTGTCCCCGAGATGGATAAGAGAATTGCAGAGGTAACTGCCATAATATTGCAGAAATCGGTGGTTTCGTGTTTTCTAGAATTGGGACCACCAATCTGAAATAAGCGCCACATCATGTCCAGGCTTTTGCGTGGATTTTTGTCGAATAGTGTGAAACTTAAGAGATCACAAACTTCTAAGTGCTGTGGCCCTTATTCCCATTAATAATATGTCTTTCCCTCAAACCAGTGAATATAGTATGTGTGTTGCTTTTTGCAAGAGGACACTGGAGAATTTATGTTCAGCAGATATGACAGTGCTTTTGGTCACTGGCGGCGTGTCACGCCGGTGCAGAGATGTTGCATCTTGTGTTGTGGCATTGCATCTTGTGTTGTGGCATTGCCAAGCGTGATGATGCAAGAAACTGGGAGTTGGACCCCGGTTAAGCTAGTCCAGCTTGTTCCAGTCCCTATCACGACTGGACTACCGCCATGGCATACCGGTAGTGTTTGTTTATATGTTATGCATCAGTGAACATGATGCATGGTGCGTTGCAATGCCATGCGCTTGACTGGTTTTTTTTCCTTTTAACTCCTGTGTGTGCGCGCGTATGTGTGTGTGTGCGTGTGAGCGTGCGCGTGTGTGTGTGTGTGTGTACATGGTGTGTGTGTGTGTGTTTGTAGGAGATTGAGGGCCGCCAGCAGCATCGCCTTGCCGGCCGTCGCTTTGTGAACGAAGCCGTCTATTCCTATCAAATGGATAACATGCCATCTGCTATTCGCTTGAAGGTGGGGACAGGTGTAGTTTTTGCTTTGTAGATATATCCTTTTGTGGCTTGTGTGTATACGTGTGTGTGTGTGTGTGTGTGTGTGTGTGTTTGTGTGTGTGTGTGTGTGTGTGTATACGTGTATACGTGTGTGTGTATACGTGTGTGTGTATACGTGTGTGTGTATACGTGTGTGTGTGTGTGTGTGTGTGTGTGTGTGTGTGTGTGTGTGTGTGTGTGTGTGTGTGTGTGTGTGTGTGTGTGTGCAAGCGTGTGTGTGCAAGCGTGTGTGTGCAAGCGTGTGTGTGCAAGCGTGTGTGTGCAAGCGTGTGTGTGCAAGCGTGCACGCGCGTGTGTGTGTGTGTGGATAATCTTTTTTTTGTTCTACCTATGTGGCATTGCTGCACACCAGTGCACACATTTCTGGTGGTATGTGAAAACGACTGTTTCCTTCTCTTCTTTTTAGATTGGCGGAACGGATCCAAATCAGCTTGCCGTCTATGATGAGTTTGCTCGATGCCTTCCTGGCTTCTTGCCATCGGAAAGTGTAAGTGGTCGTGGTGTTTCAGTGTGTCATGTTGCCTATTATAAGGTGAAATCTACTGGCTTTCCGTGGCACTAATTACGTGACCATGGCGCGCCTGGTTGTGATGAAGTCGATACCCAAGGTCGGCAGAGCATCCCAGACCACGCCACCACTCCCCTTATTCATGGCTCACACATGACGGGTTTACGTGGCTCTAGTAAAAAAACAATAAAAATATATAAAATGGCCGTGTCGTATTCTTTACAGTGCTCTACCGGTACTCAAGTCTTTGTTTCTTTTCATTATTCTGTTTTGTATGTAGTTCAATGAATTTACTCAGCTGATGGAGAAATGTGCCGCAGAAGTGGAGAACCATGTGCGTGTGCTACACAGCACACAGAACCACCATATGCCCTACATCAACTTGCTGAGCTCGCTTGCGAGCACCGCACGCCAGATTGCGAACAACCATGACAGCACTGGAGCTCTGCTGCTCCTGCAGAAGGTGGGTGTTGCATTGGTCGCCTGGTGCCCTGCACAGGCATGACACTGCATGGGTGGGTGTGCATGGGTGGGTGCAGACCACTGGCCTTTATTCCACACGCCCTTACCCTCACTATTGGGAATGCATGCCGTGCTTGTAAATGCGATTTTCCGCATTTGACTGCGTGTACTCTTCAAGAGAATAACTACAGGGTCATGTTGTGAGATTTGTCATTGGATCACTGTCCCAGACAGATGCTCAAATGCGTCAGTGTTAATGGAACTTTCTTTATGAACGCAGTGGGCACTTGCTCTTTGAAGGAATGGCATCATATGGGTATCATTGATTTGGTGATTCACCAAAGTCTGTGTGCTCCTTGTATGTTCTGTGTACGTGCTAGGCCGTTGACGGGTTCCTGGAAGGCATGCACCAGATGCCGCGTGATCGCGAGCTCATTGGCCACTTCAGGGATGGCCATCTTGCAGTCCTGCGCGCGCTTGCAGACCTGCGTGCATTCGGTCAGCAGTGGACGATGAAGAACACAACACGGTCAGCGAGCCATAGAGGCTTAGTCAATGAATTCTTGTTTTAATGACTCACTCAGAATGGTATTCCGACGAGATGGTTGTGGTTTCATGAGTTTACGTATGTTGCGTGTTTTGTGCAATACACTTGTGTATCCTCTGTTTCTGTATCAATGCATACGCTACACTCTGGTTGACTTCTTCATGCGCACGACTCGTATATGAGAAGCTGTTTGTCCGCTGCACATGTACCTTCAAGTCCCACGCACTGAGCGATCATCAGACACAGCGTTGACCTGGCTCTGTAGCCTGGTGCATGGAGCACTCTTCGTCTCTACTCAAGCTACTCTGATTGGCCCGGATTCCTGAGCTGTTGGGTTTCCAATGTACAGCTGTGTGCTGGGGCCAGACTCTATACGTGACTTTGTGTACGTGTTTTGCTGCCCCACTTGTGTTTTATATAATTATATCCAGAATTTGGCACGAAGCACGAGATGAAATCAGGTATTCAGTTGAATCAGTCACCGTGCTCATCCGCAGCCAGCTACTGATTCCATCTGAACTCGATATGTTCGTGGCAAAGGTTAGTACTGTCAATATACAAAATCTCGACAGCTATTTAACTTCGGCGCCTGCCCAAAACGCCTAAATTAAAACGCTGATGATTTGTTTCACATCGGCTTTGGTGGAACTGACCTTACCCCATGCCGAAAATAAAACGCTGTCGAAATGTCGAAAAATCGTGGAATGCCGAAATTTTGCAGCGCCGAAATTTGCATATTTACAGTTGGCTATTTTCTTCAGCATTGCGTAGAGGGTCTGCCTGTGGAGAGAATGCTTGGAGCGATCACTATTGTTTGCCACTGCCCTGGAGTCTGTGTGTTTTGTTGTGTGTGTACCGGTCATGCTGCACATGATTGTGTGCTTGCTTGTCTTCCTATATGCCTGTATGCGCATGCACGTGTTTGTGTGAGCACTTTGGCTGCGGTTTTTTGCAATGTTGCTTTTCAACCTGTTCCTCTTGTATGTCCCCTTCACCAGAATATTGACAATGGCAACTACCCAGCTATTGTGTTTGCAATCCAGTACATCAAGACATTTTTCGTCGACAACAAGGGAGAAAACCCATTGACTGAGGTAAGTGATAGTTATCCAACGCTGACTGAAGTTCATTCAAGCCAACAAAGCTGGACAGGTCTCAGTATAACGTTACAGTGTGATTAGATCAGCCTGGAGCAAGTGAGATGCACACCCTAGGCACTCTCTGTAATGTATGTGTGTGTGTCTGTGTGTGTGTGTGTCTGTCTGTCTGTGTCGGTGTGTCTGTGCGTGTGTACGTGTGGTGTGTACGTGTGTACGTGTATGTGTTTGTCCTTCTCAAGAGTGAAGTTGGTCACATGACAGATGCCCTGATACAGGTGGCAAACCGTCAGTCGACCGAAGGCAGGTAGGGAGGCCTGTCATTCTTCTGTGGATTTCCTAATTCTTGTCATTTTAGTAGCACTCTTTTGTTGTGAGCTCATTTCCTCACAACAGTTGAGTATACTTACCAGTAATGTAGGTTTCCGCCTCAGCTGCTCAACTGATGCATTTAAATAGTATCCGTGTGGTGGTGATGCTGTGTAGTTCCTGGGGATGGTTTTGCTTGAGCAAGCGCTCTCGTTTCTGTTATGCTTATTGGCACAGCCAGCAGTACAGATCTGCCCAGAGTGTGCACTTGCCGGTTGGAGATGCGAGGTTGACCATGGGCAATGCAGTGCTGTGCGTGCGTGTGCTGTCAGATGCATCTCATCTTGCAGGGGCGTTGTACACGCTACGGTCGCTATGGTATTGACCGTACCACTCTTTGTTCCAGGTGCCCCATGAATCAATAAAAAGCGTTGATTTGCGTTTGAAATTTCGAAATTTTTCAGAAGAGCCAACTTGACCCCACGAGTAAATTTGTACTTTAGGTGACTGACTGCAGCACCCTAAATACCTTCTGATGCCCCTGTCTCGTTACTAGTTGTGACGGACGTCTATGTGGACATGCACATTCTTGAGAAATCTGTACTCTTGATACAGCTTTGCTCACATGGCTCCTCTATTAGTCTATACTTGACCGATTTGCGGCTTTTCTGTTGATTGTTGACATGTGCCATGTTGCAGCATGCCCCAGGTTGTCTCTCACATCCGTTCGCTTCTAACAGTTCTGCCGGCACCACCAGCCATGGCCGGCGGCGGCAATGTAGTGGACAGTGACGACGGCATGTCGGGAAGTCTGACTGTGCCGGGCGAACAGGTGATCCTGGACAAGCCGTCGAGCGTTGCCAGCGGCTCTGGTCTGGACACCTCCGATCCTGGCCTGCACAAGAACGAAGACCCGCACGGCATGTCCGACAAGGTGGAATACTTGCTGACTGAGTGGGTTCGCCTGCACCACCAGGTGAACTACCCTATCAAGGATCTGGACCGGATGCACGAAGCATACCTCACTCGGGTAAGAACCATTTACACTCTGCTACTGACATTTGATCTCCGTCGAACTAATGATTTTCTTTTATTGTGTCTTTATTACTTACTTAATTGTCTGCAAACTCCCACGCATGCAGCCACTTACACGTTTAGGAAACTTCACTTCTCAAACTCCAAAAAAACGGTCTCTTCAAATACCCTTATGATGGGCCAGGCCCGAAAATTTGGTGTAGTGTAAATTTGAATTAGAATCGCAGTGAAGAGACCGTTTTTTTGGAGTTTGGAGTTGAGAATTGAAGTTTCCTAAATGTTTATTACTTACATGCAAGTTGGTGTTGCATGTCGGTTTCAATTTTCCGGAAATCATTCTAATGAGATGGCAAAGGATATAATTATTATCCTAGCCAGTGATGTAGTTGTGCTTGGTTAATGAACATCTTGCTCCGTTTGTTGCATCGTGTTTGATCGGTTTCTTGCTTGTGTGTGCGTGCGTGTGTGCGTGTGTGTGCGTGCGCGTGCGTGTGTGTGCGTGTGTGTGTGTGCGTGTGTGCGCGCGTGTGTGTGTGTGTGTGTGTGTGCGTGTGCGCGCGCGCGCGTGTGTGTGTGTAACGATTGCAGCTGCGCACTGCCAACATGCTGAAGAATGATGACACGATCACACGCTTCTTCCGCATCAGCACCGAGCTGTGCGTTGAACTGTGCTACCGAAACCTGCAAGGTGACGCTGGAGTAAGTATATCAGCAAAATGGTAAAGCAAAGACTAGCCCAATGGTGATGTAGAGAAATCCTCAAAGACCCAGAAGACATTAGGCGAGAACGGTGTAGCTCCACTGTACTGTGTTGTATTCAGTTACCGGTACATGTACTATGGGCATGTACATGTACATGTAGCTTAGTGCTAGTTCTGATAGACTCCATCAATGCTGTGTTCATTGTTATAACTATCCTTCCTCGTCACCGCCGAAATAACGTCAACGGAGCCAGCGCAAAGATAACGAGTCTCCCCAGTACTATATACCGCCCGATATGCACCTCGTATTAAAGGTTTTCGCGATTTCCCCCTACCAGCTAATTTACGATGGCAAATGTTTGCGGAGCATTGAGTCAACACACATACACTGACAGTTGAAGTTGGATTCCAGGCTGGCCTAATACTCTTGCCATGCTCATCTTACCAGAATATCCAATACTAATAATCACAAACACAAGGCAGCTTAGGGGTCGTCCGCAATTATCGAAAGTTTTTTCCAATCCGTAGTAGCTTCAAATTTTTCCTCACCCACCCACCCACCCCCCCAGTCCGTAATAAAATATTATTGATGGACACACAACGCAACACATATGGAACAAACTCAATCAGTGCTGGTCCATCCTTGTTCGTCGTCTTGGACAACTGCCACAAGCAATTTATTGTTCTGTAATAATCAGAGTCACCAGCGGTTTTGAAAAAGGGCTGCTTCTTCACCGCCTTTCCAAACAACGTCGCCTGTCTGGACATAGTCAATAACAGTCGTCAGCGCCAGCGCTAGACGGAAGGACTTCAAAGGAGTGCATGGAAGACGGTACTCTGGACGAAGGAGACAGTGAAACTCAAAAAATAGAAGGTGTCGACTCGCCGTCGAATGCGCCGAACTTTATGATCCCCGGCCCAGGAGCAGCCAAGGAAGCGCGCGCGGGGGCACAGAAACTGCCAGAACTACAAAAATATTTGTAGTAGACAGTTCGCGCGCAGCCGCGCGTGGAAAACAGGGGCTACACGTAGACGTACACGTGGCACGCGCACGTGGCACGCGCACGTGTCATTTCGGAAGTTTTTCAATCCGTAACTGGCCTTGACCCACCCACCCACTTTCGAAGCTACTACGGATTGGAAAAAACTTTCGATAATTGCGGACGACCCCTTACAGTATACATGTACTGTTTGTGGCTGTAGCTGTTTTCCTGTAGTAAACCAGTACTGATAATTCACTGTCTGCTGTGTGTGTGCTGTTTGTGTGGTGTGCGGTGTGCAGCAAGCAAGCTTGCTGTCTCGCGCCAAGTGTTACCACACAATGGATGCATTTGTCAAGCTGGCGATAGTCTTCGTGAGGCATGCTGGAGACGCAGCCAACATTTCCGGCCGCATGGGTCTTCTATCGAAGGTACAAAGACTAATCCTGCATATCTCCTTGTTTTTTTTGTGTGCGTGCGTGCGTGCATGAACCTGTGGTAGAAACTATCCGTGCTATGCACCCTGGTGTACTGTGATTGTCATGCATTGGTCACTGTGTGCTAGGTTGCCTGCTACGGTGATACGATCTGCTGCTTCATGGTGCTTTCTTTGCACTGGCTTAAATGGCATGCTAGCTGTGCCTAGTAGGTGTACCGTGTCTCTGCACCTTGCCCGGAATGTATCCACGCTTGTGTGCATCCAGCCCACCTCGTACATGTATGTGTTTATGTTGACACTCTGTGCACATGTGCGTGTGCGTGCGTGTGTGTGTGCGTGTGCGTGTGCGTGTGTGTGTGTGTGTGTGTGTGTGTGTGTGTGTGTGTGTGTGTAATCCCAGCACAAGTTGCTATGTCTAACATGGCTGTTCGCTATCATCGCTTCCGCGATGGGCATGTCTGAGGTCTGAGGTGTGTGTGTGTGTGTGTGTGTGTGTGTGTGTGTGTGTGTGTGTGTGTGTGTGTGTGTGTGCGTGTGTGTGTGTGTGTGCGCGCGCGCGCGTGTGTGCGCGCACGTGCGTGTGTTTGTGCATGCATGCATGCATGTGCCCATGTTCTGTTGTATTTAGATTCTGCAGACGGTTGCGTTTGTCCTGCTGAAAGACCATGACACTCGCTCTACTGAGTTTCACCAGCTGCCTTACCATCGCTTCTACAGCATGCTGCTCCTGGAACTCAGTATGAGCGGCTTGTTAATGGAGAACATTTCGTTTGCCGTAATGCAGACGTTCTGGTAAGCAACTGGGACTGATCACCTGTGTCTGCTGTGTGCTTCCTCTCGTGTCTGGTGATGTCCTGCTTCCGATTTGACACCTCTTTCCTTTCCCAGCACACTAGAGTGACGATTATACATACTGTGCAGGGCCATCTTCACAGGGTTCGGACAGGCCATGTCATGTAGTCCCCCTCAGGCCCTGTGAACTGATGTCATTTTTGAAGAAGACTTGGAATGCTCTCACACAATCATACTTCACTGCCCAAACCGGTCTCTCGGCTACAATTCAAATACTATAGTTCTAAACTTGGAATGTTAAAATAGCAGGTTCAATCATGCCGTATTTGGTCCCGCTGTGATAGTGTGGTCTTGCCGTCTTTCCATGGCTGACATCGTAATGGCATGGTACAGTGGGGTAGAGATGAACTCACACTCGCACAGGTGCCATGCGCTTCGTCGCACTCCGTGCTTGTGTTTAGTCGTAGCTAATTCTGTGTGTGTGTGTGTGTGTGTGTGTGTGTGTGTGTGTGTGTGTGTGTGTGTGTGTGTGTGTGTGTGTGTGTGTGTGTGTGTGTGTGTGTGTGTGTGTGTGTGTGTGTGTGTGTGTGTGTGTGTGTGTGTGTGTGTGTGTGTGTGTGTGTGTGTGTGTGTGTGTGTGTGTGTGTGTGTGTGTGTGTGTGTGTGTGTGTGTGTGTGTGTGTGTGTGTGTGTGTGTGTGTGTGTGTGTGTGTGTGTGTGTGTGTGTGTGTGTGTGTGTGTGTGTGTGTGTGTGTGTGTGTGTGTGTGTGTGTGTGTGTGTGTGTGTGTGTGTGTGTGTGTGTGTGTGTGTGTGTGTGTGTGTGTGTGTGTGTGTGTGTGTGTGTGTGTGTACATTGCCACTGCTGCCGCTGATCATCTGCTGTTGTGCTGCAGTGTTGTGTTCCACCATATTCGGCCACAGCGTGTACCAGGCTTCGCCTATGGCTGGCTGGAACTGATTAGTCATCGTGTGATGTTGACCAAACTACTTGGCGCACAGAATCAAAAGGTAAGCTTTAAAGGCTTCCAGGTATAAGCCTTTTGCGCGTTGTACAGATGCACGAAATCCCGTAGAATCCTGTAGAACCTAATGGGTGTTGAATGTGCAGGACCCTATTGTGTTTTCTGCTATTTCCACTAAGGGAGCATCTCATAAGTTCGCATTTTTTTTCTAAACGTAACGCATTTCGAAACGGGGGTAGGGGGTTAACGGCCTTTTCGAATAGAAAAATGACAGTTCGCACATTTTCTGGATTTGTACATACTGTGCATGCAGTGCATGTGCTAGATCGCTTCAGCAAATGAGCGTGTTTAGGTGTAGATCTATGTGGCTGTGTTTGGAGATCAGCCTTGCATACATGTACATACAGGCTACTCAGAGGTGTCAAGTGTCACATCAGCATCATCAAACTGTGTACCTGGCCAGCTTTTACAGTACACAGTCCTTGTGGAGGAACTCTGTTGATGTGCGTGTACATGTCATTCATTGTTCTTGTGCTCAGTAAATGCAGTACTGTATGCCATTCACTTTGACCATGTTGACATTCATGTGCATACCATGGGCATACAAGTCATGTGCATGGACCACACGGAAAATGTGCGATAAAAATTTCAAATAGAGGGGGGAGGTAGGGGGGTAAAGTCTATTCGAAATGCGTTACGTTTACAAAAAAAGTGCGAACTTATGAGAAGCTCCCTAAGAAATGGGCCCTGAAGGCATTTCAAACGAAAACCTTTTCTGACAAAGATCTAGCTAGTCATTAGTTCTAACCAAAGTGAAGAAACTGGAATAGGGATTGTTTGCCATTAATTATGAGGCTAAAATTAGTCAAATGCGCATGCATAGCACACAATGATCACCCAATCGGTTCTGTACACACCTACGCCCTAGTACTGAACTTCGTACATCTGTACAACGCGCAAAAGGCTTATACCAATCCTGCATACCCCTATGTTTGTGTGTGTGTGTGTGTGTGTGCGTGCGTGCGCGCGCGCGTGGTGGCGGTGGCGGTGTGTGTGTTAGTGTTAGTGTGTGTGTGTGTGTGTGTGTGTGTGTGTGTGTGTGTGTGTGTGTGTGTGTGTGTGTGTGTGTGTGTGTGTGTGTCATGTATGTGTATGTATGTGTGTGTCTGTGTGTCTATGTTTGTTTGTGTGAATTTACTAAACCTTGTGGCTGAAACTGTTCGTGCTGTGTACCCTGGCGTAATGTGAGTGACATGCATTGGTCACGGTGTGCTGGGCTGGCTGCTACCGTGATATGGTGCCATGTCGCGTGGAGCCTGAAGCACTTGAAGCATAAGTGCACATTGTGACCCGATTCCGTGTTGGCCTTGGCTTGCTAGCTGGCACGCAGCACCTGAAAGAACGCTGCCCAGGTCCAGGCCACTCCGTCGCCACAGCTAATGCATGGAAGAAAATGGCAGCCATCACGACCCTTCTCTTTAGGCTAGCTTACCGCTACTGCATATCCATGTCAATGATCAGTGACTCTCCGGCTCTAAGTTCTCCTTCTCTTATTTATTCATGTTCCTTCGACCTAGCTTGATCCTCGCGAAGTGCCAAGACTCGACCGCAAGGTACCAGAAACCTACATGCACTTGATTCTAAGTTGATTGGAAACGATCCACCTGACGCCACACCAAGTTCATGCATATATCAAGCGTGTAACGAGCTCCAGTGTGGGGAGCAAACCCTTTCCTACGTGTAACGTGTAAATTTGCAATTTGCCAGTGAATTCGCCGCCATTTTGATAGATGGCCGCTGCTGGACAACCGTGGATGGTCAGCCTTTTGATGATCATTAATTACAAGGAGCTTCACTGATATATTATAATTTCATGAAGATAAACCATTGTGGAGGCATGTCCTGAATTTCCTATGGTGTGAGTGATTATTTATGATTGGTGTGTGTGTGTGCGTGCGTGCGTGCGTGTGTGTGTGCGCGCGTAAAGTCCCGACCTGCTCTAATCAACAGATTGAAATAAAAATAATAATAAAATTCAGAAGTTTGAAAGGAGTTGTCTCTTTCCCGTGGTACTCAAGTCTTGGGTTGTGTTCTTTTCTTCTACTTGACAGGGCTGGCCACTATTCCAGCAGCTGCTGCTGGACATGATGAAGTTCATGGCACCATTTCTGCGCAACGCAGAGCTACCCAAGCCTCTTCAGCAGCTGTACAAGGTGAGGCAAGGTTACCTGGTCAACTGGCTGCCGCATGTGTTCTCAATGATGCTCCTAAATACGCAAGTGCTGTGAACTCGCTTGCTAGTTCTGTATCCGTTGTGTGTGAGATGCGGATAAGCACGTATACCGTATAATGTTGTGAGATGTACCATTGATGTGCACTGATACTACTCATTGCGGTGTGTCTGAGCCAGCAGCACAATGCTAACTCCAGATCAATGGGTACACCTGGATGATAAGTCTGCAATATACATCGTGACCACAATAATAGAAAAGCTGACAGGATCGCTTTTCGAAATATCATTTACCTATTACGCTGTCGCGTGACATTGAGTAGTAATATATCCATTCAAACTCGCCCAAAGGTTGCCCGGTAGAGCGAATTGCCTGTAACTTCGGTGTCCGGATAACCGAGGTATGAGTGACATGTACATTGCATTTTTGCTTGGTTTTTGTCTGTGCTGGTATGCTATGCTCCTCTTTGAACCGTTGCTTCTCTGCTTGTGTCGTCACTAGGGTCTGCTCCGAGTTCTGCTTGTACTGCTACATGATTTCCCGGAGTTTCTCTGTGACTACCACTTCGTTTTCTGTGACGTGGTGCCACCCAACTGCATCCAAATGCGAAACCTCATACTGAGCGCTTTCCCACGCAACATGCGTCTGCCTGACCCGTTCACGCCGAACTTGAAGGTCAGCCGTTCTGGCGCTGTGCTTTTAAAACCTGTTGTTTCTTGCCAAGCCGATGTGGGCTTACGGGCAAGTAGTCCATCGTGTATGCTTGTATGGTGACTTACATTGCATATTGAATCGTGGTGCTTTGTGGCATACCGTATATTTACCAGTTATGAGTCGATCCTGATTATAAGTGCCCCCGTATTTGGGGCCTCGATTTCCCGGTTAAATGGCGATTAAAACCCCAATACGGTACTGCATATGCATCTCCCCCCTCCTGTCACATTCCCTTTTTTCTTTCATGGAAGTATGAAATAGGTGGACTGGCGTAAGGTGTGTTCTGCAACAGTACAGTACAGTGTCGTGTGTGAAGTGTGTGTGTTCTAATTCATGCCATGATGTGTCTGTGCGTGGTCTCTCCCGGTGTAGGTCGATCAGCTGGCCGACATTACACAGTTGCCACGCCTGCTCACCAACTTCACTGCTGCTCTCCACCCGCCGGCATTGAAAGCAGTAAGTTTATGTTTAATATACAGTAAAACCTGCCAAGGCGACCACTCGGATAAGGCGACCACCTGCCCCAGAGGACCACTGTAACCAGGACCAAGGGATGCTATTTCCAGTCAAACGACCCTGGATAAGGAGACCACCTGGTAACAGAGACCGCATTTTGAAGGTCCCTTGAGCGGTCACCGTCTTAGCCAGGTCTCACTGTATAGTATCGTCAATCTGTGCAAACAACTGTAGATACAGTGTAATGTGCTGTCCCGCAATCCTCACAGCAAGAGTGCCTAGTCAACATCTAGTTTCGTGCAGCTTTCCCCTATTGCCGTATTTGTTTTATTGTGTACTTGTCAATCATGGTCCCGATGGGGGATTGTTGGTAGATGGCAGGCTTTAGAATTTGGGTATGCTGGCCCTGGCTTGTATGAATTCACGTTTCAAATTCTCTGTTTCGATCGATATACAATGTCATGTCTCTTCAGTCCATCTGTACCATTTCTTTCCGCCTCTCTCTCTCTCTCTCTCTCTCTCTCTCTTCTCTTCTCTCTCTCTTCTCTACTGTGTTTACTCCTTCGCTCACTATCACTCTCACTGCAGGGCTTGGAAACATACTTGAAGACAAGCTCTCCGAGCAACTTCAATAACGAGCTTGTCAATATTTTACAGGTCAGTGTGATAACTACCGTGTGCCTGTAGTGCGGTGTTGTGAGAGGGTTATGTTGACAGTGTGCTGTAAGCAGACTACACCACATGGTTGGGGAAATGGGAACGAACTTCCAACAAAAGTGTGAAGTCTGTCTTGTCTGCTTCCCATGTAGGTCTAACTAGAGTTTTTTTTTTTTTTATCTCCACGCGGTTTGCTAGCTGGCAACAGCACCGCGTGTCTGTGTGGCACCGGCTACACCCCAGCCCATGTGGCTTACTCCACCGCGTTGTGGCTTTCACAGCTTTGTTTGTTGATGTACTAAAATACTTCCCAGTATTTCCTGTTTTGAGAAGCATAAGAAATTGGCCTATTCGAAACAAATGCATTGTATGCGACATTGGTACCGTGTTTAGTGCCATGTACCTGTATGCTCGTGTGTATGCTTGCAGAATTGCAGTTGTGTCAATGAACATGACCCGCCTTTTCCGGTGTGTGCGTTGTGTGTAGAATTATGCCGTTAACCAGACACTGCCTCCTGCTTTGTGTGTGTTTGTGACCTGCAGCAACCACTGCCTGATGAAATCGGCATGCGCTACAATGTGCCTCTGCTGAATGCTGTAGTCCTCTTCATTGGCACTCAAGCTGTGTCTGGAATCTTGGCCAAGGGCAGTCCGGTTACCACATCGACCGTGTCTAACTGTCCGCATATGACTATATTCCAGCACCTTATAACTCACCTGGACACGGAAGGTAGGGCTGCTGAGATCATGGCCCTTGGCTTTCTTTCTACTTCTGGTGGAGATGGTGACTTATACTCGCTAGTTAGCATGCAAGTTGATGTGCCTGAGTTTTCATGTACCGTAAAGTACCGCAAGAGCGCTCCACCAAATCGTCCTTTCATGGTCGTGTTGTGGAGGCGGTGTCCTGTCTGTACTTTTAAGTAGGTTGTACGGCACATACTGTGTACACGCATTGCATGTTGTGCAGGCCATCCGTACTCAGCTGACCATCGAGCATATGCTGCAAGCTCCACATAAAAACATGCGTGGGTGGGTGGGTGGGTGGGTGGGTGAGAGAATTGGTTGGTCAGTTGGTTTCATTTTACTTCGGATGCTCCGTACTGTACTACCGGTAGTAGTGCTACAAGCTCAGATGCACAATACTCATACAGTGTCTATTCACTGTGCCATGTGCTGACACTCTGTGTGTGTGTTTAAAAAAATGGAAAATGAAAAATAGGGATTCACTGGCCAGAAAAAGCCACTTCAATCAGCTGTGTGGTGGATACCAGGCTAGAAAATAGTGGCGGTCAATTCATCAGCCTTGCAAGCTGTTGAATGGTGTAATCCCAGCACAAGTTGCTATGTCTAACATAGCTGTTCGCTATCATCGCTTCCGCGATGGGCATGTCTGAGGTGTGTGTGTGTGTGTTTGTGTGTGTGTGTGTGTGTGTGTGTTTGTGTGTGTGTGTGTGTGTGTGTGTTTGGTTTGCTGCGACCGTCGATGTGTGCGCCGTCTGTCTAGGACGCTATCTGTTTTTGAACAGTGTTGCCAACCAGCTGCGGTATCCAAACTGCCACACACACTACTTCAGCTGTGTTCTGTTGCACCTGTTCCACGAGGCAAGCTGTGAGGCTGTGCAGGAACAAATCACGCGGTGAGTGGATGAAACCTCAGGGCTGAATGATTCTTCTGCAATGTCCTCTCTCTATCTATCTAGTAATACTCATTATAATACTTCAGTAGTCTCTATCTCTCTTTCTCTCTTTCTCTTCTTCTTCTTCTTTCTCTTTCTCTGTCTCTTTCCCTCTGTGTGTGTGTGTGTGTGTCTCTCTCTCTCTCTCTCTCTCTCTCTCTCTCTCTCTCTCTCTCTCTCTCTCTCTCTCTCTCTCTCTCTCCACGGAAGCTGAAAGGCGGTTCTTGACCTGCCCTGTACACGAACCTGTGCATTCAAACGAGAGAGCTTGGAAGCTCAGGGCCCTGCGCTATGCTTTGTTGCCTAGCTCATCGTGCATGTTGGTAGAACTGATGGAAATGCTTTTTCCTTTGATTAGCTACATCATTGTATTGCAAAAACGTTTTAATGAGATACTGAAGTAACGTCTTCTGCATAGCTATGGAACCGGCGCTGACTCTGCCGATCACGGGCGTTCTGGAGTCGACGGGATGTCTGTCCTGACGTTTCCTGGGACCGGCGCTGACTCTGCCGATCACGGGCGTTCTTCTTCTTCTTCTTCTTATTATACTGACGGCAACTAACATCCATTCTGATTGTATTTACTCGTCTCCCTACTTCGTATTTCTTTCCATACAGCAGGGAGTCGTTTACATAATAATTATGACTCCCTGCTATACATCTACATGACTGTATATACGTTATAATTATTATGCTATCGGCCTACATGCGATTCCCGGGCTGATCGACAGGCGGCCCAGCCAGCCTGCTAGTGGGATCTCGGCCTCGCACACAAATCCACACAAAATGTTACTGCACTGAATGCATTCCCCCGATACACTTCGCATATACAGTCAACTTCGCTAATAACGACTGCGGATATAACGACAATTCGCGAATAACGACCGAATTTCCATGCCCAGAGCAAAGTCCCATCTAACTGTATACATTTAACTTCGGATATAACGACTATCTGAATAACGACAATTCGCGTATAGCGACATGCTTTTAGTGCCCCGTGGTCATATTCACTGCTTGAATAACGACTTTCTGGGCTTTTGACAGCTATTTCAAGTACCTGTCAGTCAAGTACATGTACCTGTCATGCAGAAGTACCAGAACCTATGGTGCACTGCACTGGTGATGGATATTAATTTTATTGCACACATGCCAGAAAATGCAGCCAAGGGGGGGGGGGCTTTTCTTCCTTTTTTTATGTTGGCTTCAAAATTGTTGGATTTACCAGCACACCTATAATTATGTATACAATGTACATGTAGTTGTACATGATTGTACAGTAATCATCATACATGTACATATCTCTAGCCCTGTAGATGGCTCAAAAAGGCATATTTTTCAATTGATTTCCCTTGCACATTGAATTTTTAGTTCCTTTCAACTGCAATATGAAAATAAAGTACACATTGACATAGAGCAAGAAAAGAGCTTGATTTTGATATGCATATCATACTATACAAAATATGGGTTCCCATACATTCAAATGGGACTTCGGTTATAAGGACACTTCGCGAATAAGGACACTTTTCTGATGCCCCGCCGAATGTCGTTATTGGCGAAGTTGACTGTATACTCATTCTCTTGTTGGCACCGTACCCTTGATGGTACGGGACAGGTACGGGATAGCGCCAGGCATTTCGATGGCACAAACAAACAAAAATATCGGGGCCAGCTGTCTTTTCTAGTACGGTACAGTACGGGACAGATACGGGATAGCGCCAGGCGTGACACAAACAAACAAACAAACAAACAAACAAATAAACAAACAAACAAACAAACACCAAATTAAAGCTGTGTGGACCCTGGCTAGCGCCAGACGTTACTGAAGTAACGTCTTCTGCATAGCTACGGGAATAAAATAAAATCTATCAAGCCACCCATTCATCCACCCATCTATATTTTTTCTCTTGTCTTTTTTTGTTCTGCATGCAGTGTTCTGTTGGAAAGATTGATTGTGAACCGACCACATCCCTGGGGCCTGCTGATCACATTCATAGAGCTCATCAAGAATCCCCAGTACTCATTCTGGAACCATCAGTTTGTACACTGTGCGCCGGAGATCGCTAAGTAAGTACCTGTGCTGCCGCCGCTGCTGCCGCCACGCGATCAGCTGAAGTCAAGAAAAGAGTCTCGTGTGGCTTCTCTCTTCGCTGGCTGTGTGGTGGAACATGCACAGTAGCCAATGTTGACTGGTTCGGGACTAGCCCACCCTCCCATGTTTGCTGCTCTGTGTTGATAGGGAATACTTGTGAAATTTATCCTGCTGGCACATATGCACTTGTTTTACTGTCTGGCTCCCTCACTCATCTCTGCATGTGCATGCCTGAACAGTGTTCCAGCCAGGTCAATATAGTAGGGGGCGGGCATGGGAAAAAGTTACCTCATGACCCATTTTTTCCATTGTCCAAAATTGTCTTGCCATGCAAAATGTAACATACAACTTACAAGGTGAACCCCGACTTCACCCCTCACAAATGTGCCTTTATGAACCCTCTAGTAGTGACTATCGACTGTATTTTCGTTGAATGGCGTGAAAAAAACACAAAAATCGGAAAATGAGTAGGGGGGGCGGCACTATTTCACAGAGGGGTGCGCAAAGGGAGTCGGGGGGCACTGCCCCCCCCCCCCTACCCCCCCTTTGGCTAGAACCCTGAATATACCAAGGACATTTTCTAGCTGGCCAGCCTGCGAATGTGTAAATGTTGCGTTGTAGCTACCAGTGCTCGGTGTATTGACACTAACCAATCTGTCCCATCTCGCCTTTTCTCCTTTTCATGCACGCGTGCTCACATGCACACACGCACACACACACACATGCACACACCTTTGACCTTTGACGCCCATCGCCGGAGGCGATGATAGCAATGCTACGGCAGAAGCCATAACAACTTGTGCTGGGATTGCACCATTCAACAGCTTGCAAGGCTGAAGAATTGACCGTCACTATTCAGCCTGGTCTACACCATACAGCTATTTTGAAGTGACTTTTTCTGGCCAGTGAATCCCTATTTTTGGTCTTTTCATTTTTTTTCCCGCACACACATCACACCACATACTCCGGCATGCACTGGCTGTTGGTAACCACCCAGGAGAATGAAAGAAAAGTCAGGAAGAGTCTGAGAAAGAGAAGAAAGACGTGTGTGACCATAATCGTCGGGAATCGAACCCGCAACCTATCGATTGGAAATCGCTGCACATACCACTGCACCATACGGGACACACCACACACACACACACACACACACACACACACACACACACACACACACACACACACACACACACACACACACACACACACACACACACACACACGCACGCACGCACACGCACACGCGCACACACGCACACACACACACTCTCGCTTCTGTACTCTATGACGTTGTATGTGCTGTGTTGTTTGTACAGGTTATTTGAATCGGTAGCACGAAGCTGTACTCAAACCAAGGCCAGGCCAGGCCAGGACCTTGGAGATGACTGATGAAGCCGGCAACAGCTGTGAAAAACAAGGCTTGAGATGTTCTTGCGTATGTCATCGTGTTACTGGCCGTGGAGTGGGGATCTCTACTCCTCATCAGAGTACAGCAGTGCTGCTACTTTGTGTTTGTCGTCTACCTCTCTCTCTCTCTTGTGTGCTACGCTACATGCTGCTGTGTATTTCTTTTTTTATCCCATGCCAAGGCAACTGTTCTTCCTTAGCCCGTCGTCGCTGTGTGAAATGCATGCTTCTGTATAGTGCCGGACCCCGTGCTGGACTGGTTGCTGCCATCAGTCAACCCCAGCCTGTTGTAGAATGTTTATGCGTCTAGTCCCGCCGCTGCCTGCCTGCCTGCCTGCCTGCCTGATGTGCTGTGCTGTGCTGTGCCGCTGTAGTGTGTATATATTATATTGAGATTGCTAGTTGCAGGCACAGCATCTGCCCATACTCTCTTGTTGTACAGCGTACTCTCTTGTTGTACAGAGTCCTCACCCCTCCTTTTTTTCTTCTTTTTTTATTATCGGTTCTTGCCCTTCACTTGCCTTTAGGACACACAAATAAAGTGACGAATACATGTAACATTAGGCGTGCGTTGCGCCGCAACTTTTACTTTACCATAACTTTCTTTGGGTCGACATGTCGGAGCCCACACATGGAATGATTTGATGCAACTAGCTATGAGGGAAGACCATGACATATACACATGTACTCTCCTTTTCGGGTGTTTTCCTTCTTCATGAAACGATCTATCCATAGCTGGTGCTGCTCATGTAAATGGAAGCTGTGTGCTTGCCTTGTTCATATTTGCTTGCACATGTAGGTGCTGGGTTTCATTCCGCTTTTTTCTGCTCTTTACCATTTTGACATTCTAGATCATGTTTTGCTGTCGATTTTTTTGCACTTGAGTTGTTGTACAGATACGTCAGCTAGCTCTCTTTGCTGTGCACAATCTTTGCGGACGCTGAACTAAACTGGCCCGACTGTGTGTGTGTGTGTGTGTATGCATGTGCATGCGTGATCGTCGGATCAGGGCGTATAGCCATTCATGATGTGGGGAGATCTCTCAGTGCTGCTGCCAAGGTTACGCCCTGGGCCCCTTGGCCTTGTAAAACCGGAAAGTGTAACGACCAAAAAGTTTAGCGTTTTTGTAATTTTGGCATGATCCGAAAGTTAAACGATGGGTACCTGGCCACCCATCTCTATGTGCATCTTTACACAGACATCTCAACCGGGTTCACGATAATGTTTCTTCAAATAACGAAAACAATTGGGCATTTAAACGTTAGACTTTGGGACTCGTTAGACTTTCCGGGGGGGGGGGGGGGGGGGGCTAGCCCTGCATGGATCATGAAGCAATGTGGGTACAAGCAGGGCATTGTATTTTACTTAGGGGTGAAACGATTACACTTTTTGACAAACGAATAACGTAAATCGTTATCAAGAGTCCATCAACTGTTTATGCACTCTTGTCGTTATCGATCGGTTATCGGTTATTTTCGAAAACTTCTTCCACAGATGAAAGCAGTATTAGAAGCTGAAGAATGCGTAAATTTAGAATTTTTAAATTGATCCTGTGGAGAAGAGAACTTTTTTTCTCGCACATCGGTCGATCTACTACTGTACATGTATGTGTATAAGGCCGAGTAAAAAAAATTACTAGATGATCGTCCTTTTTTTTGGAAAAATCGGGGAGGGCGGGAGGATTTTATTTTTATTTTTTTACTTTTTACCCTCTCATGCACACAGTGTACACAACAACATCAAGGTTTTTTTTCTCTTTTTTTCTTTTTTTTTCTTTTTTTCTTTTTCTTTCTTCAGCAGATCGATACTGACGTTGTGATATACTAGTAGTATGTGGTCCATATAGTAAAACTCACGATTTAAAAAATAAAATATTTCTTGGGGCGCTGACAAAAACTGGGGCGGACGGGGACGATCATCTAGCTTTTTTTTTTACTTGGCCTAAGTATAGATTATAGACCGGTTAGGAGGTCTATACAGGATATATAGACCGAGTAAAAGACCGAGGTCCCCCGAGGTCTTTTACGAGGTCTATATATCCTGTATAGACCAACTATGAGGTCTATAATCTATTTATCGTGTTCTCCACGCAATAGTTTCTCTTCATATACGACATATCCTTGTACAGGTAGACTCCCTCTAATTCGAATACGGTATAATTCGAACATTCCGTGTAATTCGAACTTTTTCGTCGTACCGATCTTCTGCAAGTCACTTCAAGTCAAAATCGAATGCATAATTCGAAGTACGAAAAGTGCGCCGGTTGGATAATTCGAACCCGGTCTTCGTACAGAAGAGCTGTTTACAGTACATTGGCTATGTCCTTTGAACGCTTATTTCGAAGTGAGATTGAGTTGCAATCCTTGTAATTCGAAGTTCATTCTTTTCTCCTTCTCTAGCCAAGAGTAGCTAAAAAATTGATGGATGGTCCGCTGCAGGATCGACTATAGCGTTCAAGAAACCCACCTTCTCTCGAAATTTGATTCAAGCCCGTGCGAGGCAAATTGCAATGGTTTGATTGAAGACGACTTCTTCCTGGTGGCTGACTCTCTTCGCGGATCTCGATGGCCTTTCTTACCGCGCCAGCTCGTGCGCGGAGATGTTGGCGCACAACAACACTATTGTCGTAAATATTGTCTATGCCTTTGCTCCACTTCCGTTCTTCAGAACGACGTGCTGCTGTCCAACGGCCTTTCATGACGCCGATTAGGCAGCGCAGTTCTTTTCCGTTGAAATTGTTTCAGGAAAGCTGCAGTGACTGACAACTTCTTCACTAGAAGATGTCAAAATGGTTTTGTGTCGATCCAGTGTTTTGATGATCCGTTGTACATGACCCGTACCTATGTTCCGTTGATGCTAATAAAAATGTGCAAAAAATATTCAGCAAGCGATTTCAAGCATTTTGACATACATATCAGTGCATGGGGCTGCATTTGGATAATTAGAAGTTCTGGATAATTCGAAGTCAGGGCCCGGCAATTTGAGGTTCGAATTAAAGGGAGTCTACCTGTAATTCTAGTATTATACTATAGCCTATACCGCATTGTACTGCATTGAAAGTCAAGATCATTGTTTAAACTAGGTTCAGCATCGGTAGCACAGTGGCTGGGTGGTAAGGAAGAGTGACTGAGATTCACAAGGTTGTGGGTTCAAATCCCATCTTGTGTATTTCTGCTTTCTTCAAAAATTTCTTTTTCTAAGTTGGAGAGAAAATTTCTAAGTCCAAGAAGTTCTAAGGAGTCAAATATAAGTAGTCAAATATATCGTGTATTTGACTAAGGGGTCGTCGCAAAAGTTTTCTGTCGTCCCTGAAACGAACATCGTTCATTTCGTACTTGGACCCCCTCCCCTCCCTCTGAAACGAACACAGCTTGCTATGCTGGACGACGAAAATCGCATGCATGTACATGTACATGTCATATGTACAGTGTCGGTCGACTTGCGATTTTGGCTCGCACCCCCTCCCCCCCAAATGAATCATGTTCGTTTCAGGGACGACAAAAAACTTTTGCGACGACCCCTAAGCAGTCAAATACGCGATATATTTGACCGCTTAGGTATCAGGGAAATTAGTGGGGTCAAATACTAAGAAGGCGATAATCATGTATACTGTATGCATAATCATGATACTAGTAATCGAAACTTTTCGAATATTTGTTAGCTTGTAACGATTTCTATTTTGAGTATTTGCAAGAGTTCATAACTCTTGGTATTCGGTATAATCGTTTCACCCCTAATTTGACTACTCCCTGGTACAAGTACTCCGCCACGTCTGTACTGTTATGTATGATTGTACCAGTACCGTCCCAGCTGTACAGATCACATGGTGTTGGTCAAGTCACGGACACACACTCACACACTCACCAGCAGGGAGCCCATTGACAATGTGTAGGGCTCCCTGCTCACCAGTACACAGAACACGGAAACGTCATACGATATAAATAATTATGAGAATCAGGTCATTTGTGATGACGGCCATACCAGTTATCTACAGTGCACAGCACTCGTCCTGAGTATATCCTACTTACATGTATATACAATGGGTTTAAAACAGCGGCTTGACTGTTGTATGTCAGTGAATGGATATGTACAAAGGGATCCACTCCTTCTATAGTATAATACACGCAACGAGCAGAACACACGATTGCGCGCGCTACACGGCGTTATTTCGCTGTGTCTGCTTTCGTCTTGGGGTTAGCAGCAGGGTGTGCGGACAGGCCCGCCATGGCGCGTTCCAGTTTGTGGTTGCGACTTTGCTCCATCGCTTTCGATCGCTTGATTGGCGCGAGCTCCGGTGCTGCTTTCACCACTGCATCTTCGTTGCTTTTTGCTGCCATTCCGCGGGCTTTCTCTAGGTCTTCGCCACGTTCTCTTTGGAGAATCTCGAGAAACTTATCAACCTCTTCCTCCTTGGCTTCGAAGAAAGTGTACGATAGTACAATTCTGTCCTCAAACGCCAGTCGAGGGTTCTCCATAATGTCTGGGTCGACGTAGAAGAAAACCGGCATGTCCACCTGATAGTCGGAATGAAAACACGGCAGATAATGCCAGCACACCCACATACCGACGTGCCCATACATGCACGCATGACGTCGCACGCACATGCATCCACACACATGCATACACACACACATGCATCCACACACATGCATCCACACACATGCATCCACACACATGCATCCACACACATGCATCCACACACATGCATCCACACACATGCATCCACACACATGCATCCACACACATGCATCCACACACATGCATCCACACACATGCATCCACACACATGCATCCACACACATGCATACACACACACATGCAAAATATACATTGGAAGATAGACACAGGAGTTACAGAGCGCATGCACCATGCTTCCGATTCACTTCAGCACTGGGTTCATGCCCTTACAACTAGGCAATCATCAGACAACTGAAACACATCGGAAGGTACATAAATATCTACCGCACACCGGAGAGGGAGTGACAGAGGGATGACTCATTATGATGGAGTGTGCATCAACGTTGCACGTTGCGAACAAAATGCAAAGAAAACAGAAAGCGCATTCTGCTGGAGTGCATGCAGCCATAAAGTGCACTCGTAACATTAGCAAGTAGCTCACCTCTTCCCCAGGGTTGAGACGTTGCTCCTCAAAGCAAAAGCACTGCAACAACACAGACACAGGGAATAGGATAATGTTGAACGGCGAGCACAAACCCTAACAGCTCTGTCCTCCCCAGCTACGAGAGAAAGGCTTAGAGGGATTGTGGCATAAGAATGCAGTGCGTGCTCAGGTTAATGAGACTGTGCACCAGCAAATAGCACTACCCGCACAGCGGGGTCAAGAGACACTAACGTACATTGTAGACTAACCATACGGTGCAAGAAAATCTGGCGATGCTGCTGCGTACGGCAGTAAACGCTTGAACGAGTACTCTGATTAATTCTGATTAGGATTATCTTTCAAACAGACTCCGAGCGAGTACTAGTACTCGAATATCCGATACTGTACCATGGTTTCAGCCCTATAGAACAGCACAGTGAAATTCTGCCTACCTGGATCTTGTTGAAGTAAAGTCCAGCCTCGAAAGGTAATACATTGTAGGTAGATATGCCAATGATGGGTTTGTCTGTCGGGTTCCGTGCACGATAGAATGCAAGTGCTGTTTCTCCGGGCACAATCTGATATGGACACATAGCATAGCGGAGAAAGAGAGAGGACATCAGATCCAGTTACAGAGCAAAACGTTGTTTGTACAGGCATGCAGGGCGAGCAAGATTGATACATGTAGATGAATAGAGAGAGTGGAGATAGAGAGAGAGTGTGTGCATGTGTGTGTGTGTGTGTGTGTGTGTGGTGGTGGTGGGGGGGGTGAGCGAGAGAGAGAGAGAGAGAGAGAGAGAGAGAGAGAGAGAGAGAGAGAGAGAGAGAGAGAGAGAGAGAGAGAGAGAGAGAGAGAGAGAGAGAGAGAGAGAGAGAGAGAGAGAGCATGCATATTATACGTGTGTTCTGAACACAGATACGTAATTTAGAATCTCATCAGCATCAGGTATCAACTGTAATTTTCCAGCACAATGCTTATGTGCTGGGACTGCTGGCACAGTCAGCAAGTGACACACAAGAACACTCCTCTCCATTATTCGCGCTTCACTCTCTACTGAGGCAATGCAGCACTTAAGACATGGACACATGGTGGACGTACCTTGATCTCAGACTGCAGGGGCTTGAAGTTCCACTTCATGGCGGCACCCTTGTCTGCAGTAAACCTGCGGCAACGAAAGAAGACACAGACACAGCCGCCTATGATCAGAGAGTCGGCCAACACACATTTTTCCAAGCTGGACAGACAAACAGACTCCAAGTCAATTAGAGTGAGAAATAAACTCGGATCCACAACATGAATTCAAAATTCCGTACAACACTTAAAAAAAAGTAGTTTCATCATCATAACTTGACATGAGGAAATTGGCTTGAAGGCAATACTGGTCAACACACAGCTGCACTGCATTTCACAATGCCAGTGATAAACAAAAGTTACAGAGGCTACACAACGTCACACACTGCTACATACCAACTACATGTAGTAGTCACACACACGCGCGCGCCCGCGCGCCCGCCCGCACACACACACACACACACACACACACACAAACACACACATACCACCTTCACACCTCACAGATGATGATGATGAACACGACCAGGAATGCGACAGTTGCAATTTTTGATGTCAGCATTGGTCACTGTATTTCACACCTATGTTTGCAAGCTTGAATGTGTGGATGTGTGTGTTCGTGTCGTGCCATCGCCCTAGGCCCTAGGCTTCCTTACTACATCGCAACATGTGCTGCTGAGTCCCATGCACCTCGCGCTGAAAGTCGCTCACCTATAGCATTATCCCATCCATGATTGACAACACCTTTCTGCAGTGCTTATCACCATTGCAGTTTCTAGCACTGCACCTCCCAAGTAACATATGTAGCACTCAGTAGTCCACCAGCTCTCTATATGTGTTCACTCCTCGATATGTCATCACCTGTTTACTTCGTGTCTATATGGCTTCACTGCGACTGTAACATATACTCCTAGGAACCCCAATCACGACCCACTACGTTGTCTGATGATTGCCTACGAAACTCGGAGTAACAACAGAGCAAAATTTTCACTATTGTGAACTCAGGTCGCAGGCTCCTGTTCGTGTGTCAAGCACTTTCGCAAGACAACGACAACTGCTTTGGGCTTTTCCCTGATGAAGACCCAAGGGCGAAAATTTGGAGAATAATTTAATTTCAATTGCAGTGGAAGACCTAGGTAGGTCTCCTGGTGATTGATTTTCAGCATGAAACTCGTGAGTAGAGACATTTTAAAATCACTTTTTGTTTCACCGGATTTTTGTTCGAAGACCTAGGCTGTGAATGTGTTGGAGAGATGCTTTGTGTAAGTGACAAATAAACATTGAGTGGTTCCAACTTTGGTCAAAGAGGGAAAGGAAGCATGGTACAGATTGTGCGCTACGTGTATACGCTACAGTAAGTAGGGCAAGTACTCACTCGATTGTTAGCGGCCGATTCTCCACCGGCGTCATCTTGGCTATCTTGGAGACATTGTGGCCACGCTGGACAACACCACCAATACCGGCTTTCTGCAGTACACACAGACATAGACACATACACACATATACACACACACACACATACACACACACACATACCTTGGACCTTGGACGCGCTGCCATATTCTGGCTATGCGGACCCCATGGGGGTTGAGCAGGTTCGGAACAGTAGGGGCGATGACGGGATAGGTCCTGTGGTCTACTGAAACGCCGACCGCAATTGCAAACGAAGCAGAAGGAGCTACGGTCTGTGTTGGTTGCTCTGGCCGAGCCACGGCTGCACTTGTGACGTTTCATGCCTTGGCGCGATAGCACACAGCGGTTGCAGCGGGCGCAGTGGAAGCTGCAGCGTTCGCAGGACATATTGTTTGTAACCGGTGACTCAGGCACACATACACACACACACACACACACACACACACACACACACACACACACACACACACACACACACACACACACACACCATTGACCATTGGACGCCCATCGCCAGAGGCGATGATAGCGATGCTACAGCAGAAGCCATAGCAACTTGTGCTGGGATTGCACCATTCAACAGCTTGCAAGGCTGAAGAATTGACCACCACTATTCAGCCTGGTCTACACCACACAGCTTTGAAGTGGCTTTTTTCTGGCCAGTGAATCCCTACTTTTTGGTCTTTTTTTCTTCTTTTTTCCCGCACACACATCACACCACATACTCCGGCATGCACTGGCTGTTGGTAACCACCCAGGAGAATGAAAGAAAAGTCAGGAAGAGTCTGAGAAAGAGAAGAAAGACGTGTGTGACCATAATCGTCGGGAATCGAACCCGCAACCTATCGATTGGAAATCGCTGCACATACCACTGCACCATATGGGACACACACACACACACACACACAGACCACCACCGGCACACAGGTCATCCAGAGGCAGAGGCGGAGGGTAAGACTTCCAAGCCTCTCACCGCCGTCTTCCCATCCAGAGGAAATCAAAGGCCAAGCAGATGGAGACAGTAACACGGGAGACAGACCTCACAACGCAGCAGTCTGCCTAGTACAATACACGATGTGCATGGAAAGGGTGCATGTACATGTACATATGTGCACATGCATAATATATAGACAGGGGTTGTGTGAGTGACTGGCAGAGCTGTGCAAAGGGAGAGTGAGTAGGTCCTGCAAGCTATCCCCCAGGACATGCACACCGCCACGAACACCTGCCTGGTCAGCATGAGGTGCATGCTGGACCGTGTGCAGCCGCCATGGACTGGAATGCACTGGAGATACTATAGAGGAAGGTGCTGACGATCAAGACAGATTGTGCTTGCCACAACTGCGGTGTTCAGGTAAAGTACAGTTTATCCCACTGTGCACTGCACTGTAGCTACATCTTAGTAAGTGCACAGCTAGGTTCATGCATGTCCGCATGCAAAATACTAGTATATAAAAAACCGAAAAAAGCCGAGATGCATTGGACGTGAAGATATGTACCGGTGCGGTAACAATGCTGACACGTGCACATGCATGTATGTACACCACACACTGTCTCACACACACATACGCATACACACACACATGTGCGCTCACACACTACTACTACTACTATGTACAGCTACCCTATCGGGCCACGCCGCTCCCAGAAGCGGGAGACAACGACAAGAAGAGAGAAGAGAAGAGAGAGAACACACACACACACACACACACACACACACACATCCGCGCACGTGCGCGTGCACACACACACACACACACACACACACAGAACAGTGGTTTAGGTACCTGACAGAAAGCTCGATACAAGGGCACTGCAAGGAAAGACAGCCCTGTGAAGACCACGGTGAGTGATACAAGATATATTGCGTAAATCTGTCGCTTCTCTTTGCCCTTGTTAGTGAATACGTATCTTACGAACACCCCTGGTTCACGAATGGCAGGTGACCCAGCAATCCTTCCTCCATATCTCGAAGGCTGACGAAAGGCTACTACAGAACGCTGTCTACAGAAGTTGGCAGCCAATTTCAAACAGGGTTGGCTGAATTTGAATAGCATGGTGGCAGCGATTCTTCTTCAGCTTGGTATTAATCACAACGTATCACCCATGATCACTAAATCTAACACTTCTGAGTTCATTCCCTGATGGTTCCAGCCATTCAGGAATACCTTCTATGTGGAGGGAGGCCTCAAGGGGCAACACTCAACAGATTGAAAATTGAAAAGGTTTGATGGATTCTTGGTCATGATTACGTCATTCAGCCAAAGACTTCGTCTTTTTCGATGCTTTTATTTCGTGTTCCACTCTATTTTTACGATTTTCTACAAAAAATATTATTTTATTTTCTACAAAATAATGTTTTTTGGCAAAATTTAATAATGAGTCCTTGAAAAAACGAGTCCTTTTATTACGACTGTAGACAAAATACGTGTATTTACTACTCCCTGATTGAAATCAGCTGATCAACAAACTGTACCTTCATCTTGCAGTGTGAATGAAAATCAGACGCTTATATTTCCTGCCAACCATTTCAAAAAGAGCTATTGCATTTACATGTAGTATGACCACAGATTTCTTCACGACGCAATGTTGAGCTTGACCCGCCAGCCCAGGCTTGCACTGGCACGGCTTCATCAAGTCTCCTGCTGTGTTTCTACCTCGGGAACAGGGGATCAGACATCTCCTACATCACCTGGCCCAAGAAAGCCTAGCAAACGTCGAACTACCCCAAGCTCGAAAGCAGCAGCAACACGTGCCAAATTCCCTCTTCCTAAGTGGACTCCACCGAAAGGTGCAGATACAGGCGTAGTGATTCGAAATGCTTTGACGAAAACATTGGTTCCTCTGCGTGCAGAGCCTTTCAAACCATTATCTTGGTAAGAGCTCCAGTTTGTCCCAGAACTGTATTGCATGTAGATTCGTGCATTCGTGTACTAGTAGTCACAGAGCATAGGCACTTCAATGCACCACGTGTTTTCAACTGTTTTGTTACTTTGTTTGAAGCCGCAGGTCGTGGATTTGCCATTGTTGCCTCAGGATTTCTGGGGAAATTGTCATTTGTTTGCGAAAAAGGGAATTCAGAACCTGTCACATGCAGCACACCATGGAACACACACAATGATAATTATGCAGTTGCTGTACCAGGTGTCTGGGGGGGGGGGGGGGGGCAGTCACTGAGGGACGCTGAGCTGTGTTAACGGACATGTCGCAGTTATAACTCGGAAGAGGTAGGGAGAGGTAGAACGTTGGATTGATGATTTGTTTGCCTGACACTCAGTGACTCTTTGATTCCATATAGGTACATGTGCGGACCAACAGTGTACGACTCAACCCACATCGGCCATGCACAGTAAGTAGCTAGTGACTGGGTGAATGCTTTCCCCTTCGGCTAATAATAATAGGCTAACAACATGTACACATAATGGCAGTAACTTCCCTTTATTCATGATGAATTCATGAATTCACAGCTGCTTGTTGCTAGGATGTACATAACCGTGGCATATATGTGCTAGCGCCAAGAGTATATAAGCTCCCAAGAGTATGCAACTCTGCATACGGGGTCTGGCGCGGCGCGCTGCCTGCATTACGTAGCCACAGCCTGTGGGTCATTGCGTCATTATTGATCTGCCACGGTTTCCTGCTTCCAAACCTGCTATACTCGGAGACTTGGAATGGTCATGTACGTTATGTGTCACGCACAGGCATTGCTTTTGAACTTACCGTAGGGCAGGGGAAATCGTCGAGGCTAAACCACAGAAAAACTCTAATCCAGGCAGCTGGTTCGTCTTTTCGCAACGTAATGAAGGCAGCGTTCCGCGCAGGGCACACATAGCTCGGAGACCAGGGTTGAACACTCTTGGGGTTATGTACTCTTGCTAGCACTATAGCACTGATTCCTATTCGCTGTGTAAGCAATACTCATGCACACACTCACACGTACACACTCACACGTACACACTCACATGTACACATTCACGTTCACACATACACACTCACACCCACACCTACGCACACTCGCATGTACACACACGCACACACACACACACATGTACTCTCACACATACACTCAACAATTACAATACAAGATGAAATGGCCGAACTCAGCCTGGCCCTGCATCTTTAGCTATGTTTTTCTTCTGCCTTCGTCATTGATCTCTGTCCTGGCACTTGTAACCAGGGAGTCGTAAAATACCGGTATTTTACGACTCCCTGCTTGTAAGCTTGTATACATGTTTGGAGGGTGCTTGTGTATGTGTACATACGGTAAGCATGTACCCAAAGGAAAGTAAGGGATTTTTGTATGGGATGTGTATGTGTAATTGTGTATGTGTGTGTCCATGTGTATGTGTATGTGTATGTGCCTCACTCAGCTGTTACATGAAGTTTGACATTATTCGAAAGATCCTGAAGAACTTCTTCAATGTGCGCGTGCGTCTGGTCGTGAACATCACCGACGTGGATGACAAGGTGATCCTGCGTAGTGAGCAGGTGAGTCCACACTTGAATACTACATGTACTTCAGTGATATTCATTAAACCAGTCAATTTTAGTTTAGTGCTGTCCAGTGGAATCTACAGTGCTGAATAATCTCGTACAGTGCTGACCAGTGGGATCTGCTGTAAGTCGACAAATTTTCGGCCCGTTCAAATTTCGGCCTCCCAGGGCTAAAACCCATTCCGGACGCATCAAATGTCCAGCCTATACTGCCGCCGCCTGTATACACTGTCACACTGAACCTTGCAAAACAAAATTTCGGCTGCCACAAATTTTCGGGCAAACATGACCAGCCCGAAAATAGCCGAAAATAAATATGCGCCAAATATTTGTTGACTTTACAGTACAGTGCTGACCAGAGGGAATCCCCACTCACCTGAGACCTGCGCCACACGTTTAATGGTGCACGTGTGAACAAAGCTGCTTTGCACAGCTGCAGCCGGTTGTCCCGGGCTGCTTGGCTTGGAGCAACCACGCTACAGTGCTGGCCAGTGGTGGGATGTCTAGTGGTGGGATGTCCCTGGCTATCGTTAGCCCTGTAGTCAGTGTGTGTATCTCGATACAGAGAATCATTTCCAGACAGAGCTCCTGGTCACATGACAATACAGTGTGTTGTCTGCATACTTACTCTATTTATGTGAGGAGTGGTGTGTCACCTGCATAGTGTAAGTCAGGTGACATCTTTGCACTAGAATCAATCATGTTGATCTATCTCTAATCTAAATATTTGCCGGGTTGGAAGGTGGGAATTAAAAAAAAAATCAATCATGTTGTGTAGTTGTCATGAGTCACCTCTATGGCGCGCCTAACCTGCAGGAATGGCAAGTGAAACTTAACCCCAGTGAGTTCCTTGCTGTGCAGTGCATGTATGTACAAGCGTGGATTTGCTTGCTCCATGCCTGATTTCGACTTGCATGCCATCTCTTCATGACATACACCCTCAGCTCGCTCTGAGTGTTGAAAGGGAATGAACAGGTGCTCCGCTCGACTGCCCGTTGCATGGCGTGTACACAGTTGCTGCCTGAGTGATTGCATACAGTGTAGTGTATTCCAGGCCCGAACTCTGACATCAGCATAGCTGTACGTGTCTTTTTTCCACATGTTGTCTACAGCTGGGAGTGCCGGTAGCAGAGCTGACTAGAAAGTATGAGACTGAGTTCCTGGACTCCTTAGATCGTCTCAAGGTAGGTTGTGATAGTGCTAGGAATCGTGCCAACGTCCCCGGCATGCGCATGTGTTAAACACGGGTATGTCCAGGTCTAGGCAGTATGGTTAGATAGACATGCTTGCTTGTGTGCGTGGGTGTGGGTGTGTGCATGCGTGCGTGTGCCTGTGCCTGTGCATGTGCATGCTACTGCATACTGTATGGATTTGCTTGTTTGTTCTGCTCTTAACCCACTCTCTTCTTCTTCTTCTTCTCTCTCTCTCTCTCTCTCTCTCTCTCTCTCTCTCTCTTTCTCTTTCTCTCTCTCTCTCTCTCTCTCTCTCTCTCTCTCTCTCTCTCTCTCTCTCTCTCTCTCTCTCTCTCTCTCTCTCTCTCTCTCTCTCTCTCTCTCTCTCTCTCTCTTCTCTTCTCTTCTCTTCTCCCTATATTCTACAGATTGAGCGTGCCACTGCTTACATTCGCGTGACAGATCACATTCCGGCCATAGCAGATTATATTCAGGTTCTTGTGAATAAGGGTTACGCTTACCATTCCCAAACTGGTAAGCTAAGGGATCGTCGCAAACGTTTTTTGTCGTCTCTGAAATGAACATCATTCGTTTGGAGGCAGGGGGAGGGTGTGTGACAAGTCGATCGACACTGTACATATGTACATGTACATGCATGCGATTCTCGCCGTCCAGCATAGCAAGCTGCATTCGTTTTAGAGGGGGGGGGGGGGTCCGAGTACGAAATGAATGATGTTCGTTTCATGGACAACGAACAACTTTTGCGACGACCTCTAATACCATCCGATACAGATGGAGACATACTTCTTTAGATCGAGAGACATGGACACAGATACCAATAGAAACAGACAGGGAATGAGGGAGGGGGGGGGGGGGGAATTGCAGTAGCATGTATTTGCATCTGCTTCATGTAAACCTTCTCAATATGTGCTATGGTTGTGGTATTTCCTGTACATTACAGCTATGGTTGTGGTATTTCCTGTACATTACAGGCGACGTCAACTTCGATTCTATAAAATTCCGTGATGAACGTCATGCTGGCAAGCTGGAGCCAAAGAAATTCAAGGGGTCGGAAAGAACAACACCAGCCGCAGGTGAGCTGCTTGGAACGTGCTCAACGTAATGCAGTTTCTGTGTGATTTCCTGTTGGAATTTCATTTATTTCTAAGATGGAGTTGCATATACCTATAGGATGCACAGGGTTACTGGCTGCTGCCGTCTGAATCACACTGTATGTGTGCGTCGTGACAAACGGTTGTGATTCCAAGTCGATTACTACGGAAATAGCCTCAGAGTGAGCAGTAAACTATTGTGCCGAGTTTTTTTCTTCCTCCAGTATTCCACATGATTGTTACCGCACACACACAGACATTTGCTTCCTGTTTCACACAAAAATAGCAGTTTAAAAACATCTCAATCTTGATGTCATTAAGATTGAGATGGTTTAAAACTGCTCTGGCGAAGTAGACCTGCTTAGGGGTTGTCGCAAAAGTTTTTTGTCGTCCCTGAAACGAACATGATTCATTTGGGGGGGGGGAGGGGGTGCGAGCCAAAATCGCAAGTCGACCGACACTGTACATATGACATGCTCATGCATGCGATTTTCGTCGTCCAGCATAGCAGGCTGTGTTCGTTTCAGAGGGAGGGGAGGGGGTCCGAGTACGAAATGAACTATGTTCGTTTCAGGGGACGACAGAAAACTTTTGCGACGACCCCTTAGTGTGCAAAGTAGTACATGTATAAGAAATGGTGACAACATTCGATGGAATGGTTACAACCAGTCTGTATGATGCCGCACACAACCACGCACGCACACACACACACACACACACACACACACACACACACACACACACACACACACACACACAGTTTGTAGCCGGTCTTCTTGATCTCTTGTGTTGTTCGCACCATACAGGCAAGCGGCATGCGGCTGACTTTGCCCTGTGGAAGCATAGCAAGCCACACGAGCTTGGCTGGGACGTGGAGTGGACCGGCGTGGGTCTAAGACGGGGCAGGCCTGGTTGGCACATTGAGTGCTCCACACTGGCCAAGTAAGAACCAGAGCTAAGGAGACTATTGCCTTTGTTTTCTGCCTGCACTGTTCTCATCATGCCTTCAAGTATATGTACTGACTGGGCTCAAGTATGGGCATGCCTAGTAAGACCACCTGTCTTCTCCTCTATCTCTCTCATCTCGCTGATGTGTAGCACGATAACTATGGACTGTGTGTGTGTGTTTGTGAGGGGCGTGTTTTTGTGTGTGTGTTTTTGTGTGTGTGTGTGTGTGTGTGTGTGTGTGTGTGTGTGTGTGCGTGCGTGTGTGTGTGTGTGTGCTTGCGTATAATCTTGTAACTGCATCCAAATTGTCTTATAGAATTGCGTTTGGCGACCACGTGGACATCCACACTGGTGGTGCTGACCTGCGGTTTCCACATCATGAGAACGAGATAGTGCAGAGCGAGGCCTATCACGACACAGATCAGTGGGTTGACTACTTCATGCATTGCGGTAGGTACTCACTTGACTATATCTAGCTTGTTCTAAAAATGCAAGCGTGTGATTAGGACTTGCTTATCACACTCTGCCTTCCACCTGTATGTGTCACTGTGTGTGTGTGTACTTCTGCATGCACACATGTCTACGCACACACGTACATGCACGCACATGTCTGCACACACACACACACACACACACACACACACACACACACACACACACACACACACACACACACACACACACACACACACACACACACACACACACACACACACACACACACACACACACACACACACACACACACACACACACACACACACACACACACCTCTATTAGCATGCAGTACTCCATGTAGAGCTGATATGCCAAACTGAAGAAAAACCCTGGTCAATACAATAGACAGACAGGCATGTCATTGACAACAGGGGAAACTTTCTTATGCTGTCCTCGGGTATGTTAAAATTGGTGAAGGCAAACCCTGAGCAGACAGACTGGCTCCTTTGCCCATGTTATGACTTCCTGCTTTTCTGGATTTGTTCTGTGTTGTCTGTGTAGGTACATTGCGCATAGACGGCTCTAAGATGTCCAAGTCACTGGGAAATTTCATCACAGTAGATGTAAGACCTCCCTTGTCATCCCATGTGCCTCCTGTTTTGTAGCTGTGCTGTACCCTATTTATGATGAAGACTGCGAGGCGTTTGCACGGAACACAGTGTAATGTTGCCCTTGCTGTTCCTTCCTGTGTGTTTGCAGGAGTTCTTGGCTAAGCACTCGCCGGACAAGTTCAGGATGATTTGCTGCATGAGTCAGTACCACCGAGGCAAGTGGACATTGGTCATTCCTAGGTTGTACCTGGGGTGGACATTGGTCATTCCTGGGTTGTACCTGGGGTGGACATTGGTCATTCCTGGGTTGTACCTGATTGGACTCAAGACGCCGTTATGAGTTTGACCAGACAGGCGGCAGCAGCCACACAGCAGAACATGCTGTAGAGCGCCGCATGTGTGTTCTGCCTGTACTGCATAATCTAAGGCCACACGTTTTTATTTCTATGTTTCTCGTCACCCACGCGCATACGATTCAGGAGTCTGGAAGAAAAAAAGAAAAAAAACTGTGCTGCACTGACTTTCCTTTTTGGACCAGCACACTCATGCACATGTACATAATGTGGCCTGGCCTGCGCGACACATGATGCAAGGACGGCATTTTTGTGCGCAATCTAGCTGCACATGCACAGATGTGTGACAGAAGCTCCTACCACATACTAGTTGCTAACTATGGATGCTATTTTGCATGGTGTATTGGTGGATTTTAGTGTGAACAAAGGTCTAATAAACTTTTTTTATTTATTTTTTCTTGAGACTATCATCAGGGAAAATCGTCTCACAATAGAGGCTATACGGAGAAACAAACTACTTATAGGTTATCGGTTAGTGGGAAGTATACAAGGTGAGGTGTGAAAAAAACTAAAGTGGGAGAGAAGACGAAAGAAATTAGAAGAAAAGATGTGAGAGTGTTCTGACGGTGTGAGCTACTACAAAAGGTGAGTGAAATGAAGGCGTGGAAGCAGGTGAATGTGATAGAGTGAAGAACTGTGAGGTGTAGGTGTATGCGAATGAATAAGTGTGTGAATGACTTTTTGTAGTAGCTCACACCGTCAGAACACTCTCACATCTTTTCTTCTAATTTCTTTCGTCTTCTCTCCCACTTTAGTTTTTTTTCACACCTCACCTTGTATACTTCCCACTAACCGATAACCTATAAGTAGTTTGTTTCTCCGTATAGCCTCTATTGTGAGACGATTTTCCCTGATGATAGTCTCAAGAAAATCGATTAGGAACAACCATCTTTTTTTATTTTCGGTCATTTTTGTATTTTTTCCACCTCTCGCATTCGTTTTCAGATTTCCAGGTGACGAGAAACATAGAAATAAAAACGTGTGGCCTAATTGAATTTAGAAGGACTCGCCCAGCGTGGAGAGGGTGTGAAATATGCCTGGAGGATACTTCAACAATTATTATTATTATTATTATTGGTGACAGTCAATTTTTTCTTCAGACTTTTCCCGCTTGTCTCTTTCCCTCAAACCAGTTAATTATTATTATTATTATTATTAGACACAATCTCATAGCATGTGACAAGCATAGCTAATGCAGGGACAGAATCCCCTGAGACAAGGGCGTTGAGCCAGCCACGGCAATAGTAAGCTAGGAAAACACAAGGCAAATATTAATTAAAGCAAAAATGAGTGGAAAATTACGAAGAAAAACTTACCCGTGTATGTTTTTTCTTGCCAGTGCCAGAGAAGGCTGCTAGTGCGGGCACGCCCGGTGAAAGCTTTACATGGTAGAAGCTATTAATGCTGGGTACTGTAAAAGCCATTATTCTAACGAGACGCATATATAACGCTTTCCTAAAATTGACTGGTTTACGCGTACCAAAGGTAACGATTCTTACATATTCTCAACGCTCAATAGGACTGTATGTATCGATTTCTGTGCAACGATTTCTATTTTAACGACAAATTTCTCCTCGTTAACTCGTTAGAGTTAGCACTTCGTTATATATATGGCTTTTACAGTATTCTCTGAGCTGATGGGCATTACGAGCAATGGCCCCCGAACTAAAAGTAATCCCTCAGGTCAGGTTATGTGTGATTTGTCAGCGGTAGGTGCACAGGCGAATCTGGAAATGCAATGATCTACTGAGAATCGGATAAGTTTGGTTTGGGTAAAAATGACTCCGAATTTATATGAGACACACTCGAAGTATTTGTACGATGTGAGTTCAAACTCGGAGGAAACTTTTACTTTTGCACTTTCAGTTGTTGACAGTGCTGTATTGCAATGCCGTCTCTTCTTCTTTTCTTCTTCTCTTCTTGTTCAGACTGTGAGTATGACCAACAGACACTGGAAACGGCTTCCACCCGCCTTGCCACCCTTGCCAACTTCAACTCAGCTGTGCTGGCCTATGTAGAAGGCAAATCAATGAGCACGGTGCCGACCAAGCGCATCCTATCCAAGTAAGACCGCTGTGCACACTGCTATAGACCCATTGCGCAATGATGCAATTTGTACCATAAACACCCTTCACAGTGACCTGGGCATGGTCGTCTGGGGTGTTGAACAGTGCATTCCTGATCCCAGTGTACAGTCAACTTCGCTAATAACGACTGCGGATATAACGACAATTCGCGAATAACGACATAATTCTCATGCCCAGAGCAAAGTCCCATCCAACTGTGACACGTATAATGAGACTTCGTGTATAACGACACTTCGCGAATAAGGACACTTTTCTGATGCCCCGCCGAGTGTCGTTATAAGCGAAGTTGACTGTAGTCACAAGCATTACTCATACATTCCAAACACTACCCAGCAGTGCTAGGCTAGCTAGTGCATGTACTGGGTGTACTGGGTGTACTGGGCAGCCTTGAACGAACTACATCCCACTGTGATTCCCACTACAACCCTGGCATACGTTTGGATTTGCGTGAGATTTTGACTTGGTTCTCGAAAATTGCTCCCAACCTGCCTTACATGGCTGACGTGTCTCATCTTTGTGCTGTAGATTGTGTATTATTTCGGAAGCGTTTTAGCAGCTTGTTGAAATGTCGCTCACAGCATGTGAAGACTCCACTGTAGCCATCCACTATATCCGTTCCTCCTCTCAACACTAGGTGGTCTCTGGGCTACAATATAGATGTATGGTATAGTGTTGAAACGATCCCACCGGGTACTCGTTAGCTCGCTCGCCAGAAACTTGGCTCGTTTGTGCGGCCAGCTCGTTTGCACTAACGAACACCGTACACCGCACTCCGTACACATGGCAGTACATGTTGACCGGGGATTCGTAGAATTTTACGACTCCCTGGTCGATCGAGAGTCCAGTCCCGCGCAAAGTGAAAATCACTCGCAGTTGCAGTGACTATACCTGCACGACACTGAGTTGTTTCAGTTGTCGTTGCAGCTTTGGTGGACTCTACTGATGTCTTGTTCCGCATCTGCTGGCCTGTCGCAGGATATGCTTCGGTCACCTCTCCATTCGAGTGAAAGTTACGCTGAGTCGTTTGGAAGTTTTCTCCCGCGATGCAGCGAAGAACAGGGCTACTTGCAATCTTTGCAAAAGGGTCTATCCTTACAAAGGCTGCTCAACGACAGCGCTGAAAAGACATCTCGACACCAAACAGCAGTTCGAAGTGAAGCAGCAGCAACCCCAAATGCCGGCAGTGATATTTGAACCAGCTGAAAAAAAATCATATTTGCCACATCAATGAAACTCGTTAGCTCGCTCGATAGCTTGCTCGTTAGTGGAACTGATCGTTCGTTTGTTATAGATACGCTCGTTTCAACACTAGTATGGTATATATATAGAAGCCTTGCTTGATAGTTTAACATATTTTCGATTTTGACAGCATGTTATAAGGCGAACCAGGGTTTTCCCAATACGGTTCAAATGGTTGCAAAACCGGGACTCTACCAACCGGGTTATGGTTGTAGTCAGGAGCACTATGAGTCCTCGCCTTGTAACATGCCGTCGAAATCGAAAATATAGATGTACTATTTGAATGTTTGTGACAGGCCCATCCAGATGGATATGGTTTGTTATGTGTACCAGTAACCTGTTTTGGCCACCTGTATGACAGTGCCAGGTTGTACCAGTACATACTCTACACAGTGTGCACCAAGTAGCCTCTCCCTCAGTTCTATCTTTCAATGGGAGCACAGAACATTGACTAATATCAACTCTCTCTCCCTGCCTCTCTCTCTCTCTCTCTCTCTCTCTTTCTCTCTCTCTCTCTCTCTCTCTCTCTCTCTCTCTCTCTCTCTCTCTCTCTCTCTCGCTCGCTCGCTTGCTCTCTCTCTCTTTCTCTCTCACTCTCTTGCTGTACTCATTGTCAACCAAAGGCTGGCTTCAACAGAAAACAAAGTCCTGAAGGCTCTGGGGAAAAACTTTTCTGTGCAAAAGGCAATATCAGAATTGTTGGCGCTGGCAACTTTTGTGGAAGCAGAGCTAGCCGATGGCAATGTTGCTGAGTCGCTCAAGAAGGTAATTGTCATGTGCTCTAGGTTTTAGCTGGTGGAAGCCAACAAGGGAGAGGAAAGAAGTTTCAAACAGTGATACTACTGGATTCAACATACCGTAATGACGTGTATAAAAGCAGGTGCTTGCGGCCGTATAAGTCGGGGTTCAAACCATGCTTCCACTCAAGCTATGCTTCTTTTCAAAACATGCTTCTACGTCAACATCTCCAGTCTACACTGTACAGTGCATACTGTCATGCATGTGCTGTGCAAGTACAGTGTGCATGTGCTGGCAGGTATGCTTCTATTCACATCGTGCTTCTGTATCAATGCGCGCTTTGAAAAATCGGCTTCTAATACAGGTCATGCTTTTATACGCGACATTACGGTACTCTAAATCAGAAATATTTGTATGCATTCATCTAAATATCGTCCATATTTAATAGGGCTGCAAGCGATCGATGATTTTTTTGTTTTTAGAAGTAAAAAATTATTTAAAAAACGTATAACGACTAACCTCACCACACTTGTGCATAGTTGGTTTGAATCTACGTTGCAGGACTGTGTGGGTCACTTAGACAAGTATGGGCAGGTCCTGCTCGATTGTTTTGCTGCTGCTGTTGCTGCTGCGCTTGAGCCCTGTCGCGCACATTATCCTAGCACGCACTATCATTGTCTTTGTGTGTATATTCCTATGTTGAATCAAGTAGAGTGCTTCATCGCCCAAAGAGAGGGAAGGAAAACCTGTTACGACTCTTGAGTTTCACATTCACCTTCATCGCCCAAAGAGAGGGAAGGAAAACCTGTTACGACTCTTGAGTTTCACATTCACCTTCATCGCCCAAAGAGAGGGAAGGAAAACCTGTTACGACTCTTGAGTTTCACATTCACCTTCATCGCCCAAAGAGAGGGAAGGAAAACCTGTTACGACTCTTGAGTTTCACATTCACCTTCATCGCCCAAAGAGAGGGAAGGAAAACCTGTTACGACTCTTGAGTTTCACATTCACCCACGATCATCAAGCAACGAGTTGCAACGAGTTTTCCTCCTCCTCTCTCCTTGCTGTGTACAGTGCAACCTGTCTAAGCTGATCGCTCAACGGGCCTTTTATGTGTGGTCACTGTGTGCAGGTGGTCTCCTTTCCAGGGTATCCTTGGTCCAGTGTGTAGTGGTCCTCTGGGACAGGTGGTCTCCTTTTCCAGGGTATCCTTGGTCCAGTCTGTAGTGGTCCTCTGGGACAGGTGGTCTCCTTTTCCAGGGTATCCTTGGTCCAGTGTGTAGTGGTCCTCTGGGACAGGTGGTTGCATTGACAGGTCTTACTGTATTCCCATGTCTATAGACTGACTTATTGTCTCATTTACCTGCTTTATTTGATGGCAATAGTGCTGCTGTTGTTGTGTTTGCCGTGTAGCCGCGCGATGGCAGGCGCTCCGGAGCAGTGCTAGCGGTGCATACCTTCATCCGACACACACTGCAGAACATGGGCTTTGAAGTAGCCTTCATGCAGGTAAGCTACTTCTACTGATGCTGCTGCTGCTGCTGCTGCTGCTGCTGCTGCTGCTGCAGCAATACTCGACTACAGTAGTACAGCTTGCAGTTGCCAGTGTTGTAGTATACCTGCAGGAAGTGTGTGTATTGGAATAGGCATGATGACATGAACATTCTGTGCTAGGTATACACTTTACATGTTCACATTGCTGTGTGACATACATGTACTTGTCAGGCACTCATAGCACTCTGCTCTATACATATCACACACTCACACCACTGTACTGCATACACATCACACATCCGCAGCGCCAATGCCACACACCGCTCTTGCTGTAGTCTTCACACAGATGTACATATACCAGTATACAGAAATGGGATGCTTACAGTACTCCGAGTCGTAGCAATTCTTGCTCCTGTCCATCTTGGGCATACGCTGTGTGTGTGTGTGTGTGTGTGTGTGTGTGTGTGTGTGTGTGTGTGTGTGTGTGTGTGTGTGTGTGTGTGTGTGTGTGTGTGTGTGTGTGTGTGTGTGTGTGTGTGTGTGTGTGTGTGTGTGTGTGTGTGTGTGTGTGTGTGTGTGTGTGTGTGTGTGTGTGTGTGTGTGTGTGTGTGTGTGTGTGTGTGTGTGTGTGTGTGTGTGTGTGTGTGTGTGTGTGTGTGTGTGTGTGTGTGTGTGTGTGTGTGTGTGTGTGTGTGTGTGTGTGTGTGTGTGTGTGTGTGTGTGTGTGTGTGTGTGTGTGTGTGTGTGTGTGTGTGTGTGTGTGTGTGTGTGTGTGTGTGTGTGTGTGTGTGTGTGTGTGTGTGTGTGTGTGTGTGTGTGTGTGTGTGTGTGTGTGTGTGTGTGTGTGTGTGTGTGTGTGTGTGTGTGTGTGTGTGTGTGTGTGTGTGTGTGTGTGTGTGTGTGTGTGTGTGTGTGTGTGTGTGTGTGTGTGTGTGTGTGTGTGTGTGTGTGTGTGTGTGTGTGTGTGTGTGTGTGTGTGTGTGTGTGTGTGTGTGTGTGTGTGTGTGTGTGTGTGTGTGTGTGTGTGTGTGTGTGTGTGTGTGTGTGTGTGTGTGTGTGTGTGTGTGTGTGTGTGTGTGTGTGTGTGTGTGTGTGTGTGTGTGTGTGTGTGTGTGTGTGTGTGTGTGTGTGTGTGTGTGTGTGTGTGTGTGTGTGTGTGTGTGTGTGTGTGTGTGTGTGTGTGTGTGTGTGTGTGTGTGTGTGTGTGTGTGTGTGTGTGTGTGTGTGTGTGTGTGTGTGTGTGTGTGTGTGTGTGTGTGTGTGTGTGTGTGTGTGTGTGTGTGTGTGTGTGTGTGTGTGTGTGTGTGTGTGTGTGTGTGTGTGTGTGTGTGTGTGTGTGTGTGTGTGTGTGTGTGTGTGTGTGTGTGTGTGTGTGTGTGTGTGTGTGTGTGTGTGTGTGTGTGTGTGTGTGTGTGTGTGTGTGTGTGTGTGTGTGTGTGTGTGTGTGTGTGTGTGTGTGTGTGTGTGTGTGTGTGTGTGTGTGTGTGTGTGTGTGTGTGTGTGTGTGTGTGTGTGTGTGTGTGTGTGTGTGTGTGTGTGTGTGTGTGTGTGTGTGTGTGTGTGTGTGTGTGTGTGTGTGTGTGTGTGTGTGTGTGTGTGTGTGTGTGTGTGTGTGTGTGTGTGTGTGTGTGTGTGTGTGTGTGTGTGTGTGTGTGTGTGTGTGTGTGTGTGTGTGTGTGTGTGTGTGTGTGTGTGTGTGTGTGTGTGTGTGTGTGTGTGTGTGTGTGTGTGTGTGTGTGTGTGTGTGTGTGTGTGTGTGTGTGTGTGTGTGTGTGTGTGTGTGTGTGTGTGTGTGTGTGTGTGTGTGTGTGTGTGTGTGTGTGTGTGTGTGTGTGTGTGTGTGTGTGTGTGTGTGTGTGTGTGTGTGTGTGTGTGTGTGTGTGTGTGTGTGTGTGTGTGTGTGTGTGTGTGTGTGTGTGTGTGTGTGTGTGTGTGTGTGTGTGTGTGTGTGTGTGTGTGTGTGTGTGTGTGTGTGTGTGTGGTACATGTCATGTGTACCCTGGTGGAGGTGTCACTCTTCTTCAAAGACTGGTGCATGGGATTTTCACACACAAACCTTTTGCGCTAGATATCGCACTGTGTGTGGAAAGTTAGTGCCAGCTGGCTTCAGTGTGATGTCCATTGCCTATTGCCTGTGCCAGGTAATATAGTAAGAAACCTTTGCTTTCCAACTCACATAATTAGACTGCCACAGCCCACGGTTATGAGTTCTTTCTCTTTGGAAAGTACTCTCTTCTGCTCTTCTTTCTCAACTTGACTTTGAAATTCATTATTGTTGTGAGTTGTGACCTGTGTCCGGATTTTGATTTGTTTTATATCTCCATCATGACACCGCACTCTGTTTGACTTCTTCTCTTTCTCAGCTTGGTATTCAGGCAAGTGGAGCTGACAGCGGCAATGTCCCAACGGAGCATGTTCTGCGGAAAGCCATCGACGAGTTCATGGCGTTCCGTGCTGTCGTACGCGATCTGTCCATCGGCCGAGTGTCCAATCTCGACGGCCTCTCTGATCTACTAGCGGCGCATCATGGCGACGCGAAGACTGAGAAGCAGTTGCGCAAGGAATACACGCGTATCACCGCACCCTTCCTTGAGGCGTCCGATGAGCTGCGAGCTGACCTGATGCAGAAAGGTGTCGAGATCAAGGTAACTATTGGAACCGGTTTAAAAGAAAAGCGAGTGTGCATGTATTGAAGCAATCTTCCTTAGCACCAGTAGTGTAACGCTCTGATCCATCCCTGCTGTACATCAAGTCACAAGTGTTCTTGATCTACGTACTTTCTTGCTCTGCTGTCAGTGCAAGATAATCACAGGCTGTACAGGAGTACCTTTCTCGCCAGGCATGAGTACTTTTTTCGTGTGGTACGTAGAGGACGTGCTTTATGCACAACTCGGATAGGCCAGCGCAGCTAGGCGACGCAGATCAGGAATTGAGCCCACGCTCTAGGGCTCCTCTTGTCCCTTGTCAGCAGCCACACCAAGCCATGCTGAAACTGTGCACCTCACCCGTGTACTACAGTTGCGCTTACTGAAATCCGACCCAAAGTGCAAAACTGGCGCCCTGTACCAGTTTTGATTACATCATGGTAACTGTACATGTGTACGTCCAGCCGCATTTGTGCCACTCCCAGGGCGTCAAGGGCCGTGGAAAAACATGGCGCCAAATGTGCACTCTGGGTCGGATTTCACAGAGCGCAACTGTAGTACAGATTCAATGCAAACACAGCCGCCATTCCAAAATGTGCCGCATTTTCCAGGGTCATGCCCCCCCCCCCCCCCCCCATCCGGAAGGCAAACTGCTTCATGCCAGTCTGTATGAACTGAAATTCGGTGTGTAAGCTGCAGGGGGCAGGTTAGGGCCTATTCTTCATGTGAAAAAAGTGTCGCTCCAACGCCAGAAGTATTGTTTATACGTTGAGTCCTGTGGACTATTCTTGCATACACAAAATATTTGTTAGGTTGCAAGTAGTGGGGAAATTAGGTCAAGGAGCCCATGATCCCCCCCCCCCCCCCCCGAGTGTGCAACGCCTGCGTGCTATGCTGTCCCAGCAGAATTTCAGATTTCCGACGTTCATGCAGAGGTGTGTCAATGCATCACACACATTTCCTGGCTCATGTGTGTACATGATCAGATGATGTGGTGGTGTGTCCACTCCTGGTCCAGTATATCTGAATGTATGTCACAAACTACGCATTGCATACTGTAAAAGCAGAAATTTTCGGTGCCGACAATTTTCGACAATTTTCGCCTAAAATAAAACACACCGAAAATGTTGGTGCTAGTACTAGTACACTTACCTGGAAACGGGTTTACTGAAAATTTCCCTCCGCCGAACCACCGATTTAGGAGAATACGGAAAAAATTACACCACGGAAAATTTCTGCTTTCGCAGTAATACTAGTTGCTCAAATCTCTGCCCATACTCATAGCTGTTGTACTGTATTGAGCCATACTCACTCAAGCATGTCTCCGTGGCGCAATCGGTTAGCGCGTTCGGCTGTTAACCGAAAGGTTGGTGGTTCAAGCCCACCCGGGGACGCTGATTTTTTTCTTCTTCCTGTCTTGTGTAGCAAAAGTCACTTTGTTTGCAATGCACACTTTTGTTTTTACCAATTTTACTTCTGCCAAAATTCGTGCCCATTTTTTCTTATGCTGTTTTTGTCTCTTACTTCCCTTTGCCTCTAGGACCGCGGTGTAGAGTCAAGCTGGGACCTGCTTCAAAAGTGATGGTCTTTTGTGTATTAGGTGAGCCGGAGCCAGAAGTAAGTGGTCTTAGCGGCTATACCCAGCAGTACTGCAAGCGATAGAGATTGCAGGTTTTGTTTCTCTTGTATGTATGCCGATAATTTTTACTCACTGCCTGTACAAATGAGCCGAGCAAGTGCTGATATCCTTTCTTAGGGGTTTGCCCCACCGTACAGAGTACTATAATCGTTGTCACAAGGCTCGGTGTACACACAGAACTGCCGAATTGCCTCTGTTCTTGTCTTTGTTCTCGTATCTGCGTTTTATCAGACTCAAGTTCACTCCTTTTTATAGATTTCACTGGCTGCTGGTCAGCCGTGCTGCTCATATATGCCTATGCTGGCTCATGGCTAGTGTAAGTGGTGCCTTGAGCCACTCTTAGTGTGTGTGCGTGTGTGTGTGTGTGTGTGTGTGTGTGTGTGTGTGTGTGTGTGTGCGCGCGCGCGTGTGGACGTGTGTGTGTGTGTGTCTTGCCTTGACAGTCATGATGTAGTACTAATAGTCTAGTTACATTACCTCTACAAACGTTGCATGCGTGTTTATTTTACCCATCCGGTACCATGCTGAATGAGCAAGTCACCTTTATCAATGTTTTTTTACTATTTTTGCCAGTCCATAAGAGTTTTTGGTTGGATATGATCTGTTATGTTTGGCGTCTGGATCTTCTTTGTACATAGCTGTAATGCTTTGAAGTAAATGAGCTTATGTGGCTACCACCAAGTAAAGGTGGTTGCTTGCCAAATATGAAACATGAAATGAAGTACCAAACAACTTTCTCCATAGTTAGTTACACTTACCTGATGTGTGGTGTCAGTGTGCATGTGTGTGCATGTGTGTGGGCACGCATACGTGTGTGTGTGTGTGCGTGTTATATTATGATGAGCATGAGTGGATCTGAAGAATCCCAGCAGTATTTCTACTTAGCAAGACTAGCAGTGAAGCATGAAAACATGTAGTCGACGGCTACAAACTTAGTACTAGTAATCCTGTCCTGTTCTGTATTGACTCGGATGGAGAGCCAAGGATTAAATTAAAAAAATTAAAAATGTGCTGTATTGGATACTATTAAAATGGGTTTCAAATTTAAAACTACTTAAGTTGCGAAATCCGTACTTTACAAAGAAGATACTTTGTTACGTCGTCTGTTCATAGTGTTAGCTATAGTACCACGACTCTAATCTCTAGCACCACATAACTATTCCAAAGCTAATGAAATCAAATAATATATGCTCAAGGACCAATCTCATTTTCAGGTCAGGACAGTTTGAGTAGAATAAATAGTGCTGCTGTCTTCGCTTTCATTTTGCTGAGCTATGACAGCTATCCTTGTTGGACTCAAGGTTTGTGTTAGGATTCAAGATGGATTCAATAGTCGGGGCTCGGGTTCATGCCTCTACTCAACTTCTTGCTGAAGGCACTTGAGACTGCGCTGGATACTACCAGCCGTGGCCTTCACAAGGTACCCGCATTGCAGCTCGTCAGCCAAGGCAAAACCACCAGTTGTCTGTAAGAGCAAAGAAAACCAGCACAGGGCCAGTTACAGGCGAGAATGAAAGCCAGCGCACAACCAGGAGCAGATGGGAAGAAGGCCAACATCGCATATGTACCTAGATGCTCGACTTGCCCTAGCTTCAGCTCATAAGATATCAAAGCCCCGCCACATGCAACGGACATTGTACTCTTCCTGTAATATTCCTATGAAGTAGAGAGCAGTGCGTCCAGGGGATTCCTGGTGGAAGTAAGCACCATCTAACATGCTGTTGCCATAGCTGCACTACTACCTATCTGCACAGGTACCGTCTGAACTGTAGCCTCTCGTCCTACATCTCGACATGGATATAATAATATTTTCCACTTTCACGCTTTACCAAGAACACGCACACTGGTCTCTCTCTCACACACACACACATACACGGACACACACGCGGACACACACGCGGTCTCACCGGTTGCTGCTGTTGTCCTGCTGTCGGGCTGGCGTAAGCACCTGCAAAACCACCCAGCACCTCAAGCTGTCGTTTTCTAAGCCAGCCACTGGCACTAGATCTCTGGTCCAGTCCTAGGCTGCCACGGCTTGTTGTCGGACCCCAGAGAATGCAGCCAACAGCATCCAATACCTGGAAGGGTGAGAGAAAGAAACAGAGACCGAGAGAAGTGAAGTGAGAAGAGATGGACTAGTGTGAAAATGTTGTGTCCCTCAGGTATCAGGGTATCCATGATTCTGATTTAGAACACAGCAAATAGCCTACAAGGTAATCGCAAGAGCAGTGGACAAGAATTGTGTACCACACTGACCGCTTTCGGTTCCAATCGTTTTGCTGGGTCCTTGTTGATCATCTGCCCTGCTAGATTAGCAAGAGGTTCGGAGAAGCAAGAGATGATGGGAATGCTTGGCGGCTGGATGTTGGTATCCTCAAGGCCAGCCTTGAGTCCAACCTCCTGAACTTTCTTGCTGAAACGCTTCACATAGTCATTGATATCGCTCTGCATTCAGCACAAGAGAAAGTCGACAAAGAAGAACAATGCACTTGTACTGTGGTGTTCTGTTTGCGCATGCAATCGTATGTATCAGTACAATGCACTGTCCATGAACATGGCTGTGCAATCGTATGTATCAGTACAATCAAGAGTAGATAAACAAGAGTGTGCAACTCGCGGATGGGTTGGCCCACGGCGGAATGTTTCGTTGACGTAATCTTTTCGACGACGCACGCGCTGCGAGCCTTTTGGAGAGGTTTCCCTCGTGCACTTGGCCGGACTTTACACTACAAGGTCGGTGCCCAGCACGTGCTCTCACACTGCTCTGCGGCAAAGTCCGCGTTTCTCTGAAAAAAGGTGACGTCAACAAAAAATTCCGCCATGGGCGGGAGTATCTGCAGATTGTGCAGGAGAGATCCGGAGTTGCACACTCTTGTTTATCTACTCTTGGTACAATGCACTGTCCATGAACATGGCTGTGCCTCTCATCAAGAGTGCATACGCCAGAGTGAGCAACTGCTTTACGTTATTCATGAGGTTGGATTTGATTTGCCATCACTGCACGGCGACATTGACAGGTAACACACACCACACATGTGCATGTGTGCGTGCACACACACACGCACACACACACACACACACACACACACACACACACACACACACACACCTACACACACACACACACACACACACACACACACACACACAGTGGCTACTCAACTTACCTCCAACCCGAGCATCTGATACAGGATCTGTCCAGACCGGTAGACGTCGCAATGGCGCAGGTCAATCAGCTGCTCTTTCCTGCCCTCCTTCACCTCACGCTGTGCCATCAGCAATTCCGGCGGCTGACAGCGTGTTTTCCACCCTCTGCCATTGTCCAACATACCGGCTGCCTGCTCTGTCAGCACAGTGAACTGTTGGTACAGAGGGGAAAAACAAAATGTCACGGTTAGTTTTCCGCATCTGCCAGGAACGCCACCACCCTCTATGGATCAAGGCGCAGCTGCAGCTCCTAAGGCTGTCATCACACCATGGTACAAAGCTCTGCGTCTACGTCCACGTAAGGAGTTTTTGGTCGGTTGTCATGATGATCCGTATACGGGGTGAAAACGGGAGCAGAGGAAACAGGAGACGGAGACGTGGTATGGAGAGGGGGAGTATACGACTTTTTGTATGAACGTGCGTATCTCCCCCAGCCTTTTTCCGAGCGACCCTGTACTTGGATGTACGTGCGTTCAAATTTCTCCAAAAACTTGACTGCGTGTACGCGTCAAGAACTGTGCCCGTCTGATGACACGACCACCCGTTTCGGTTTTTTCACCATAGACGTAGACGTAAACGGGAGTCAGAGAACGTAGTGTGATGACGGCCTAAGCGTTGGGAAGCGAGTTTAAGTGGTAGTAGTACAGTACCGTAAATACTCCAGTCCATGCATGCTTTTTAACACCATTCTCATTATGGCGTCTTCCCGGCAACTCAGGAGGTCTCCAACTCAAATCAGTACAGCACAGTAGTGCACCGAGGGTTTTTATTTTCAGTCGAATGACCCCGCATAAGGCGACCACCTGTACACAGGGACCACATCTAAAGAGGTCCACTGAGCGGTCGCCTTGTACACTAGTAAAACAAAACTAACGAAAGAAAGGACCTACCTGCTCGGGAGGTGTGGAGTAGTAGATAGAATCGCCGAACGCGGATATGACGAGCCGATCTCCACCGCCGGGATGCGACGTCGGCACGACCAGCAGGTTATCCAGAGCCAGGTTGCAGTGAATAGCGCCCTCGCGGTGAAGATGGTGAAGGCCATCGAACAGCTGGTACAGGAGAAGTGCCACACACCTCTCGTAGCCCTCCTTCGATAGCATCTCCTGCAAGCCGCATAGGCGTACGCAGCATAATTAAGACGTTACATTGTGTATGTGCGAGCATCACTGACAACAGGCACATGGAAACTTGGTGATTTTACCATGAAACACACACATGCACGCCTAAATATACACAGCCAGGCCTTCCATTAGTCAGTCACACAAGCACCAGTGCTAAGCATTAATTTTAAAAGTATTTATTTTATAAGAACCTGTGTTTAGCTTCATTGCGTGCCATTTTCGTGCCACCCATCGACAATAATGTGAGCACATTTCTGCAGTGCTAACCGGATTCATATCTTCTTTGAAGTAAAAGAGCGCACATTTCGACAGAGCCTGAAATGCAACTAAAAAATCTAGAAATGAATTATAATTCCACTGTTAATAATGATTCAATTTCATTTCACATACCTTGCATTTGGGAATATACTGCCGACAATTCAGAAGAGGCAGGTGGTTGTTGACGACAAAGATGGCTTGCGGTGAGCTACTTGCCGAGCTGCTGCCACTAGGGGCCGGTACACTGTCTCGGAAATGTGCCAGCACACGCAGGACGTTGGCATGCGGCCGAATGCGCTCCAGCACCCTGTAGTTGGTCTTGAAGCGAGCGTCCCGCGAAACGTCCGCGTCCCTGCCGGTCCGGGCTGCTCGCACTCGCATGCCGTAGATGCGACCGGGCTGCTTCAGGCCGGGCCGGATGCAGACTACAGGCAGCGTTGCTTCACCCGTGCTATCGTCACCACCGCTCCCCGCCGTCGCTGCCCCCGTCGTAGCCGGGTCATTTACCTGCCAGAGAGGTGTGGCGGCTGTGCCATCACACCAGTCAGCTGCCATGTCCTCCACAAGCCGATAGTCCGCCAGCGACATGGCACGCAGGTCATCCACGTGACGATCAGACTCCTTCCACGAAGCGGAAATGTGCTCCAGCTGTGAAACTATAAACTTCATCACGGATGCATCGTGCGTCTGAGGAAGAAGACAACGCGTACGCACCAAACCAAGAGGAAAGCGAATAGGATAAATTGCTACAGTGCACTCTCAGCCCAAGCCCCAAGGTATAGTGGTTGTGTGAATTAGACCAAGTGTTCATTGCTGATGTATGTATCGTGGTCCGCAATACATGTACCGTTACCATGAATACAGAACAGTTCTGCTGCATGGTACTGTCAAGCACTGAGGCTGAGTGTGGACCAGGAAGAGCACATGAAGCACCCATACGACACATTGGGACGAGTCTGCTTGCCGTTACAGCAACATGCCAAATATTGCGAGAAATATTTAAGGCATCCCCTCCCTCCCCCCCTCCCCCATCCACCGATAATGTAGCAGTTACCATTGTGACAGATGAGCAGCGGTATGGATGGGGATCGTTAGCCAACGATGACAAAAAGCACCATAGGGATCGGTGCTCAAACGAGTTTTACTTCTATGCTATGCTCACCTTGACCGGAGTTGTGCTTTCATCAGTGCTAGGCTGCGGAGACTGTGCATCTGGCAGGGTTGGCGACGTACAAGAATCACTTCCATTGCATTCGCTTGACGTCAACGAAGCTGCCGGAAGTGATTGCGGAGAGGACATATTGGCATCCGACATGGATAGATCTTTCTTGGGCTTGAGGAGATTCGACGGCCCGTCGGTCATGCTTCGTCGGAACTGGTGGTCTTTTCTGCTGGACCTGGACGAGCCGTTTGTCAACTCTCCGGCCGATGTGGTCTTGTTGAAACCCTGCCGTCGATTATCTGTGGTACAGCAGCAACGTAAGCAAGCACAGAGCCCTACTGTGAATACTGATAGTGCTATGTGGCGACTTTGAACTGGAAGATCATACTCTTGGGTCTACAGTCTACAATACAAGCACTCCAAAACAGCATTGTCCGCAAAGGTCTGCAGGGACTACTTGGAAGTACATGTACTACAAGGACTATATGCTATGGTGAAGCCAGGTGAAACCCCCCTGCTGGCACACTTTCTGTGCCCCAAGATAAGCAGACCTCTTAAATCCTGCACCTGTGTAACCCAACTCAGTGGCTTACATCATGGCTCAAGCAACTGACTTGCTGGCTATGCAGTTCATGAGCAGGTGCGGGCCAGCACTATAAGTTCAGTCTGTAAATGCATCAAGACGTAGCAGCCCTTGCTTTAGCACCGACTGACTAACAAGCACACATGGCACAAACCTCTTGGCAGTCGATACTGGTGATGTGGTGAATAGCGGTGGTTGTTGCCAAACCGTTGTCCAGGCCGTGCAGCCGCCACACCAGCAGTCGCCGCTGGTGTCGGTGTGCTGCTTGACTTGGGATTTTGCAACTGGGCGAGGAGATTGTCAATGCTGGTGCCGAGCGCACTCATGCTCGCTGCTGTATCGCTTTCTTGACTGCCAGCCGACTCCTGTGATGATGGACGACGCGGAGGTTCTCTTGTCTGGTCCAGTGCTTCTGTTGACATGGATGCTACGCTATTCTGGCGGCTGAATGCATTGCTCGGCGTCACCGGTACTCCATTGCACGCCGAGTTGCGGCGAGAGCGGGCCGCACCGCCACCTTCCATCTCCTCAGAGGCCATGCGGGAGTGAGATACAATGCTGCTCCTCCGTGCTGGATGCGACACGTCTTCTTGATCGGTGCTATGCTGCCGCTCTACAGGCTGTTCTGCTTGTTCCAACCGGAGGCCACTCTCAGGACTAGTCTCCTCTCCATTACACTCCTGAAATCTTTTATGCTCGTCAGAACCCTTGACCAGCGTGCTCTGGTTAGAATCAGATGACAGGGAGGATATCCCACCATCTTGGCCACTCGAGTCACTCAGCGCTGTACTGGACACTGGCCTTGGGTCCAGCGGAGAGCAGGGACTGTCCAGTGGTGACTGGGGAGGAGACTTTGCAGCAACACTGGGTGCCGCCTCGCCTTGCTCAGCGCTACTCGGCTTAGCCACGAACTGGACTGCACTGGTGACAATGGCAACAGGGTTGCTGGACGGTGCCTGGGCTCCATTAGTGCCATTGCTACCAACAACCACCACTTCAGCACGTGCAAAACGACTGCCACTGCCCGGAGAAGCTGAACGGCAAAGAAGAAGAGGGGGAAACAGTTACACACACGCCATACCAGTAGGACTTGGGATCTTGCACAGAGCTCGTTAGAACAATGGTGCAACACACAGCAGAAACTTGGTACAGTGTATGGGTACTGGCATTCATTGACGAGTCATTAGCGTGTGTGTGGGGCAGGCCAGTGAAGGGGCAAAGGAACGGGAGCACACGCTCTACATACTGTATTGTCCGCACTGGAGTATAAGCTGCACCCACATTTTTTTGCCATGAAATACAGACATCTACGCTATTCATCATCCGGTTAATTTGATCAACAGAGTATAAGCCGCACCCCCATTCCTTTGGCTGGATTTCGGAGTGTTCAAAGTTCGGCTTATACTCCGGAAAGTACGGAAGTACGGAAAGCACGGAAAGTACAGAAAGTACAGAAAGCACGGGACATCAAGAGAATACAAGCTTACAGTCACACAGGAAAAATGAGTGTGTGTATATGACGAGCAACACATGCACCACCAATTACTACTGGCTCTGCTGATCCCAAGACTCAAGAGGCTGCAGAGTGCACAGCCAGGTACGTGACCAATCTAAAAGCAGGTGCAGCGCTTGGACGAAGCACTCAAGCAGGGCAAGAAAAACACCACACACCACCACAGGCAGGTTGCAGTGCTAGTGCCGCAGGTAGACACAGCACTAGACAAGACAAGCCACCGCACATCCACACAGTGCAGGAATGTCCACAATGGCATGTGTGCTGGACAGTGCTAAGCTAAACCCGGGGCATTCTGGATTTCTGGACAGTGCCGATGATGACCTGGGAGTCCTGACTTAACAACAGTTTGCCATCAGCAGCAGCCCTTCAGCTACAGGGAGCCACAACAACCTGTTTGGGCAAGGTGATGGCATTCTCAGCAACTCCTGGAACCCACACCAGGGACTTGGATGTCGAACTGCATACTGGTACTAGTATGCCTAATATCATGGATATGACCCGGAGGCAACTGGCTCAGTACTGCACCTTGGGGTGGAGGTAGCACCTGATTCAGTGTTCTGTTTGAGACTCTATACAACTACTACATAATTGTAGTCAGTGCCAATGTCACAGAGCTAGTCATGCAGGCCATACGGTCGGTCGGTTACGGTGAAGCAAATGCAAACCAAACCTGCAAAAGCCCTAGACGCAGATCACTTCTGACAGCTGACTTGTCCAAGAGCCTTCTTCTTCCTGAAACTGCCAGTCTACTACAGTAGTTCGCTTGTCAATATGCCATCAAAATGACTGGACTGGTATCTGGTCAGCTGTATTTTCGCTGCACGTGCGCCACGTGCATGGCACCGCCGCTGTATTGTTTTCATCGTGACCGCCAGGCGGCACAATGCCGAATGCCGGACACAAAACATCGGTCGTCAACTGCGGAAATCTCGCCATTGGCATTGGAGCAGGTACCCGATCGATCCGAGCTATCTGCAGGCGAACGTCAAGCGCGGCCTAAAAGTTCCGATGGAGATCGGCCGCACAGTGCGGCCTGGGACATGTAGATTGTAAGCTGTGTAGGCATCGGAACTAGGAACAACACTCGTAGATCACTCGTAGATCTACACGTGGAAATGCTTGTACTGTACTAGCAGATTATCTACTGATTTGAGGACCTGTCGACAGGACCTCTACTCACGCCACGGTTACAATGATTGTGTCGGAAAGAAAGTAAATAACTGCTCTTCCCAAGGCGTGCCATCTCGATGGTGTGTCGCAGGAAGGACACGTAGATGACGCTACATGTACTTGCTAACCACAAAAACTGAGCGTATCATGTCAAGCATTCACTCAGGCGTACGAGAGATAATGGGACCAGAGGGTTTATCGAGTTTACGGGCGTGGGGAGAACGAAAACAGGCAATCGGACAATCAAGACATAAACTGTGACAAAACAAGTCACAGTGAATATGCACGAGTTCCACCTGATACCCATGTGTGTCCAGTTTTCCACACTACACATCTTTCTGGGCAGCACACATGTATACAAGGTATATGTACACAGGCAGCGCTAGTATAGTGCATGCAGAGCCGTTACGTGCAATTAAATGCGCATTGAAACTCATCGCGCAGCGGGGAAGAACAAAACCAAGTCTTATCGTAGTAGGTCTACCTGTAGTTACACTTATGAGGAGGATGTCATTCGGTCGAAGAAAAGACAAGTCGCACACCACACGTACCGTGACAGAACGTACTTGGCAGGAACACTACAACGAAACAAACCGCCGCGACGATAACCAACCGTAAAACACGAATACAAAGTGGCAGTAGTCAGTAGATCTGCCAACCAGATTTCTCTGCATTGCATAACCAGATAACTAAAACCAGCGGCACGCACAAAATGCCACACGGCATATGCAATATCATTCTTACATTTTTTCTCCGCCCGCACGACATGTCGAGTTCCGGATGTCATGATGACTGACCCGGAGCGTCTCCACTTTCCAGGCTCCGCTTCGCTGGCGCTGTGCGAGTTCCCGTGTCCTTCCTGGCTGGTCAGACCAACACTGCGAGTAGCAGTCAACGACGCCTTCTTCCTGGCGCTCGGCGTTAGGTCGTTTCCTGGAGACGACTGTGAGCCTGACTGCGCGCCTGGCGCGTCGTGTTCGGACTTATTGGCGAAGCACCTACGGCAAACCAGAGGTCGCCAAATGCTGCCTTCGAAACGGGAGCAGGCCTGGACCTTTCTCCTGTTAGTGTTAGCTCTGGTTGACATGGTCAAAGGATGGTGCCGCCGAGGTCGGAATACAGCAGGGCACCAATACACCGGCACTCTATCACAGTATGAAACTCTACATGCAGCCTAGGTCCGCTACGGGTTGCGGTGAAAAACGTTCGATAGGCAAACTTCACTTGGGACGTTGGGTATTTGAGAGTTGAGGGAGTAGCGGAGGTGCAGCTAGCTAGCTTACGTGTACAAGCACACGTAGATCTACGATAATCTTGAACTTGAAAATGTACTGACACTTGACAGTACTGTACCGAGCAGCCGTCTCGCTCTCAATCTCGGGTAAAACAAGATGCAGTTGTTCCCACTCGTACTCGACATCAGCTTCCACCAACTCAGTCAATCAAGACATTGTAGGGACAAGTACCACTTCGCGCCGTGTTTCACAGAATACTGAAGTCTACTTGTACAGCTGATACGAGAGCAAAAGAAGCATGGAAATAATTATTATACTAGTAGTAGTATGCCCAAGAAGTCAGTGACAGAGCTAAAGTCTAAAGAGTAAAGTCAGAAAGAAGTAGAGAGCGCGATCGTGAGTGGCAAGCGACATACCAAAGTGAGATTTGACGCGGATCAAATGATCGACGAAGGCTCGATCGCAGGGTCGATCGTCACTACAAAGTCGAGTCCTAGTCCTAGATCTAGTCCTTGGCTAGATCAATCATCAAGCGAGGATCGAGGAGCGTGCGTGCGATGTGGTGCAGTCTGTGTTTCCGCACACTACCGGTAGTAGATCTACACTGTACTGATCTACTCTGTAGCCAGTACTGCACTGGCAGTAGTGTAGGCTACTGAGCAGATCTACGCGCTACTCGTCTCCCACCCATGGCCGCCCACATTCACCATGTTCACTACATCACTGACCATCGCATCGCGCGCTGGAGGACAGGGTGTAGTAAAACTAAACGTCTCTGACTACAATGACATTGTAGTTGTAGTAATAATGTCACACGTAGACCTATGTCTGGCTACTAGTATGTGATGTGATCTGCGCTGTACGTCGATCGGGCTAGCTGATCCTTTGCCCCGGCCCCACGGCGGCCTGACCGCGAACCTGTGTACCTCCGGTTCCGAGGCCTTGTGAATAGTTATAAGTATTATAACTTATGGTCGGCAGTACCGGTAGATCTACTGGAGATAGTTGCACGAGTCCAGATACAGGTAACAGGAAAGGTGCTCCCAACACCGGAGCTCGCGCTTTTCCGCCGACTAACTTGACACTTGACTGACTCACGACCTCCATCCAGAGCACACGATACGAGAAGTCAATCGAACCTTCGACTCAGCAAACCTGCAAGGCTGCAAGAAAGCACCACTCCCTGCTCGCAGTGTTTTGGCCCAAATTGGGGAATTCCCCCAGGCTCATCAGTTGAGCTTGAGTAAGGGGTCGTCCGTAATTTTCGAAAAATTAAAAATTCCGTCCTCGTGCAAAATTGTCTCTGACCCACCCACCCACCCCCCAATTTTTCCCATTAATTTTTTGATTTCTACCGATGCCCAGCTCGAAAATAAGAACTCCTGACCCCACGTTTTCTGACTGCACCTGTGTCAAGTACTAGCAGCTAAGTACAGTGAGTAGTAGGTCTACCGACGTCACGGCCATGCACCGTCCTACAACTACAGTAAAACCTGTAACTAACGACCACCCCTTGGTGCCCGGAAAAGTGGTCGTTAGTGGCAGGTGGTCTTTAGTTAGAGGTTTGCACCGCGCGACCATATGGATCCCATTATATGATAATGTATGTCAAAATGCAGATGATACAATCCCCCACCACTTGCGCACTGACATTCTTCTTTCAGATCATACAACACTTGGAGAGAGAGAAAATCAAGTTTTTTATACACCGGGAGCGATACGACCTTTTGACACGTATGTCGACTTACTGGGTTTCCAGAGCAGCGCTGGCCTGGCCAGGCAGTGGACTAGTCACTAATATTAGACACTATCGACTCCAGCCAGCACAGACTGTCAGTGTGACCTGGTGACTGAGCTGTGTGATTGCACTTCGACAGAGAGCCGCTCAGTCTTCCTTCCAGTAGTAACATCGATCAAAGAGCGCTTTGGATGCGCTCTCCAAGACGTTTCCTATCATGTTTGTTCTTGACAGCACTTGAAATTATGACAGGTGTAGTGCAGTCCACACTGATTCCACAGTAAAAATGAGACTGCGCTCATTTGTCCAGCTGTAGTGTCGAAACGACCATGGAAAATCATCAAAATTTCGAGAAGGAGCTTCAAGCAATGTTTGATTTGCTACATCGCGGTCGCTAGTTACGGGTCAAAATTCGACATTCAGGGCTCACAGCATCACACAAAAGCGTGGGCGCCATTTTGGACAGGCCGCTGTCACACGAGCCAGCCAGCATGCCAGAATCGTGTACATGCGATCAGGCAGATATCTCTGAAAACTTGAAAGTGGGGTGCTTTCAAAATGTTCATTTGTACCAATGCTTTTTCCTAGGCCTCTGAAACTCTAGGAACATACTCTCAATACCCATTGTAAGGATTTGTCCGAGAGTTTTTTGTTTTAATCGATACGGTTTGGCGTATATATGGAGCCAAAGTATCAGTTGGTGCAGGCGTAATTCTGATTTGGATTATTGTACTAAAATTGAAAAGTCTCTCGGAGAAGTTCTTCTAATTTTCCTACTGAAAATTTTAAGCTATTGGCCATCAAAATCGGGCCAGAGACGGGTACAAACGAACATTTCAAAGGCAACCCTATCTAGTGCAGCCGCGGGGAAGAACCGCGCGCGCTGCACTTGTTGTGAATGCGGAAACAACACTAGCAGCAAAGCAATTTTTTGAAATGTTTTTGCTACTCGCCTGGCGCTTCATCGCTGTGTCCTCCAGGAGTTATCATGGTTATGGCAGACCGAAGAAATACATGGCCAGCACAACGGCGAAGCCATTGGACTTGTTCTCTTGCAACGAAACGGAGTGGCGAATCAAATAATTCACAACTCCACATCGTCACCACTGCGCTACACGGCTCTTCGCAGACCAGCCGTATATTTACGTTTACACAACAGGACTTCACGGCGGAGAAACTAAAACTAGAACACGACGTGAGTCATTGCTCCATGCCGTCAAGGAATGCTAGTCCTTTCCCTCTCCCGTCACCCGCGCCTGTGCATCAGCGGCGTAGCTGCCCGGCTGTAGATGTTGAACTCTTTGGTCAACGACTGCAGGATTCTGCTCGGGGCTACTTTTCGCAGGACCCCGTGTGCGGACAGTCTGAATGAAGCGTTCGGCCGATAAGGCCAACACTGCTCGCGAAATAATCCACTTGAAAGGAAACAAGAACTACCGAAATGAAATAGAGATAGTGAGACAGTCTCCGGCTATCTCCTTCACCATTCACGACTCAGTCCTTGTCACAGCAACTAAGCCCAAGCAAGTCAAAGACAAAGTCTCCTTGCGCGACTGCGTTCTACGCCTGCGCTTAGCGGTCACGCGAGTTCGTTTCTATGGTGATCAGATCCAAGATGTCCTCCCACGTAATCGAGGTTTTGGCATGGTTGCTGTGAGCCCTGACATTGGGACAAGAAAAGACGGTCGCTGGTCGCGTTCAGCAGGTAGTCGCTAGTCACAGTGCATTTTGAATGTGAGACCGTCCGTGCCTGACAAAGTGGTCGGTAGTACCAGGCCGGTCGCTAGTCACGGTGGTCGTTAGTTACAGGTTTTACTGTACATGAAAAGTCATGTATCATAGTAGATACTGGTGTTTGCGACAATCGATCCTACACTACGTCTACAGTACAGTACACAGTCAGAATCAGTGCAACAAGTGTATCAAAGTCACTGGAGCGAAAAAAAAAAAAAAAAAAAAAAGTACGAAAAATCAAAAAATTAAATTCCGCCAGCACACTTGACCACCCACCCCCTTTTTGCCTGAGGACGGATTTTTTAATTTTTCGAAAAATACGGACGACCCCTAAGCTAAAAAAGATTGTGCCTGAAGCGCACCACTTACATGTACTGTCAAGGGGTTATGGACTCTTGGTACTGTATATAGTACTCTCCAGGCACAAACATCACCAGGGATACAACAGAGATGCTCCGTTTCCAGCGTGACAAACACCTCGTAAAAATATAGCAGCGTGGGTCGGTGTCGCTCCTGGACGGCGAGAACAGACGTTGAGGACCCTCGGTCATTCGCAACGCTGTCACCTCCAAACCAGCTAGTCGCAAGCACAACAGCATGAGAGGCAGAGCTAGCACAGCAGTGCAGGTCATCATTCTATGGTGCTCTTGAGACTTCAGACACAATCTTCCTCAGCCTACTCAAGCTCAACTGACTTTTTTTGCAAAACCAATTGATGAGGGCCTAGGGGTGCCCCCCCCCCCCCCGAAACACTGTGTAATGAGCAGGGAGTGGTGCTTTGGACCGGTTTGCCCAGTGGAAGGTTCGATGGACTTCTCGTGTGCTCTGGATGGCAGTCGTGACTCGTGAGTCAGTCAAGTGTCACGTCAGTCGGCACTCGGCAGAAAGACGCAAGCTCCGATGTGGGGAGTACGTTTCCTCCTAGTTTGAGACCATTCCCTTGTGGGAGTACGTTTCCTCCTAGTTTGAGACCATTCCCTTGTGGTAGTACGTTTCCTCCTAGTTTGAGACCATTCCCTTGTGGGAGTACGTTTCCTATAAATAATCACCGAAGTCACTACCACTATCTTATCCTTACAACATCATTAGACATTACTATGCAAAATCAATGACCGATAATATAGAAAGGATCTCGACTATCGCCATCCACTGCCCGATGTAGTCATTGATCATTGCCGAGAGGGTCACCATGGTCACGGCGGCTAGCGCTGGGAGTAGATGAAATGGATCCGGCTACCGGGCCTGGCTTCGGCTTAGCTACACTGTAGAATTAGCACTTCTAGTTTACTGCTCTGGTCTGGCCCTGCTTGGTCTGCCGAAAGAACTCCGAAACCACGACGTGTGCAGTTGTAGTTCGTAATCTTTGGCCCTCAACTCTCTCTCAAGCTACTTTTGTTTGTAGACGCTAATGCTACATGAGGCATGTAAAACTAAAGTTGCTGTATGAGTTCAAAACAACGACTGAGTTAAACCCCGCGTTACGTTGCCATTCGTGTCACTCTTTACGACTTTAGTCTTGGATTGCCGACACTGAGTCACTCTTCCACTGCTCCATCATGGATTCCAGTCTACCATCCTTTCCTACCCAGATGCTTTGCCCTTCCGGCTTCACCTCGTGGTTATAACGCACTCAGGCGCCACATTCCACAGACAGCTGTCAAGATACGGTGTTTGTGTAATGTCATCATCACATAAGACTTATGTCCCTCGTGTACACCTATGATAATGCACGTATGTATCTAATATTGACTGAGCCCGAGGTCGATAGCAGAGTAAAAGACGGTAAAGTGAGTCCAGTATATCCCTTTGCTGTGCAGTCCAAGACCTGCTAACACTGACTGTGCTATTCACTGGTGCAGCACGTAACGTTGAGCAGCAGGACAAAGTGTCCATCATGACTGAGCACTGTCTGCACACAGGAAGAATTCTACTGACTGTGTAGTACTGTCTAGTGACCAAGGCAAGAGTATGATCGGGGCGCTTATTCCTTTTACTATAGTACTGCTAATATCAAGAGCAAATACTAAAGCTCATAATACATGTAATTATTATACTCTTGCTAGTGCACTGTATACCGGTAGACACCTGTTGTAGCGGCTGAGTTATTTTGTCATGTACAATGATGGCTCTGAGTTCAAGAAGTAAGTTTCATTCTCAGTGCCTCCAGTCTTCCATGGTACGATCCTCAGCTAGCCTCATTCAGTGAAGCCTGAAGGGTATCACGAGTATGTCGACAACACTGCTTAGCCCTTAAAAGTACCTGTACGTCGTACTAGTACTACGTCATGTATTCGACAAGAGCACTCCTGATCTCCGGACAGCTAGTTGTTTCCATCTTCTTGGATATCATCGGAGGAATTCAGAAAGCACCGATTGTTAATGTATGAGCACCGTGCCAGTGTATACTGTACTGAGTGTAGCACTTTAATACCAGTTGCCACCTAGTACTTTCCGGCACTCATGGATAGGGGTCTATGTATGGCAGCGCTGATGTTCTTCACAAGAATGACATGAGATTTGCATACCATTACGATTACTAGTACGTAGTCCGCGAGTACTGTAAATGGAGAAGAGACAGACTACACAAGAGCAAAGTCACTGATCGTAACGAAGGCATTCCCGAATCACGCTCCGGGACCGAGTTGAGATCACGGAAGCAACGCATCGTACTAGTAGTAGATCTACTAATGTATGTACTAATGTATGTATACTGATCTGAGTGCTTATGAAGATATGCATGAAGAAGCCTAGAGTCGTTTTAGAAAGTAATTAGTTATACATGCATGTGTGCTTTATCAATCACGGCTATTGTTATTGAATGGCCTCAAAAGGTAACGGAGGGTAGGACCAGTCAAGAGATGATACATGGGCTGACGAAGAAACCAACTCTAATGACCGTGATTGTAGAAAGAATGTCCAAAGAGCATTGACACTGTCACAGGTGCTTACCATGTACCATGCCCTGCTAACTAGGCCATACCTTTACCTTTTACCACCATACTTGTGGTAGTGTCTTTCCTCGCGGTGAGCCTCGTTCGGCACCGGAGTAGCATGCAAGGCGGCTACACGCAGTGCTGGCGGTGCATGGGTACCGGGTCGCGGGTGCCGTGGTGACCAGAGAGAACTGGTGGTCACCACAGCTGATCGTAAGTCACAGCGAGCTCCTCCCCAGCCAGTAACTGACGTAGACTGAGTTCGGGAGAACGTCTGCGCCGCAAGTGAGCAACTCGGAAGATTCTACTTCGAAGTAGAATCAAACTGCGAGAAATACATTATGCACACGTATCGCGAACTTTTCCAGGGCGGTCATCATCATCATAGGTACTACATGCGTAGTATAGGAAAGGTGGTTGCTCCTGGATCCTCGCACCGGAGCTCGCTCTTTCCCGGACTGACTTGACACTTGACTTACTCACGGCTGACTGCCATCCAGATCGCACAAGAACTTTGAAGAAGTCCATCGAACCTTCGATTCGGCAAACCTGCAAGAAGATTACACCACAGATAGTGTTCGGGGAATTCACCCTTTCCCATGAAATCATCGCCGAATTGCGAAGTTGTTGTATTCTTTATTTTGCTTACAGTCAACACAAGCCAGGGAGTCACTCACTAGTCATTGCTAATCTACATGATTGTACACCTCGTTTGATGTAGTATCATGGTTTTCAGATACCAATACCTGCTGGCGCTAGCTCTGCGGTGGTGTCTGCATTTTGACCCTCATTCTGGGAGATCAGTAGCGGTTTCACGCACCAGTAAGAGCCCGGGAAGTGGGATGCGTAGCTGCAAGCTCGCCATCTAGCAATATATCTAGGCTATACAGGCTGCAGTACATTTTGTAGTCGTACATCATTTTAAATCTTTCCTACATTGTAGCCAGGTTCATCTTCACGACTTCAGTGCCTTTGCCATGCCTTGCCTTTGGTGTTCTTTTTCTTCTTTCCGTCTTTTGTTGAGCAAAGAACGCGCTTCCCAGCCCCGGCCCCTGTCGTGATTACATCACGAAGTTGTACATAATATCACGTGTATGTTTGTGTGACGTTATCGTCCACGTAGCATTAGCCCTTTTGTTTGTTTTGATGGCTTTTATGGTTTTACCTAGCTTCTTGATGATCAGAGATTAGAGTAAGTCATGTAGTACTGAATCAATGAGAATTAATCCCAGTCCTTATGAAGTTAGTTATGTTGCAACGTTGTGGAACTAAGAGAGTCTAGACTCTAGTCACAACATAAATTGGTGCCGAAACCATGTCCGAGTATCCAGGGAGTCTCCGAGTTTTAGCAAATAAAATTAGTGCATTGTATTCTACTGTCCACGATGACGATACGAAGTGCCAACGTTTAGTTTCAGAAAGTTGTCCATCTGACGACGCAGACCAGTGGGTCGGGATTCGGACCCAGTTTTGTGAACAGCATAGAGATGCCCTCACGAAGTTGGATGCTGACCTAGATAAGTACGGCGCTGCGTTATACGATTTCGTGGCTAGTGGAGCAACTCAAAAAAAGAAAAAGAAAGAAGATGAAGAAGAGTATGAAAATATGGCCAGTACGTTACCGTCGTACTTCAAAAATCTGTCCCTGCTGAGTGCTCAAGCCAAAAGAGCCACAGCCAGCGCCAGTGCCCAGAACACCAGTACCAGCAGTCAAGCACCTGGAATTGACGTCCAGCAGCTGCTGACAATGCACACCGCAACTCAGCAACAAACACAGCAGTTGCTGTCAGCCATTGGGAAGCACACCAGCACGGTTGGCCAGCTGGCGGCCAACTCGGCACAGCCTGCACAGAGTGCTCATGGATCTGTGAAATTGCCCGTGCTCACAATCAGGAAGTTTGATGGTGACATACTTCATTTCACTGAGTTCATTGACATGTTTCAATCTGCGATCGGTACAAATCAAAGCCTGTCTGCCGTACAGAAACTGTCGTATTTGAGAAGTCATTTGACAGGCATGGCCCTGGATGTTATTGCCGGTATTCCCACCACCGATTCAAATTACCCCGTGGCGTTAGGATTATTGAAGGATCGCTTTGGCAAGAAGGATGCCATCATCGCAGCCCGATACCGCGCAATTACCGAAATGCCAGCGCCATCAAATAAACCTCACATGTTGCGGAGATTTTACAACGAGGTGGAGGCTAATTTGCGCTGTTTGCAAGCGGAAGGTCAAAGTGTGCAACAGGAACTGCTGATTCCTGTCATCACTTCCAAGTTACCAAAGTGCGTCATCGTACAACTTGAGACACAGAAACCCCACAATCAGAGTTGGACTGTTGATGAGCTGCGGAAACAGCTGGGAATCTACCTGGAGGTCCGTGAATCGGCCGAGCGACTGGCAGGAGACACAGCCAGCAAACCAGAGAGCACTCTGCCACGACCACCGCCTGTTTCCGCACAGCCTCATGCTGCCTACTCCCAACCTCCGGCCACGGCAGCCACGTTAGTTAGCTCTGTGCGGCGCGCCACTCCGAGATGCTTCTTCTGCAAGTTGCAACACTTCTCGGACACCTGCCCAACGTTCAACACGGTTTCTACCAGACAGCAGCAGCTACAAGACCACTGCTTTGTATGCTTACGGAAGGGACATTGGGCAAAGGACTGTACTGCTAGAAGACCCTGCTATCACTGCAATCTGTTGACCCATCACCGTGCCCTGTGCCCTCAGAAATTTGGCTCATCACCAGTGTCAGCTGCCGCAAGTACCTTCTATCCTACTCAGCAGCAGCAAGGGCCACAGAAACATACTACCGCTACGGTGCACGTCCAGTCCAAAGGTGTGAATCTCCCAACCGCCATCGCAACTGTCGCCGGGCAAGGCAACATCTCAGACTGCCGACTGTTGTTTGACACCGGCTCAACTCGCACATTTATTCATGAATCGTTAGCTGCCTCTGTCAACGCAGCTGTTGTCGGTGAAGACGTGTTGTCCATCGCTAGTTTTGGATCTGCGTCCCGGCGAACGGTCACCCTGCCGAGAGTGGAGTTTTCCCTCCTATGTCGAGATGGATCAGCCTTGCCCGTAACCGCCAATGTTATGCCGTGGATTTGTTGTCCTGTTGTCAAATCCCCAATCGACATCGACCAGTACCCTGAAGTCAAGAACATCCAACTAGCTGACACCATTGTCACCAAGCGTGAGGAGGTAGAAATTGACCTCCTTATCGGCACGGATTTCTACTTCTCCATCATGGGTAACGGTCACATCCAACTCAACAATGGCCTGGTCTTGCTGAACTCCAAATTGGGATTTGTCCCAGCAGGCCCTACTGACACAGAGACAGATGACACTGCGGGCCACATAATGCTCACAGATGCTACCACCTTGCCAGACCCAGTATTTGATCTCCAACGTTTCTGGCGACTTGAAGATATTGGTATCACCGATGACATCAGTGATCCGCAGACAGCGGACGACATTGCCCTGGAACACTTTCGCAGCTCCTTGCAACTGATCAACGGCCGATATATGGTATCTTGGCCATGGAAAGATAGCCATACTCCACAACCTAATCTACCAGAGAACTACGAGCTCGCCTTCGGCCGTCTCAAATCCTTAGTCAAACGACTCCAGCAGACACCACAAGTGCTAGAGAAGTATCATTGTACCATCACAGAGCAGTTAGCCAATGGCATTATCGAGGAAGTGAACCTTGATCACCAGGATGGGCCGATTCACTACATCCCCCACCACTGTGTTGTTCGCCCCAGCAGTACCACAACAAAGGTTCGTGTGGTATATGATGCTTCCGCCAGAACTCGCGCAGAACACAACAGCCTGAACGACTGCCTGCACCGAGGTCCGATACTTCTGCCGGATCTGTGTGGTATCCTGGTGAGATTTCGGCTACACCCCATTGGCATTGTCAGCGATGTTGAGAAGGCCTTCCTTCAGCTAGGTCTATCTATGACAGATCGCAATGTAACACGGTTCCTATGGCTTCGCGATCCTACAAAGCCCGTCACCACAGCCAACCTAGTGATCTACCGCTTTTGCCGAGTTCCATTTGGCATTGTCGCTAGCCCGTTTCTTCTCGCCGCCACAGTCGACCACCATCTCCAACAGCAACAGACAGGGACATGCGATGATGTACGTCGCAGTATCTATGTTGACAACGTTGTCACCGGGCAGAGCAGCGTCCAGGATGCTACTGCATACTACAGAGAGGCAAAGGACGCCTTTGCCAGTGCCACCATGAACTTGCGTGAATGGGGTACCAACGATCCTGACTTCAGAGATGCTCTAGCTCCTGAAGACAAGTCTAGCTGTGATGTAATGAAGGTACTGGGTATGTCATGGGATACCAATCGCGATACTCTGTCGACGGCAAAGTCAACCACAAACCAGTACTCCGTCATTACCAAAAGAGATGTCCTCCGCAGCATAGCCCAATTCTATGATCCGATGGGCCTGTTCTCCCCGGTCATCATGCGTGCGAAGATCCTAGTACAGAGTATATGGAAGCTACATGTAGACTGGGACTCTCCGCTGCCTGACGCTCTCGTTCATGAATGGAAGGATATCCTGTCCGATCTGTCCTGCGCAAGTGACGTTGCCATTCCTCGCTTCATTGGACCAAAAATCCACGTCGACAAGGTCACCTATGAACTCCACGTCTTCTGTGATGCGTCTCAAGATGGTTACGGTGCAGCCGCGTACCTGTGTGTGAGACAAGTTGACGATGCCTATTCGTCAGTTGACCTGATCTACAGCCGAACACGAGTCTCGCCCATCAAGGCTACAAGTATACCACGTCTAGAGCTCCTAGCAGCACTCATCGGCGCCAGGATCATCAAATTTCTGAAGAAAGAGCTTCTGGGCACAGTTCACATCTCAGCTACCCACCTGTGGTCTGACTCACAGTGCGTGCTTGGCTGGATTAAGAATACTGAGAAATCGTACCCTGTCTTCATCGCCAATCGGTTGAAGGAAATCCGTGCAGACCAGAGTGTGTGCTTCAACTACATCCGTACAGCCGACAACCCAGCCGACCTACCATCCCGTGGAGCATCGCTAGCCACACTGACAGACAGTACAGCTTGGTGGTGTGGTCCAGAATGGCTTCGAGATCCTCCTGTACACTGGCCCAAAGACGTCATCGATGCTCCTTCCACAGTACTATTCGCGGCGGAGGGTCCTGCGGAAACCGAGACCAGCAGCAAGCCATCACCGCTGAGTATAGATGAGAGCAAGTATACTTCGTTTGAGAAGCTAGCCCGTGTAACAGCATACGGTATCAAGTTTGTCAAGAGATGCCGTCAACAGACCACATGCGGCACTCATTTGTCTGCTGCTGAAATCGACAGCGCCAAACATCTGTGGATTCAACATGTTCAAGCAACACACTATACACCGGAGATTGAGGCTATCAAAAGCAACGCCAAGAACAAGCTGGTCCAAAACCTTGCGCTCTTTCTAGATGAACATAACCTCATCCGCTGCAAGGGTCGATTGGAGAATTCATCCCTACCATACTCAGCGAAGTATCCCATCCTTCTACCTCGTTCACATCCAGTAACCACAGCTATCATCAATGACTGTCACCGCATGGTGCTGCACAGTGGAACTAACCATACCCTATCGCGAGTCAGGTATGACTATTGGGTCCCCAGAGGACGACAAACCGTCAAGACTGTACTCAAGAAATGTGTTGTATGCAAGAGGTTCAATGGTCGGCCGTACTCGCTACCGAAAATGGCACCCTACCCTCCAGAGCGCGTAGCTGAGTCTAAACCGTTCACACACGTCGGCGTCGACTACTTTGGCCCAATGACAGTCAGAGAACATGGACTCACCCACAAGGTATGGGTGTGCCTATTTACGTGCATGGTCACACGTGCCATCCACCTCGAGCTTGTTGCTGACATGACCACAGAACAGTTCCTGATGGCATTGCGCAGATTTGTGGCAAGAAGAGGAGTACCGCGCAAGATCTTCTCTGACAACGCTCAGCAATTCCTGCTTTCGAAATCGACTCTACAGCTTGCTTGGGAAGCCATTGTGAAGGATGACCACACTCTTAATTATGCTGCTTCCCATGGAATCGAATGGATTTGCATTGTGCAACTCTCCCCATGGATGGGCGGGTTCTATGAACGGTTGATTGGAATCGTGAAGAAAGCCCTCCGTAAGTCTATTGGCAGACTAGTTCTCGGAACAACGGAGCTGTCAACCATTCTCATCGAAGTTGAAGCAGTAGTAAATTCACGACCGCTGGTGTACGTAAGCGATGAGATCTATACGGTCTTGACACCTGCCCACTTCTTATCATTATCAGCCGAAATCAGTCTACCCCAAGGGCATGTAGAAGGGGACCCTGATTTCGCCCCAACAATGTCGTCAGCGGAACTGCTACTTTCTACGTGGAAGAAAGGTCAGAAGCGATTGAATGAGTTTTGGAACTGTTGGAGATCTGAATACCTAACCAGTCTACGAGAACGGCAACAATCGCAGTTGAAACAGGTTGCTCATTCTACCGTGAAGCCAAGGATTGGACATGTGTGCCTCATCAAGGATGACGCGCCCAGAGGTATGTGGAAACTGGGTATCATCAGCGAACTTCACGCTAGTCGTGATGGAGAAACGCGTTCCGCCACGGTGAGGACGCCCAATAACAAGCTCCTACGGCGCTCACTACAGCACCTATATCCGTTGGAGTGTGAGTCTGCTCGACCTGCTGACCACTCGTCGAATGAACCACAGCCTCCCGCTGTAACCAACGACGCACACGTCCCTGCAACAGCTTCTCGACCGGTAAGACGAGCTGCTATCGAAGGCTTAGGACGTGTCCTGGATTTGCACGAGGCAGACTTGGTTTAGTTCACCATGCTGGTGTCTGTCTCAATCAGCTATCATCCACTCAAGCTGTATAATTATGTTCACCCCCCTTTTTATTCGAGTTTTCTTTTCCTCTGCCAACTTGCTCTCCCACTCACTACTTTGGCACTAGGGTGTAGTATGGCTCCATGACTTATGTGTCCTTGCTCTTCAGTACCTTCGCAATTTGGTTCACAAGATATGTCACATCATTAGCGTAGCCTGTCAGGAGACATGCGTCTGTGGGGACTGCCCTAGTTAACATTAACAATACCCAAATAATAATAATCACCTAAATACGCGGTTCTTATGCGCTATTATAATCTTTCTCCCTTTGGTCACCAGGTCTTTTGTGATTGATCTCTCCACCTGTGTGTGGGAATGTCGTGATTACATCACGAAGTTGTACATAATATCACGTGTATGTTTGTGTGACGTTATCGTCCACGTAGCATTAGCCCTTTTGTTTGTTTTGATGGCTTTTATGGTTTTACCTAGCTTCTTGATGATCAGAGATTAGAGTAAGTCATGTAGTACTGAATCAATGAGAATTAATCCCAGTCCTTATGAAGTTAGTTATGTTGCAACGTTGTGGAACTAAGAGAGTCTAGACTCTAGTCACAACAGCCCCTGCAGTAGCGTTGGTGTTCAATAACTACACGTAGCTACAGCATTGCATGCAGTACTGTAGTAGATCTACGAATAACGAATCGGTATACAGTAACATAATCGTTGCACGGTCACTGTGTGACGAGTGTGTCACCAGCTCAGTGGTCACATAATAAATATTCAGTTATTTTGACTATGACATGCCTACCATACATCCTGATACGGCCTCGTGAGTCGTGCGGGAAACTGAACCAGATTCCAACGCACTACACCGGTACTGCGTAAATCTACCGGTAGATCATTTCGGAATACCTTCCTGCTCGGAGAAACGTCGCTTTGTGTGGTCGTGCGTATTAATAGTAACATGCTGATCATATTGCTCCGTTCGATGGCTGGTTGATGAGTCTCATCGAAGCAGAATCAGCCCAAGCCCTGTCCTTGTTCGTTAGACTGCCAGAAACACCAGGTGACATTCGCAACGACGTACATGCACCAGGGCCAAGCAAAAAAATGAGAGTTTTCTCTTTGCCAACTAACGTGTTACTTTAGTAGTCGCGTGCTCGCCCAGATTGTCGCTGTGGCAGCGCAGCCGCCAAGATGCGCGTCTGGCGGAAGAGGAGGAAGAGACGTGCAGGGAGCGTAGCCGAGCGGATACGACGTCCAGTGCCGACGGATACACGGAGTGTAGGTGGTTGACCAATGCCGCAATGGCAATGCCATGCAGCCAGCACTGCGTTGAGCTGCACTATGGAGTGGAGTGCAGCTGCGCAAGACACACGGGGTCGAGAACGAGCAGAGAGAGGCGCAACTCTCGGCCAGTTGTAGCAGCAGTAGCAAGACGCGTACCTGGGATTGTTTATCTACTCTCTCTTCGCCGAGTCGGTGTGCAATTACTTGCTCCGGACGGGCTGCGATAGAACGTGGAAAGACGTCAGTGAGCGCCCACCTCCGCGGTTGCTTCGTCGCGTTGTGGTTGACATCGCTCGCCGCCGGGTGACGAAGTGCAGTTGAAATGTGCTTGATGTGACTCGTGTAGGGCACTAGTATGCGCAGTACAGGATTTTCCTTGCTGGACCGGTAACTCCGACACAGCACGGTGGACTGTCAGAGCGCTGAGGTGGGTGACTATCACCTTCAGTGGAGCGAGCTGACACGTCACTTGGACGGGGATAAACGAAGGGAATCATAGCATCATCATCAACTTGTGCAACCGAGGAGGCAGCCACCAGACGCCGCCCGTAAGTACTGTTGGCGGTGTAGTCCACTGAGACCAGCCAATGCCTGGCATGCAGTGAGAAATTCAGGGACCAAGTGGCTGTGACTTGGAGAAGCTAATCTGTAATCATGGCAGTGTCTGGTGGCATCATAGCCGTGCTGGTCATCATAGCAGTGCTAGGAGTGTCCGGTCTGGTCTTACTGGCTCTCTACGTCTTCATGAAAGTCAGAAAGCAGACGACGGAGGACGGGCTGCCGGGAGCTGCGGCTGCGACAGTACCACCTGGCGGCGCGAACAGCACAGCAGCTGTGTCGCTGACCGGAGGCACGGCTGAGAAAGACACGGCGGCGAGGAACCAACCGAACAGCGGAGGTCGGCAGGAGAAGAGCGTTGCCGTGGTGATCGGAGTGCGGTCTGGACAGCAAAGCGGCATTCCACGAGACATGTCGCCAGCTGGAGGTTTACCAGACAAAGCCAACGGCAAAGGTAAAGATAATAGTATTATTATTATTATTGCAAATAACGCTGAGTAATTAAACAAGGTATAAAAACCAGCATTTGCCAAATGAAAGGAAAAATGAGGAACGAGCGGGAATGAGGTGCTTATACGCATGCAACTGCAGAATAGGCAGAAAAGCAGAAGAGATAGTAGGTGATGTTCAATAACTAGTTGCAGTATTGCTCAATGAAATCCAGTCGCGTCACTCAAGTCTACGCCTTGCATCACTCCCCAGCCCAGTGTTCGCAGGTCTAGGTCTACGTGTACTTCAGTGATGTGACTGGATTTCATTGAGCAATACTGTACACTCCTGGCATATCACGAGTGCACAATCTGTAGAGTATAATATTATTTGCAAGTTTCAAATCTCCATACCCGCGAGCCGGCAGCTGTTCCGACCAGGGAGTAGTACAATAGTCAATACCTGGTTCCAACCGTTGAACACGAGCCGGCACGGCTGTTTGCATAGTATTTACATCAACAATTCAACATGCCATCGAAATGGAACTAGCGGGTGGTATATGTGTTTAGGTGGAAAGAGAAGACACGTGTTATGGGCCAGACCAAGTCTATAGCTGTCCACAATGCGTCTATCGTGCACACTGGAGTCAGGACTATAGGTCATGGTGGTGGTGCCGGCTGGTGTGGATCGATCCAAACTGCTCGGCGTTTGATCCCCAAGAACAATGATACAGCAGACACCTGTAAAACCGCTGTGCAGTCGTTCCAGTACATGTATGCATCCGCTAGGGTCCCAAATACTGCGCTCAAGTCCATGCCGATGTATTGACCAAGTTCTAAACTGCATGTAGCGCAGCATATGCAGGCGCGTGCCCCGTATGGGTTCCTGGGTGCCCGGAACCCCCTTTTTTTTTTAGCTCAAAATGCAGGATTTTGCTTCATTTTTTGAAAAATTTTCACGGGGGAGGACCCCCGGAACCCCCCCCCCCTTCAAGGGCGCCGGCGCACGCATCTGAATTATGTGTACATCATTGAACAAGCACCAGGAAAACACTGTGTTCTTGCATGCTATCACTGCTTGGAGAATGCAATGCATGATGGGATGGTGGCGGGCGGACAGGCATAGATCATACAAGCATGTACTGTATCTGCAGACAATGCCAGCTACAATGTAGTTGTACATTGCCACGTGTAGCCCCATGCCATATACAGTACTTGTACAAGTGCCCTTCCTCTAACTTGACATACCATAATCGCGCGATTAGTGCCCCCCCCCCCCCCCCCCCGGGCTCTATTTGCTCAAAGTCGATTTATATTCAAGAGAGGGCAATAGTTTTCAATGCTGGTGCATTTTACGTCATCCAGCATAAAACAAAGAAGGCAAAGAAGAACGGAGTGTAAAGTTTAAATGTGCAACTAGAACTGCAATTTTGATCCTGAGCCCACCAGTCCAGTGAAACGGACAAGAGCACTAGCAAAACAACACCAAAATTGCACGTGCGCTTGATCACAAGCGGGGAGGCCTCAGGGGGCCCGGCCAGGACACTATTCAAGAGAGGGCTCTAATCTAGGGAGTACAGTACAAGCTAGTAGGCACTCGTTTGTGGCACTCGTTTGTGAACTTTTACGAGGGATGATCCTACAGCACTGGCGGGTGCCGAAGAACGGCCAGGCTAGAATTTCACCAATTTTTAAGAGCGGTCTACATAGGCTGGATTTTTGCAGACAAGACAGAAACCGTAACATACACTATAATGTACACTCAGACGTATAACTCTGCATAAATGTACATGTAAGACCGTACCGTCGAATAAGAACGAAACGGCTGTGTTCGCTAAAAATAAGAACGGGCTCAGTAGGCTAGAACTCTGACCCCCCCCCCCCCCCCCCTTCCCAGTTCTTCGGCGCTACCCGACAGTACTGTATGATCCGATGGCAATGTGTCCTGTGCTTCTTGCTACCTGCGCCAAGATGGCCTTTCAGAAAGCATGAAGTCGCCCAATCTCAGCTGGGATGCACAGGCAATCTTTCAGGACCAAGAGCCAGGGCATGGAAAGCCCAGTGTTTCACTACCCACAGAGCCTCCAACACTGCTGAAAGCCAAGATACAGGCCGTGAACAGTAACAGCAGCATCGGCAGCGCGTTGGAGCGCACCTCCGCATTGTCCCTGCAGGCCTTCTCTGAAGAGGTTGCAGATCGGGCTCGTCGCAAGGCCAGTGATGAAGCAAGGTATGCATCCGGCCACGAATCATGTTTTCGGAGCCATTTGCACTATATGCATTGTGTGTGCCCCAACCTTAAAATTTCGTGTGCAATATGTTACACTTGATGTGGTTGAAAACAAAACACACACGTACCCCCCCCCCCCCCTCCTCCTCCTCATGCAGGCACACAGACACATGAAGTAGTTTGTTCTTTGCTCCCATCAAAAGTGAAATCAGCCTTGCAAGCAACTTGGCAACTGCTATAGGACTCTGTGCATTGTCACTCATGATCATCATCATAATGAGATGTAGGATGCTTTGATGCACGTTCTGTGTGGCACACAATCTTTGAACAACCCGCCGCATTGTAAGTACAGTGGAGGGCGGGTATGATAATACTCCATCGGTGTAGTGTTCATATACAGTATATAGTATAGCACACACACTATTAGCACCCTGCACTGTCTTTACCCTTATCCATTGGAGATGAGTGACTATATTCAATCTGTCACTAAAACTGGTCTCCGGAAAGGACTTACCGTAAGACTTGGGCAACAAGCATTAGTTCCAGTTATACCGATAAACTAGTGTGGCATCTCTGATCTCCACTGTAGACCCATGCTTCCAGAACTGACAGTAAATTATTTAGATACAAGGGGTTGACTTGCACATGATGTACATGGACATGTACCTGACTGCACAATTATTGTACAAGACACATTATTTCCCAATTTCTGCTTGCCGTGATCCTGAGGTATGAACATATCTGTCTGTTGAAAACATACCGGTATGGGTGCACACGGCTTGTTCTACTGATCTTCCTTACAGCATATGCAGAAAGCCGTCAGATGAGACGCAGCCAGCTGTCAGCATTGTACCGTCGCTGGCACCCAAAGCATGCACGAGCAGTGCTGCCGAGTTGGAAGTCCAGCGTGCCCGCAGCATTTCAGCCGTGGTGGCCGCCAAGCAGAGACAAGCGCTGGCGATGAAGCGCAAGTCAGCCGGCTACTCCAAGGCATCGCGGCACTCGGAAGGCGGGCAGCGGAGAGCGTCTGCCCCGGTGAAGAAAATGGCAAAACGGGAGCGCTCCCTGTCTCTGCCAATGATCTCGGTTGAACGTGATGGCAGGTGCAGCTTTCTGTTGAGTGATCCTGGCTCGTCTGATTCGGACACAGAAAACAGAACAGGCAATTCCTGTAAGGATGCGGCAATGCGTAGGCCGGGTGGTCAGGGCCGGAAGAAGGCGATAACATCTTGCCCGCGGATGCCAGTGATCGCTTCACCGGTCATCCAAACACCGCAGAGTGAGCTATGGCAGGTGCAGGAAGTCTCGTCGCGGGTCATACCCGCCACGGGAGCGGTGGAGATCGTCGACCTGATACATTCCGACCCTGGCGACTGCGATAGCACGGAAGAGGACAGCCTGTTCGTGGCGTCGCCGGCAATGGCACGGGCCTGGCGCCATGACGATAGGGACAGGCTGGGCCGGGACTCTCCAGGTGCTGCGTTCCAAAGTGGCCTAGAGGGTAAGATAAGTCCGTGTACAGTTTTTTGTCCTGTTGTTGAGTACTAGTACTTCAGAAGTACTTGTATGAGCAATCGCTATGGAGACAAGAATTGCAGCAGAATGCAGCATCAATGTTGCAGACATCACCATGCAACGTAACATCTAGAGTATTTATTCATTTATTCGAAAATCAACTTTCTTGTTCTGCTCTTCAGTGGAATGCGGAACTAAAGTCAAACAAAATTGAAAGAGCGCGGCAATCGATATACGCGATATTGGAATGGAATAACAATTGAAACCTCCAAACGTTGTTATGCTGTGTAGCCTGTGTTGCTATGTCTGCAGCACTGGTATTCTTTATTGAGTGCTAGCTTACACCACTGCAAGAGTATAATAACCCTTCCTCCCCCCCCCCCCCCCCTCTCTCTCTCCAATAGGGACTTTGCCTGGGTTTGTTATGGGGTCTGCCAGTGGTGGAAACTCGCATCGCGTGGTTCAGTGTCTAGGGCGATATCAAGAAATTGAGTAGCAAAGTAGTGTTCGATGATGAAAAGTTGCCAAAACCTCTTTCTCTGAAGAGGTTGCGGATCGGGCTCGTCGAAGGCCAGTTTTAGGTTCACCTGATTCATTCTATTCTTCCACCTGTACACACACACAAACACTCTTTCTCTCTCTCTCTCTCTCTCTCTCTCTCTCTCTCTCTCTCTCACTCACTCTCACTCTCTCTCTCTCTCACTCACTCTCTCTCTCCTCTCTCTCTCTCTCTCTCTCTCCTCTCTCTCACTCTCTCTCTCTCTCTCTCTCTCTCTCTCTCTCTCTCTCTCTCTCTCTCTCTCTCTCTCTCTCTCCCCCCTTCTCTCTCCCCCCCCCCCCTTCTCTCTTTGTCTCTGCAGCGCCGGCTGGCCAAGTACAGCAAAGGCGCGTGCTGTCATTGCAACACATGAAGACGTACGATGCAAGACCGGCAGCAACTACATGTACTGCCAAGACACTGGCACCGCCGCCAGAGGGCCACCTGCAGCGCGGCTCGCGCTTCAAGCGCTCGCGGCGCAGCAGTCAGAAGCAGCGTGTGCGCGTGGTTGGCCGCGCCGTCACCTTCCACAGCCACAGCGGACCGCCTACGAGGACACCGGCATCGGGCTCCTCGAACACGCCAGGCTTTCCGGCCGGCGTACCGCCAGGTGGTGCCATGGTGAGGAGAAAATCAAGTAGCAAGGATTGCCAGCGCAGAGCGTCGGTGGTGGAGATGCTGCACAGCGAGACACAAGACGAAAGCAGCACGGCGAGCGTGGGACCGGAACGCCCACTGGAGAACAAACTCACTGTCTCAGTGCCTGCTGGCAGAACAAGGACCAGGCCATCACTGGTGTCCAGTGATCGAGTGCCGGTTCCCGACAACTCTCCCGCAAGTGATAGTGACACGGCATTCTTGACTGGCAATGGCGATCCCACAGCTGACGCACACGTGTTTGCCTCCGCCAGCAAAGCATGTAGTCATCAAAGACGTCAGCAGCGAGACATGGCATACGCCGCGGCATCCTCCACCGAGGCTCTGAATGAGCCGGCCGTGCGGTGCTACGTCCCGTCGCCCGATGGATTCGCGGCACGAGCAATCACAGTCACCATTGCCACTCCCAGCGGAGACGAGGTCAGTGATAGCATGGTGCTCGACTCGTCGGCGGACAATCACACTGACTCGCCATTGTCACAATCAAGTGCTGCCCAGGCCGGGCACAGTAGCTGCACAGGACCGTCAGTTTCACCAGCATCTCTCTACTCCGACGACAAGCAGGTAGGCATAGACGTCTACTGCAGCAAGTCGGCACAAGGTTCACGTCGTCTGCCGGGCGACCTGGCATCATCTACAAACACACTTGACACGGACAGTGCAGTTTAGGAGTGCAATGTACTCAACGGACAAGCATGTGTTGTGAAGATTCGATCAACACCAGAACAATGTTTAGCAGTAATTCCTGATTCCAGCCACTTTATAGTTTGAATTGGCTGCATGCATTTTGTTGCTAAGTTAGGGGTTAGCGGTGATCAATAGCAATAATTCGTGAACCGAAGAGATATGACAATTCTTGCCGAGATACTAGCCATATGGTGACTCCAGAACCACACACACGCGCACGCGCGCACACGCTTGCAGAATATCACGAATCTGTCACAAGTGCATGTACCACAGTGGCACAATGAAAGTGTCATGGCAGTCATGACTTCTACCATGCCAACACTCGAGCCTCCGCATGTACATTACTTCGACGTAAATTAGAGTGTAAATTCTAAATTCCATACTTTCTTCACTATGACGTGGAGATTTCAAGAACAGAGGCAAGATGAACACTACAGGCTGTGCCAGTCAAGTTCTTTTTTCTCTTTCAAAATTTCAAAATAATTTTAAATATTATTTGAAGACAGTATCAATCTCCTTTGGCCGTGCATGACAGCGGAGGGCACCAATACTGCGCGTAGCTGCATGTCTGCACCCCTCACGTACACAGTGTTGTCCCACTCGCCGAGTACAATGCATCACCAATTCACCATCCATTGCCACACACAGTAGTGTTATACTCCGCACAGCAGAAAGTACGCGACAAGCTGCAATGCCGCTACAAGTACAAGTAGCACATAATTGGCCAGTACAGACTTCGCTTGCAATACCTTGCAGCCTTATACATCAAATTGTGAACATAATAATATTATTGGGTTTACAGTTTGAGGGAATTGTAGCTTCATGTTTTCTTTTCGAATTTCAGAAAACCGGATTGTGAAAATATGAAACTGAAATCATTGAATGCTTCGGGGCGTAACTGAAAAAGAAAAGAGGACAATCCCGTCAGGGAGTAGTAAATACTGTAAATCAACAATTTTTGGCCGGTGAGAAACTTTGGCCGATATCGAAATGAAACTTTTGGCCGTCATTAAACTTTGGCCGATTAGGGTTTTCAACAAAGAAATCGATCAGTAGTTGGTGCTCTCACATGCATCCACGCATCATTTGCCTCTATGACAAACTTTGGCCGGCGATTTACTTTGGCCGGTTGTTACCCAGCGGCGAAATCAGCAAAATTAAATCGCCAGCGAAAATTAGTTGATTTACAGTACCCATGTACTATGTAAAAAAGTCTTTAGTACTCACTGGTTGCCATACTTGACAGGTGCTTGACAGGTCCTTGCCTGCTAACACTCAGCAGTGTTCATGGTACTGCCAACAGTTACATAGACCAGCTACATGTACATAAATATGACTGCATGCATACTATAACAGCTGGCATTGCTCGAAGGGCAGTGTGATGCGCTGAGACCAGAGCGGACCACGGGTGACGGTACAGGCGTGCAAACAAAGAGCAATAATCAACTAGGGGAATGGCAGTAACTAGAAAAGAAAGTTAGTAGCATACGCAGGACAGCAGCAGCAGCAGTAGCAGTAGTAAATACTATTGGTATGAGGAGAGTACTAGACTAGAGATACCTGCAATGGCAGCCACCAACACAGCGCCCACAATGGTGGTACACGAGGAGCCACGCGGTGCAACTTTGCCTGCATCAGCACTCCCCTGGCCACCAGTGGCGGCAGCAGCAGCAGATTGCCTGTCCTTGCTGGCAGCCCGCGAGCCAATTATCTTCAGCGCTTCCGCTTGCGAAGATGGCATGGACTCCGGTCGCACAAAACTGTCGTCTTTCAGTGAGGTGCCAAGCATGTCACTAACACGCTGAGCGCATGCCGACACCAGCTCACCAGGGAAGAGGTAATCACACACTGCAATCGGACTGGCCGAGTCGATGACACCAAAACAGCGCTCGGGACAGATGAGCACCTGCTGCTGCCGCGGCTTTGCCGTCGCGGTCTTTTCCTTTTTCTCCGTTCCGTCTGACGCCTGTGCTGCACCGTCCTCGTTCATATCCTGTGCATCCTCCGACAGTAGGTGTAGCCGTGTGGTGATACTGCGCAGTACGTCCAGCTTCAACAGGTCCACCGCTTCCCGGAACGTCGCCTTGTCGTGCACGTAGGACCGCGCGCAGATGTTGCCGCGCACCCGCAGGCAGTCAGAGCAGCTGCGCACCTCGATGGCATCGTCGACGTCCGCACCACCACCACCGCCGCCACTCCACAGCTCTAGCTGAATGGTCGGCGAGTGTACAGCGGCACCTCGGCCAGAGGACCGCGCCACCAGTGGCTCGTCCAGCTTGCGAAACAGCCGTCCACGATCGGAAACAACAGCAGCGGCTGCGCTGTTAAGCTGTGCTGTTACTTGTTTCATGTTGCTTAGGACTTGAGCCGATGGTGACGAGCCATGCGCGGACGCCTCCGTGAAGATGGTCTCATCCAGTGCATACGTACAGGACACCTGCGCCCAGCTACGCAAAAACGACTGATACTTGAGCTCGGCCGGCTTGAGTGTTGCCTGCCGGTCCTGGACATCCAGCGTGCGGCAAACGGTCTTCTTCGTGGAGGAGCAGATCTGAATTATGACTGCACTTGCAGAGTGCGCCGAGGCTAGGCTAGTTTTGGCACTCCACTGGCACACCGAGCGATCCAGCGAGTGCGAGTTGCAGAGTTCATACGCCAGCTGGCGCACCTGGCCCTGCAAGCGCTGTGCCGTGCTCGGTGCAGCATACAGGAATAGCCCGATGATCTCGAACCCACTTGGCAGCATTCGCTCCACCTTCGCCGACCAAACAAAGGAGAGAAAAACCAAAACACATGTACAGGAAGCAGTTCATACTGATCATTTCCTCCGTCTTCACTATGATCAAGTAATTTCAAGCATCCGTGGTTCATGTTTGTGTACGAATACAGCTGTATTACACTGATGAGGAGAGCAATGGCTCTTGCCAAGTGAAAAAATAGAGGCAAGTTTGTTGCTTTTCTTGCCTAATTACTAGCAAGTACATCACTATTCACTAGGCGGAAAGACAGGCAGAGAAAATCCTCAGGAAACTATGTTGTATCCATGTTGTATCCATTACGTGCCGGAGTGTGTGTTTGTTTCTGTGTGTGTGTGTGTGTGCGCACGTCTTTGCACGCAGTGCGTACGGACACACCATTGTAGTATGCGTATACTGTTCACTGTGCTCCACCCATGGAGGTGACATAAGACCATAGAACCCAGAAAATTATGCTCATGTCAACACTGGGCTGGATTGGGAATCTCTGCTCTGCTGGGTTCGAGGTCTATGCAATATGTGAAAGACATGCCCCCCCCCCCCCCCCCCAAACCCAATAACAGCTATTAGACCAGGGACGGCATACAGTGTGGGCATAAATTAGCCCAGCTTCAATGCCAAGGGCGACTGTACCGGGTAGCCCGAGAGTGACACCCATGTCGGCTCGCGCTTCGTCTACCCGTACCATTTCCTTGGACGGGGCGTCACACACGGTACGACGGGTGCACGGTCGTACCACTGTTCGTCCGAGGGATGGTCCGTCCAGTTTACCCAAAAAAGCAATAAACCTTCATGTGATCACGCATTTGTAATAATGGCACATACTGCAAGCCACCCAATGTTCGTGCCACTAAATTTTTGGGATCTGTCAGAACTAGCGATTTTACAAGGGCAAATGTCCGCGGAGCACTATGGCCACACACAGACACCCACTGTTGACATTTGATTTCACAATTCGCGTTACTCTTCTCGTGAAATTAGCGAACACTAATATGGCACTAATATGGCACTCCTGCACTGCAACCCACAGCCTCCCGTCCCAGGATGTCCTGTTTGCTTCATTCATTCGAGTATCCGCCTGATCTCCAAGTTTTAGACTAGTGGTGTGCACGGGTAGTCGGCTACCCGTGAGGACTTCGGGTAGACGGGTACAGAATAGTACCCGAAAACCCGAAGTCGCAGATGACATGTAGGTCTACATTGCATGTGTACAAATTCATGTACTCCGCATGTCTACCCAGTGTAAGAGAAGGAGTGCATTGTGGTGTTACCATGGAAACATTACCCGATCGGGTACCTGTGCTACCCGTGGAAAACTACCCGAACGGTCCGGAACCCGAAGAAAATACTACCCGACTCAGCCCTATTTTAGACGCATAAACTCCAGTTCCGTATGAATGTAGGTTTCAAATCACAAGGAGAGTGTGGTGTGTGATTTTATGCAGTGCGCAGGTTGTGGCTGCATGATGTAATGAAGGCAGCGCGCCACACATCAGGCCCATAGAAAGTGATCACAGCTGCATATTATTCTTGGTTACAGACTCTTACAAGTGCCTGTCAGCGGTGGCCTGCCTTGAAGTCAAACAAGTGCGGGTCTGGGGTCCCGGGGATGGACTAAGTCAGAATATGAACGAAGCTGTGCACGGAACTACCTGGCCTTGTTGAACACTTGTGCCTGCGTGACTTCACCCTGCTACATGCACTTTCTCTCACTTACATGCTCAGTTACAGCTCAATCACTTCGCTGGCAAACTTGCCGCCGAGAATAAAACCATCATCTCACTTTCACCACCGGCATCTGTCTTGCCATGCACTCTATACCTGGTCTTGCCAGCTGTCACCTTCACTTCCTTCTCCCTGTCTACTTCTAAAGAGACTTTCAACACAAACGTTTACTTCCAAAGTAGTATCTACATGTACATGCACTGTATTTTCCGGAGTAAAAGCCTCATCCCCCATTTTTTTGCCACGAAATACAGACATCTACCCTATTCATCACGATCATTGGAGAATAAGCCGCACCCCTCTTTTTTTGGGGTGAATTTTTGAGTGTTCAAAGTTCGGCTTATACTCCGGAAAATATTGTACCAGTCAGTGAGTGTACAGAGTGCTGTGCTGTGCGGTTTGAACCACAAGAGTGGGGAAGGCAGTGCGATGGACCAGACCTGAGTGACGCTGCCAATGCCTTTGCCTCAAATAACTAGAATCGACTTGACCCAGTTTCGCAAGTTAGGAGCAGTCAAGTTACTTAGTTCATGTAGTCTACATTGTACCCACTAGCGGCCCTTGTGAGGCCAATTCAAAAAAAGTTCAGGGGAAGTTTTCCTTTGACCCCCTCCGAACCACTGCCCCTTTCGGTCGTCCCACTTCATATCACCCTGTGAGTGTGAATCGTACAGTGATGCACCTGTAACTGTAAGATCATTCTACTTCACTGCATAGCAAGAACCTATGCTGCGCTGTACACTTGAACATGACGCTACTACGATGACTGGTTGTCTTCTACAGTACATGATTGTACAACGTGTACATGTACAGTCTGTATCGGCTATAGCGTACCCTTTTGATTTCCGTGATTTTATCACTATAACCGATGCATCACTATATGCGATACGATCGTTTTTTAGTTTTTTTCGATCGACACATGAAAGGCAAGGAAATACTTCCAGCATGGCGTTTTGACAAATGAGCATACTGCATAGTTGACAGTGCCCGCATTTCCATACAAAATTCTGTTAGTACATGTACATGGATCACTATAAAAATAAGCAACGTGAAGAAAGTAAAAAAAATAGGGCCTTTGATATTATTGCTACATGTTTTTTTAAATTAAAGTTATCACTATAGCCGATAAGAATATAGTGTGTTATGCATGTTTTGATTCTTTGTTGCCATCCTAATATCCGATATATCATAACATCCGATAATATTGGTTATAGTGATATTTTTACTGGATAAAATACGTTTTGCTTTTGATATTTCGTACCAATATCACTGTAGCCGATATATTCTTATATCCGGTCACTCTATAGCCGATACAGACTGTACTAGCTTTAATACTGGGTTATGTGTACTCCTGATTTCCTCGATCTCCTGGTTTTTTGAATGTTGTACAAATGCATGGATGTTACAACGAGATAAATACCAAGATTACACCACACCTACCTGCGTAGCATGTTCTAAAGCCCAGTCAACAGACGGAACTTCTTCATTCGTGCCATCGGCAGGAGTGGGCACAAGAAGTGAAATGTAGTCCTTTGTTCCAGCTCTTTGCCCGATGACTAAGCCCAATTGCGAGCTCCGAACAGTTCCGAAAAGGCCCTGAATTCGCTCGCGGACCGTTTCCTCTGCAACTAACGACCGACCCATACTGAAGTCCGAAGGCGATGTAATGATGCGCAGGATAGGGAAGATCACAACATGCAACAGAGCTAAACAATGAAAAGACAATTTTCAATTTCTCAAGACGTATGATGTACGAAGCTAAAAAATTGAAACAGCAAAAAAACAGTGTAAAATGTAATGACTCAGCTAAATATCGTGCATGAGTCATGTAAAAACTGTCTGTTGCGCTTGTACTCTGCTGCACTCTTTTTTATGCTGTAAAAGCTGTGTGCATGCAGCCGTCACTGCATCATTTTACATGCGTCTGTCAGCGATCTTGCACTTGCAAGCTTGATCGATGCCGTTGTGTACGTGTGGCAAGCACGCATTGCGTGCTCAGCGGCCTCGGATCGCAGTTTCCGGGATGCAGAATCTTGCACAGGATCGAACAGTGACAGATTTTGGTTTTGTGGCTTCACTTATCTTTGTGGGTACTTTGTAAGCAAACCTGGGTTCTGGCTCGGCTTGCCCTGTTGATTTCCTTTTTGGCAGCAACGTGGCTCTCTGCCTTGCCGTTGTTCAGCTCGTTTGTTTGCTCCATTTTCTTGCCGGCTACCACACAAGGCAGTAGTAGAATTTGGACAATCCTTCCTCAACAAAAGGAAGAGTGAAAAACTTGAAGTTAATTTGGAGCTGAGATGAAAGTGTGTCAGCTTCTGCCTGTAGTTGTCGATTTGTGGTCTTCCGATGGGACAAGATCTTAGCGCAGCCCTCTGTCGCATCTCTACCCGGACAAACTGACAGGGTGTGGTTGTAGCTGGCAACATGGACTCCAAGTCCAAGTGTGGGCGCATAGATCTGGACAAAACAAGAGAGAAGCTGCTGGCACTTTCCGCTCAGGTGCAAGGCTTGACGTTGAATTTTAGTCCACCGTCCCCTGAAGTTCCACAGAAGCCAGATGGACTGGGTATGGGATCCCTTTCAAAAAAGAGTGCTGTACCATCACACAGGCGTGCCTGCAGCGGCGGTTCACTGGTGGATCTGGGGATCAATCTAAAAAGAAATAGTTTTGAAGCTAGATCTCCACTGTCATTTGACTCGGCCACACTGCATCCGACGGCTGCACTTCAACGACCCACTTCCAGTCTTTCATTCAGTAACTTGAGTGAGATTAGCAGAACTAGCCCAACCCTGGACTTCCGGCGGCCGAGAAGGAGCTTGGATCGGGAATCAACGCGCTCCACGTCCACGGAGAGCCTCTTCGAGGGCTGTATCAACGAGCAGCGGCAACTGGCCAAGTACCTGACCGTGAGTGGGGCCCAGTATCCCGCCGAGCTGCACGACCTGGAGCGTCACGGGCACCTGGGCCACGGCGTGAGCGGCCTAGTGGTGCGCATGCTGCACCGTCCGTCCCAGACCATGATGGCCGTCAAGGTGATGCAGCGGAACGGCAACGACGAGGACCAGAAGCGCGTACTGATGGACCTGTACGTCACCATGCACCTGACCGACTGCCCGCACATCGTCACCTCGTACGGTGCCATCATACAGGCGGACGAGGCGTACATCTGCATGGAGCTGATGAGCACGTGCCTGGACAAGCTCATGAAAACGCACAAGCGGCCATTCCCGGAGCCAATCTGTGGTAAAGTGGCGGTGGCCGTCGTCAATGCCCTCAACTACCTCAAGCAGAAGCACGACATAATCCACCGCGACATCAAGCCGTCTAACATACTGCTGGACGCAACAAGGGGCGTTTTCAAGATCTGCGACTTTGGCATCAGCGGGCACCTGGTGAACTCTCAGGCATGCACGCGCGATGCCGGTTGCACGGCGTACATGGCACCGGAACGGTTTATGCCGGCAACTGCGTCCAAGTATGATGTCCGTGCCGACGTATGGAGTATGGGAGTGACGCTCGTCGAACTGGCCACTGCACAGTTCCCCTACTCGAATTGCCGCTCGCAGTTTGAGGTTTTGACGCGGATCCTGGATGATCCGTCGCCTAGGCTTCCTGAAGACGCTGGCTTCTCCTCGCTTTTTCATCTTTTTATTGACCAGTGCCTTGCGAAGGACGTGGACCAGCGTCCGCGTTTCCGCGACCTGCGCAACCATGACTTTATCGTGTACAACGAGACAGCAAACACTGACGTGTGTGGCTGGTACAAGGCCCTCACTGCAACGTGACAAAGGATGTGTGGAGCGATAGCATGCGTATAAAAGATCATCCGTTGACGCACCCGTACCGTCCGCACTGTACATAGTTTATGTGTGAGCTGCTGCGCTTGCAAACCCCCCTCTCTCTCTCTCTCGTCCGTCCGTCGTCAATATCGACTATCTCCGAAAGCGCGATGTGGCTGCTGCATCACTTCTAGCTGTGATGCGCATTGTCTTGCAGCGCCGTGTTCCGTTGTGACCTGCATCGCTAACGGCTTCCCTCTTCTGCTGTACTTACTCCCCGGTCTTCTGCCTTGCTTCCCAGTTTTTTAATTGCTGCTGCTGCCTGTAGTTTGCCAGCAGTGCACTTTCCTTGATGTATCGTAACCCCTATTTTTACCCTCACCATTTTCAGTACTTTCTGCAGTGCATCATTATTCTCCGCTCTCTTCCCAAAGACGGCATTTTACAGACGTTTTACACTCTAGTTTCTTCATATTTATATACTGCTCGTCGTTCTGGCACAGGGCACTTTGATGTCCTGTCTTGATGCCAGCTCAGCTATGTAACACAGACATGTGTCGCGGATTTCACTTAACTTGCCAGTTGTGTGTGTGTGTGTGTGTGTGTGTGTATATGTGTGTGTGTGTGTGTGTGTGTGTGTGTGTGTGTGTGTGCGTGTGTGCTATCATCTCCACTGGAGATGGAGCGTCAAAGGTCAAGGTGCGTGTGTGTGTGTGTGTGTGTGTTCAGCGAGGTACTAATCAGCATGGAGTTTGAAAATTGCTAGTGATGTACGCGTGAGGGTTCTGCATTTCCTGAGTTGAAGCGCCTGTCTATAGATGGCGGAGGACTATATTGTAGGCATGCAGAGTGATTTCATGCAAGTACCTGAAGTGGATTTGCGGGGCATGCTCTCTTGGTGCTACACATCGAACTGGCCTACCATTTTGTTGGACATGAGCATGCTGCTACAAACAAAACTTCTAGCTGGGAAATTCCTGTGCACTCACGTGACGCATTCCTCCACAAAAGGGGTAACGCCATACATGTACTGAAACATGAGAAGCTTTCGCTAGAGATTATGAATTTCGTTGTTTTCACGACCATCACATATTCTTACATACCCTTCTGTTATGTATATTACCAAGGGTGCGTTTGGTTGGTAAGATCTAGAACAGGATCGAACAGCTGGTGCACATGGAGCAGCCTCATGCCAACCAAACGGTACTCCAGAAACAGAGCACATTTTCGTGGAAAAATGTGTGAAACTTGAAAATGTGTATGGGTCACCATGGTCACTTTGTACGGTACAACGAGTCCAACCTAAAAGCGTATGCACGTGATCATTTGGGACCAAAATCGGTGTTCCCGCCAGGTTTCACTGTGAAAAAGTGAAACTGCTCGGTCTGCTCCGGCCTCGAGGCCGGAGCAAGCAGAACATGTTCTGGCCGACCCAGAACAGGTGCAGTCCCAACCAAACGCGCTGTTCTGGTGAATCCTGTTCTAGTTCGTACCAACCAAACGCGCCCCAAGAGTTCATGGAGGTTATGAACTCTTGATATTAGAGAGGTTAAGTTACACGTTTTTTGCCCTTTTTCAAAACGCGGTGCAAATCTCATGTTACGTGTAATTTTTAGAGGTTAAGTTATACGTGCGACGTGACGTGAAATTTTGCCTGGCAGGATTCGGGTTTAGTAGTTCGCACAAATATCAAATCTTCCAACAAACTCGATAAATTTCCATAAAATTCCGGAAACTCACACAAATTCGGTCGGGATAACCAAGCGAAACGTCCAAAAACTCACGTCATGAACTTACGTGCGGGACAGTCAACTCACGTAAAACACGTCAAATTTTACGTGAGTTTTTTCACTTTTTGACGTAAAAGTTCACGGACGTAAGACTTTTACGTGAAACTTAACCTCTCTATTACTCGTGTTTGGCCTGTTCTGTTCCTTCATCGTTACTTTCCTGTTTTTTTTTTGTTCCTCTTTTGTGTTTTGTTTTGTTTGTTTTTGTTTCGTTCTCCCCTCTCATTTTTGTACGGACACGTGGCACAGTTTGGCATATGCGAATATGTGGGTTGCCATTGTGCGGAAATGCATATAATAATAATAATCATCACATACTCGCAAAAGTAAATCGCCGCGAACTGCTCTGTGTACATTGACGGTAGACTGTACCAGGGAGCCCTACACTACAGACAGTGTAGGGCTGGCCCCCTGGACTGTACAAGATCCGAATGAAGAGTTTCTTATCGTGGTCCAGTGCAATCATTGAAAACGCAAAAAAATTGCACGCCGCGAAAGTTGATGACTTTACTAGTAACTGCACTGGATCATGACCCATGAGCCTCAATCTCCACTAAATTTGGATTGCCCCACTAAATTTGGACTACCTCCACTAATCCAGCTTTGAAATTACACTGGCAAGAGTCCATAAACTGTTTGTTATGCACTCTTGCTACCGGTAATGGTGACACACACACACACACACACACACACACACACACACACACACACACACACACACACACACACACACACACACACACACACACACACACACACACACACACACACACACACACACACACACACACACACACACACACATGCACATGCACACGTGATACATTATAGTAACTTACATGTACTGGATGATGTGAATAAGTGAAAATGAGGCCAGCCTAATTCACCAAATTATAATCATTCCTCATAAATCTACGCACAGCAGCTACGCGAAGGCAACAACAACAGACCAAATTCTTTCCGTAACTCTGCGCAGCAGGTACAGTACATGATAAATCAGGGCATGGTGTGATACTGGATAAAAACAGACAACATAAAAACAGTCTCAGCCATGAACTTAACAATAGCATTACAGCGTAAATACATGTACAGCATAGCTAGATTACGAATGACATTCCTGCAATATTCTACTGGTTGCTGTCAGCAAGATTGACTGGGCAACTTTATTGTTATTATGATTATGTGACCAAATGTAAAGCTTGAATTTCAGGGTGATAAGTCAGCAATTAGTACTAGTAATCATGGTAATGAAGTAAGATGAAGATGAGCTTTGAAGTGTCATCTAGACACACGGATATGCACGCATGAGTGTATGGGTGCACAGACACACAAATGCACACACAGATACACACACACACTTTCATGTGAACACACAGACACACATATACAGACACATACACAGACACATACACACAGGTAGACAGACAGACAGACAGACAGACAGACAGACAGACAGACAGACAGACAGGCACACACACACACACACACACACACACACACACACACACACACACACACACACACACACACACACACAGGAAATCACTATTGGCTCAGTCGCATGAAAAACCCATGCCGCGAGTCCGTCTTCCACGATGGTTGGTAGCGGTGATAGAAATCTAGAATGCACTCATCGCCCTTGAAGCCAAATTTCTGGAACAGCAGCATGGCAGGATTGGTTGCGGAAACATGCAGTGTCACATCTTTACCAATCCAAGTCTGTAAAAGGGTCAACAGCAAGAAATACAAGTACATGGGGAAATCATCTAATGAGTATACAAACACTCTTATACTTGTACCAGTCTAGCGAGAGCGCCCCACCTTGATTTCACAGCCAGGGAAAGGAAAATCGTATGGCAGAGTGCAACAAAGTATGTACGGTGTGAGAACCTTAGTGTACTGAGGTCACGCTTAGCATGTTTTCGTGTGGAGCTCAAAGGTAAACTGAGTTTGGATTGACTGCACAGCGTACGATGTGTGTACAAGGTACGTGCCGTATGACCTTCAGACAGGACACCACCTCCACAGCACGACCACGAAAGGACAAGTAACAGTTTGTTGGTGGGGCGCTCTGGCGGTACTTTACAGTAGTAGGTTCTGCCACTTGAAATCCGATCCGACACTGTGAATACAATCGCAAATCGCACACTAAAATCGGCGCCAACGTTTTCTGGCTTACAGTACCCATCAGGAGTTGCACACTCCTGGGAATCATGGACATGTTACATGCACACTCTTCCCTCCTAATTCTAAATGGACAATCAGCGAAAAAGACAACAAAAATCAGAACTGTCCACTCTCGGGGATGTTGGAGAGGACTCGGTGCAGGAGTCACTTCATACCTGAATCAGATGGTATAAGAGGAAGGTACCGATGCCCGCGTTGCGCCACTCCGGATGGACGAGCAGAAAGGAGATGTAGGCTTCGTTCTCCTTGACATCCGGGGTCATGAAGGCGCAGCCGATCACCAGTTTGCTGTACAGCAAAAGGCAGTGTGAGGTACACAGAGTGACATAGGACAGTGTGAGGTACACATAGTGACATAGGACAGTGTGAGGTACACATAGTGACATAGGACGCATTTACAAACACGGTGCATTTACGGGCTTCAACAGACAGTACATTCAGCGTGGTGGTAATAGCCTGTGAGAAAAATGACTGTCACCTGGCTGCGCAGCATGCCAGAGTTTTGCGGCAAACATCACATGAAGCACCTTTACAACATCACATGAAGCACCTCTACAACATCACATGAAGCACCTCTACAACATCACATGAAGCACCTCTACAACATCACATGAAGCACAACACAATACTATGGTATTGTTCCATGAGAAGCTGGATGCAATCTATCATAACGGAGAATTTGAGAGAAGAGAAAGCCGGGGGGAAGTATGGTTGTAACAGGCCACACACACACAAACAAAGTGCACAGCTGTTCATTTGAAATGAACTAGCAATTGCAACAGAGAAAATACGCTCTTTTGGGGTGATTTACACAAAATGTGGTGCAGATTTACTATACTACAGTTGTGCGATGAGATCTGATCATATAAGTTGCATAGTGGTAAGTGCAGTGATATTCCTGGTGCTGTGATGCAAGTGCCGAGCTGTGCGACGCAACACAACACGATCCGCGCCTACTAAACGAGGGTTAGGCTTCCTCCAGTGTAACTGTACAAGGGAGATGCCAGCAATGAACTCACCCGTATAGCACAACAATACTGAAGTCGGGATACTGGAGACACTCCGTTACTGCATGTGATAACACAGCACAACAGCATGCGTTCATGGTAGGTAGAGAGAATATACAGGTTGTTGGAGTTTCACTTGGATCCTTTTGAAATTTGTACAAATACAAGACCTCATTGAGCCTAGGCTAGGGATCGAGTTCATGTTTGCCTCCTGGGCGCAATGCTTGAGTGCGTTTCTTTCTTTGCATCATCATTTTATGCGGTCAATAAGAACACGCTTCCGAGAACATACAGCCAGTGACAAACGATCAACACACCACGGTAGTACAGCAGCAACACGTGACTATCACGAAATTCAAATGAGCTCAGTCACCAGACTTCAGAATTGTAGAGTGCAAGACAATAGAATTGACCCCTCTGGATCTCTCCCACCAGGTGAAAGCCAGTTATAAAGCAAGGGCTATAACCAACACTGTGTGCGAACTAAGCAAGATCAACCACTGATGCGACTGCTAGCCATTGTTCAACACACATATACACCTACATTATACACATACCGCATTATCTCCATTATAAGCCCAGCGCTTATATTTTTTCCACCAGTCCGGACCCCGGGCTTATAAGTTACTAGAGACTGGGCTTCTACAAGAGACTGGGCTTATAATTTTTCAACCACCTGGTACATGCACATTGCTTATTATTTTTCATTATATCAGTAGCACAAAGTTTCCCAGCAGGTACCAGGACTGCAGTTTTGTGCTTCCTGGTACACTGAGAGAATCTGAACTTTAGATCTCGGGGATCACAGACTTTTACCACAGCAATCAGCATGTGTTTATGTGATGTGTGACGTCAAACATGCATGGACATGATCCATGCAGTTCTCCATTATAAACCCTGCGCTTATATTGGAGACTGCGCAGCCCTATTGGAGTGCGCTTATAATAGAGACTGGGCTTCGACAAGAGACTGCGCTTGTAATAAAGATAATACGGTATGTGTATATACGCACACCCACACACACCTACACATACACACATGCCTGCAAAGAAGCACGCCAAACATGAATGCAGCAACACCAAGCATAGTGGGAAAGCAACAAACCCTAACATAATAACAGCAGCAGCAGCAGCAGCAGCAGCAGTAGCAGTAGCAGCAGCAGCAGCAGCAGCAGCAGCAACAACCATGATAACACAAGCACAACCTTACAATCAATGCCAGGCCAGAAGAAGTGACTGCAGAGCGAGTTCACTGCCGGGATGTGATGCGGCCGCACGTAGCAATAATCAATCGGGACTTTCTTGCGCTGTGTTCGTTCAGCTACAGGCCTGCATAGTAAACCAATCAAAGAATTTCCAAACGTCACAACAGCCACTAGCAGTGCTTTAGCAGGGTTCTCAAGTGTGCAAAAACGTCTCGAATAGAAAGGCGACTATGGTGCGGCTTGGAACTTACAGCTTTGCGTTAGTTTTCGCCATCAGTTCCTCAAGCAGTTTAACTCGCAGTGGCCGAGTCTCGTGGTCTCGACGAATGAACGGCTTCAGGTATCTGGCAGATGACAAGAAAGACAGTAGAAGAGCTCATGATATGCACAAAGTGTTATTACAGTGAAACCTAGAATTGCTGCTGCTTACCCTTCATTAAAAACTTAGAGTACCCCGGATTTTACATACTATTCTCTTTTTTTTGCATGATGGAAGCAAAAAAGCAAAGTTATTCTCACCTTGCTGTAAACGGGCTGACAAAGGGCTCCTGCCGAGAGAGATCCAGACAGCCAGTGAGTCGATATGCGAAAGGCACGGAAACGGCAGGATCCATGCATTCCGATTCTGGTAACACAATCTGCAGTGCCATGCAAGATGCAAGACACACACACACACACACACACACACACACACACACACACACACACACACACACACACACACACACAAACACACAGACACACAGACACAGACACACACACAGACACACACATGCGGTGTAACAAAGATAAACACAATGCGGAACACAGACACAGACACACAAAGACACAGATACACATACATACACAAGGTGTAACACAGACACAGACACAGACACAGACACATACAGACAGACAGACAGACAGACACACACACAAGATGAAGCACAGAAACACACATGATGTAAAACACATACACACACACAAACACACGCAGGCAGGCACACACACACAGGCAGGCACACACACACACACACATACACACACACACACATACACACACACACACACACACACACACACACACACACACACACACACACACAAGGTATAACACAGATACAGCATACACAATGCGTACAGATACAGAAGACACAGAAAGACACAGAAAGACAGAGACAGACAGACATACAGGCACACACACACAAGAACGTACCCTGAAGCGGTCGAGAAGTTCGTGAGCTCCGAGGCCTCTGGCATGCAGTGGTTTCTGCGAGTACACCAGGGGCATCAACAAACAACAACACAGAATTGAGAGTGGCGGCAAGCACAGCAGCATGTCCTGCAGCAACATTCCTGCAAGGATCCTGCAGAAATAGCGAGAGCAGAAGAGCCTGCAATGCAGGTGATGGCAAGCCGAGACGCATTGCATGCATTCCAGTGAACGTGCACAATGACACAGGACATGACTTGTGTTGTCTGGGACAACTGCATTGAAAATCAGCACCAGCACTATCCTGCGCGCCTAAAGTTCACTTCTCAAAGCAGAAAGCCAGAATACAATGGAGTTGATCACACCTTCATCAATAAGGCCGTGGTAAAAAATAACGCTGATTCTCAGGTCATGAGCCTGTGAAAATCGGTGCGAGCGAGCGATTTTTTAAATTTCATTTCCCACAATTTTTTTATTTCCAAAGATAGGGTCACACATATGTACATGGTCACATGTTCATATTCAGGCCAGGGAGTAGAAAAATACCGGTATTTTACTGCTCCCTGATTCATGCACACGTCGAGTCTCACTAGCACTGCCATGTACATGTACATGTAGCTGTATACAAACAGTGCAGTGCGTACTAGTACACAGCATGCCAGGACTAGTCGACTGTACAGTGCAGCCGTATTTGTACATGTACATCATGCATGGAGGGCCGGCCAATGCGCGCATATGCATGCATATGCATGCATAGAATTAAAAAAGCAGAGGGCAAAACCACCACGGCAGTCAGAATGCTGTCCGATACCAGCTCTAAGGGTGTCTTGTCACTCGACGACAAGATCAACGGGCAAACAGTCAGGGACATTCTGACCGCCAAACATCCGCTGGCAGAAGACCTGCAAGATAGTGCAGCAATCACAGGTGTCCCACCCCCACCTCCCCATCCAATCATGTTCTCCGCCATCACCAGGGATGTCGTGAAGCAGGCTGTACTCAACACCACTGGAGCAGCGGGGCCTTCTGGTATGGATGCAGTGGGCTGGCGACAAATCTGCACGTCATTCGGCTCGTCCTCTGACGACCTGTGCGATGCCCTAGCACTATGTGCACGCCGATTAGCATTGTGCCCTGCTGATCCAGCGTCATTGGAGGCCTACAATGCCTGCCGGCTCATTCCCCTAGATAAACAACCAGGTGTGCGCCCTATTGGCGTTGGGGAAGTTGTGCGCCGCGTACTAGGGAAAACCATCTTGACAGTTGTCGGTCCAGCCATTGAACAAGCAGTCGGCTCTCTCCAACTCTGTGCCGGCCAACAGTGTGGCATCGAAGCTGCAATTCATGCCATCAAGGCCACATTCACAAATGACGACACGGAAGCCGTTCTACTTGCCGATGCCTCAAATGCCTTCAATTGCATTAACCGTGCTGCATGTCTCGCAAACATCCGCCACCTCTGCCCGGAGTTCTCAACTACCGTCATCAACTCCTACCGCTCCCCATCCTAGTTCTTCGTCGGAGGCGAAACACTTCTGTCTTGCAAAGGTACCACCCAAGGCGATCATCTCGCCATGGCCATGTATGCACTTGGAACGGTACCCCTCATACAAAGAGCCAAGTCCAGCGGTGCCCTTCAAGCCTGGTTCGCAGACGACTCAACAGCGGGTGGCAAGCTGCGGACGCTGCGCACGTGGTGGTCTATCCTGGAGGAAGAGGGGCCAGCTTTCGGCTACTTCATCAACGCCAAGAAGTCCATTCTTCTTACAAAACCAGACCATGCTGACCTAGCAGCCGAGCTTTTTGGTGACACCAACGTGGACATCTGGGTTGACGGCTGTCGTCATCTAGGCGCAGTTCTGGGCACCCCACAGTACTGTGGGGGTTTTGTTCGATCGAAAGTCCAGGAGTGGTGCGCAGAGTTTACAGTCTTAGCCCAGTATGCTGTCACCCAGCCCCAAGCAGCTCCAAGCAGCCCCAAGCAGCATTTGGACAGGGCCTGCGGCACAAATGGGCCTTCATAGCCTGCACCGTGCCCGACACCGCGCACTTGCTAGCTCCGTTGGAGGACACGATCCGTGCGAAGCTCATTCCCGCCATCACCCACCGACCTCCTCCAGGTGATCTTGAAAGGTCCATCCTAGCTCTACCCTGCAGAGACGGAGGTTTGGGGCTCATCATCCCGACCTCCCTGTCAGTTCAGCATCGTGACTCCAAAGCTATCACACACGCCCTCGTAGAGCGTTTCCTGCGTCAGGATGAATCCCTTGACGGCATCCCGCACGAGACAAGAAAAGTGAAGGCAGATGCTTCATCACAAGCCCGCCGTGCACGCATGGACCACGCCAAGTCCATCAAGGATAGCTGCCCTCCCGCCACGCTTCGGGTGCTGGAACTGGCATCAGAGAAGGGAGCCTCTAGTTGGCTTACCTGCCGCCCGCTCCGTCGCTATGGTTTTGTCCTCCACAAACAAGCTTGTGTGGGGTGTTGGCGGCACAAACTACGCCATTGCACAATGAGCTTATAGCCTTATACAGACGTCCACTTTTCAGAAGTGATCTTGATGCGTGATTTTGCCCTTTGCCCCAACTCATTAGTACTTGATCCTGGCAAAACTCAAACAACATCAAGTGGTTGAAATTCAGATGTTCGAACACCAGTGATCGTCAATCCTTAAGTCAAGATTCGGCTGCAACGCTACAGGAGGTGCGCATCTTTAGAGGAAGGTAAATTTTAAATCACAATTGAGTGCTGGCCGAAGACATGGAGAAACGCAATGCACATGTAGCAGCTTATCATGGAAGGAAGTGACACTTTCAGCTTTCAAGTCCCATCTGCGTGATCTCACCGGTAATGCCTTTGCCGTTGGTTCTTGAGACTGAGGAGTTGCCTGAGGTGCCAATGCCAATGCCTAGAGTACACAAGAACAAGAACAACAACAATATTAACAACAACAATAACAACAGCAGCAGCAGATAAGCAAAGGACATCAGGCTCAATGATCAAGGAACCGCTCATTCCCACTGCCACCGACAACGTAACAAACACCCTATGCACTTACCATTTCACTGGGTGTCATCTCCTCTGGCATGACAGATATCTTCTGAGCAGTCAGGAGAGCCTCATCCACATTGAGTAACGGCAATCCTAAATCACGCTTTCGCTGGAGGCGCAGAAAAGGTAACAGGTCAACAAAGAGACAAATGAGACTGCAATGTCTACAAGCTGAGGCAGCAAAACTCTACAAGCTGAGGGAGAGAGACTCTACAAGCTGAGGGAGAAAGACAGAGGCAGCAAGACAACATGGTGTGTGTGTGTGTGTGTGTGTGTGTGTGTGTGTGTGTGTGTGTGTGTGAGAGAGAGAGAGAGAGAGAGAGAGAGAGAGAGAGAGAGAGAGAGAGAGAGAGAGAGAGGAAGAGACAGAAAGAAAGAGATAAAAATAGGACACGGAAAGCCGCAAGGGAACACAGCCTCACAGAGTAGACAACCTCAGCATTAACCAGCAATAGGTAATCAACTATATACACAATGTGGATACCTTACTTGTCTGAGACGAAGCTTGGCCACAAGTCGCCGTGCCTTCACGTTTCGCCTCGTAGCCAGTTCATATTGAGTTGTGAGCAGGTTGAGAAGATGACGCTCCTGATGGGGGAATAATGATGATGGACTGGACATAACAGGAATCAAGAAAGAAAGAGAGAGAGAGAGAGAGAGAGAGAGAGAGAGACAAAAACAAAACAGGTAAACCTTTGCGATCTGGAATCGTTCGATACTTTCGCGACAGGTGTGAAACTGCAAATAAGCCGGCGTGAAACATAGAATTGTACCAATGAAAATAATCGCAAAAATGTCCAGGTGCAAATTGGTCTCTGTACACTTATCAAGAACGAAAAACGGCACAAACGTTTTCCGGTTTACAGTAAGCGCTTCGGCCCGTGATGCCGAAAAAGCGGTACTAGGATAGCACACACAAGACGAAACAAAGTTGCAACACATGACAACTAGTGACAGTGCCACAGAGAGTCAGTCAATCATAGTCATTTTCATGTACAGCTGTAGATGTACACGCTACGTGCTGCATGTGCGCACTGTACCGGTACTTATTTCGGGCAGTACGTTTATCGGGCTCGACTTGACTTCAACAGACGGAGTCAAAAGAATGAAGGAGGTATTTATTTCGGGCAGGTACATATTTACGGACTTTTACGGTAGTCAAGAGGTCTCTTTAAAAAGAAAGAAAGATGGTTCTTACTTGGCTGCAACAACCTGTCTGGGGAGAATAGCCTCCAACGGACAAGTCTGAGCCGTAGGTGATGTGGCTTGGCTCGTGCTGGAGAGAAGCTGAAGACGTTCCGAGGCCAGACGCGGGTAATCGAGGCTGTTGCGATCGTCCAGAGGATCTACAATGGGCCCAGTCAGCAGCACACACGCACACAGTCCACAGTCAGGGTACCGGAATGGCATTTGTAACATAGATCTATTTCCTGCCTTGTGTACGATGACAGCAATGTGGTGTAAACAATTTTTTTGATCATGCCACAAAGGACAACAGCTCAGCCCCTCCTCCCCCCAACACCAGTATTGAGACAGGCACAGGACCCCAAAGCATGCACATACGGGAAAGACAATACAAAGACCCTGCACGCACAACCCAAGACTGGCTCGGGCAACTCCAGAAGTGCATGTTCCGCGCAGCTAGCTTATCCTACAGCAGTGGTAAATGAACAGTAACATGACCTTTAGACATGATCAAGTAAAGCACGGTGACGCATTGCCAGCGAACTGGTGTCCGGATACAGAACATGACAATGGCCAGGCCCACTCACCGATCAAGGGCGATGCAAAGCCGGTTGATGGCAAGCTGGCTGCAACAGACGACGGGCCCGTAACGCCCTGCACAGTGAGAAGAGCATGTAACACACATAACACATCACATGCCACACCAGAATGCAATCAGTCTAGTTCTGGTGATGCGTGAGTGGTCTAAGTTTCAAAGTATAGCGTAACTCACATAGGACGTTCTCTGATAAGACATACTCTTGCTTAGTATAGCATGGGTGTATCAGTCCATACTGAAGTACAGTGAAACCTGTCTAATACGACCGGTCAAGGGGCCTTCAAAACGTGGTCTCTGCTACCAGGTGGTCTCCTTATCCAGGGTCATTTGACTGGAAATAACATCCCTTGGTCCTGGTTGCAGTGGTCTTCTAGGACAGGTGGTCGCCTTATCCGAGTGGTCGCCTTGACATGTTCTACTGTATGTCGGGATAAGTACCTCGGATACTGAATAGTACATGTAAGCAGACTTTCCTGCTGCTCATGGGGGTACATGGGAGGTACATGGGGCTACACAGGGGTACATGGGGCTACACGGGGGTACATGGGGCTACACGGGGGTACATGGGACTACATGGGGTACATGGGGGTACAGGGGGATACATGGGGCTACATGACATGGGGGTACATGGGGGTACATCGCATCAGAGTTCCACTGTAACTCAGCCCAACTCAAGCAGTGGTTTGACTTACTGCACTACGGTCATAGTCCCCTGCGTCCGTGGCACGCAGCTGTCGCTTAGCGTGATCGCCATCGCTTTCCGCGTGTTTCCTCTTCTTTGTGGATGAGACTTTAGCTGAGCGAGGATAACAGGTACAGACGAGATAAACATACTTGTACATTCTAGACATTTCTTACTAGTACTTGGGATACCCAGAACGCCTATGGCCTTCCCAATACAATAGAATACAATGTCATGTACATCAGTCTTAGAACAGCAGGATTGCATGATTGTCATACGTACATTTCTTTCGGAGCCTATCTACTCCTCTCTGAACACACACATACACACACACACACACACACACACACACACACACACACACACACACACACACACACACACACACACACACACACACACACACACACACACACTACCACAGTCATAACTGCTACTTCATGCAGTACCGTAAACAGGCATAGCTCATATAATAATAATAATAATATCCTTATTAGGATGACCCAGAGTCTTGTCGCCTATCACGGGGTTCACCGTTTTGAAGGATGTACTCATGGTGTGTGTGTGCACATCCACCAGAGGTACCTGTTCATACTTCATACTAGTTCATAGCCGATTGATTGTGCACCTGCTCAACTGCATAATAACCCTATGCCCAATCCTATGACACACACTGGGAGTGTAATATGTGGTCATGCAAATTCCCTCTCCAAACGATATACACTGCTTGTACATGCACGCACTCACAGACAAGTTCAAGCTTGAACTCTGGCGCCTTCACCTCGGTCAGAGACCACCAGCCAGACTCGGTGAGCTCCTTGACGCCACTGCGGAAGATGTGCGGTGCATTCACGGACAGCACACCGGCAACAGTGTTGTGCCATGCGTTTGTTACCTTCCTGCACACAGACACAAAATACATGTACACAAGCCAGGGATGACTGAAATGAGAGATGCAGATGTTTATACTCAAACCCAGGACACTAAGAATGCTGAGGCAGAGCTGTACACAGCCGATAGCTCGCACATAAAGGGTTGTCTGAGGCAGAGCTGTACGGTCGGCCACACATATATGGTTGTCTTCGGAGCACATCAGGGTTTAATACACTCTGAGTCACAACAAATTGTTATCCAACTTTCCATTATAAGAATGCTATGTCATTGCGCATCGAGCACTCTGCGGGCCAGGACGTAGATAGCCCAAGCTACTGAACACACATCTACACTACAAGGACACCGGGATACAAACCGCAGCAGCAGCACACAGACTCACAACACAAAGTAAAGAGATCTGACCAAGCAGGTTTAATTAAGACACGGCTTGACCACTAATCGATGAAACACACCAGTGTGCCCCCCCCCCCCCCCCCCCCCACGACCACATGCCATGACTGCCATACACCAACCCATTCACACATGTATTCACCTGTTTGCTGGCTGGCTCTCGCTCATGTACTCACAGCCACTCACCTCTCAGGAAGAAGGATGCTCCAGTTTTGCTGGACGTACTCGCAGATCTCGTCCCGCCAGCGGAAAAAGCCATGGCTGTGCCTGTTCCCAATCCGTATCAAGTTGTACAGAGCCAAGTGAAGAACGGTCACCCTGCGAACGCCGAGCAACGCAACAGAAATATGTTGAGCCACCACACACCAATGATCTAGTTTGAAGTACTACTTCAGTAGTAGTAGTGCACCTTTGCAGCATATTGCCGCCGGCTGTGCGGACACGGGCAGAGGAGTGACTTCGGATATCCGTGCCGGTGAGCCAATTAGGTAACGGTTTCTTGTCAAGCTTTTGTGTTCAATCTTACATTTAAATTGAGTGTTTTATCTATTTCCGAATTTGGGCTGTCTTTTTGCTTTGGTTCTTACTTCATGGTTTCACGCCATTGGCGTTGTGAATAAACCTGTTCTCAAGTAGTGCACGAGTACATAACCAAGGGTGGGTGCTTTGGTCTAAAACTTAAATTATTGCGAACTGAACCAGTTGAGACCTCAAAGACAACTTGGCCAAACCTTGAGTGGCATTCTATACTAAAAAGGTCTAGCGTAAGTGCGGGTATGCGTCTATTTACTTCGACAGTACCTAGGATACCGGTCTATGAGGTATGTGCAAAGAAAAACCATGGGATAAATATTAGAACTTAATATGTTTTCCTGAAGATTGGCCTGGCCTGAATAATCGGATACAACTATTTGTTATTGTAGTCGAGAGACCGTTTGGGTAGTGGTGTATATTTGTGTGAGAGATAAAGTGGCTACAGTGGAGTCTACACACGCTGAGGAGAGTGCAATCAGTTTGAGGTAATGAAAAAGAAAAAGTCAGAAGAAAAAATTAGAACAATCATTAGGAGAGTAGTTCAACAGGGCTGCTGCATCTCACTACAGACCAGGCACCGATGACAATGGCAAAGCTCAGTTACACTGCACTACACGGTGATCGATCGCCACAGCCAATAGCATAAACAAGTACAATCGACTCCATTTATAACGAGCTCGCATAATATTATAGTGAATTTCGTGACATAGTGAACCTGTGTCCACGTCCCTGTTCGAACCCATACAAAACTGACCCTTTGTAGCGAACAGTTTTTGTTTATAACAAGCTATACGAGTCGTATCTTGTAGGGCTGAATGTAAACCAAGTGCACTCATACGGTCATGGGCCGCATGCCTGTCATGACGTGTTGCTTGCACAGTCTGAATGTATTTCTGGCATAAAAGTAAAAGAACTTCGGCTACAAAGAACTAATTCTCCTGCACAATGGTGTTCGTTAGAGTCGACTGCACAACAGCTCAAGTGCTCCTACCAGCTCAGGTTTTGTCGCACGACGAGCTCATCCCCGGACGAGCATTTAGCACAGGTGAAGTTGAAGAACACGTCGCCGTACGGCAGTCGAGCTGGAACTGATGCACGGAGACAGGCTGCATGCAGAAGCACAGAATAGCGAGAATTCGTCAATTTAAGGGCCATTCAGGATAAGTATGTTATCCCGTAATTCCAAACTTTTTTACTGCCAACAAACAAAGCGTATGAAAGAGAAGTTAGTAGTTCAAGTTACCATTCATAATTAGGATTAAGCAGAGCACAAATCATTCATGGAAGAATACGCACGCACGCACACACACACACACACACGCGCGCGCGCGCACGCACACACACACACATCTTGGCAGCAATTGAACTTCGCCTATACATGCATTTTTAGAGGTTTGGAAATTTCCCAGCCAACACAGGCATATACCTGAAGAGGTTGCATTCGACCATATTATTCGTAGTGGCCATCAGCCGTAATACAGCGATACTAGAGATGGGTCTACACTTGTGCGCATGCAATGCTAGCGAAAGCAGAACACGGGTAACCGGTGGGTCACGTGAAAAAAAAAGAGAAGAAGAAAAAGGAGCAAAGCAGTCGTACACGGGCAGCAGTGCAAGATGCAAGGACTTACCAACGTGGAAGAACTGACGGCAGAGACGACACTGGAACGAGTCACTGAGAGGGGGCACATCCAGCACACACGGAGAATGCAGAACAAAGTAAGGCTATCTAGAAGTACAGCAAGCGGCATAGCCAAGGTCTCGGTAGTGTACGCACGCCTATTCTTACAAAACCGAAGGTACTCCATTACGGCACCTGCACATTCGGTTTGCTCATTTCCCCTGGAAACAACAAAGAGTCGACCACATTCCAATCCTTGGCTCTCTCTCTCTCTCATGCCGGCCAACATCACATGGTGACTCGGCTCATCTAAAGACAAACCGCATGGCGCAGCATGGCAAGTGAACAGCCATTATGATAGGAATGCTGCCATGCTCCCCATCTGTTCAGGTCCTGTCGCATTCACAGATGCATGGATGGACACTTGCTAACATTCCCAGAAATGCTTCTGGGAGAGACCGATGTATGCAATGAAACTAGTTCTCAATAAAATGCAGAAAACCAGTGAGTGAGGGAGGGGGGATTAAATGTTTTTTCTTTCCCTTTCATGGTACATACTGCTACGCAGATAGGCATGGAACAATCATCAAGGTGCAATCTGGTGTACGACTAGTGTGATACATCAGAGTAGTAGCAGTGGACCCATTCTCTGCATGTGCGTGGCGTTTGTCCAGGCTTGGTGAAACTGCAAATGCCCTCGCCGATCAGAGTCGAAGTGACTGCTGCAATTAATTAATCTGAATGAATGTGCCCCGTGAATGTTTTACTGAATACCGTAAGGTTATGTCCGAAAAGCAGCCAAAAATATCAGGGGTCAGTACTCTCCCATGCAGAAGCCCTGTATTTTCACCTTTGAGCACAACTGTGTGCACAAAGCACTGAACATGTGCTTCTAAATTGACTAAAAGCACTCATGCATTACAAAATTCATGAGAACTGCTGGGCGCCGTGTTGGTTACTATGGCAACGAAGCGAATTTTCTTCTTATTTTGGGCGATAGTCTGAATTCTCTGAAAAATTTGCTGATAGGAACAATTCGCACCATGTGACCAGGCTTAAGCGGGATTCACAGAAGCTTTTTGCGATGCGACAGACGCGAAACCGGGAAAACCCCAAATCGCAGCCTTGTCGCACCCCACGCAACTGGGCCATCGCAGAAGTTGAGCTTGGTTCAACTTTTGCGATGCGATGCGACAAGCGATTTGGCGTACGATTTTGACCTTTTCTACAGCAAAGTTGTACAAAGGTTCAATAGTTGCCTATAAATTTGTACAAGTTGTATCAAACCGCGCGAATATCATGGTGACGTAACCAAATCAGCAAGAGGTTGTCGCATCACTGACTTCTTCTGTGAATGGTATTTCGCGAGTTCGCATCGCACGCGTCCGTCACAGATCGCGTCGCATCGCAAAAAAGCTTCTGTGAATCCCGCTTTAGCGGTAAAAGTTGTCAGATTTTGGGCGAAAATTATTTGGCAGCATTGCGTGTAGGGTTTTTTGTTTGTTTGTACATTTCAACACAATCATCGGTTGTTTTTGTTTGCACAGTGGCTTTCGGCATGGCAATGTACTTCCTTGGTACTTTTCAATAGCACAATTTTGGTGTCAGCGTATAAGCCCATGCCTGCAAATAAGCCCATGTTCTTGCATAAGCGCACCGAAATGTCCTTGCAAAACAGATAAGCCCATGGGTTTATCCGCGGGATTCTACGGTAGTCAATTACCTAATGCTAGTGAAGGTACTCCTGTAGAGATTTCTTGTATTTAATTTTTTTTTAAATGTCTCTTGGACAAGGGATTAGATTCACAGATAAAAATCATCTACACAGATAACTGGGCTCGATTCTAGAGTGGCTTACTCTGTTTTGGCTCCCAGGCAATAACAGGTTTTATCATCAGAGCTCATGTTTCATCCTTGAACAAACTCAACACGAGAGCAGGCCGATACCCAAGAAATACGACGCATTCGCATATCTCGCAGTTGAAAACAATACAGTCGTCACTGTGCTAAGACACAAGTACATACTAAACTGGGACACACATTTTGTGAGCAATTGTTAGTTTCAGACTTGTCTGACAAAGCTAAAGACTTGAGTAAAGTACATGTACTACTAGATCTTCGAAGGCCAATTATTATTATTATTTTCGAGTTTTAGTTTTTGGATTTTTGAAGTGTCGAGTCGAGTCGTGTTGCATTTACCATCGTTGCCTTGGCACTCCCGTACGAACGGGGGCGCGTGGCTTCGGCGTCATCACGTGCATTTGTGGGCACTGGAGTGCATGGTGGTCAGAACCAGGAATAGCTGAACTCAAACAGAAATGTACGGAGTCTGTGCGAAAATCGTGTCCTTGCCTTGGTCTGTCAATCATTCATGGTCACTGGCGCATGGCATGGCTTGTGTATAAGAGAACACGACCACTCGAAAGAAGGCACAGTCAGTCAAACTCAGACAGAGAATCAAAGGACTTGTTTGTAGGCGCAGTACTGCGGTGCATGCAGGTGGACCAAGCTCACTTTTTTGACTTTCTGTTTTGGAAACTTTTCGAGGTGCTCGCAGCTTTATGCAAACTGTACCAGCATCAGTGAAGAGCAACCTGAAAACGTTATTATTCAGTTGGTCTAGAAATGAATGCATAGATAAAGGATACCCTCGCTCACGTCAGGGTGGTTCATGACCATGAAGTTGTGGTGTTCGCTGTCGAGTTCGGTTTTTGGCTAACTTACCTTATTCGTCCACAATGGAGCCCAGCACTCGCGGAACCGAAGAGCGGGTGATGGTGCTCAACGCAGATACCAAACGTGATAGGAAATGGTCTCAAAGAGATGTTCACGTAGGTGTCGAAGTGTTTGTCGTCGTTTATTTCATTATCTTTCATTTGCTTTGATGCTAACAAGTTCAAATATTTAATTTGTTGGCGGAGAGACATCATGTTCGCCAGCAGGAACATGCGGGGGGGGGGATTGAATTATTTTGTCCGTTCACAGTCGTATCACATGTACCATACGGATACTAGTAGATAGAAATAATTCGTACATTCATTTACTGGCCAGCTGAGACTGAGAGGCCAGCTGAGACTTTCAATGAAACATGTAATGATTGTGGAGATGCAGACGAATACACCATAGATGGATAGATTGCTGTAATTACCAAGAGTACATAACCCCCCAGAGTGTGCAACTCCCACATACCCTGCTGTCCCGACAGAATTTCAAGTTGACGTCATTATTTATGACGCAATGCTCCTTGCACCAGTGATTAACAACATGTGTACGGGTGTCAACGCATCACACGTTTTTCTTTGCAATAATTTGTGCAGGATCGATCGGCTTCGGTCAACCACAGGTTCCGGATTCGTCTGATAATCCGTGTACAGTGCGCATTGCATCATCAAAATGACGTCAACTTGAAATTCTGTCGGGACAGCACCCATAGTGGAGTTGCACACTCTGGGGGGTTATGTACTCTTGTAATTACTAATTAGTATGTCGTTCATGTGACAGAAACTTACTTTCATCTGGTGAACCTTGTACATGACGCAGGCGCGTAGGAGGGGCTTGACTGGTACGACCAAAGGGGGGGGGGGGGGTCCGGGGGTCGTGGCCCCCGGAATTTTTTGTGTAAAAAGGACACAAAATCCTGGGTACGTTGGGCCCATTTTTTACTAATTTTTACAAAAATTGTCATAGAATTTTATGGTTAACGTGCTAAGTTGCTATGAACCACGTGTACCTCATAGCAGTGTTGAGCCGAGTATGCGTCAAACTCAAACAAAAGTCAAAGATCTGACGGGTCCCGATTTTTATTACGGTTTTGCACGTTCCAGACGCAGCACACTTCTCGAAAAGTGGTACGGCCATGGTCGTACCAGTCGTAGCGGGTGCTACTGTGGTGTTTACGCCGGGGTCACCAATTGTGGTGTTTTACGTCAGCCATGACGGCTTCAATGGCCAACCACCACAACGAAGTTGGGGCCAAAGAGAAAGTTTATTTCTTTCACGCGAAAATATAATATTTTACAGAGGCCATTTTTACGAAAAATGATTTATATATACACAAATGCATGTACGAGGTCACTACACTACGCCCCTAGGCCCTGTGCCAGTACTACCTACAGTCCAACCTCGTTAGGACGAACACTGATAAGGCGAACTTTCCTTTAGTACGAACTAGGGCCGATCCTGTGGTTGGCCAGGCGTCATATCAAGTCAAAATTATTCGTTTAACGGTTTATGACGAACTCTATACGGCGAACTTTCGTGAAGACGAACTAATTTCAAGCGTGATTTGAACAAAATCAGTAGTTTTTCCAATAGTCGAGGCCTCTTGTACTGGCAAAACATGTTACAAGGCGGGTGTAATGCTGTCATGAATTGCACATTGTACTTACCTGTTGCTGGGTTATGTTATGAAAAAATGTTTTACATTTGCCACAGCATGCACCTTCACATAAATACAATTCGTATGATATGCGATTCAATTTTTTTGTCAAATCTGGATAAGAAGAACTCCGGATAAGACAAACAAACTTGTTCGGTCCCTTGAAGTTCGTCCTAACGAGGTCTGACTGTACATGTAGACGTCTGCATTATGCTGGAATAATACATTTGATTACTAACATAGTACTGTACCAAGAGTACCTTATGTTATGTACTCTTGCTACTGTAGGGCTGAAACGAATGCTCAATGAAGCGAACGAATATTCTTTTTCCGAATACATGCGAAAAGAAGAATATTCCGAATATTCTAGACCATACAATTTCCATGGATACCTAGTTTTATCCATGGTAACCATAGACAACTGGTATACGAGAGAGACATTTGAGAAATCATTTGTCTTGCTGATTATAACACATCGAAAGAGGCAAGCCTACTTATATTTTGCACCAAATAAGCTTGATCGATGTCAAAAAGGCGAGTTTCTGTACATTTACGAATATTCCTATTCTATTTAACGAAGAATATTCTTTTTCCGCCTTGCATATTTCGAATATTCGAATAATTCGAATATTCCTTTCAGCCCTACTTGCTAGTACACGTATGAGCACAAATGACAGCCTCCCAGGGAGTACTTTACTCTTGCCACTAGTGAGTGCCATCGTTGGGATTTGAGAATTATTAAATTTACAATCTCACCAAAGCCAGGAGGGTATGCAGCAGCTTTGGGCCTGTGCGTCATTTTTGTCCAAACTCCCTGCCACATGCGCTCTCCAGCCGGACCTTGTTCACCACACCAGCAATACGACTCAAAGTTGTAGTAGATGCTGGCCGTGATCCATTCCTCCATACGGCTGTTCCAATTATACAGATCTCATCGGTGAAGGTTGTGAGAGTACTGGGTGGCTAAGACTTGTAAATAGAATTAACACAATGGAATACAACATACCCTGGAGAAGAAATCAGGAAAGTGCATGTGTAAAATAAAGATTTTCAAACCCAAACCAAAAAAACCTTAAAATCAAAATATTTATAGAAACCATTTAGCAGAGAGTTACTGTGAAAATGAAGGTGCGAATCGTGCACTTTGAGGTAATATCAGTGCCAACACATGGAGGATAAGTGCAAGATCACACTGATGCGCGTAAGGTACTGCGGATGTAGATACTATCAAGAGCAGGGGGTTAAAATAGGTGCTCTTGATAATATGTATATATGCGCTAAGATCACAGCGCACTGAAATAACACACTGGAAGACTTTGGGCTCCAGCACAGCACTGCAAGTAGGCACGCGAGAGGCTCCTGAGGCGTGCACTCCATACACTTGCTGCTCTTCATACACTTGCGATTGCTTACCCTCATCCTTGAAAGTACCTTTCACGTACCTTGTGACACCTGGCTATGTGACGACAGCGCGGGATGGTGGTGAGTGAGTGTACGTAGTGAATGCCCCGGGGTTCCTTCGCCTGACTATTTACACCACTGTGCTAGCTGGTGCCCGAAGTCGGAACTGTCACCTCAATATCCAGTGTGCTGTGATCTTTTGTGCGTGCAGTCAATTACACGTGTTTATGTCCGTAGCACCTTACGAATATTAGTGTGATCTTCCACTTATTCCCTATGTGTTAGCACTGATGTTACCTCAAAGCGTGCGATTGTACTACTTCGTATCACAGTAATGTTTGTATGAATGATTTCTATTAACAAGTTCCAGCCACTCAGTCCGCCGCAACCTTCACCGATGCGGTTTGTATAATTACAAAAGAAGTGCAGATGATGCCAGCATCTACTATAATTATACTTGGAGTTGTATTGCCGGTGTGGTGAACACGGTCGGCCGGAGAGCCCACGTGGCAGGGAGTGTGGTCTGAATCTCTCATCATAATGGAAACGAAAAGATTCTGAAGAACATAACAACAATAACGGACAATAATCGAATGGAAATCACGGCTTGGAAATTTGAAAATGTTTTGGCAAATTTGTGCTGAATTTCAGCTATCCTGTGTGTAGCATTACTAGTCCAGAACCAAGGGCTGTACAGAATGAAAGATAGGCCAGCGGATGTTTCAAATTCATTTTTTGGATGTTTTAAATTTGCGGGGTCTTTGTGTGCAAGTTTTGGCACATTGATAACGAAAGAAATCCAGGAGAATAGTTGGACTGAACTCAGGCAGTATTTTGTAACCCAGTGGTTCATTTTGCATGCAATTACCTGCACTGTTATACAACTGGCCTTCTGCTGAAAGCCTGGACCAGTAGTGCTCAATGGATGTGTGGATGATCCGTGCGTGTCGGACTGGCGTGTTGGAGAATGTCCCGTCACGTTCACATTCAGGAACCAAACTGGTGTTCATTTTGTGAGCACTGATACGTTATTGGCTCCATGTGTCAGAAATGAGCTACCAAGCTGAGTCTTCTAGCTCGGCTCATGTGCCCAGAGTTGATTGGTGGTTGCTTGCGAGTTGCAACATTCTCCATTGTCCGCATCTGTGCTGTGTGTGTGTGTGTGTGTGTGTGTGTGTGTTTTATCTCACTTTGTAGCATGCGTTCACTGCTGACGGCCTCAACACGTGCTGGAATGAGCTGGTCGCCGATGGCGAGCTGGTTGAAAAGGCCACTGTCATTGTGGCATCCTATCCTGATGCGTCTGGCCCGGCACCCAACGAGGCATCGTCACAACCTGCCACGCCGGTCACCGACTCGCCCAAGACGCTGCGGGTGGTGAGCGCGCTGTCGAACAGCAAGGAGAGCCGCAGTGCAATGCTGGCCAGATGGACGTGGGGCAAGGAGCCGACGGCGGCGCAGATCCGCGAGTCTCTAGCGTCCCTGGTGCACGACCAGCGCTCCATAGCCAGGTGGTCTGCAAAGAACACGCTCTGCCTGTCTCGGTTTGAGCGCCGACTCCACATTGTCCACCGTATGCTGCTTGCGTTCGCCAGGTGCAGCACAGCCAGCAAGGAGTCCAGTGGAGACACGGGAGGCAAACTGAGCTGTGTGGCAAGGCAAGGATTATTGTGTGAAATAGCAGAATACAGTAGATGTATACCGTAACAAGTTAGTGTAGTACACCTAACAGTAAGAGTACATTGCCCACCAAGAGCGTGCAACTCCTGCATACTGTAAATATACAAATTTTCGGCAGCTATTTAATTTCGGCTATATTCGGCACCGACCCAAAACGCCTAAATTAAAACGCCGATGAAATTTTTCACAGCATCTGTCGCACTATACCATGCCCTCTACCCCACGCCAAAAATAAATCGCCGCCGAAATGTCAAAAATCGTGACGTGCCGAAATTTTGCAGCGCCGAAATTTTGTATATTTACAGTACCCTGCTGTCCCGACAGAATTTCAAGTCGACGTCGTTCTTATGCTGTGTTGCTCCTCGCACGAGTGATTTGCGTTGTTTGTGCGGGGTGTCAACGCATCACACGTGTTTCCTTGAACTCATTTGTACGCGATCGAATGGGGATTTGTCCACCCCAAGTCCAGGATACGTCTGGCGATACGTGTACAAAGCTCATTGCGTCATAAAAAAACGACGTTAACCTGAGATTCTGTAAATTCTCCCCGGATATCGCCCGTAGTGGAGTTGTACTTTCTTGGGGGCAATGTATTCTTGCTCATAGTATAGAGCACATTGCACACCCTGTTTTGGCTAATGATCATTATAGATGCAGCTCACATTCAGAGGGCTTGAAAGTAGGGGTGAAACGATTAAGGGATATTCCTTAACGGTTAATCCAAAACTTATCGATTACTTATCGATTATTATCGATTACTTATCGATTATTATCGATTAAGTACCACTGACGACAAAACTCACCATTTTGCATCAACTACAATCAATTTTGGAACTTCAAAGAGAACAAAAATAATGGAAACATCGACCGTCGCACAGGCACAAACTGATTCTGAAGGCTACTTGTCCAGAACAGTGAGTTCCGTGAAGCAACCGGAACGAAAGTTCGCGGGTACGAATCAGTGCACGGTGCAGAGAAAAGAGCCGCGTGTCACACAATAGATCTAGAGTACATCAGGTAGATCTACCGGGTACACGTGTAGTGTGTATCCAGAGCATGAGCAACTCGCTGTGCGTGCTGCACGCGTTGATTGACACCTCCGTGCACGTGCGCATCGACTCGTACTCTGGTACATGTGCTGCACGCAGTAAAATCATGTAGACACACTGCACCTGCCGGATATTTCATCGTACCGTATAGTATGTCGTACGAAATGCTGTAGCGATTAGAAAAATCGCAATCGACTAGATTTTTTCGACTAATTTATCTACTAAACCACATAATCCTTTCACCCCTACTTGAAAGTGATGATGTCAGAAGTCAACGAACATCGACTTCTGGGTCAAATAGGGCTTGAAAGCGCTACGCCACAGCCAGCCTGGAGTCATGACAACGCTGGCTTTTGGATCCAGTTTTGGGTTTCCTTCACAGCATAGTGGCACATCACCGGTAGTGACTGGACTGGGCCCTCCTGGTCAGGGACCCACTCCTGGCATAGGAACAAATCACACCTGGGTGCGACACGAGGGTTCCACCCACCACATCCTACGCATCGCTATCGGCAGAGTGGATTCAAGAGTCGGTATTTGCCGTTAGAGTTTGACTTCCGACCTCATCGCTTTCAAGCCCTATTGGATCCACTCTGACCATAGTGAAGTAGTAGAATACATGGTTGGTAGACCCCTCGTGTTACATGCTGGTGTGAAGGTTTTGTACATGTGCCAAGATTGGGTCCCTGACCAGGAAGGCAGGCCCTTCAAGTTGCATGACTTTTTCGGTACTACTGTCGTGGACATTTAAATCCGCTGGGAAAACTGGGGCCAGTGCCCTTACTATTTTTAGCACGTACGTGTAGTTCCCGTACACGCTGTAAAAATGAACCATCAGGGCCCCGTGGCCGCTTGACTTCTCAACGGATTTCAATGTCCGTGACAATACATGTAGCTGTCGATCTGGGGCCGGTAGGGCCCATGCCAGTCACTACCGGCAGGAAGCCCACCCAAACGTATAATAGGGGAAAGGGGTATACTGTACTGTACGGGCGGAGGTACCTAACACGAGCAACAACACAGACTACAGAAGGCGGGATAGCAGAAGCGGCACCTCGTCGCGACGGTGTGTAGTCTGCTGAAGAACGTAGCTACGGACTCACTGGGAAGCTGACGGAGACGAGTGAACTGTGTCCGTTCGTGGATAACGTCCGCCGGTGAAAGTACCGGTCGAACGCATCGACTACTTTGTCAAAGTCGTCCATGTCTGCTTCCTGGGCGAAGGACAACTCATGCTGAAATAATTATGTCATCCACAGTCGGGCCCAGAGAGTAGATGAGTGTTGAAACTTGGACTTCAACAGATTCAAAGGAGAATTTGGTGGCAATCTGAAAGCGTGAGAAACGGCTTTTCTATCGGCGCCAATTCTCTGGTGCGGAAAAGTCGAAGCTTTCCGGGGGCTGAAATTTCGCCATGGCGAGCGGGTCCGATGGCGAGGGTTCCGGGTACCAGTTCTGACACCAGGTGTTGCGTTCGGTACTGCAACAGCACTGGAGATGAAGGCCCACACACTGTCTTGTCAGTCCAACACAACAACCATTGCACTCAGTTACAAACTACAGCTACACTTGATGAAGACAGAAGGAGAAGAAGAGAACACAGAGAACAGAGTGGGGGTATAAACAGCACAGGCACGCAACAGTGCATGTGCATACGCGAAAGTGTGAAAAGGGAAGCGGGGTCAAATTACATATGGATGCACTATGCCAAAATATAAAGGCACACGTAGGTGGCTGTACAGGTGTTATTAAGATTTTTAATCATTCACGGGACGTTTCGTGGGTGCATTTTCATATCGGGAGCGTGTACAGTCCTTTTTTCTCCCGCGTAAACTGGTTATCACTGGTACCTGTTGGTTTCTGCTGTAGGAAGCAACCTGACACGGACCTGTCCCACGAGCAGAAGCTGGGCTTGACCGGCGCTCGGATGGTCTTGAGCTTCATCACTGTGATGTTTCGACGGGCGTGGTCGTCGGATGACGACATCGAGATGTGTGGTGATCTTCTGGAGGAAGCGCTGGGAATGCTGCAGACGCTGCCGGCTGCATCTCTATTCGATAGAGACCTCTGCTCGCTAGTTTGGCAGCAAACGCTGGAGCGAGCGTGCAAGTTTCTAACGTCCGTGGCTTGCGGGTAAGGACACATGGCAATGGTTTTCCTTTGTTGCTTTTACTTCGTTGTACTATTGTGTGTTTTTTGTGCAGTATTAGTGTCGCAATGGTCTATTTATCCGTTTTTAATTGTTTAAGGCCGCGCATGAAAAAAGCACTGGGTTGCTTGGGACATTTTACTGACTGGCATTGTGTGGCAGACACGTGTGATGATGCACTTGTTGCATAGCCTATGTCGTTTGTCCCTGCACAGCGGCGATCTGCATGGTGGCTGTGCCTGTATATAAGGGCATTATTAGCCAGGTGTCTTCTACGTGAGAAGTAATCTTGAGGCATCTTTCAGCTTCATCTATAGAAAGTAGTTGGGTGGACATACCCATTCCCAAAGCACTGCAAAGGACCGCACAACGTCTCGGCACTATTGCCATCGTCAGGTGCGAATGAAACAATGTCTTCTACTTAAAAGTGTATTTTTTTCTTGCATGGTTTCTTTTTGACTAGCACGGTGGGCAAAAGCACCAGCATACCGGTGAGAGACCGAGAGCTGGCCATCGCACTTCTGCTAGAGCTCGCCATTCAGCTGGGAAGTCTGCCTCTGTTGCTGGACTGGATCCGCGTGGCTCTGCAGCTCACCGGCAAGAAGCAGCTGCGCCTCAAGAGTGGCGATAACAGCAGTGGCGAGAACAGAGATAATGTGTCGCCGCACACGACTGACGGTCCTGGTTCTGCTCCGCTAGTGCTTGTGTTACGACGCTTGGCCGAAGTGAAGCCAGGTCTCAGAACTATACCTACCGATGAGGTAAGAGGGTATAGTTGCTGCCGCTACGATGGATGTTGGGTGCCCATGCGTCTTAGTCCATCATTGCCTTTACATGTACATGTAGTTTCCTTTTCTGTCACTGATTTTGCTGACCGGGTGATGTTGAACACATATGGGACACGATGCGCTATGTGATGCGATGTTGGGGGTTGTTTGTTAGATTGCAGGCTGCCAGTGTTCATGTACATGTAACTTCTGCTGCATTTCGTTCTAGTTTCCCTGTCTGGAATGTCTCCTTTCCTTTTATTCATTGTATGCAGGATGATGAGGCCGTCAATGCCACAAGCATTTTCTTGCAGCATGTCTCCTTGAGTCAATATCGCGCCAATGCAGCCATTCCGCTTGACCAGGCCGCAGTTATTGCTTTGTCATGCCTAGACAGGCTAACTACTCCGTATTTATCTGAACGTGGCATGAAGGTAGGTTCGGCTCGCAGGATTATGCAAGCATTCTTAGTTTGTGCATCAGAGTTTTATATTGTGCAAGATATGCATACTTGAAAGAAGGAATCGGAAGCGTTTCTGCTGTAACTCTTATTTTCACGGTTTTTACAGCAGAAACGCTTTCGATTCCTTCTTTCAAGTGTATGTACTAGGCTCTGCACCTAGGTGTATTGAGCACTGTCACGAGCATCCGCAACTCTCTTCGAGTATTGTGCAAGATTGGCATTGCATGGGAAGTGTCGTCCACTTGAACTGAATCATGCCAGCTCGAATCACTTCGCTGTCTCTGACTCGAGCAACCAAGATACAGTGTTTTTGTTGTTGTTGTTGTTGTTGTTGTTGTTGTTGTTGTTGTTGTTGTTGTTGTTGTTGTTGTTGTTGTTGTTGTTGTTGTTGTTGTTGTTGTTGTTGTTGTTGTTGTTGTCGTCGTCGTCGTCGTCGTTGTTGTTGTCGTCGTCGTTGTTGTGTTTTTTTGTTTTGTCTGCAGTCGGCCAGCGCTGCAGTCGCCGAACAGGTGTACTCCTGGGGCTGGGTCGGCTGGGGGACGGCGCGCAGTCACCGCTCTCCTGAGCTTTGCCCCCTGGTGACCAATGGATGCATTATACAGATTGCCTGCGCAGAGCGTATCATGCTCCTCGTTACGGACACTGGCCAAGTCTACACGAGTTCCTACGGACAACTCTGTGCATATGCTAACGCAAGTGTACGTCAGCATGCAGCTTCCTGAAAGATCACAGCTTTTTATAAAAAATTATAAATCGTGAATGTATCGGGGTGTCTGCATTGGTATGTGGCAGCCATGCGTGTGCGTGTGTGTGTGTGTATGTTTGTGCACGTGCGTGAATGTGTATTTGAGACGCCAATTGGCACTTTCAAAATTTGCCGGCGCTAGTAAGCTTTGGTAGCGGCGTGGGCAAGTGATCAGTTCCTGAGTGATTTGTGTTAGGCGGTTATTGTTCCTGTTGTTTGTGTACCACAGGACACCAAGGTTGTGCAGGGCCTGGAACACGAAACCGTCAAAGCAGTGGCATGCAACCCCGATGGCCGTCATTTCCTTGCGCTGACCGTGGCCGGCAAGGTGTACTCCTGGGGTGCCGGCGAGTCTGGCCGACTCGGTCATGGGAAATCCGAGTAAGTCATCCCAGTGGTGTGTTGGGTTGTTGGTCATGTGTGGGTTGGGTTGTAATGACGCCAGCCAGGCATGGCCGCACAACACTTGCACTGTGCCGGAACCCAGCATGGCAAGTACATGCAAGTACATGTAGTAGCGTTCTACGAGAATTGTGCGAGCGAGAACCATGCTCTTTTGCTTATAGCACTGCCCGAGTTGTTTTTGGCAGCATTGTGTTGTGAAACGGCTCAGCTTGATCAGCTATTCACCACATGTGTATGCTGTACATAATTGAGAAGAATGCAAGGCACTGAAAGGGGGCAGCCAAAGAACGTTTTATCTGTAATGCTGACTACTGTTGCAACCGTATCAGTACTTTTCGATGCAGATTGCCTTGTAGCAATGCCTCTCAATTGCTCTGCCTACCCTGCAGTTCATTGGACGTTCCACAGCAGATCGAGGCACTGGAAGACGAGGAGATTGTCAGCATAGCCACTGGGTCCAATCACAGTGTGGCGCTTTCTTCTGAGGGCAAGGTGTATACGTGGGGCAGAGGCCGCTATGGTCGCCTTGGTCACGGTAAGAATGTCTTTCTCGCTGTCTTGCCGTGTGGCGACGTACTAGTGAGTGATCCCACGTACACTAAATATTCAGGATCCTCTCTTATGCAGCTCGTGGAGCGTTTCTGAATGTCAGTGTGTGGTTGTTGTTGGTGGTGGTGGTCTGTGTATGTAAGTCACTTCAAATAGCTGTATGGTGTAGACCAGGCTGAATAGTGACGGTCAATTCTTCAGCCTTGCAAGCTGTTGAATGGTGCAATCCCAGCGCAAGTTGCTATGGCTTCTGCCGTAGCATTGCTATCATCGCCTCCGGCGATGGGCGTCAAAAGGTCAAGGTCAAGGTGTGTATGTGTGTGTGTGTGGGGGGGGGGGGGGGGGGGTGCGCTTGTCATCATGCATGCATGTGTGGGTGTAGGCTTGCTTTCATGCTTGCTCACATACAGTGCTGAGTGTGATATGTGGACTGAGTGACCATCCAACTCATCGTAACTGTGGATTTAATTCAAGATTTCCAACCGTTGTTGGCCTGCTTCTCATGCTTCACAGCCACACTGCTTTCTTTTTCCTGTAAACTAACTTCCCAACATTCGAATCGCAAACCTTTCGCCATTTCTCAGAACCAGCAAGTTCACAATTTACAAATGCAAAATTTAATGTTCGCGCAGCACTGTGGCCACACACATACACCCATGGTTGAAGTCTGATTTCATACTGAGTCTGGCTGATATTCGCCAACGTTCTCTGTTGTTGTTGGTACTGCTTGTACTCTGGCTGCTGCTGCTGACATTGTTGTTTGTTTGTGTGTTTATTGTTGTTGCTGTGCATCACAGGGAGCAGTGATGATAAGCTAGTGCCGACAGTGGTTGACTCGCTAACCGGGCACCACGTTGTGCAAGCTTCATGCAGTAACAACGACGCTCACACTCTGCTCCTGGATGAGCGGGGTGAGCACTACGGCGTGGAATGTATTGCATACTATGCGTATGAGTGCTGCTCAGTGAAATGTGATCGTGCTGGTCAAGTTTGCGCCCTGCACCGGCTCACCATCCCAGTATTCGCAGGTCTAGGGCTGCACAGCTCGCGCCGTGGCATTGACTCGCTTGACCATATTTCATTGAGCATTGAGCATTGAGCAGCACTGTAGTTACATTGGATATGCAGTAAAACCTGTCGAGGCGACCACTCGTATATGGCGACCTCCTGTTCTAAAAGACCACTGCAACTAGGACTAATGGATGCTATTTCCAGTCGAATAACCCTGGATAAGGTGACCACCTGGTAACAGAGACCGTGTTTTGACGGTCGTCCTAGACAGGTTTCCCTCTACTGGCATTGTATGCAGACGATACTTGTGAGCTGTATTCTAGTGTAGCCCACCTTTACACTGACTTGTTGCCGTGGCTGGGTGTCTACTACAACACCACACTTAACTAGCAATGATGGTTGCAGGAGTAGCTGAGCACTCAAAGCTGCTGGAAGCAGTTTTTGATTGGTCTGGCCATGCCATAGCTTTCCATCCGTTTTATGTGATACAGTGGGTAAGCATAACCTCCTCAGCACTAGACATGTGTTGATGGCCAACAAGTGGTGATGACCTGACCAACCGGACCGGTTCCGGCAGACTTGGGACTTACTAGAAGCTGTGTGTTTGTATCCAAGTAAATCTAGCCTTGTGCAATGCAAGAATAATGATTGCCTTGGTGCACGGTTGCGGCTGATTTCTACCAATGTGCTGTTCGTGTGTTGTTGATGTTTTCGTGTTTGGCCCGCCAGGTCAAGTGTGGGCATTCGGTGACGGTGATTATGGCAAGCTGGGGATGGGCAACTGTGAGACAGTCAAGCAGCCTCGCCTGGTGGCGCGCCTTGCCAACATCGCCGTTGCCAGCGTCCACTGTGGCCAGCAGATGTCGCTGGTAATCACCAAGTCGGGAAAGGTGTACACATGGTAAGCTATTTTTGTTCATGGATAAAAAGAAGGACACCATTTTACGAGTTATGACTAACTGTCCACCAACGTAACCAGATCATATACCGTCAGCGAGTCGGTGGACAGTCAGTTTTTTTTTTTTTTTTTTTTTTTTTTTTTTTTTTTTTTTACTGAATACCACAGTACCATCAGATGCTGCACAGCGGGGGCGGTGGCATATTGGATGGAAGTGGGGGCGGGGCAAAAGTAACTCCTCCGACCAAAGGTCTCGGAATCATTGTTACTCCTGTGCGCCGATACATACATGTAGGAGAAAAGAAACATGTGCATCCAAGAGGGGAGCACTGGCTTTGCAAACGATAATGGGGAGAATTTGAGATTGGGATAGGACAAAACAATAGTAAAAGCAGTGCACCGTAAGAAGATGGAGTGAACTAATAATCGGGTTTTAAGGCTGAGCGAAGGGGATCAAAGAGGGATAGAAGGGAGCTGGAGTGCGGTCAGTATAATTAGGCTGGTGTGTTGGCAGAGATCATAGCCTGTCTGTGGCCCACTCCCACTTGCTGCGCCGCAAGTGGTCGTTGACGTTTTTCTTGAACGTGTGCATGCCTCTGCGAGAAGGGGGAGACTGTAGAAGGGTAGGTGGGAGCTGATTCCACGTTTCGATGAGGGAGTGGGGAAATGAGCGGAGCGTGTTGTTTCGTGCCTGAGGGGGAAGGATACTGGTGAGTTGCGATGGATGATGTGTTGCAGATCTGGTTGTCGCTCGAGTAGGCATGCGGTGTTGCGGTGTGGCTGCTGATGGTGGCAGAATGGCTTTCACCATTTCCGGACCCTCCACAAAGTGCAGCTTGTACAGAAAGCAGAGCCCTGCTACGGTACGGCGAATGTCGAGGCTCGGGAGGTATGATCCATCTCCAATTATGTGCAGGGCACGGCGCTGGATGGCAGTGAGGCGGGCCAAGGTGGTGGGGGCTGCGCTCATCCACACCAGCATGCCATACTCTAGCACAGGGCGGACAAAGCCACGGTACACGATTGCCCAGTGCTTTGGGTCTAGCACAGCCGATGCCTTACGGAGGAAGCCGAGCCGCTGGGCTCCGCGTACTGCAAGCTGTCGGATATGGCTGCGGAATGCCAGCTGCCTGTCGAAGGTGACGCCAAGAAGCTTGAGCTCCTCTAATTCTGGCACGACTGCTCCTTGGAAGCGTATTGCGTTCGGGGGGGGGGGGGGGGGGGGGGGGGGTTGGCGAGCGGTGGTGGCTGATGGTCAATGCCTGCGACTTTGTGGGCTCGAACTTGATCCTCCACCTGCTTCCCCATGCTGCCAGTGAGTCTACTGCCTGCTGGAGGATTGCTGTCTCTTCTGGCAGTCTGAGTCGGGTGGTGATGCACTTGTAGAGAGTTGTGTCGTCGGCGTATACAGCCAGCTTCGCCCCATCAGGCAGGTGGTCTTCTGCGTCGTTGACGTACAGAAGGAAGAGGGTGGGGCCGAGGATGCTGCCCTGTGGCACGCCAGATTGGATTCGGTGGGTCGGTGAAGACTGGCCACCTATGACGACCCGGATGTGGCGGTCTGTCAGGTAACTCCGGAGCCAGGCAAGGAGGAGGCCACTTATGCCGCACCGCTCAGCCTTGTGGAGGACGCCGTTGTGCGAGACCTTGTCGAAGGCCCCGGCAATATCTACTGCGAGTACCCTGACGAGGCCTCCACTGGCAGCTGCAAGGCTCCACTCATGCTGAAGAGCAATCAGCAGATCAGAGGTTCCCAGTCCAGTGCGAAAGCCAAACTGCCTGTGAGAAAGGATGTCATTCTTCTTCAGGAAGTTGGACAGGCTGCGGTTCACGATGGACTCCATACACTTAGACATTATGGGCAGTAGTGATATCGGTCGGTAGTTTCTGGGGTTCGACTTGGGGCCTTTCTTGTGTACCGGTACGACGTTGGCAACTTTCCACATGGCAGGTTGATGACCACTGCAGAAGCACAGGGTAAACAGCTTGGATAGGGGCAGGGCCAGAGAGTCGGCACATTTTCTCAGCACTCTAGCAGGTACTGCATCAGGCCCTGTGGCTTTACTTGGGTTCAGGGCTCGGAGTGTCCGGCGTACGGTGGCTTGGCGGAAGTGGACTGTTGCAAGCGTATTTGCGGTGCGCTGGCGGACATGCGGGAACGGCCCCGACTGTTCTGCAAAGTCATCGTCTAGGCTGCACTTCTGGGCAAAGTACTTCCCGATGACGTTAGCCTTGTCGTGGCTTTTGGTGCATTCCATGCCATCGGGGTCAACCAGGACTGGGATGGAGCTGTCCCGGCCATGCCCTCCAACTCGTTTAATCACGCTCCACCACTCTCTGTCCTGCAGGCTGCCCGTCCGGAGCCGTTGCTTGACATGGTCGAGATGTCTGGCTTTGGCTCTTGCTAGACATCTTGTTGAGTCAAGGGATGCTAGCTTGTACGTACACTGGAGCGCTCCATTTCTGGGGTCATCGCGGAATTTCCGCCAGGCATTGCGCTTTCTGTCAACTGCTGCAGAGCATTCTGGCGTCCACCAGATTGGGTCCTGCGGTCTGGTCTTGAAGACCTTGGATGGTATAAAGCGTTGCATTCCCTCAGTGATTCGCATGGTCAGAAGCTCACATGATATGTTAGGGTCGTCGCCGATTATTGTGTCCCAGTCAGTAGTCCGGAGGAAGGCAGAGAGGCGGGGCCAGTCAGCCCGCTGGTATCGCCATACTGTACGAGTGGTGGGTTGGTCTACAGATGCAGTAAGCTGGAAGTCGGCTATGACAACAGCATGGTCTGATCTGCCAAGAGGTGGTTGGGTGGTGGTAGACACAGTTCCAGGCACATCTGACATGACGAGGTCAAGGATGTTTTCTCCACGAGTGGCTGAGGTGACGTGTTGTCGGAGACCATGTACACAGCACATGTCTTCTGCAGCTTCTCCAGCAGCCGAGGTGCGTGGACTTCCAAGCCATTCCCGGTTGTGGGCATTGAAGTCCCCTGCCACAATAATGTGTGAGCAGGACTGCCGGGCTTTGTCGATGTCAGATTCCAGCTGGGTGAAGATACTGCAGTCGCTGTCTGCACTCGTCCCAGGTCTGTAGGCAGCACAGATGCCAAATTTCATGCCTGACGGTGCAGCAACACTAATCCAAAGAGTTTCACACTCAGAGTTGATGTCCAGTTGTTTGTACGCCATCCCTTCTTTCAGCCATATGGCGACTCCGCCGCCTTGCGCTGTCCGGTCTCGACGTATTGGGGGGTAATAGCCAGGGATTGAGACTTCCGCAACTGAAGCCTTGTCGGGCGATAGTTTGGTCTCCGTGACGACAGCGATGTCTACATGTAGGCTTTTCAGAGTATGCTGAAGCTCATCCATTTTGTTGTAAATGCTGAATGCATTCGTGAGCAGAAGACGGAGTGAGGGGGCCTTAGTTTTCATTGTGACCGTTGGCGTTGTTTGGGTTGGTGCATGGCCTACATTGGGTGGTGGGCTCGTGGGTCTGTGTATCCTGCTGGGGTGTCTGCGCACCATGCTGGTCAGCTCGCTTTGCATCCTGCGGCAGCGAATCTGGTGACCGTTCTGCAGAGGAACGTTTGTGGCTGTGAAGGGGGGTTACAGGTGTGCCGGCAGCGGCAGCGGACAGGCCACGACTCGCGCTCAGGAAGTCGTTAATTGTGGCGCCAATCCCAAGTTGCTGTTGCTCTTGATCATGCTGCTGTGCTTCCAACTGGTTGGTGCTACTGTCGCTACTGCTGCTGCGGCGACTGCTGGTGCTGCTGCGGTGACCACTGGTGCTGCAGCGGCGACTGCTGGTGCTGGTGCTGCTGGTGGTGTTGTTGTTGGCGTTGTTGCTGCTGCTGCTGTTGTTGTGCTTGTTGTGGCTGCTGCTCTTGCTGCTGCTGATGCTTTTGGCCGCGACTGACTGGGTGCTCGACTCCGATACACTGGGACCCACCGCGAGGAGTGCTTACGGAGTGCTTACGGGCAGCGTCAAACTTCCATGGCCTGCAGTACAGTGGCCGGGGCCAGAATTCCGGGTCAGTCAGGAGATTCACAAGAGATGCATCCACGGCTACTCGTGCTGACACCCGGCCATGTGGAGAGGTATACATACTGCACGTGAGCACTGAGATGGACTGTGGCTCGGGAAGAGCAGCTGCTGTGACTTGAATGTATTCTTTCAGACTGGATTCGGTGCAGGATGTGCTCAGGTTACCAATGTACACCACGGCACGCTTTGTCTGTGGTGGCTCTGCTGCAACTAGCTTCCATGCGTCACTGTGGTTCCGGGGTGTGGTCCGCCGCCGCAAAACTCGTTTGGACACGACCTCCCTGAAACCGTCACTGTCGCATTCAGGAGTACTCAAATCGCTGCTTGTCTCTGCATCAGCAGGAGGGTTCGGGGTGTCAGGCTCCATGTCGACAACTTGCTCGGCATCAGCAGATGTAGCATTTTGATTTTTTTCATGTTTTTTTAATTTTTTTCATGTTTTTCGAGTTTTCCTTGGCCTTGTTGATCCCAATCGGATGCCTGACGTCTTGAGTAGTCTGGGCCAGTTTGCGGACACCAAGCAGTTCGTCTTTCAGATGGCAAATGCTGTCAGTAAGGTCGCTTATCCGAGAGAGCAAGCGGGCCTCCCTGCCTTTGCTCTCCTCAACCTCAGCACGCAGCGCGTCCACAAGAAACTGGAGTTTGTCGTCCATGGCGGAGAGGAGCTCATTACTTCGGGTACTGTTGCCCTGACCACCTGTGTCCCCTGAAGGCACGACTGAATCTTGTTCGCCGTCCGGCATGGCTGTATGCCGCCTGGGCAGACAAGGACCTTCGGGAGACAAAAATACTCAGCTTTTCGAAAAATTCAAAAAGTACCGTGCGAGTGATTTCAACCCTGCCGAAAAGGCCTGTTGCTAGTCTCTAACTACTACTAGTACTACCTAATTAACTACCTACCAGTAACTGCCCCTCTCAGTCATAACTCGCACCTTTTTGTCCTTCTCCTTTTTATTAACCCTTTCCGGGTTTATGACGAGTATACTCGTCATGCAGACCCCATCGCGTCTAGGCAATGACGAGTATACTCGCGCTATACTTTTTGTACAGTCCACGTACCGTACGCACTGATAGATCACTGCACAACCAGTCAAAACTCGGGAACAGATTATCGCATCGCCATGATCTATAGCTCATTGGAACGGTCTTGGAAAAGGCTTTCAAGAGTGTTGTCGGTCTGGCGATAGCTCAACAAATGATCGAGCGGCAATAAATTGAACGCGCGATTTCGATCTGAACCTTTTTTTAACTTTCTGTCTGGCGATTTTTTGCGACTTACAAGGGGATTTCCCAATGGCGTGTCAAAGGCAACATGACGTATGAGTACATCGTTTGAATCGCTTGAATCTCATCAGTTCGATGCAGTTTGAATCGTAGTTCTACATTGAGTATGAACCCCAAACCGAAGGAAATAATTGTGCGTGGTCTTGATGCCAAACTGGAGCACGAGGGACACTGTTGGCGAGGCTAGGGCGTCCTTGAGGTGCTGTATGCTCTGAAAGTATTTGGAAGATGACGAGCAGGAAAGGAGCTTTCCAGTAAGCCATTAATTGTGAAAATCCGTTGAGAAACAATAATGTTGTTGACAATTTGTTTGTTGCTATCTCCACAATTGTACTGATGCACTGAATTCCAGTGCCCAGACGTAGTAAATGCACTGTGACCCTGAAACGGTTAATGATTACTTTGGCTCACCATCCGAGTTTAACTCTTTTTGTTCGTTTGTTTAAAACTTTATTAATGCGATTAATAGTATAAGTGAAGCGGACATTACAAAATGATGAATGAGAATACATGTATCTAATATGGTTGTTCCTAATCGATTTTCTCGAGACTATCATCAGGGAAAATCGTCTCACAATAGAGGCTATACGGAGAAACAAACTACTTATAGGTTATCGGATAGTGGGAAGTATTCAAGGTGAGGTGTGAAAAAAAACCAAAGTGGGAGAGTCACTATCCGATAACCTATAAGTTGTTTGTTTCTCCGTATAGCCTCTATTGTGAGACGATTTTCCCTGATGATAGTCTCAAGAAAATCGATTAGGAACAACCATATTAGATACATGTATTCTCATTCATCATTTTGTAATGTCCGCTTCACTTATACTATTAATCGCATTAATAAAGTTATTGTCTCCTCGTCGCCTTTTCATTGTTTAAAACTGTGATTATTGAACTCGCATTGCGCTTGTGAACGTGACTGACCGCTCTTGAGTTGTGGCATGTGATAGGCGTGGTGGTACTGGTGCCTGAACGCTTACTAGCACGTAGAAACCTCCATCTTATCACTTTGCTTGATCCATGTTGTGTGTGTGTGCGTGTGTGCGTGTGTGTGTGTGTGTGTGTGTGTGTGTGTGTGTGTGTGTGCGTGTGTGCGTGTGTGCGTGTGTGTGTGTGTGTGTGTGTGTGTGTGTGTGTGTGTGTGTGTGTGTGTGTATGTATGTGTGTGTGTATGTGTGTGTGTGTGTGTGTGTGTGTGGTACATGGTGTGTGTGTCTGTGTGTGTGTGTATGCAGGGGCTGTGGCCTAATGTATCGGCTCGGCCATGGCAATGAGAACACCCTGAACGTACCAACACTGGTGAAGGGAGAGCTGAGCAATCGCTTTGTTGTTGCTGCCAGCATCGGCCTGGCATTCGTCATCGTAGCCTGTCGTGATGGCACCGTCCTGGGATGGGGTCGTAACGAGCAGGGTCAGGTCGGGACCGGCACGTTTGAACGTGTGGAAACTCCGACAGTCATCGGCGCTGTGTCCGGACAAGGAATAACGCACGTTGCATGCGGCCCAATGCAGGTGAGTAATCCATAGGTGTGCGTGTGTGCGTGTGTGTGTGTGTGTGTGCGTGTGTGTGTGTGCATGTGCGTGTGTGTGCGTGTGCGTGTGCTTGTATGTGCGTACGTGCACGTGTGTGTGTGTGTGTGTGTGTGTGTGTGTGTGTGTGTGTGTGTACATGGTGTGTATTTTGTGACTATTTACCACCCGGTCGGCTATGTCCCTAGTGGAGCTTTCTTGAGAATCTGATGAGCCGGACTGGCCAGAATTCCTGTAAAGAAAAAGAAAGCACAGAGTGCACAAGTCAGCATGCATGGTCTGCACCCAGTTGGTACAGTATTCAGCCACCCTCAGCTGACGATTTGAGTACAGAGTGGTTTCACATATGTGCCATGTGTTTATATTTGTATGGAAAGTGATCATGCCATGCGACTATATTTGTGTGGAAAGTGATCATGTCATGTGACTATATTTGTGTGGAAAGTGATCATGGCACGTGGACAATGGAACCAGCATGGCCGACGTCATGTGACCTTAGCCCATGGATTGAGTGGAGTTGGAACCAACATGGCTGTCCTGTGTGGTCATGTGATAGATGTGAAACCACTCTATAGCGGTACTGCTGTTTCCAGCTTTCTCCAGAACACTGACTTTCAAGCTTCCTTACGTTGACTTCCCTGTTATGTCCTTGCGTTGATTGTTACAGAGTGTGGTGTGGAGCGCTAGCACTCCGTGGCTGCCGAACTGCCGCCTGCCGTTCATCATGCAGCTGTCCGAGCCGACGTTCTCCTCTCTCAACTCGGCTCTGTACCAGGTCTGCGAAGGCCTGGATAGCCCGGAGGTCTGGCCACCGCCGTCGCAGGAGCAGGAGTGTATGGCAGTATCTCTGCTTCATCTCCTTGCCTTGCAGGTTAGAGCCTGGCGCCTCTCTGCGTGTAGCCCAATCCACTGTGTCTTACCTAGTGTGACGTGTTGTGTTCTATTGGGCAATCTTTTTTCAGCTGTGTTGCCTTGCAGGTTAGAGGGGCGCCTCTCTGCGTGTAGCCCAATCCACTGTGCTGTGTTGCCACACCTGCCGACATGTCAGTAGCCTGCCGATTTTTGAGGCATGTCACGACCTGGGGCAAAGCCCCCGGATAATGCATTTTATTTTTTCATGCTACTGATATTTGGCTAGAATGATGTGGCAACACTGACTGTGTGTTACCTAGTGTGACGTGTTGTGTTCTATTGGGCAATCTTTTTTCAGTTGTGTTGCGTGTACAGTTTCCCCCTTGGCTCGGTACTGTTACTAGTATAGAGCACTGGCATCTTTCCCATGGATCATCAATTCATCATGCTATGTGGATTTTACACAGTCCAGCCTTGCATCCTTGTCCTGCTTGGTTTATTGTATTGTGTCATCCCACTTTCTTCTTCTTCTTCTACCTCTTGTTTTGCTTGCCTTTCTTGTCCGTGTAGTTATTCGCCATGCATTCGTCCAATGAAGACCCAAGAGAGTTTGGTTTGGAGCCGAGCGGAAGTCTGCTTGCCTCCCTGAAGCAGCTCGCCCTCAATCTGGCCACAAGTCCAGGTGTGCTGCGCACGGTGCAGAAAGCAGCGCAGCGTGTACTGTCCTGCGGGGTGATGGTGCTGTTGCCCACTGAGATACAGCTCTCTCAGGCTCTCTCCCGCCTTCTGCCCGATGTGCCAAACCGGCGTAAGGTTGATAGCACCACGGTGTGTGTGTGTGTGTGTGTGTGTGTGTGTGTGTGTGTGTGTGTGTGTGTGAGTGTGTGTACGTGTGTGTGTGTGTGTGCGTGTGTGTGTATGTGTGTGCGGGCGGGCGGGCGGGCAGGCGTGTGTGTGCATGCGGGCGGGCAGGCGTGTGTGTGTGTGTGTGTGCGTGTGTGCAGGCGTGTGTGTGTGTGTGTGTGTGTGTGTGTGTGTGTGTGTGTGTGTGTGCGCGTGTGTGCAGGTGGGCTGTACGTGCATGTGTGCGTGTATGTGGGTGCATGTGTGGTCTGCAAACTCAGCACTGTTCTGTAATGCAACGTTTGCACCGGGCTGTCATGTCTTCTTGCCGTATGTCCAAGTGTTCGTCTTTAAGCTGGTCGATGGATATATTACCCCACAATCAACCCTAGTGGTGTACTTGTAGGTGTCCTGTTGTTGCATGTGAGCAAGGATATGTATAGTAAAACCTGTCAAAGCGACCACTCGGATAAGACGACCACCTGTCCAAGAGGACCACTACAGATCCAGGACCAAGGGATGCTATTCTCAGTCAAATAACCCTGGATAAGGAGACCACCTGGTTATAAAGGCCACGTTTTGAAGGTCCCTTGAGCAGTCGTCTTAGACAGGTTTCACTGTACATCTGAACTTGGTTTATGAGAGCAACCGTTGGTGATTCTGAAGGGTCCACTGGCCGGTGTATGTGTTATGAGTATTTGGTGTCTGAGTGTTCATTGCGCCGTCTCGTGTATTCTGCTTATGCAGGTTTGGTGAGTGGCAGCGGCAGCGCTGGAGCTGGCAGCAGCAGTAGTGAGAGCATGAACACCGGCTCTAGTGCTGGCAGCGGCAGCAGCGGTGGCAGTGGCACTGGTGATGATGATAGTACGAGCAACACTAGCAGCGCCGTGCCACTGCATTCCGGCCAAGTGTTCATGGTCAACTTGCTGGTCAAGACGCTGAAGGACAGGGGCAGCATTGCTCGAAGCATTGACGGGCTGGTCTTACAGAGCCCTGAATCTGACATGGACCCAGCACGTGTGGACGATTCATCCGAGTCTGTGTTTGAGTCTGATAGCGAATCTGGGTCGAGCAAGAAAGCAGCTGCGTTCTCCGGTCATGAAAAAACTACTAATGTTCCTCATGCTGCTTCAGGAGAGAAGGCACACCCCGTGTCTGCCAGTGTCGGCGAAAAGGCTGATCCGAAGAAGTCTGACTGCGTGTCAATTCTCACTCTCGTCCATCAACTGCTCATCTATTCCACACAGAAAGTGTGCCGGGCTCTCGGTGAACGCGGCAGAGACCTTTCATCGGAATTTTGCAACACATCGGACGCATCATCTCTGGATCTGGTGAAGTTCTTTCAGCGAACGTTGCTGGTTAAGTGGATAGCATTTGAGGACTCGGGTGAAATCAATTCAGGTGGGTGATACGCTAACGCCAAAGCATTTGCTAGTGGTTTTCTTGGGGACAAAAAAAATGAGACTAATGAATAACACAAGCTTCAGACTCTTTTCGCTCAACATTTCAAAATTTCCACGAGCACTTTAATTGCCTTCTCTTCAGGGGGGGGGGGGGGGGGGGGGGTACTTCTGTCTCTGTTAATACTGGTATTAAGTTGTGTTATGGTTGCACGAGTGGTTAGCATATCAAAGAACACGATGTATTGCATACTGCCATAGCGTACTTTGCTGTATTTAGCCTGTGCTAGGTGCACTTCATTAATACTTGTAGCTCGGTATCTCGTCGTTCTAGGTCTGGTTCCCTCAAAGTTTCAACTGTTTAGTACATTGCTACATACTTGTATGTTTTGTGTGGCCACATTTCACACTGTGCTATGCTGATGAGGTCAGTGCTGATTATGAAATATTGCAGTGTGCAGGTCGAGGCCACTGTGCTTCATTTCCCTTTGCACCCGTCCGTGTTTCTCCTCAGAGTGTGATACGAATGTGGAGAGTACCAATGCTGCCCGCATCCTATCCCGATACATAGGCATGGTTTGCGAGCACACCGAGTCGATTCTTGCCAGTGCCTGCGACTTCGCCAGGGAAAACCGGAAGTGCTTCAGCCGCTGCGTCTCCATCGTGGAGTCTTCCTTGGCCGGTAAGGCAAGATGGGACTACTGGAGGTCTGTATGTGGGACGTTTATTCGTGGCCTCTGACTTGACTGCGACTTTGGTAACTGGCCAGTATGCTATGCCTCATGCTTGTTTGCATTGGCTAATCATGGATATGGTGATGGTGATGGTGTTGGTGGTTTGGGTGATTTTATCGCCTAGAGCTGGGAGCTGAAAGCTCTGACGTGCATTCTGAAATACGTGTAGCCCAATGGCAACAAATCAGAGTTTTTTCCGCGTGTTTGCAACTCACCGATGCGTCTTCGTATGTTCTTTCGCCTTCTTGTGGTGTATTCTTGTGTCACTGCAGGACATCTGCTGCCAGAACTCGTCAGTGCACTGTGCCTTGTGCAGAACTTTGCACCGTCACGGGCCCTGTGTCCCACAGTCCTCAAGACTCTGCTGCGTTCACTGGACACTCTAAACTCACTAGCCCCAGGCATGGTTGCCGATGAGTGCACCGATCTCTCGTGGCCAAGGCGAGGTATGTTCCTAGTCGTTTGCTCTTCTTGATGGTTTGTCGGTGTGGTTGATGGGAGTGTGACTGTGTCTTGGAGGTAGGCGATGTTTTTTGGATTTCATTATTTTGATAATTTGCTTGTTTCCCCAGAGTAGTATAGCCAGTGTTGTGTCACCACCGCCATTCTGGTCATGTTCTGTGTGTGTATGTGTGTGTGTAAGCGCTTGCGTGTGTGTGTGTAAGCGCATGTGTGTGTGTGTGTGTGTGCGTGTGCGTGCGCGTGTGTGTGCACATGTGTGTATGCATGCGTGTGTGCGTGCGTGCGTGTGTGTGTATGCGTGCATCCGTGTGTGTCCATCAACATAGGAGATACAAGCAAGGGAGCGGAGGTACAGAGCGGAGCGGCCACACCAACACCAGGCCCCGCGGTGCAAGAAGAGAGTGGAGCTAGTTGGACGACCAGTACTGATGCTAGCAGTGCCAGTGGTGTCAGCACTGATTTCGAGCAGACAATCATCAGACAGGAAGACCTGGAGAACAACAACAAGGATGGCGGGTCGTGGCTTCGCTTTGGCTTGACCGTGTATAACCTCAACGCTTTGTCTTCCCACGTTGTCATGGAGGTAATGTGGGAATGCTGCCGGGGCTATTGCTTATCGTCTGTGCTTCTGTTGGAATCTGCATAGCCCATAAGTCACCCGCAGGCACATACACACTCACAGTCGCTGCAGTGTACAGTCAAACCTGTTCTGATGGACTCCTTTACCTGGAGATTCTAAAAGTTTTCTTTTAAATACTTGTATCTCACTACTTTTGCTGTAGAGGATAATGTGTTTCCCTGAACCCGGGAGAAGGGAATAACATCTGTGACATACCGGCAGCTTCCGCCAACATGGTGGTGCTAGCATTCCGCATGCTACACTACACAGTAATCAGTGTGAGGAGGACTCTTAGCTTGGACGGGATTATGCAGCGGATACTATTACCGATGTCGCCAAAAACACCCATGGACGGTGTGAGCTAGCAGACCACGACTACGAAATCACCACGCGCTTTGATCAGCATTTTTTTTTAATGCAGTGCCAAGGTCGAATGATTTGCTCCGGTTTCCAGAGACTGCTGTAATACAATCAATACGGACCACTTCAATTTTGGAGACGCCTTGAACCGATATTTTCTGTGTATTTCCCTTCCAGTTGGTTAATTGATCATGCTATCTTATTCTGTCAACTTATTCTTAACCAAGAACCTTCCAGATCGGAAGGCTGTTGGTTAGCGCATTCAAGATGCGATAGAGCCAGATGTCAGGTCGTTGAATGTCAGTGTCATCTGTCAGTAAGGTGCCGAATGTCGCGCATTTTGACGCCACAGAATCTTGGCAATGAATTGGTGGACATCAACGCATAATGTGGAAACTTTTGTCCTATAAGAAATGGTTTGCTCCCCACACCGGAGCTCGCGCTATTCCGCCGACTTTACTTGACACTTGACTGACTCACGACTGCCATCCAGAGCACACGAGAAGTCAAGTGTCAAGTAAAGTCGGCGGAATAGCGCGAGCTCCGGTGTGGGGAGCAAACCATTTCTTACAAATCATCGCCGAAGTCGCAACCACTACTTCGTACTTTTTTCCTATCTTTCTTTAATTGGATTATCTTATTCTGTTTTGTTGTGTATGTGTACTTGCTGTGCTTCTGGTACTGCTGCTACTGCTGCTATACACAGCCGTCTTTGGGTTTGCGACTAAGAACACTCGCAGGTAAGAACCAACAGTCATCTATAGTCCTTAGTAGATGGTTACCTTCGCCACTCTTTGCTGTCCATCCGAAGACTCGTCGAACTGTAGTCGAAATATACACAGGCAAAAGTTGAACGGAGGATATGACAGTCCTGGCCAGAGAAATCCGACCTCATGAATTTAATAGCACTGGGGACTACGTGGTCCTAGCACCACACACACGCAAAACTCTGCACCCTTGATTGGGGTGCTACTTTATTCATGAGGTCCGATTATTTCTCTGGCCACAGATGTAGAAAGTCCGAACACAATGGTGGTCTTTTGTTGGCTGTCTGTTCTATTCTGCGATTTAGTTGTGCAACGTTGTAATTACATCAAAGTATGAATCTTCTAACTGGACCTTTGCTGGAATGTCATCGTGCAGATAATTGAGTTCTTATCAAGTATTTGTTCATGTCCGTCCGTCCGTCCATCTGTCTGTGGGTGTGAAACAATAAGAGGACAGAGAAAGTGTTTTAACTCTGAGTTTCACGCACTAAGCGATCATCAGAAAACAGTCTGTGGGTGTGTGTCTGTTTTGTGCCATTGCTTTTTCAGAGGTTTGTTCCGATGCAAAGGAAGTGTTGAGTGTGGAGGAGTACGAGCTGTGCAAGTCACTCTTGGCCGGCTCTGAAGTGGGAATATTCCAAACAGTGAGTTGTGGCCATCTATCTCCAAGCACATCTACTAATATTATTTTTGCCATATTTCTGGCCTGCTACATGTATTATCACTTGTGCTCAGGCGAAGCGTGATGCTTTAACCCATTCAGCGCTAAAGACGTATATATACGTCATTGAAAATGACACCCAGGCACTGAGAACGTATATATACGTCTTTTTCAATGCCAAATAAGGCTGGGTACCATGACCTTTAGCCTTAATAAATGGGCTAATGTAATGAATACAGTTGTCCATCTTGAATCCAGCACTTCATGAACAGAAATGTCCTATTCATGCCCGCTGCGCCGATATATCAGATTTGTTAGCCCAGCACCCTCCCTAATCCAGTGGAATTTCCGTAGCACAGATGGTGCCGGATTATGAAAGGACCGCTGTATTCTGAAAGAATTTCCAACAGTGTCCCTAAGATATCTAAAAACATTCCCAGCTATATTGGAAGGAATTTCCAAAGAAACTTCCTGTGCATGTATCGTGAGTTTCCCTGTGGAGTAGTGTTTGGAAGCCTGTCCGTGTGTTGCCAGATATGTGACAGGGCCGTGTTTGAATTCGATTTGTCCTGTTCTTTTCACACACACACAACGCATGTGTGCATGTGCTTGTATGCTGTGCAGGATAATCGTGATGAGGAGCTGGAGACCTGCAATGTGGCGTCTGTGATGGTTGAAGTGGAACGCAACGTTGCTCTGCTGTTGGGAATGCACGCGTTCGGTCTTGTGCGGGGACGGCCGCTTAGCAAAGAAGAGCAGAACACCTGCTCGTTTTTCGCATCCGAGGTCGTGCAAGTGGGACTCATGTCTTATCATCACGTCCGCGAGATTGTTCGGACGCCAGAAAGCGAACTGCTCGCTTGGTATCGGGCATACCTGCGCCGCAAGTCGGGCCTCAGCATGGGAGACCAGTTTGCGTTCAACATCGCCGAGGGCCATGCTAGCACCGACTCACTGGCCCTGGCCTTACAGGACTGCGTAGCCAGGTGAGAAAAGACACCCGGCGTGCGTGTTGTGTCAGCATACTACAGCATTGGTTCATCTCTTGTAAGAGTTGTAAGAGCCAGGCCAATGGTCTGGTGAGAAGGCATCGGTGCCTGTCCATTTGATGAAGTGAGATTCAGTACCATAGCATACCATACGTGTTTCATGTGACGAGGCTTTCGTTGATATGCTGGCACTTCTAACGTGTTGTTAAACGCTGCGAATTGCCAGTGTCTGTTCAGTGTTTACCGTCATGACTGTGACTACGAGCATGGAAGTTTTCTTATTGCTTGTGTCCCGTGTCTTCCCTTAGGTATAGTCGAGATTCGAATCTTTGTCTTCCGCTTCAGTCGCGAGATCACCCGATTCACGAGGTCGGCTCTGTTCTCCTGGCCTGTATGCTGAAGCACTCTGGCATGGTGCCGCTGGCCGTGGCGCTAGCACAGAAAGCATCGGATGCGCCGTCCACCGGTGCATCGCTTACTTTGCCGTCGGCGCTCGAGGCAGTGGTGCAGGCTGTGCATCGAGTCAAGACCTTTCTCATCATGGTTAGTTAGTAGTGAGAAGTTAGTTTGTTAGTTAGTTTTTTTACTTTACTTCACCAGATACACAGGCATTTCTGCCTTCTTGTCTAACCGTACGGCTAGACTCTCGATAAAAGAGGAGTGAAGTCATGCTCTTTTCCTGTTTGTTCCATGGGCTTTAGCCTTTAAGCCATGCTACTACTGTGCAGCCTTGTAGTCTAGACCAGTGCTGCACCAGTGGCAGGTTTGTCGGAGGAATAGCAGGCTGCTATTCGTATGGCCTGTGCATTAGCAAAGTCATGGCGCCCATCTCCATTGCCTTATTGATTAGCACCTGCCTTTCGGTTTTTTTCTGAGCATGTAGCCTGATGGGCCAGTTGGAATCCCTTGCCATTTATGCTATCAGCTGTCAAGTACTTGTCATTGAAGGTTTTATTGTTAGTGTACATGTGTGTGCTGTGTTAGCTGAGTTGCCTGGAACGCTTATCGGTGTCTTCATAGGAGTACATGTACAGCTGTACATGTTGTTGTACTGTAGTTGATGTAATGTTTGGTTTTGCTGTATATCCGTGTAACCGTGTTGTTGCTCACTGGCTGCAGGCTCACCAGACCTCGCGGCAATCGTATCAAGAGCTGTGCAAGCCCATCTTGCTGCGCAGCCTGTTCCTGCTCACCCAGTTCCAGCCGCTGTCGCAGGGCGCCGTGAGCAGTGGCATAGCACAGCGCCACTCGCAGTCCGCCCTGTCGCGTTGGAGAAGCATTGTGCACCGTGTACTGGCGCTGAAGCGAGCCTCACCCAGCGCCTTCGCTCCTTCCAGTGGTCCTCAGGGCTGCACATCAGGTGCCAGTAGTGACAGCGATGGTGCATCCAAGGACGACCAGTTGGAGCCATCTTTGCGCCAGGAACGACAACACGTTGAGGCCGAGACCACCGGAGATGACACCGTCGGCGATAATCCCACCGAATTTGTACCAGCACAGTCCAGTCCTGCCGCCTCGCCCTCCACCTCATCACCATCGTTACCATCAGTATCATCATCATCAGTATCATCACCCGTAGCGACCGGGTCAGTGGCGTCATCATCATCTTCATCGTCCAAAGAGGTTTGTAAACTGCCTTTACTCAATCCCCGGGCATGCTCTTTTGACCAGGGAGTAGTAAAATACTGGTATTGTACTACTCCCTGGTTTCGACCTTGTTAGGTGTCCGGAGCAGAGCTCAGAGTTACTGACCTTTATGTTATATATAGAAGCCTTGCTTGATAGTTTATCATGTTTTCGATTTCGGCAGCAATCATTGACAGACATGGATCCAACAGCGGCGGCAACACAACAACGTCAACAGCAACACCACCACCACCACCACCAACGACAACGACCCAACATCAGCAAATAAGAAGAAAATCCAAAGTCAACCACCCCCTAGAATAAAGAGGGTCCGAACCGGGGTTTTTCCCCATACGGTTCAAATGGTCGCAAGACCGGGACTCTGCCAACCGGGTTATGGTTGTAGTCAGGAGCACTACGCGTCCTCGCCTTGTAACATGCTGTCGAAATCGAAAACATGTTGACCGTTATGTTATAGTGCAAAAGAACCATTGCCTGGTTGCTCAGGAGAGGTAGTTTTTTGCTGGTGTTTGTGGAAACGATTGTGTGTGTGCACACGCTCGCCTAAACGCCCTTGCTGTGTTCCCCTCTGCCAATCTTTTCAGAGTGCACCGTCCATCGTCCTGATTCCCCCAGATGCGGCCGTCAGTGCCAGTCTTGATGGCCGAGTCAACTCTGCCAAGCTCGCTTCCCAACTGCAGGAAATCACTAAATTTGTGCAAGCTAATGCCGAGATGGCGTTATCAGATGTTTACGCGGCGCTCATCCAACAGGTCTGTGTGTCTGTGTGTCTGTGTGTCTGTGTGTACGTGTGTACGTGTGTATGTGTGTATGTGTGCCCATAAGCTTCCATGTATATGTGTGCGTGCATGTGCTTTGGCCGACTGGTTGTTGACTTGCCTGCGAATCACAAGGTCCCGAGTTGGAGACCCGCGCTGGGAGCAGGGAGCGTGTACTGTGCTAACAAATGCGGTGATGCATGCGCGAACCACTTTACATGCAGTGAACTGTGCGGACACCCACGGTCAACTGGGGACTCACTACTCGGAGTGAGGGTAACATGGATGCAGCTAATGAGATTCACCCCCTTGTCGGGCATTGGTTGTGAGAGTTACCACCTCACCCTCGCCGTTAGGCGCTGCATATGTCACCCTGGTATCACGGGCATGGCGGTGGCCTGGCACAAGCGAAACTTCCTAAGCTGGATGTGTTTCTCAATACAATTGTATAGCCGGTTGTAACGCGGACGTGCAAACTTTATTTACAGTCACACGGTCACACACACGTAGTCGAGGTAATCCGACACCTGGCTGCGGTACTGAGAGCGTACATCGGGGGGATTGCACTTGCCACATCTGTCCTTTCTCTACAAGTACCGAGTACATTTACTTATTTGTGTGTTCTATTGCTACGTGCCGCCCGTACTGTGCAGCTGGACCGGGCCCGCAGTCGACTGGACGGGGCCAGACTCGTGTATGAGCTGCTTCAAATGGATGGCATGCTTCCGTCAGTGCAGCATTCCTTGCTGTGCGGATACCAAGGATTAGTGCCACATGAGAACTACCTTCAACCGTAAGATTATAGCATTGCTTGTCATAACACCTTATTGTCAAATGAGAGAGCAGGGGCGTCGAACACGGAACGGTCACTACGGTATTGACCGTACCACTATTTGCCCCAAGTACCCTGTGAATCAATAAAATGCACTGATTTGGGCTCTAATTTCCCAAAAAATCGGCTCAGCCATCCCTCCACACGAGTGAATTGTACTTCAGATGGCTGACCGTACCACACTAAATTACCTTCCGACGCCCCTGGACAGACAGAGGAGAGGGGAGGGAGAGAGAGAGGGAGAGAGGGAGGGAGGGAGGGAGGGGGGGAGGGAGGGGGAGGGAGGGAGGGAGAGAGAGAGAGAGAGAGAGAGAGAGAGAGAGGATTCACCCGTAGTTCTCACTGTTGGGTTTGATTACCACACGACGTGCTTGTTTTTTGTGTGTGTATGCAAGTTACTTCGACGTACAATGTACTAGTATATTGAAGAATGTGCTGGTAAGGTATGGGAATGTGCTGGTAAGGTATGGGAATGTGCTGGTAAGGTATGGGAATGTGCTGGTAAGGTATGGGAATGTGCTGGTAAGGTATGGGAATGTGCTGGTAAGGTATGGGAATGTGCTGGTAAGGTATGGGAATGTGCTGGTAAGGTATGGGAATGTGCTGGTAAGGTATGAGAATGTGCTGGTAAGGTATGGGAATGTGCTGGTAAGGTATGGGAATGTGCTGGTAAGGTATGAGAATGTGCTGGTAAGGTAAGGTATGGGGGTTAGCTGGGCAGAGAGCCAAAGCGGATGTGACCTCGAGGGACAGCACACGCGCCAGGCCGAAAACATCCGAGTGGCAAGAGCGAAGACGAAGTAGAGCTTCTTGCTGTGTTAAAAAAAAGCATTCGAGTTAAGACACTACTGAAGTTGGGTAGGCTCAGTTTCGGCTGCTGTGCCTTTGGCTGCGCGCTGTGGTGAGTGTCACTCAACGCACTTACTGCATCTTGTGCAGCATACGCTGCCGCTTCACTCACGGCGTGGTTAAATGATGCGGGTGAATTCAGACTCAGTGCAGGGATAGAGCCGTATCGATGCATAGCTGCAACTGGCGTTCACTGATCGATCACCGACTGCACGGGTGTCACCGCTGAGGAGCAATCCCGATCCAACAGTGATTGTGGCGGCGGTGGCAGTGGCGTTGTCGATGCCAGTGGGGTGAAGGCCGACACAGCCAGATTGAGGGAGAACTCAACGGGACGTGTCGTTCCCATCCGTGCAGCCGCATCATCTACAGCTGACTTCCGGGAACTGACAGACTGTGTTGTAGAAATTTGAGCATTACTACTGGATGTACTACGGGATGTACTATGGTTAAGTTCCTTCAGAACGGTGCATGCGTCTAAAACGCAAGTATTCGACTGGTCAAAGTCATCTTCCCAGTGCTTTAGCTTGTCCTGTGCTTTTTCAGCATCCTCCACCTTGTCGTAAGATTCATACTTCTCCCTGATCTTTTCGCAGATAGCGTTAGCTCTTCGAATTGCAGCTTGGATCAGGTCCACGTCATTCTCCACGCTTGAACAAATAATTTTCTCTTTCTCTTTACCCAGCTCGTAATAAATTCTATTCCGGATGCGGGTTACCTGCCCTTTGGCACTACGGCGCTGTAGCAGCAGCCGCTCTAGTGTAACAGTTGTGTTGTTCAACTCCGGTTCAGGTTTTATCTCCTTATCGTCCGACATCGTCGTCGGTTTGCGATTCGTCCAGTTGAATTAGCGTTCGTCAGGATCCGTATCCTGGTCACAGCACCATGTGACGACGGAGTGACATCGGACGGATGGATCACGAACAGCACAAGAGACAATTATCCTGATTCTACGTTGTGTTTACATAATCCGAAAGAGTCCTAAAACCACCACTGGCTTCCAACTACCAAGGGAAAAGCAACCCCTTTTCTCTAAGGGACAAAACAGCAAAAGGAGCCAGCCAGCCAGCCAGAAAAGGATACGGGAAAAATCGGGAAAATAAAAATACAAGTGGAACACTGCCATACTGTGCAGTAGAGTGCAGGAGAATCGTGCACACGGGTACGTGACATTCTAACCCGAAAAGGAAGTATGAGCATGACTAAAGTACAAGTAGTTGCGATTTACGCTAAAGTCAAACTGCCGGAGCACGTGCAGCGCTACACGGTAACCGTGTACCACGTGGAAACAAAGAGAAAGTAGAGGAGCAAGGGATAGCAGACATGAACTCAGGGTCAAACTCACAAGCGCGTAATCGCGTACACGCGAATGCATGCAGTATATGAAGACAAGAGAAAGTCCCAGAGCTCAGTACGTACCAAGTACTGCACACTAAACCCGTACATGTGAATGTCACGACACGCATAGCCTCTGGACGGGGTATAATTGTTGGGAAATGGACCAATCAGTATCACATTCCACTTTCTTGGCATTGCTATGATGATGGTAATACAGTCAGACCTCGCTTATCCGGTCCTCTTTTATCCGGATCCCTCGCCATCCGGAAGAAAAGTGTTGGTTACCGATTTACAGCATAATGTCATGCATACATACAGTATGTGTGTTCGATTATCCGGTTCCCTCGCCTATCCGAATATTTGTGTGGAAAACGGATGTGTGCGGTTATGCGAGGTCTGACTGTAGTAACCAGAAGTACAGTACCAGATAGTGGTACATGTAGCGATTTCGACGGAGATTTTATGGAAAGGTGTTCGCTCCCCACACCGGTGGAAGTCGGCGGAAAAGCGCAAGCTCCGGTGTGGGGAGCAAACACCATTCTATTAACAGTGATATGTATGTTGTGTTCCCTGTGTTGATATGCGTGCAGTGCCATGGAGAGCTTCATGGACGGCCTGGCGGCTGTGCCGTACTGTGACCGTGTGCGCCTGGACCTGGAACTCGGCAAGGTGGCCAGCTGGGCCGTGACATCGTTGCAGTCCTGCGCCCGCAAGTACTGCAACCAAGGCGCCACGTTTAGCGAGGCGCTGGCCAATGCACGCCAGGTCAGTCCAGCATCTTCCATGCTTTTTTTTACACTGTCTTTTTGTTTCCTGTACGTGTTGGTGAGTGGTTTCGCTGGGCTTCTAATGCATCACACGTGTACCGTAGAATCGTGGATACATAACTGTTTTGGATATGCATTACTGGTTGGGTAATGCAGGCCTGAATAAAGAATGCAGCCCCATCGACTTGAGGCCGATTTTGTAATAGGTTAGGTTCTTCGACAGATCTAGTATTATGACAGCGGTACACTTTGAAGTTTGAGGCATAGTTGCCTACGTACAGAGGTGTCTCTGCATCTTTCAATCGTGCACTACTGTTACTACGACTGCTGATGTGTCTGGTTTCCGATGTGTGCGCCATCGTGATCTTGTGTGCCACCAACACCATGGTTGTTGTGCAGAATTCACCCCAGTACATGGACTACGTGTCGACCACGCGCCTGGTTTCGTCGGCAATGACCATGCTCGTGCGAGTGCACTCGTGCTCGGAGACGGCTCGCCTGCTCAATGCCGGGGCTCTGGCGCTGGGGGAGACACTGCTGCGCCTGAGCAGTACCCACGCTGATGTCGATAGCGACGTGGTGCACAGGAAATCCCAGCAGGAGCGCGCTGCGACAGAGCGCTTGTCGATCGTGGAAGAGGACGGTCCCCTGGACGCTATCGGCATTGAGCTGACTGGCCTGGACATGGCCATGGCGATGAAAGTGGGCACGCGCGTAGTGCGTGGGCAGGACTGGAAGTGGGCGAACCAGGTAAGCCGAAAAAATGGTTGCGACTGCCATGCCATTATCTTCTTCTTGCCTGTCAGGAATTGTTTTCTCTCACTGCTGACAGGTTAGCATTCGTCGGTAGGTGGGTGGGGTGACGTGAATTGTGTCTCTGCATCTGAGACTCGATTGTTTTTGTGCATCCAGAGTGTCCTCTTATTGCATGATACAGTAGTAGAGTGTCCTCTCATTGTGTGATACAGTAGTACACGGAGACTAGAACATAGCTTAGCGGTACCTTTCAAGTGCCATGCAATCTGTACTTCATAGCCGTGGCTGTTCTCCGTAGAACCAGTCAGGTGGCTGACGTACTGTAGCATAGGAAGGGCATAGAAAATAGTATTTCATTAGTATTATTGTATTGGTGTGTGAGATTCCTGATCAGCACTTTGAGCACCCGGAGTCCAGCAGCCCTCGGTGTATTGCAGCTGTGCAATCTAGCTCAGCGTTCGTACGCCCGCCGTGCGAATGACGGCATCGTTGTCGAGCGAGTGGCCGGCCTTTACTGGCCAAGCGCTGTACGTGTGTGTTAGACATCTCACTGTATGTGTGTGTGTGTGTGTGTGTGTGTGTGTGTGTGTGTGTGTGTGTGTGTGTGTGTGTGTGTGTGTGTGTGTGTGTGTGTGCTTATGTGTGTGCGCGCGTGTACATGATGCATGCTTGCTGCGCGTGGCTCTTGATCTACGATGACAGGATGGCAACCCGCCTGGTGAGGGCTGCGCGGTGGCCGATATCACCTCTGACGGCTGGGTGCGTATTCTGTGGGATAGCGGTGTCACCAACTCGTACCGCATGGGCCGGCACGGTTACTATGACCTGGCGCTGGCGCCGTGTGAAATGAGAAAGCTGCGACAGCAGCACGAGACGCAGCAACAGCAGCAGGCTGCACAGACCAGCACAGTCGGTAAGTGCAGAACTGCTATGCTACAGGTCTCCCCTCGTTTTAGGCGTCCGGGGATTTTGGAACGTTGTCTTGTGACCAATGTCGTACTAATGATGGTAGACCTGTATTATGTACTACAGTAAAACCTGTAAGTAAAGACCACCGTGACTAGCGACCAGCCTGGTTCTATTGTAAAACCTGTAAGTAAAGACCACCGTGACTAGCGACCAGCCTGGTTCTACAGTAAAACCTGTAGCTAAAGACCACCGTGACTAGCGACCAGCCTGCTACTACAGACCACTTCTCCAGGCCCGTACGGTCGACGGTCTCACATTCATTATACGGTTGTGCGGTGCAAACCTCTAACTAAGGACCACCTGCCACTAAAGACCGCTTTCTCTGGCCCCAAAGGGGTGGTCATGATTCATAGGTTTTACTGTACCCGCAGGCTGTATAATGGTGGTCTCACACTTGCTGGATTGAGCACTGGATTTAGGTGTTGTTTTATGTGTTTTGCTTTCTTTTTCCTTTGTTTTGTTGAGGATATGCGATTCAGAACCATGCAATTTCTTGTGAGATGAGCATACTGTGTTTGTTGGTACTTTGAAGTATTTGGTACCCAGTACATATACGTTCATTGCTGCTGTTTCGACTGTTGTTGCTGTGCAGGTGTTGTTGAGGATAGCACTCTCCTGCAAGGAGCCAATACCGCGCTGGGTATCCTGCAGCATGCTGGCGTCTGCCTGCTGCAGACCTTGTCAATGTCGGCCGGAACACATGCCGACTCGCTGCCGTCGCATGCTGTGCGCATGGTCTGCGGTCTTCTGCAGAATGTCGTGCATAAGACGGGTATGGGGACACACGCACACATGCTCATGTACACATGGAAACACATAACACACTTGCGCGTGCACACACACGCACACACTTGCGCGCGCGCACGCGCGCGCGCGCGCGCGTGTGTGTGTGTGTGTGTGTGTGTGTGTGTGTGTGCGTGCACGTGTGCGTGCACGCATACAGGCACATAAGCGTGCATGCTTACACACCTGCACGCATCTGCATGCCTCAACACACCTCACTGCACACGAACGGAGTGTAACTGGACTCTGGATATGCTAGATGTGGCTGAGACCCCCGGCGGTTGCGTTGTTTTGAGTTGGGGCTAGTAGATGTTTCTGCCATGTGTGTGTGTGTGTGTTTGTGCATGTGTTTGTGCGTGCGCGTGCGTGTGTGTGTATGTGTGTCTATGTGCACGCATGTGTGTGTGTATCCTTGCGCGTGTTCCTGGTGTTTGTTCTTGGACTTTCAGAGCTCGGTCGAAGTGCATCGTTTGCCCCCTGCGTCGGCTGGGCATCTCTTGGGTTTGTGCGCGCCATTGCCTCATCCACGCACATGCGCTCCGTACTGAGTGCCAAGCGATGGACAGATGTACTGGTACAGCTGGTTGCCAATGGTTTGAACTCGGATAGTCCTGATGCCTCTGCCGATGAACTCCTCTCAGATCTCAAGAGTCAGGTAAGGGGTCGCAAAAGATTTGCGTAGAGTACGAAATGAACAATGTTCGTTTCAGGGACGACAGAAAAAATGTTGCGACGACCCCTAAGGCGGTGTTTCCTTGGATTGCCCATGTTCAATCCAAAGTGTTGCCCGTGTTCAATCTGAAATGATGTGCGCTAGATTGTCTGTGACGTTTGTTGAGTTGCTTGTTGAGCTTCCTGGCATCTCGAAGTTCTGAGTCACCACCCCAAAGACGATTCTTTGGTCCAGAGGTGGAACAAGAACACATGTATCAAGCGTGTGTACAGTGAACAGAGCAGACCGTGTGCAATTGCGAAACTGCTTGGCCTTGGAAAGAACATGCCCGGGCCGTGCAGAGGAGTTCTGCTCTTCCTGCACAGGCGAATGGGATTCTTGGCAAGGAGCGGATGTTGTTCTTGTGTGCTTGCTGTGGTGAACTTCTCTCCTGACGGAAGGCGCCTGCCGGTAGTTGTGCCTTTCCAAGCTCGCAGTGTAGTGAAGATCATTCTGTTAACCCGATGGGTATTTGGCCTGATCATACTTTTACCGAAGTGCCTTCTTTGCTTCCTAAGAAACAATTAGCGTATCTCCGTGTGTTGGTCTGCATTATTGTGCTGGCTATGTCTGTGTGTTCGCCTGCGTTATTGTTGTGTATGTGTGTGCTCCATGGCTTGTGTTATGTAGGTTCTCGCGCTACGCTTTCTTCGTTCCGTTCTGCCCTGGGACCATCCTGACCGAAGTGATGCAGTGCGCTCGGACGTGCTCCGGCAGTTGTTTGACTTGCTGGGACTCGCCATTACTGCTCAGAGACCTCTTAGGGCAGGTGAGCTATATCTACTGGCTGTAGTGAAGACTCGGTATCCTCGATTATGCCCACGAATCGATGTTGAATCCATTCATGGATCGCCCCTGGCTATTCACATCACCCCATGTGAATATGGTGAATGGATTCCGAATCGATTCCAGGGCTCATGACATGAAATCGAACGACGAGATTCCATTCATGAATCGGTTCATGGCAGTAATCGAACGCACCCAGTGGGGTGATGTTGGAATACAATATCGATTTTTCTGTTTGGTGATGCGTTGATGCCTCATGCAACTGTATCAAGCGGAGGGGTTCCTTCTCTGCTTTGTTATGTGTAGCGTAAGCTCTACTTCTCTCTGCTGTTTGTGTGTGTGTGTGTGTGTGTGTGTGTGTGTGTGCATGTGTGTGTGTGTGTGTGTGTGCATGTGTGTGTGTGTGTGTGTGTGTGTGTGTGTGTGTGTGTGTGTGTGCATGTGTGTGTGCGTGTGTGTGCGTGCGTGTGTGCGTGCGTGCATGTGTGTGTGTGTGCGTGTGTGTGTGCGTGCGTGCATGCGTGTGTGTGTGCGTGTGTGCGCGCGTGTGTGTGTGTGTGTGTGTGTGTGTGTGTGTGTGTGTGTGTGTGTGTGTGTGCATGTGCATGTGCATGTATGTGCGTGTGTTCATGTTCATGCAGGTGTTGGTCAAGAATCAGTGGGATCGTTGTCTGCGTCGTACCACAGCACATTGGCGGAGGAACTGGTGTGTTTGCTGCGCTGCCTGCACTACTCACCATCGTGGCAGGGACTGGTCAACGACTTCATCCTGAAACACCTCAATGCGCTGGCTGATCGCGATGTGACTTCAGTAAGTCTGGTACCACCTGGCCGTACCCATACTTGCGAGCCATACCGGTTTTCCCGGTATGATACCGGTTTTCCCGGTATGAACCGGGAAACTACGGTCACTACCGGCATACCGGGGCTTTTTGACTTTGATCGAAAACTACCGGTATTAGCACTGAACCATGAATGTTCATAAAAAGGTCGCATGCGGCCCTGCATTTCACAGAATCACACATGTAAGGGCGATCTGACAATAAAGAGACTCAGGTTTTGGTCCCCCAATGAGCAATGAGTTAGAAATGAATAAAAGCTAGCTCGGGGGCACCTCGTGCAACGGCGTCTCCAAACATCATGGCCGGAGTCGAGGCTGTGTCATTGCCGATGTCTGTCGATACGGAAGTAAGCAGGCGAGCGTTCACAACAATTTCGATTTCAGCTAGGACTTTGGCCAGCTCCTGGGGTTTCAGTAACTCTTTGCCCGACACCTTTTCAGCGGTGTCTTGCCGCAAACTCAACAAACTACCAAGCGCTCATAAAATCTGCCGAACCATGATGCGGCTGGTGTGTTGAACCTCCACCCAACATCTGCCCTCTCCACCCTGGCATTGCGAGCTTTCGCCATTTCGCAGTGCCCCGAGTTGCTCGCACTATAAATTGGTAAAAACTCTCATCTGCCTTCGGCTATAGCAATGAGAGCTTGCCAGGCCTTGTCCGCCGTCTTGCCGGATGCCGTCAACAGCTCACGCTTTGCATCGGCAAAGGCTTTACACCCATAGCACACACTTTCCAGCTTACACCCCGCCACGGCCACTCATAGACGTATCAGTAGCTCCTCAGCTTCGTACTTATTTTGGTTGACCACATCTTCAAATAACTCCAAGTAACTTTCCACTGTCTGCTTTGTATCAAACTTGGGAGTTTTTATGAGTTTGGCTCTCGGTCCCTGAGCTTTCTCCGCAGACGCAATGCTCGCTGTGTCATCTTGTTGAGCCGCTAACTCGACTTTCTCCTCTGGTACTATCTCTCTCTTCCATTCGAGCCTTGCGCTCTTCACTTTTCTGGATCTGCTCGGCATACTGTTTCCGCCTGCTCTCCACGTAACTCTGCAGATCCTCTCCGGCATAACGTGTGCCTTGCCGTTTGCAATGAACGTTGCCTCAACACTCCCAGCCGAATCCATCGGCACTGCTCTATACTCCAGGACGGTACTGTCCTACGACGACGAAAACCGGTGGAGCGCAGCAGTTTCCAAAACGCCGTTCTGCCCATTGAAGGAAAATTTCCGATGGACTTCTCGCTCCACATATACTGGCACACACAGAGACATAGACAGCAACAGCGACAACACACAAAGTGAAGGGTAGTTGGCCGCAGCCAGGTGTGAACCGGATAACGAGTGAGGTATGGAAGCAAGGACTGAGAACTGAGTGTCTCTAATGGAATAGGCGTGCAAGCGGATAGCAGAAATAGGCCATGATGCAGAACCACTTGGGACCGTCAGATTAGTTTTTCTGGACCGAGCCAGCCGGAGAAAAACCCCGCGCCGACGGACGCAGTAGTGAGGGAAAAACCGGGTGTATCTCCCCAGTGGCGATTTGGCACCATGTAGGCATGGCAAGCACATCACGGCAAAAAAAATATGAAAAGCAACAATAAGATGCACAGGAATGAAGGGTGGGAGGACAGGGACACTGGCGAGACTCAAAACTGACTGAAGAAGTCAGGAAAAGAAACGACGATAAAGAACACACCAGATGCCATATTTGCAACCGAAAATGTTGCGCGAGAAATCATTTCTCGCCTATCTCGCTGCGCTCGGCCGGCGAGAAATACAACGTCTTGCAGCTTGACGTCTGCGAAAACCGTGTCCAGTGTGGTGTATTCTTTCCTGCCCCAGAAAAAAATGGACTCGGTATTTCACAGTGCTGCGTGTGAACTCATCCACAACAATTTCTTGTCATCCACGGTTATCGTCATCATTCGTGTCGTCACCATCCGCAGATGATGAAAAGGACTTGCGACACCTGGTCCCAGTTCTTGCACTCACTCGACAAGCATCAGATGTTCGCCGACGAACAGCACGAACATTCTCACGGCGACCACGGCAACTCTCCAGCTCGAAATAGTGTAATGCTTTCACCACCATGGCGGACTCGCCAGGAGACAGGTGAGAAGATATATCGAAAAACCAGAGCGCGAAATTCAAAAAAGCGAAGATACGTGGTGTGAATGAAAAATGGAAAGTATAGTACGAGGTGCCCAGAGCTGGAGCGCGAATTTCGAAAATCGAAAGAACAGGAAATGGAAAATGCAAACACTTCGCGGTCTACGTGTACTTACTTCTTCGTGCTGACTTGTGGGGTTAGTGATACTATAAACCGCCCAATGTTTGCGTCACTAATTTTTCGCGATTTCTCAGAACCAGCGAGTTTACGATGGCAAACGTTTGCGGAGCACTGTGGCCACACACATACACCCACTGTTGAAGTTTGATTTCACGGTGGTTGATACAGTCTTTATCGGCTATAGCATACCCTTTTGATTTCCGTGATTTTATCACTATAACCGATGCATCACTACATGCGATACGATCGATTTTTTCCGATCGACACATGAAAGGCAAGGAAATACTTCCAGCATGGCGTTTTGACAAATGAGCATGCTGCATAGTTGACAGTGCCCACATTTCCATAAAAAAATTCTGTTAGGCCATGGTAAAAAATATCTTTGATTCTCAAGTACGCGCGCATCGATTTTTGGTGGCGCACCGACGATTTTTTTTATTTCTATGCATGCATATGCGTGCATGAAAACGGTCAATGCGAAAGGCATGAATCCGGGAGTAGTAAAATACCGGTATTTTTCTACTCCCTGGCCTGAATAATAAAATAATTATAAATTAATTATGAACCTGTGACGTACACATGTGTGACCCTATCTTTGGAAATAAAAACATTGTGGGAATTAAAATAAAAAATCGCTCGCTCGCACCGATTTTCACAGGCTCATAACCTGAGAATCAACTTTATTTTTTACCATGGCCTTATGTACACGTACATGTATCAATATAAAAAAAAAGCAACGTGAAGAAAGTAAAAACATAGGGCCTTTGATATTATTGCTACATGTATTTTTTAAACGTTACCACTATAGCCGATAATAATATAGTGTGTTATGCATGTTTTGATTCTTTGTTACCATCATAATATCCGATATATCATTACATCCGATAATATTGGTTATAGTGATATTTTTACTGGATAAAATACGTTTTGCTTTTGATATTTCGTACCGATATCACTGTAGCCGATATATTCTTATATCCGGTCACTCTATAGCCGATACAGACTGTATTTGCGTTATGCTTTTCTCGCAAAATTAGCAAACATTAATACGTTGCAAGCATTAGGCTGTTCACAGTAGTCTTGCTGGAATGCCGATAATGACTTGTTGCTATAGCTCCTGGACATTGACAGCATGGCCACTGATCATAAACGGCTCGATAGTTGCCTTTGCCATCTCACCTGTTTCGGTGATAATTTGGAATGCCGATAATGACTTGTTGCTATAGCTCCTGGACATTGACAGCATGGCCACTGATCATAAACGGCTCGATAGTTGCCTTTGCCATCTCACCTGTTTCGGTGATAATTTGGAATGCCGATAATGACTTGTTGCTATAGCTCCTGGACATTGACAGCATGGCCACTGATCATAAACGGCTCGATAGTTGCCTTTGCCATCTCACCTGTTTCGGTGATAATTTGGAATGCCGATAATGACTTGTTGCTATAGCTCCTGGACATTGACAGCATGGCCACTGATCATAAAGGGCTCGATAGTTGCCTTTGCCATCTCACCTGTTTCGGTGATAATTTGGAATGCCGATAATGACTTGTTGTTATAGCTCCTGGACATTGACAGCATGGCCACTGATCATAAACGGCTCGATAGTTGCCTTTGCCATCTCACCTGTTTCGGTGATAATTCATTGCCAATGTTGCAGAATTATATCAGCAGTAGTAGTCCAACGCAGCTGAGAATGTGTCCGTATGGCACGTGTGGGCTACTTTCCTGCTCATAGCTCTATGTTGACATTGTGGGCAATTAGGCTTGTGCACATCATTATACTTTTGTGTATTTGTTTTATGAACTCGGTTGCTGAGCCAAGGAAATAATAGAGAGGTTGTGCACAAAGAAAATTCGTAGCGCCGTAACGAATATTTTTAACGAAAAAAGCTAACGAATATTCATAAACCGTGAGGTTGCGCACAGCGCGTGAACTTTTTCTTAGTGGATGGACGCGGCGGCCGCGCGGGTGCGAAGAGTCAAGACAGGGAGTTGTAAACCATCGGTATTTTAGTACTCCAGGTGACGAAAAATATTTTCATAGATCTGCTCTGTTTCGGTCGCGTTGGACGGATCTTCGTTGCAACTTTCGTTACTCGAACCCGGACGGTCGAAATCTAACGAATTTTCGTTGTGTGCAAACTCTCTATTAAAGGGGAAGTATACCCTAAAATCAAATTTTCACCAGTTGTAGTCTTCGGGGTGCTGAGTCGAATGGTCTTGGTCCGAGGAAGCTGCGACGCTCCCTTCCTACTTGAATCCCAATCGAACTCGCGCACTTCCACCGAAACTGGGTGACTGCGCCCTACTAAAAGGGGGTTTGTATGCAAAATGTCACTAAAAGCGCCATTTCGTTCTTATAAAAGCATGCATGACCGCGATTGGCCCATATGTTGTAGTCTTTTGGACGCTGAGTCGACTGGTTTTGGTCCGAAAAGGCTGCGATGCAGCATTCCTCCTTTATTCCCAATCGAACATGGTTGAAGAAGCGGTCACGTGCTCCTGGGTGCCCAAATCACCTGGTCACCGCGCCAGCAGGCGACAACTTTCACACCAAGGTTCAACTCGAGTTCAACTCGAGTGACAGGACTGCACCCAAAAAAGGTCAAACAGGCTAGTAAGTTGTACCCTGCAGGCACGGTGACCAGGTGACTGGTGTACGCAGGAGCACGTGACCGCTTGTTCAACCATGTTCGATTGGGAATAAAGGAGGAACGCTGCATCGCAGCCTTTTCGGACCAAAACCAGTCGACTCAGCGTCCAAAAGACTACAACATATGGGCCAATCGCGGTCATCCGTGCTTTTATAAGAACGAAATGGCGCTTTTAGTGACATTTTGCATACAAATCCCCATCTAGTAGGGCGCAGTCACCCAGTTTCGGTGGAAGTGCGCGAGTTCGATTGGGATTCAAGTAGGAAGGGAGCGTCTCAGCTTCCTCGGACCACGACCATTCGACTCAGCACCCCGAAGACTACAACTGGTGAAAATTTGATTTTAGGGTATACTTCCCCTTTAAGACGAAAACAAGGGAAATAGTGGGGTACAAGCTATGCGTTAGAGTCCACGAACTAGACAAGATATTGAACCGTCAGACGTCACAATTTAGCACGAAACTGACGAGGAGTACTGAGTGATAATCATTGACCTTCCAGGTTGGAAGGCAGTTGGTTAACGCTATCGAGCAGCGGTCAAACTCACTTTTCTGCCATGGAATGTCTCAGTACCCCTCGTCAATGTTTTTTTAAACTTGTCTATTGTTCTGTTCAATTTGTTTTGCTCTGTGTACTAGTTAAGCGTGAGATCTGTTGCCTTTGTCATGCCTCTACTGGCGGTACTGGCAGTCATCGGTGGAGTCGATGCTCGGCTACGCATTGGCGGACGAGTGAGGCACTCTACCCTCGGCACAGGCACGGTCTCCAGCATCTGCGCCAACAATCGGCTGTCCGTGCATTTCGACGAGCACCAGTTGCCGCGCCTGTGCCCAGCCCAGCATCTCAAGTCGGTGGGTGATGGATACATGTCTACATATCATTGACGAACGTTCTGCTTTTTCCTGTACATGGACCAATGTGTATATGTACGAGTATCTCGTATGTGCTAGTGTTTGGGGTCTGTTGCATAAATGTTCATGATGCTTGTACATTGTTTTAAGGCTGATCATCTCTAGTGTGTGTGTGTGTGTGTGCATGCGTGCGTGTGCGTGTGTGTGTGTGTGTGTGCGCGTGTGTGTGTGTGTGTGTGTGTGTGTGCGCGTGCGTGTGTGCACGTGTGTGTGTGTGTGTGTGTGTTTGCGTACATGTAACTACATGCATGTGTAGGTTGACTGCATAGCCAGCAGTGCTTACTTGATTCCGCTGACGCATCACTCAATCGGGCTGTGGGCACGTTTGCTGCAACTATCCCTGAGCACCGACTACCCATCCTCTGCTGCAGCATCTGCAGAGCCAGGTAGGGGTAGCACCATGACTGTACTGCTATGATGCCCCTACGCGTGTTTGCATTCTCCTATGCTTCAAGTACAGAGCAATTAAGCTGCTGTGCATGCCTTTGTGTTGTGCAGCGAGTGTGGAGTGTTCTCCGTTTGCCCAGCCCATGCTAGGTTT